GGGGGGGGGGGGGGGGGGGGGGGGGGGGGGCGTAGGAGGTAGGAGGTAGCAAGGTAGCATGAATCGGAGTATTTAGTGAGGTCGATCGGGGCATCCCGAGGTGAGGATGTCAGCATCATTGATGACCAGTTTGCCAGCACAACGGGGTTCGCTGGTGAAAACTCTATGGCTCTCTCTCTCTCTTTCTCTTGATGATCGGCCAGCACAGCAACCACAACAACGAAAGGAGGATACTACCTATAGTGTAGGTACGGCCACCCAGCCTCGTGTCCCGAGCCGAGCAGCAGCTAGTCAGGACATTAGGCGGGCAGTCAAGGCAGGACGCAGGCCAATCCAATGTCCAGTCCAGGGCGTGAGCGAAAGCGGCAGCACTGCTTGGGATGGAGAGTGGAAGTGGAGACGACGGTGATCCACAACGGGTTTCTGGTAGAGCTAGAGAAAAGCAAAAATCACCATCCATTCCGCTCTCCTCTGCTCTCTTCTCTCTTCTCTCTCTTCTTCCTCGTTCTCCAGCTGTTCATCTTCCTCGCACTCACACTCAGACCGCAGCGGAAGTGACACAGTCAACACGCACATTCACTCACAATCCACTTCACTCCCTCATCGCCCGCCGTCGCCGCCGCCGCGCCGCTTCTTCATCGGGTAAGTGTCTGCCTACCCACCTTGGCCGCTCTGCGGTGACCGCTGTCTCGACCACCTCACCCATCATTCCTTTTGCCACGTGCACCTGCGATCTCCTTCACCCCACGGGACACCTCCATTTCGGCCGCTCATCGCCCGATCACAACCACGACAGTCCCAGTTCTGCTCCCACCACCACCCCAAATCGTCGACATCATCTGTACCGACGATCTTGTTTCACCCGCACGAGAACGACACAAGACTTGGCTCGAGAAAGTCTTTGCCTTGCAAAATCGTGCCCGATTCCATACATATACTACCCTTGCTGGACCGCCCATCTGCTTTTGCCCGCACTGAATTCGAGAGTCGGTGAAACAAAGCCCGCTCTCGCTACTCGCAATACTGGTCCATTGTCACCGCACAAGCAATTTCGCGGCCTACGGAGACTGTCAGTTGACGAGCGATTGGACTAATCTTCTTGCATTACACAGCGTTGTATCCGCCACACCAACCTGCGTATCGACAACGCACGACACCTTACCAACCGCCACACGCCACACACGAACCTCACTTCCATACTCGAACCATTCGGCATTACGCCGATAGAATGGGTCGAGTCTCCTTCGCCGACGATGTAAAGCCACCTGCCGACGACCATGAGATCGAGCAAGAGCCCGTCAATGTCTATCCGTACCAGAACACGCCCGAGAACAAGTCTTGGGCGGGTGCTTTGCCATTGAAGCAGGGTCTGTATGACCCTGAGCTGGAGAAGGATGCTTGTGGTGTTGGTTTCGCTGCCCACATCAAGGGCAAGCCGAGCCACAAAATTGTCACAGATGGTAAGGGCTGATTGTTGATGCACTGCAAGTGGTAGACTTGGGCTGACCATCATAGCACGCAACTTGCTCTGCAACATGACCCATCGCGGCGCGGTGGGTTCTGACGCACGAGATGGAGATGGCGCAGGCGTCATGACTTCTATTCCTCACAAGTTCTTCATCAAGAACTTCGAGCGCGAGCAAGGCATTCAGCTGCCAGAGCTGGGCAAGTACGCTGTAGGAAACGTGTTCTTCAAGCCAGAGGAAGAGGCGTTGAAGGACACGCTCGCACAGTTTGAGGACATTGCAGACGGTCTTGATCTGCGGGTACTGGGGTGGCGAGAGGTGCCAAAAGACAGCACGCTGCTCGGTCCCGCAGCCAGTTCACGGGAGCCGATCATTCTACAGCCATTCGTGGTATTGAAATCGGTCTATGGCAGTGGCAAGGAGCTACCAGCAGACTTCGACGAGAAGTACGACGAGCAGACCTTCGAGAGACAGCTGTACGTGCTGAGGAAGCGGGCGACGCATGTCATTGGTCTGCACAACTGGTTCTACATTTGCTCGCTGAGCAACAAAAATATTGTCTACAAAGGACAACTTTCACCAGTTCAGGTGTATTCTTACTACCACGATCTTGTCAATGTCGATTATGAGGGTCACTTTGCACTGGTGCACTCTCGTTTCTCGACGAACACATTCCCCTCGTGGGACAGAGCTCAGCCTCTTCGCTGGGCAGCCCACAATGGAGAAATCAACACGCTACGAGGCAACAAGAACTGGATGCGTGCTCGCGAAGGTGTACTGAAGTCAGAGTTCTTCGGCGACGAATTGGAGTCACTGTACCCTATCATTGAAGATGGTGGTTCCGACTCTGCCGCGTTCGACAATGTGCTCGAACTCCTCATGATCAACGGTGTCCTGTCGCTCCCAGAGGCTGTGATGCTCATGGTGCCAGAGGCATGGCAGGGCAATGACACTATCGATGGTGCCAAGCAAGCATTCTACGAGTGGGCAGCATGCATGATGGAGCCGTGGGATGGCCCAGCCCTGTTCACTTTCTCCGATGGCCGATACTGTGGCGCCAACTTGGATCGCAACGGCCTGCGACCTTGCAGATACTACGTATTGGACGACGACCGGATCATTTGCGCCTCGGAGGTCGGTACGATTGCTATTGACCCAACCACGGTCGTCCAAAAGGGACGACTGCAGCCGGGTCGCATGCTGCTGGTCGATACACAGGCAGGCAGAATCATCGACGATGCCGAGCTCAAGGAGACCGTGTCCGGCCGCCAGGACTTCCGATCTTGGCTCGATGCACAGCTCCTGGTCCTACCAGACATTCACAAAAAGCTGCTGGATAATGGCACCGACTTGTCGTTCAAGCTCACTGACACGACGGTCAACGAAGACCCCAGACTGAAGGCATTCGGCTACTCACTCGAGCAAGTCAGTCTGCTCTTGGCTCCTATGGCCGCAGACTCCAAGGAAGCCCTTGGATCCATGGGTAACGATGCTCCTCTTGCTTGCTTGGCACAGCAGCCACGTTTGCTGTACGAGTACTTCCGGCAGCTCTTCGCACAGGTCACAAACCCACCCATCGACCCCATTCGAGAGGCCGTGGTCATGTCGCTTGGTTCCTATGTCGGACCTCAAGGCAACCTGCTCGAGATAAACAAGGAGCAGTGCCATCGACTGTATCTGCCTTCTCCCATGCTCTCCGTGGAAGAGTTCAACGCTCTGAATCAAGTTTCAACGTTGCACTCCGACTGGAGCGTCGCGACCATTGACATCACCTTCGAGAAGAAGGAGGGCTTGGCCGGCTACTACGATGCGCTCGACCGCATCTGTGAGGCTGCCGGTGAAGCCATTGAGAATGGTGACAAGGTCATCATCCTCTCTGATCGCAAGACATCTTCCGAACGCATCGCCGTCTCTGCTCTTCTTGCCACTGGAATGGTCCACCACCACCTGGTTCGCAACCGATGGCGTGCACAGGCCGCGTTGGTCGTTGAGACTGCCGAGGCTCGTGAGGTCCACCACATGTGTGTCCTTGTTGGCTACGGAGCCGATGCCATTTGCCCATATCTCGCAATCGAGTGTATCCTCAAGCTCGATCGAGAGGGACTGATTCGCAAGAAGTTGAGCCCAGAACAGCTCATCGACAACTACAAGCACTCTTGCGATGGTGGTATACTGAAGGTGATGTCGAAGATGGGTATTTCCACTCTTCAGAGTTACAAGGGTGCTCAGATTTTCGAGGCCCTCGGCATCGACGACTCGGTCGTTGACCGCTGCTTCACTGGAACCGCTACCCGTATCAAGGGTATGACATTTGAGCTCATTGCTCAAGACGCGTTTGCGCTTCACGAAAAGGGCTTCCCGTCTCGCGACATTCGCGAGATTCCTGGTCTTGCCGAGACTGGAGAGTACCACTGGCGTGACGGTGGAGAGCCGCACGTCAACGACCCCGTCTCCATCGCCAACATCCAGGATGCGGTTCGCAACAAGAACGACAAGTCCTACGAGGCATATTCTCGGTCGGAGTACGAACAGATCAAGAATTGCACCCTTCGAGGGCTGTTGGATTTCGACTTCGACGCCACGAGCTCCATTCCGATTGAGCAGGTCGAACCGTGGACCGAAATCGTGCGTCGCTTCGTCACCGGTGCCATGTCGTACGGCTCTATTTCCATGGAGTCGCATTCCACCCTGGCCGTCGCCATGAACCGACTTGGAGGCAAGTCTAACACTGGTGAAGGTGGTGAGGATCCAGAGCGCAGTCTCCCCATGGAGAATGGCGATACCATGCGGTCTGCTATCAAGCAAATTGCTTCTGGACGCTTTGGTGTCACTAGCAACTACCTGGCTGATGCCGACGAGCTACAGATCAAGATGGCTCAAGGTGCTAAACCCGGTGAGGGCGGTGAGCTTCCTGGCCACAAAGTCTCGGGCCCAATCGCCAAGACTCGTCACTCGACCCCAGGTGTCGGTCTCATCTCGCCACCGCCACATCACGACATCTACTCCATCGAGGACCTGAAGCAGCTGATCTACGATCTCAAGTGCTCCAATCCACGATCCCGCGTGTCTGTCAAGCTTGTCTCGGAGACTGGTGTTGGAATCGTTGCGTCTGGTGTCGCCAAGGCGAAGGCGGATCACATTCTCATTTCTGGACACGACGGTGGTACTGGTGCTTCGCGATGGACTGGTATCAAGTATGCCGGTCTGCCATGGGAGCTCGGTCTTGCCGAGACCCATCAGACGTTGGTTCTCAACGACCTGCGTGGCCGTGTTGTTGTTCAAACCGATGGTCAGCTTCGTACGGGTCGTGATGTTGCCCTCGCTTGTCTGCTTGGTGCTGAAGAGTTTGGTTTTGCTACCACTCCTCTGATCGCCATGGGCTGTATCATGATGCGCAAGTGGTAAGCCCTCTCTTCCTCTCGCGGTCTCCATCACTGTCCAGATCGATCATTGCTAACATTCTCGCAGTCATTTGAATACCTGCCCAGTTGGCATCGCTACTCAGGATCCTGAGCTCAGGAAGAAGTTCAAGGGCACACCAGAGCATGTCATCAACTTCTTTTACTACGTGTCCAACGAGCTTCGTGCTGTCATGGCCAAGCTTGGTTTCCGCACTGTCAACGAGATGGTGGGACACACCGAGATGCTCAAGGTCCGCGAGGATCTGCGCAACGCAAAGACGGAGAACATTGATCTCAGCTTGATCCTGACTCCAGCACACACCCTGCGATCTGGTGTCGCCACCTACAACGTTCGCAAGCAGGACCACAAGCTGCACACTCGTCTCGACAACAAGCTGATCTCTGAATCAGAGCTTGCTCTTGAGAAGGGTCTGCCATGCCGCATAGAGTGCGACATTGTCAACACTGATCGTGCACTCGGTGCGACTCTCTCCTACCACATCAGCAAGCGTTACGGCGAGAAGGGTCTGCCAAACGATACCATTCACGCGAACATTCGGGGTTCCGCGGGCCAGTCCTTTGGCGCATTCCTTGCACCAGGTGTCACCCTCGAGCTTGAGGGAGATGCCAACGACTACGTCGGCAAGGGTCTTTCTGGAGGTCGCTTGATCGTGTATCCACCCCGCTCTGCGGTCTTCAAGGCCGAGGAGAATGTCATCATTGGTAACGTCTGCCTGTATGGCGCTACTGCTGGTACATGCTTCTTCCGTGGTGTGGCTGCTGAGCGTTTCGCCGTCCGCAACTCTGGTGTCACTACCGTTGTTGAGGGTGTCGGAGACCACGGCTGTGAGTACATGACGGGTGGCCGTGTCGTCGTTCTTGGAAGTACAGGTCGCAACTTTGCTGCTGGTATGTCCGGAGGTATCGCGTACGTGCTGGACTTGCACAAGGACTTCGAGGGCAAGGTCAACCAGGAGATGGTTGAGCTCTCTGGTCTCGAGGACCCACATGAAATTGCCTTCCTGCGTGGCCTCATCGAGGACCACCACCACTACACTGGTTCTGAGCTGGCTGCTCGCATCCTGCTCGACTTCAACCGTGCTCTTCCGCACTTTGTCAAGGTCCTTCCCACCGACTACAAGCGTGTCATGGAGGAAGAGGCACAGAAGGAGGCTGCAGCAAAGAAGGCCGCGTACCCACTGCCCATCCTTCCAGGTAGCGCTGTTCGCAACCTCCACGAGACTTCTCGTGAACATGAACATGCCGCTGAGAAGAAGAAGGCTAGCCTCGGCGACCTTGAGGAGAGTATTTCGGACGCTGCGCGTGAGAAGAAGCGCTCCCTTGTTCTGGACAAGACCAAGGGTTTCATGAAGTACCAGCGACGTGCAGAGAAGTATCGACCAGCGAAGACCCGGACCCGTGATTGGGCTGAGCTGAGCACTCGCCTCAACGAGGACGAGTTGAAGTATCAGACTGCTCGCTGCATGGACTGTGGTGTTCCATTCTGTCAGTCCGACACTGGATGTCCAATCTCGAACATCATCCCCAAGTGGAACGAACTTGTTTTCCAGGTAAGAAACATAGCTCCCACGAGAACGTGGCTTTTTGTGCTAACAAATGTTTCAGGGTCAATGGAAGGACGCCCTGAACAGGCTGCTTATGACCAACAACTTCCCAGAATTCACTGGTCGTGTCTGCCCAGCTCCCTGTGAAGGTGCTTGTGTGCTTGGCATCAACGAAGACCCTGTCGGCATCAAGTCTGTCGAGTGCGCTATCATCGACCGTGGCTTCGAAATGGGCTGGATGGTACCATCGCCACCTAAAGTGCGCTCTGGCAAGACTGTCGCGATCATTGGGTCTGGTCCTGCTGGTCTGGCTTGCGCTGACCAGCTCAACAAGGCTGGCCATTCCGTCACTGTCTACGAGCGTTCCGATCGCGTTGGTGGTCTGCTCATGTACGGAATTCCAAACATGAAGCTCGACAAGAACGTCGTACAGCGACGTGTCGACTTCCTGGCTGCTGAAGGCATCGAATTCAAGACCGGCGTCTTCGTGGGCGAGGGCGACATCACGTTCGAGTCTCTGCGCAAGTCAAACGATGCGGTCGTCATGGCCACCGGATCGACTCTTGCTCGTGACCTCAAGATTCCAGGCCGTGATCTCAATGGCATTCACTTCGCTATGCAATTCTTGCACAAGAACACCAAGTCGCTCCTGGACTCGGAGCTTGCAGACAATGCCTACATCTCTGCTAAGGGCAAGAATGTCATTGTCATTGGTGGCGGTGACACTGGTAACGACTGCATTGGTACTTCCGTTCGCCATGGAGCCAAGTCAGTGGTCAACTTCGAGCTGCTGCCACAGCCTCCTGCTCAGCGTGCCAACGACAACCCATGGCCACAGTGGCCTCGTATCTACCGTGTCGATTACGGTCATACCGAGGTCAAGACACACATGGGTCGTGATCCACGTGAGTTCTGCATCATGTCCAAAGACTTTGTGGACGACGGCTCCGGCAATGTCAAGGGTGTCAACATCAAGCGCCTGGAATGGACTAAGAACTCCAATGGAGGCTGGGACATGAAGGAGATTGAGGGCAGCGAGCAGTTCTTCCCCGCTGAGTTGATCCTTATCTCCATGGGTTTCTTGTCGCCAGAGGACAAAGTCTTCGAGGGCCAGATTGAGCTTGACGGTCGCAAGAACATCAAGACTCCACCAGGCCACTACAACACAAACGTGGAGGGCGTGTTTGCTGCTGGTGATTGCCGTCGTGGTCAGTCACTGATTGTCTGGGGCATCAACGAGGGTCGCATGTGTGCCCGCGACGTCGATTCGTACCTCACCGGCATTGGTACTATGCTTCCTGTCACTGGTGGTATTGTCAAGCGACCCCCATACGAGCTACTATCCAAGCACAACGACGCTCCCAAGGAATTGATCACCGCTGCCGCATAAATTGATGTATTGCGGACACGACGAGGAAATAAATTTTTGGTGAGAGAGCAGTTTTCAAGAAATTTCGCGCGCAATGGAGCATCTTAATGCACCGGATGGGATACCCTTTTGAAAGAGCGTTAGGAAGTCGATAGAGAACCAGACAGCATGGAATTTTGGCAATGCATGGATGGATGGAATGTCCGAACAGTCCAGGATAATGCGCTAGCTACCAAAGCAAGTCGGGCTTTGCGGAGGCACGATTGTACGAATGGGATATCGCTTACGAAATTGTTTTGTGGATGATGAGAGAAAAGAAAAAAAGGGGTGGCGGGGGGCCAATTGAAACGACTTAATGAATTTTTTTTACCCCAAAAAGAGAACATCGCAATGCAATGAGAGGGTTTTTGGCTTTTGGGGTTTGAATTTGAATTTACACACGATCGGAAATGCGACTTGAATGTGTGTGGATGGGTGGTTGGTTGTTGCTCGCAAGCGTTATTGTTTTTTGGGAGGGGTTTTTATGGCTTCTGCAATTCTTCCTTTCGTTCTATATAGTAGTACAATGAAAAGCGGGATCTTGTACGCTTTCATACACATCGCATTCCCCATTCCTTCTTTTCATGAAGTGATGATTGATGATCTTTCTCATCCCTATTCCTTTCTTTCCGTAGAAGAAGTGATTGATGATCTTCTTTCCTTCTTCCATCGACCTATTCGTCGTCCCATCACATCTGTATAAAAAAAAACAATATCGCCTGTCCAGCGATATCGTGTGAGAGGCTGCGCGCACTTTCTCTCGGCGCAAAACATAAAAAAAGCGCTTTGCAAAAACATTCCCCAGTCTTTCCCAGGCCGCAGAAAGGGAGAGAGGAAGAAGATAAGACAAGACTCTTAATCCGAAACCACCATCCCCCCTTCCGTCAAAATCTGATGCGCATTCGCCAAATCCGCCAATTTTTCCTCTTCGGATTTCGACCGATCATCCATCGTCGGTCGGTCATCGATTGTCGATCGAGGACCATTCTGACCATGATGATGATGATGACGATTGATACCATTCAGTGAAGGCATCGTCATCATAGCCATTGCCATGGCCATCATATTCGTATCATTCATATTCGTATTTGAATTACGATGGATATTGCTAGTACTGCTCGACCGGAGCAGACTACTCAGGCGAGGACTTAGTGGTAGAGGGGGTAGTGTTACTCCTCCTCCTGCTCCTCCAGCAAGACCAGGACCAGGGGAAGGAGAAGAAGAGGAAGAATCCACGGTGGAGATGCTACTATCGGAATAATTCGTCGTAGAATACGATTGTGAAGGAGCCGTATTCGGTCGCGTGGAAGATTCTCTCGGTAGGGGTGGTGCTGGCGCAGGGGGACCGTGGAGTTCGAGATCGTGGACGATGGCGTTTTGGTCCATGTATTGGAGTTGAGCGATGAGAGGTTCGTCCGGAGGGTCGTGGATGGCGAGATGCAGGTGGTTTTCGGGGTCGTGGTAGGAGATTTCGGGTTCGCGAGAGGTGGTTTTGTGGGAGTCGCGGTATTTTACGGAGGAGGTGGTGGCGGCTGCTGTGGTGGCGGAGCTGCGGAAGGTGGATCTTTGATGTTCGATTTTTTCGATGATGGGTTCGAAGGAGGATTGGTGTTTGAGGGCGAAGGAGTTGTAGGATGAGCGTTGGACGACGGGAGGAGGGGCGCTTTCGTCGTCTTCGTCGGAGGAGGAGAAGTAGTTTGTTTCTGCGAATTGTTGGGGGCGTTGCGCCTTTTCCACCTCTGTGATTTCTCGCGGAGTATGGATTTCAGGGAAGATGTTCCTTTCTGATGTCTGTAGTGGCGCGCTGATTCTGATGGGCTCCCGCGAGGACTTCTTGGAAGCAAGGGGCTTGAAGTTGTTCGTTGCGACACCCCATAATCGTCGTGCTAGTCCGTCAATGCCGGGCAAGCTACACCATATTTGGCTGAGATAGACCTCCACAGCAGAATAGAGGCCAATGAAGCTATAGTAGTATGTCGAGTTGAAGGTCGTCGTGAAGTGATGGATGTAGAACACACGAGCAATGCTCATTGCCAACACAGCTAACCCTACAAGCGAAAAGAAGCAGCCCCTGTAGATTGTTAGTACGCTTTGCCTCCAATCCCCAGTATTGTATGTGTGAGACTCACTCGATCCTTTTGGTCCATGTGCCGTTCGCCCTCATGAATTGGCGTATCGGAAGCACGATCAGGACAACGTCAAAAGCAATGTTCACCCCTGAGAGTGCGGCGAGAAGCGCCTTCCTGTCAACGCATTGGCCTTCAGAGCCAGAGCCAGAGCCTTCGAACCGATTCCACTGTGAAGCTATAGGCCGACACTGAATAATGGTGGCAACCTCAAAAGCAATTAGGGATCCAGCGAGTAGAGCCAGAGTGATCCAGCAGATTACACGGAACATCGATCTTTTGCTCCACACTCGTAGGTAAAGCAGAACCAGCGATATCTTGGTGCCAAAGACCACGAACACATACAGTACACTAGCAATGTAGAACCACTGCCTTGGTCAGCACATCTCATGGAAATCGCCTGTCACTGCATACTGACCTTATGAAAGTTGACCACATCATCCACGTTGCGTGTCCAGATCTCTTTGCCCTCCCCGTGCTTGACAGAGTAGTAAATTGCAACAGTAAGACCGGTCAAGGGCGCGAGACATAAAAGGGCCATGAAGTCATCCCAGCCGTAGCCTGCTCCCCCGAGTAATGGCAGTCGAGCTGTAAGTCTGGCAAGCAAGCACACAGCAGCTATGCCAAACAGAACATATGAGACGATGGATACCAGCTGACTCCGATCGCGTTTAGGCGCGTCACAAGTATCAGCTCGGTATCTGCTGGCTTCCAACTGGTCTGAGTATGAACATCCAGTCTTGAGGCACTCCGTCCAGGCGTCGCGAACATTGGCGTTGTCGCAGAAACATGGTTGCGAGGGCCGGCAGTCATACTGGCCGAAAAGATTATCCGCACATTGTAGCTGGGGAAAATATGTTAGCAGGGCTCTCTCTGTTTGTGGACCAGAACGTTCCCATACCGCACATGTCGACAGTCCGCTGACAGCCGTGCTATCCACGAGAGTCTGGCCAGCGACTCTTCCGGCAGTCAACGCCGCACAAATGAGCACACCAAGCCCAACTGAGGACCTCATGTTGAGGTCGAAGAGGCTGCGACGCAGTCGCGAAGAGACGGCAGAGAAGACCTTGCGAAGCACATGGCTGTGAAGCGGCCTTCAACCGGACTTGTACAGTAGTAGGAGATATGACATGGTGACATTTCCAATCCCACCGATGAGGTCCATGGTTCCTCGATTTAGCACTGCTTGTTCTCGACTCATGTCGACCGTTAGCGATGAATGCGTGGCGCCCCCGCGCCGATCGGCGCAGCTGAAGTTGTTCCTAGCACCAAATGGGCGTGAGGTATGGCTTCAAATCTTCATGCCGTCTGGTATCGTCAGTGTCCTACATCTGTATCTGATTTTGGTGGCGATATTGAGGTGGAATGTCGTGTGGAGTCTGTCTGTCTGTCTGTTCGTCGTCAACAAGATGCCAGCATTCCTCTACATGCGGCCTTCTCATGATGGAAAAAGCCCTCGAGGTGTTCCTGAGCGACTCGCGGACTGCTCCCCGTGCATGAGGAAACACCCATCGCTTGGGTCGCGGTATCGGCAGTGCCTGACGGCGGACGCCAATGATGCTGTCGCTGACTCGAAACGCGATGATCGGTGTGGTTGGATTCCAAAAGATGCGAAACTAGACCGTATTCCAGCCACACACATCAGATCCACGTGAAGCCACCGAACTCCCGCCGTTGGAATTATTCGATTGGTCTGGAAGAGGTCTTCAAGTGTGTATGAAGTGTGGCTCATCTGTGGAGTTTGAGGCTCCCCACGGAGTGAGCCGTTGGTCTGGCCTTGCTCTCCTTGACAACCTCCCACGGCTCGCTATGGTAGAAGTCAACTACTTCCAATGCCGTGTTCAAGATACTGCGGTGAAGCTACACCCAAGAGCAAGGAATGAGGGACCCGGGGGCAAAGAGGCTCATACGCATGACCGATGGCGCAGCGAAACATGTTTGGGGAACACTCTGAGAAGACAACAGCGAAGGCAATGCTTCGAAGTGCATGTGACGACCAGTCAGCATGATAGAGGGAGGGTATGGGTCGCATCAAAGAAGGCGCAGACTGTCGATTGTGCTGTGGTTGCCTGCCGTAGTATGTATAGCCACACAGGCAATCGGCCAGACGACCGACCGTCAGCCTGTCAGCCGGCGTCGAAAGACCTGCCTTTTGGCTTATCATCAGCACGACCACGGAGACTCATTGAGTCTGAGTAGAACGTATAGAGTACGTGGCCATACTAGTTGGAGGAAGATTCTCCTACTTCCATGCCTGACAGCTGAGGAAACGAAAAACACATAGGATCGTGGGACTCGGAGCGTCTTTTTCGCAGCATAGGGCTAGGTGCTCCCTGGCAAAGGGAAGCTGAACGAACGTCTGTTTCGTAGGTATATAAGCTCTGCTCCCATCTTACCACATACACGCACGCCGAGTATACTACGTTGCATATGGGCAGATTTCGGGGTGCATGCGGGTCAGTTTCTGGGCGGCCTCTACAGGATTTTCAGTACAGCGAAGCGAAGCGCCTGCTGCTGACAGCTCCAGCTTTGGAAGGCTGTATTTGCCTCAGAACGCCCACTGAAGGTGGCAGTGCCCTCATGCGAACAACTCAACGATGCCTCCAATGACTGTCTGCTACGTCCTAGTCCGCATATCGCCAGCACTGCCTCCACACCGGTCGGTCTCGCATGAGCAGGCCGCATCTCCTCTTCGATGCAAAGTCCTGAAAAGTTTGGTAGTGGTCCAGGCATCCATCAACATGCTATGCTAAGCAACACCGCCCTCTTACATACTGTGACGCATCGTGTGGCTCTGGCGATGGAACCATCACCGACTGAATAGATATGACACGCCAGACTCATCTTGTCGAATCTTTACTTCTTGTTTCTTTCATTGCCCCAACTGAACTGCTGCAGCCTTCCAATCGATCCGGCCAACCACTCAGTGTGCACAGCCTTGCATATGCAGCTTTGACGTGCTCGGGACTGACGATGCAGTAGCAGCAGCAGCAGCGCACTATCAATCAAGCAAGACTCACCTTCCTCGATGCCGTACCGATTCGACACACCGTATGCGGACGATAATTATCGACGCTATTATGGCACTTATGTATCGAGCCCTCTTCGCTGGCGTTGCAGAGCTACCACTAACGCTCAATCGTTGGCTCCAGGTGCCAGCTCTTTCTGCAGAAGTAGAAAAGCTACGACGGAGCATTCGCCATGACCAAGTCTACCGCAAGAGCCTTGAGGACCAGGTCCTCGCACTGCGAGAAGAGATTCAACGATTGAGATCAGAGTACTCGATTGCATTCAGAGAATACGACCGACTCAACGCCCGCCCTTTCCGTTACAGGCCCGGAATATACGTCAGGTACAGGTAGTCTTGAAACCGGCAACGCTTATGCAGCGTGAAGACCAGCGATTGCGCGATGGAGTTTGGTGGAAATCTTCCAAGAATGACAAGTCAACCGTGAGATTATGTGGGAACACAGGTGTTGGAATGCTGCTGTATGCTGATGAAGATATACGCTGTCGATTTTGCGATGATTGCAGGCTTCTGTAGGCCGGACACAGACCCATTTGCGCCTATGCTAGACAGTCTTCACATTTGATTATTCATGCGGTTGCCCAACCGCTCGGCCAATTGATAGATTCCCCATTTCATTCAGCAGGCTTTGCCTACCGTTCAAGTCATCTCGCGAGCATTGAAAGTGAGGGAAATGTGGTGGTGGTCAGCAGTGATAAGCTGGTCGGCCAGTTCTAGACGTATCCATGGTAACAAAGGATTTGAGCTGAGTGGCAGTTTTGTGTTTTGCCACAGTCCCGCCAAGCCACATCGCCTAACCCCTTTTGGGAGCGGGCCCACCCGTCAGAACATTCGCAAGGTGAAGCTGTGTTGTGAAGCGAACAATTGAGGTAAGAACGGACAGTGAAGTGGTGCCTTCCTAAACTGAATAACATATCAAGTGAATGAATCTTGCATTCACACCTCACTTGCTGGTAGATTCATGTAATATCGCGTTTCTTCTCGTCCTATCGATGCCCAACGAAGCTCAACGTCAAGGGAAGCTTCGAGAATCACGTAGAAACGCAAGAATTCTGCATCCCCACGATGATGTAGTTCTTAAAAGCTCCATTTCAAGCCTCAACACACAAACCTTTCTTCCTCATCCAACACACCACTCTCGACTCTCACCTTCACCGAGTCTTCACACCCTTTCACGCACTCATATCCCCCTTCCCAGTTCACACACCCTTTCCCATCGCACTCGGATCAGACAGAAACACAGACACCATGGCACCAGCAATCGGTATCGATTTGGGTACCACGTACTCGTGCGTGGGTATCTTCAGAGATGACCGCATTGAGATCATCGCCAACGACCAGGGTAACCGAACCACGCCCTCGTTCGTTGCCTTCACCGACACAGAGCGTCTCATCGGAGACTCCGCCAAGAACCAAGTCGCAATGAACCCAATCAACACAGTCTTCGATGCCAAGCGATTAATCGGACGCAAGTTCGCAGACCCAGAGGTGCAGGCCGACATGAAGCACTTCCCCTTCAAGGTCATCGACAAAGGAGGCAAGCCTGTTGTTCAGGTTGAGTTCAAGGGCGAAGAGAAGACATTCACACCAGAGGAGATCTCATCCATGATCCTCACCAAGATGCGTGAGACCGCAGAGTCCTACCTTGGTTGCACAGTCAACAACGCTGTCGTCACTGTTCCTGCATACTTCAACGACTCGCAGCGACAGGCAACCAAGGATGCTGGTCTCATTGCTGGTCTGAACGTGCTTCGTATCATCAACGAGCCCACCGCCGCTGCCATTGCCTATGGTCTCGACAAGAAGACTGAAGGCGAGCGCAATGTCCTCATCTTTGACTTGGGTGGTGGTACTTTTGATGTGTCCCTTCTTACCATTGAGGAGGGAATCTTCGAAGTCAAGTCCACCGCCGGTGACACTCACTTGGGTGGTGAGGACTTCGACAACCGTCTTGTAAATCACCTGACTACGGAGTTCCGCAGAAAGAAAGTATCCCCTTGTCCATTTGAGAACAATCAGTGATGGTATACTAACTGAGAAATAGGCACAAGAAGGATTTGACCACCAACGCACGGGCCCTCCGACGTCTCCGAACTGCTTGCGAGAGAGCCAAGCGCACGCTCTCCTCGTCTGCTCAGACCTCTGTTGAGATCGATTCGTTATTCGAGGGTATTGACTTCTACACCTCCATCACTCGAGCCCGTTTCGAGGAACTATGCCAAGATCTCTTCAGATCGACCATGGAGCCTGTTGAGCGCACTCTCAGAGATGCAAAGATCGACAAGTCTTCTGTGCACGAGATCGTCCTTGTTGGTGGTTCCACCCGTATCCCGAAGATCCAGAAGATGGTTTCCGATTTCTTCAACGGCAAGGAGCCAAACCGCTCCATCAACCCAGATGAGGCCGTTGCCTACGGTGCAGCCGTCCAAGCCGCCATCCTCTCTGGCGACACTTCCAGCAAGTCTACCAACGAGATTCTTCTGCTCGATGTCGCTCCGCTGTCCCTTGGTATCGAGACTGCCGGTGGTGTCATGACTCCTCTCATCAAGCGCAACACTACCATTCCAACCAAGAAGTCTGAGGTCTTCTCTACCTTTGCCGACAACCAGCCTGGTGTTTTGATCCAGGTATTCGAAGGGGAGCGTGCGCGTACGAAGGACAAGTTTGTTCCCCTCTCCCTTAACTTGTGAGAATGTAATGCTAATTTTTTTGTAGTAACCTGCTTGGCAAATTCGAGCTGACCGGTATTCCACCCGCACCCCGTGGTGTTCCACAAATTGAGGTCACATTCGACATTGATGCCAACGGTATTATGAATGTTTCCGCTCTCGAGAAGGGCACTGGCAAGACCAACAAGATTGTCATCACCAACGACAAGGGCCGCTTGTCCAAGGAGGAGATTGAGCGCATGTTGGCTGAGGCCGAGAAGTACAAGGATGAAGACGAAGCCGAAGCCGCCCGCATTCAGGCCAAGAATGCTCTCGAGTCGTACGCATACTCCCTCCGCACCACCCTCAGCGACCCAAAGACCGAAGAGAAGCTTGAGGCATCCGACAAGGAGACCCTCAAGGCCAAGATTGACGAGACTGTGGCCTGGTTGGACGACAGCCAGTCCGCGACCAAGGACGAGTATGAGAGCCAACAGAAGGAGCTTGAGGGTGTAGCCAACCCAATCATGATGAAGTTGTACGGTGCTGGAGGCGAAGGTGGCATGCCAGGTATGCCAGGTGGAGGTATGCCAGGTGGTGCCGGTCCATCTGCTGGTGGAGATGACGGCCCAACCGTCGAGGAGGTTGACTAAATGCTTCTTCGGACTTCACTTCACGATACCACTGATGCATTTGGGTGGCAAGGCGTTTATGCAGCATTAGAGTATGCGGTTCACGATGCTATGAATGGGATGGGTTAAAAGCGGCACATCCTCTCGATGTAATACTAGAGTTCATCTGAGGTTTGACCTCAGCAAAACGAGAAGAATTCACAGGTTTCATAAATAATTCTCACTTCATGCTCCAATCTGAGGTTTGAACTGATTCATAATCCAGAATAACCCATCTTTCGTCCAAATAATGCCTCAGAAGTAGAAGTAAACTAACATTTAAATTACTGGTGCCTCCCCCTCGTTCCTTCTCTTTCCAGAAATCGAATTCTAGACCGGTATAATCTAAAGGTTCATAGGACTAAGGAAATCCAAAATCAAAAAGTCCCGAAAAGCTATACTCTCTTTCCCTCCGTACCTTTCTTCTACATACGACCTTAGTTATGAAGCTGACTTTGGAGATTCACTGTACAAAGCTCCCCTAATCTACCTATATTTTGCTAGTTCTCTACCGAACAGAGCGGCGACTACGCTACCTCAAGAAGAGTAGATACGTAAAGAGGGTAATAATATAGTATCGGAGAGGGAGAGAGACGAAGCCTACTTTGCGAAAAGCTTCCCGAATCTACCTATATTTTGCTACCTCTCTACAGAACAGAGCGGCGACTACGCTACCTAAAGTAGTGTCGATATAGAGAGAGAGTAATAATATAGTATCGGAGAAAGAGAAAGGGAGACAGAGAGACAGAGCTTACTTTGCGAAAAGTCCTCGAATCTACCTATATTTTGCTACTTCTCTACTGAACAGAGCGGCGACTACGCTACCTAAAGTAGGGTCGATATGTGAAGAGGACGATACTACAGTATTAGAGAAAGAGAAAGGGAGAGAGAGAGAGACGAAGCTTCGGTACTTTGCGAAAAGTCATCGAATCTACCTATATTTTGCTACATCTCTACTAAACAGAGCGGCGACTACGCTATCTAAAGAAGAGTCGATTCGTAAAGAGGGTAATAATATAGTGTCAGAGAAAGAGAAAGGGAGAGAGAGACGAAGCGTACTTTGCGAAAATATCTCCGAATCTGTTGCAACGGCAGATTCGAAGTTACCTACTTGTCTGCTCGATCTCTACGACAATGCGGCGACTACGCTACGTAGCGAAGGATCGATATGTGAAGAGGATGATACTATAGTATCGGAGAGGGAGAGAGGGAGAGAGAGAGGGAGAGAGGGGAGAGAGAGAGAGAGAGAGATGACGCTCACTTGGTGAAAAGCCCACTTTGTCAAGACTCACTTTGTCAAGACTCACTTTTACAAGGCTCACTTCTACAAGGCTCACTTTTACAAGGCTCACTTTTACAAGGCTCACTTGGGAAGTTCACTTGAGAAGCTCACTTGTGGTTTTGAAAAGCTCACTTGTGAAAAACTCACTTGCAAAGTTCATTCGTGAACCTTACTTGTCAAGCTCAGTCGCGAAGTTCACTGGCGAAGTTCACTCGCGAACCTCACTCACTTACGAACCTCATTTGTGAACCTCACTTGCGAACCTCATTTTTGAACCTCACTTGCGAATCTCAATCGCGAACCTCACTTTGACAGGCTCATTTTGACAGGCTCATTTTGACAGGCTCACTTTTCCCAGGCTCACTTTGACAGGCTTACTTTTCCCAGGCTCACTTTCCCAAGCTCACTTGTGAGCCTCACTTTGCGAACCTCACTTGCGGACCTCACCTGCGGACCTCACTTGCGAAAACCAGACTTGCGAAAACCTCACCTGCGAACCTTGCTTGCGAACCTTACTATCGCAGGCTCACTTTCATATGGCTCACTTCTATACGGCTCACTTTCACAAGACTCACTTCCATACGGCTCACTTCCATACGGCTCACTTCCATACGGCTCACTTCCATACGGCTCACTTCCATACGGCTCACTTCCATACGGCTCACTTCCATACGGCTCACTTCCGAAGCTCACTTTCACAGGGCTCCAGAGTGAGATTCGCAGAGTGAGATTCGTAGAGTGAGATTCGCAGAGTGAGCCTTGGGAAAGTGAGCCTTGCAAAAGTTCACCTCCGAAGTTCACCTCCAAACTTCACCTCCAAATTCACCTCAAAGTCCACATTTACAAGGCTCACTTTTCTGGGGCTCACTTCCCCAAGGCTCACTTATGAATCTTACTCTGCGAATCTCACTCTGCGAATCTCACTCTGCGAATCTCACTTTGCGAACCTTATTTTGTGCAGCTGACTTTGCGAACCTGACTTTGCGAACCTGATTTTGCGAACCTGATTTTGTGCAGCTGACTTTGTCAAGTTCATTTGTGAAGCTCACTTGTCAAAGGCTCATTTGCGAAGTTCTCTTGTACAGCTCATTTGTGAAGCTCATTTGTAAAGCTTACTTTCATAGGCTCACTTGCGAAGTTCACTTATGAAGCTGGCTTTGTGAACCTCAGCTGTGAAGTTCCCTTGCAAAGTTCCCTTGCAAAAAGTTCACCTGCAAAGTTCCCTTGCAAAAAGTTCACTTGCAAAGTTCCCTTGCAAAGTCCACCTCCGAAGTCCAGCTGCAAAGTCCACCTCCGAAGCTCACCTCCAAAGACCACCTGCAAAGACCACCTGCAAAGACCACCTGCAAAGACCACCTGCAAAGACCACCTGCAAAGACCACCAGCAAACTTCACTTCCAAACTTCAGGTCCAACTTTCACAGCTCACCTCCAAACCTCACCTCCAAACTTGACCTCCACACTTCACCTCCAAACTTCACTTGCAAAGCTCACTTGGTAAGCAGCTCACTTGGAACACCGCGAAGCTCACTTTGTGAAGCTCACTTTGTGAAGCTCACTTTGTGAAGCTCACTTGTGAAAAGCTCACTTGCGAAGCAATTGTGAAGCCTCAGTTGTGAAGCCTCAGTTGTGAACCTCAGTTATAAAGCTCATTTGTAAAGCCTCACTTTCACAAGACTCAGTTATGACAAGCTCATTGGTATGGCTCACTTGTATGGGTCACTTATAAAGCCTCAGTCGTGAAGTTCACTTGTCAACCTGCGGCACGAGCAGGCACCTTCCAAGTTTCCACGTTCTGCGCTTGCCCAAATTGACCTCCTTCTCATTCTGGGCCTGAAATACCATCCTTTCCAACCTCACTCGCATCCTCGTCTGGATCTCTCCAAAATGCCCGGTCCACAGCTCTCGTCCTAATTTCCCAAACATCTTCACTACTCCCCTTCTCCAATTTCCTCTTCTCATCCCGTTCCCGATAGTACCTCGCAACCTCCACTTCCTTCTCTTTTTCGGGCAGCGTCCTCGTGCGCATGCAGAACCAAAACGCACCCCATTGCTCCGAACACGGGCGCAAATGCCCATATCGGTAAATGTCATTGAACTTGCCGCCTACGCTTTGGCAGTAGAATGCTTGGTCGAAGGCCTGGCGGCACGACAAGGTCCGAGGCAAGATTGCAGAGGGAGAGATGTCGAGACTGCCATCGGGCAGGGTGCGGGAGATGGGGAGTGGTTCGTGGCGGTCCTGGGCTGGGAGCGCTGTCTGTTCGGCTTTTTCTAGGGCTGTGCGCGCTTTGGATGGGTTCGTGGGGTCGGAGGAGGAGAATTCCTGGATAAGAGCTTCGAGCTCGGCGTCGGCTTGAGTTTGCTGAGAAGAGGCAGATGAGGGCGTAGAGGAAGGACGGCCAAAGATGCGCATGCGCTGCTCTTCTGTGAGGGCCACTGGAGTCTCCTTGGGAGGCTGCTTGGGTAAAGACTCGTTGGGTGTGGTGCTTGTGACTGCATCGTCAGAGCTCGAAGACCACAGCCAGCCCATGATGGAGTATGGCAATAAATCCGTTTAATCGATAACCGACAATGGCTGATTACATGTAGGTTGTTCGCGAGCAAGGTGAAGAAGCTCCCTCAACCAAGTCTTGGCAGCGATTTCCCTGTCTAGGACTCTACCTAGGTATGTGGTATCCTACCTGTCGGCACAAACACAAACAACCCATGGCTACACTCTCCAATAAGAAGCGCTCCAGATGCTCCAACAAGATAAGTGCTACGGCATTCCAACGTCTTCGTCCTTCTTCTTCTTCTTCTTCTTCCTCCTCCTCCTCGTGCTTCTAGCACCTACGCACTTGTTCACCTTATCCATTGACGCGATATAACAGGATACTACATACTCACACTGTGTAGAATAACCTGAAGTACAGCCTGTCAATCAGACATGCCGATCCGTGCGGCAACCTACTCGGATCTGCTTCCCGCATCTAAATGTCTTGCCCGAGCATTCAAAGATGAAGCTCTCTTCGGCGTGTACATGCATCCTCGCAGAGACCAATTCCCAGACGATGTATACCTCCAATTTCTTCACCGATTACGGGATGGCTGGGCCAGTGGTCCAGACAATCACTTCCTGGTCTCCTACTTGCAGGCTCCCGATACCACAGAACAAATCACTGGATTTGCACACTGGAAACGCATGCGCGCCAACCCACATACTACTGTCGTGCAGAGAGTAATGAAGACTGCTATGAATTGGTACAATTATCTCGAATCTCTCATCTACCCTAATCGAGCGCTGGAACCGAGCCGCGCCGCTATCCTCGGACAGATTGGCCCCTTCGCGGGACATTTGTGGTCTGGTTCACGCGCGGAAGTTTGGGACCTCGTGTTGCTGGGCGTGGACCCGTCATATAGTGGCACAGGTCAGGGCAGAGAACTGGTAGCCTGGGGCTTTGAGCGAGCTAAAGAAGAAGGCATAGGCTGTTCCGTCATCAGCGCTGAGGGTGTCGAGCCGTTCTATCAACGATGTGGTTTCGATAAGATTGTTGGCAGTGTTGCAGAGCATGGGGGCGAAACAAATCCTTTTATTCGAGAAAAGGTTCCCGGTGGAACGATCCTGTTCTGGGACAATGGGAGAGATATCAGTGGAGTCAAAGGGTATGGCGAGCAGTAAGCGGATGATCAAGAACATTCGTGCCACTGCACTGCCCAGTGAAGAGCATGCCGTGAGACTGCAAGTATCAGTGTACTGTGTGTGCAACAAACGGTCGTCGCTGGTCTCAATCGATGCTGCTTCGCCTCCGGCGATCAAGTCCGATTGCACGAACTGACATCCTGCCCCGTTCGTCCACTCATAGGACATTCGGACCGGCCGTGTATGGAGATTGCCGCTACACATAAAACGGAGGTCGAGATCGGGGCGTCGAGCTCGCTTCGAAAAAGAAGGTGGTGCTGCGCTCGAGGATGGGGATCTGGACGAGGCCACGGATCGATTGGCGTCATTCTTCTCCACCTTTGATGCACTCATCTGATGCACAAAACGCCATGCCGCGGCATCCCGTGAGCTTAACGCACGTCGCTGGAGCAGCGAGGCAGGCCAGGCATGCTATGGCCGTTCATTGCCACTCTCTGGACTCCAATCGACGTTGACTCACGGTAGCACATACGGACCTTGGCGAACATGGTTCGAATGCTTGCAACCTCGTGGATGTGGCCCGCTGACGGTGCAGCTCCCAGGAGTCCCATCCCATCTCCGCTTCGAGTGAAGTACTAGATCTGCCACCTCTCCGCTGTTTCTCTTTTTGACTAACTAACCTGACTACCACTCCCCAACAACAACAACATGTCATTCAAACGTGAAGAAAGCGGTGATTCTGGCATTGAAGTCTCCGATCCCCTGCGTCTGACCTCCAATACTCCATCAGCCCATGGCCCCATTACAGCGGCAAAGCCCGCTTTGGAACGACACATTTCGCATATCCCAACCGAGAGCGATGATGAAGAAGTCGATGACAGTAATCACCAATCCGGAATGAAGAAACTCAAGAACCGCATCGCACACCCACACGACAAGACCAAGTCCAAAGACGACACCACCAGCTCATCGTCCGACTACACTGAAAAGCGCCACGATTCCGGTAATGCCACAACGTCCGACTTTGAAATCAGCCCAGGCATCAACCTCAGCGATCATATTGACTCGGCCGAAGTCAAGGCCAAAACACCCTCTCTCGAGCGTCACGTCTCGTCGATAGGAGAGGATGGACTTCTGAATCCCGATGCACCACCGCAGCAGCAGCAGCAGTCGGGGTCGTTGTCGTCGTCATTAGGAGCTCACTCGCCGAAATTGGAGAGGCAGATTTCGGATATACCTCAGCATGATTATGATAGTGATCGGGAGATGTAATGACGATGCGATGCGATGAGATTCTGATATCGACAGGTTGGGATGTGAAAGAAAGGAAGACAAAGGAGTGTACGTGTGTGTGTTTTTCATTTCGAATTGGTCAGAATGAGCGAATCTGGAGGGGGATGGATTACTATGCGCTGGGTTGACAGAGGTATTGAGAGCAAAGGTGAGAGGAACGATGGTGATTCGCCGGGGGTTTGCACGCTATGGCTATCATGAAGAAGAGAAAGAAAGAAAGAAAGATGAGGATGAGAAAGATGACAAGAAGGAAGATGAAAAAGAACCAAGACAAAAAAAAGAAGCTGATAATTAAATTCATGAATCAATCCATCAATCAACCAATCAATGGAATTGGAGGTAGGTAAGGTACCTGAGTAGGAGGTAGTGCTTTCGGCTTCCAGATGTCTTTTTCTTTTCTTTAAAAAGAAGAAATTAAAATCAAAAAAAGAAAAGAAAAAGAAAAGAACAAATGACCGTCATTACCTATGGCTAATGCTATCTATGTAAGGTACTGTGGACAAATGAATTTTCGTCTTTTATACACGACACTATACTACATTATACTACACTACACTACACACTACACTGTACTTAATCGTCATTTGATAACATGTTACTAGTATACGGTACAAGGAGGTATAGCAATGATGTTTTGTTAGGTACAGAGAGGTACCTAGGCCTGGCGTGCTAAGCATGTAATTGAGTAAGTAGGTAACAATGATCAAAGCTATGGCAATCGGAAAGCAGAAGAAAATGGAAAAAAATATATTGCGTGTGCGGCAAAAGGTACAGGCACTAGGTACTAAGGTCAGGTAGGTAGGGTATTCATAAAATTCATTTCCATATGTAATTGGTACAAAATGAGCTAGCTAGCAAGCTGTCATACTCCCATCTTTCCTCCTTGTAGTCTCTTGTTTAGGGTATCTATTATGTATGTACATGCGAAAGTGAAATCATGGGAAACATGGGCAACAGGGGATTAGAGTGCTACGCCCACGGGACCCAATGGGTCGACGGGACCCCATTGTCCTGGCGACCTTCTTCTCGTCGAGTTGGTGTCAAAGTCCGACGTGCATGTCGTCGAAGGAGGCGATACCACTGAACGATCTCTGCTGTGTTCTTGTGAAATGGCGGATGATGTCGATGTGTGGCACGGTGACTCGGGGGCGGTGACAGTGCTACGTTGCGATGATGTTGATGATGATGCTGATGATGCTGATGAAACGCGCGATGGGCGCACGGAATACAACGATTTCGACGCCGTGTCGCTGGTCGATGCAGCCGAAGTGGAGAGAATGTTGGACAGCCAGCCTGCGACCCTGGAGCTTGATCTTCTCCCCATACCAGCCTCCTGTACGGGAGGGTGGGAGGAATCTGACTTGTTGGTAAAAGGCCGTGACAGGCGGAACTTTGCTGGTGACTTGACGGGTGACACTGCTTCTTGCACCGGTTGACATGCTGTCTCGAGGCGGAGCGGACGGGAGAATGCAGAGCCAATGTCGCAAAGGGTCTCGGACCGAGCGCGCAGACCCATCCGGGGTGCTACTGCGGGAATGTGCAGATCCTCGTGGCTCTTCCCTCGACCGGCCTCTGCTCTTCGCTCCTCTACGATGGTGTTGAGTTCGAGAATTTCCTGGTCCAGATCCTTGCTATCGGCGAACGACATCCGAGTAGACTGGTTGGAACGCTTGCGATGAAGGCGGATGCGCTCCACCGAAGTGCGCGATGTGGAGAAAGATGTGCCGGAAGCACTGGTTTCCGGGAGCTGACGATGCAGTGATCTCATGGAGCTCGAAGATGACTGTGTGGAGAGCAGTGGCTTCGCCGAGTATGGTCTCATGGGAGTGTCGCAACGTGGAGGGCTCTCATCCTGATTGCAGGGGACTGCAATTCCACAGCGAGGGCTGGTACTCATCTGCTGGCAGCGTTGCCACGGCGGGTCTCGTGCATCGCGGTACCAGTGCCGATCCGTGTCGCTTGCCGACATGACGGACGGTGCAATCCGGACAGCTTCACTTGATACGTCGTCCTCGTGGCCTTTGAGTACGACGGGCTCCAGCTGCAAGGGCTTGAGCGAACATGTTTGCGCGTCGGTAGGATCCAGCCTTCGGAAGTCGGTTGGCGGACCAATTTCAGTCCTTTTCGGCGACCACAGCAGGCTGGTTGAGCTTTTCCTCCTGCTATGGAGAGTCATTCTGCCCATCAAAGACGTCTCGCCGAGGTCCAGAGGCTTGAGAGAAGGTGGGCGTTGTGAGATGGGACGCACGAGGTCCGCTTCGGAGACGGTGGAGCTGCCTTTCCACGATCTTGTAGAATTTAACGACATGGGCTGTAGCTGTGTCGGCTGTTCATCGTATACCAGCACAGGGCGGGAGATGGTGGCTATTGCAATCAGATATGATCAAAAGCTCGTTGAACGTTGTCGTCGCCAGCAGCATCTTACATTTCGTGCTCGTCATTTCTTGCTGCTGCCGGTAGGTCTCATCGTCTCCCATAGCCGCGCAGCAGCAGAGCAAGGCGGCCAGCCAGCCTTGCATGTGACCATCTTGGTGGATGAAGAGGCCCATTGACCTCGTAGTTACGGTATCATCCAGACCAATTCGGCGCACGCAACGGAGAGAATGAAGAAGAAGAAGGAGAAGAAGGAGAAGAAGGAGTAGAAGAGAGGGAACGAGGAGGAAAAGAGGTTTTTGCAAGAAACGAAGGAGTGGCAGGACAGCGGCAAAGAAGAGGAAGAGGAAGAGGGAGAGGGAGAGGGTGTGATGGGTGGAGGGACGGGAAGCAATAGATGTAGTTGTGTGAGGCCAATAGCAGCACGCGATGTAGCTCCGTAGACAGTCCCAAGCAATCAGTTGCAGACTAGTCCCTTGTTAGCAGTACCACCTGGCACCTGTACCTGAACCTGTACCTGAACCTGTACCTGAGCAGAGGACCAGCAAATACCAGCAAAATACCAGCAATTACCAGCAATTACCAGCAATACCAGCACTACTACCAGCAATTACCAGCAATACCAGCACTACTACCAGCACTACCACCACTACTACCACCACCACTACCACCCCAACCACCCAACCACCGCACGAGCTCGTGACACCCGATCAGCCGCTTTTTGGCTCCTCTCGTCCATGTGCTTCTCGCACCAGAACAGCCAGAACAGCCCACGGCAGCAACATCTGAAACCCGCGCGCGCTGTTCATGCTGGTGGGTGGCGAATAACAAGGGTCGCCGCAGCCAAGTGGCAGTATTGGAGGCTTAATTGGCAGCGCGCAAGCGAAGCGAGGGAATTGAATGAGTAGGTAGGTTGTAAGGTAGTGTGTGTCTGTGTGTGTGTGTCTGGTCTGCGATGGATGTTCATCACGTCCACCAACCTCGAACGAGAAACTGGGGGCGCGAAACTAGCGGCGGGAACGGGCCGGTGACAACCAGAGAGAGAAGTTAACGAATGAAGAGCTGTAGCGCCAACTTCTCTCTCTAGTTGCCCTGCTGCACGCCCATCGCATTAGCACCACCTCGTACCGCCTCGACCTCCCTTTCATCTCTCCCTCTCTTCCTCTCTCTCCCTCTCTCCACTGTCCTCTCTCCCTCCATATACGCCCCAGGGGTCAAAAGACAAACGCTGACACGCTCAAAGAAGAAGGAGATCGGCAAACGACGAAGCAAGGCAAAGGCGGTCAATGCGTGAACAAACAAAAAAAAAAGAGCCAAGCCGACACGCGCCGTCTCGCTGGGAGCGCTTACAACTTGCTTTTGTCACTTGACCCTCTCTACTATAGCGTGGTGAGTGATGCCCAATGCGAGAGAGAAAGAAAGAAAGAAAGAAAGAAAGAGAGATTACGGTCCTCACTCTGCTCGTGGAAGCGCTGAGCCATCTGTCTCAGTCTCACTCCCCTTCCCTATCCCTTTCCTCTAATCATCATCCTCTGATCCTCCTTTCATCAACTACCTCCGACAAAGAGACAGTACTCCGCATCATTCCATAGCCATTCTGGAAAAAAACCAAAACTAGACCTCTTACAAGGTACCAAAAAAGAACTGTTTTGTTTTTTTCTTCAAAATGTGAAACTTGTACTCCACGGCTCGCTACGGATCCACGCTACCGATGTTGTACTGCATGTGATGCAAGTACTACCTCCTACAGTACTACAGTACTACTCCAGTATAGGTACTATAAGGTCAGGTAGGTAGTAGTTAAAGTAGTTAAAGTAGTACAATTTGACATTACACAAACCTAGCTGTCAGGACACCCTTTTCTCATCGTTTCTCGGTACAAGACTACAATCTACCTTACCCTTACCTTACCTTACATAGTACAAAAGACGTACACATGCATACCTGACCTGACCTTACCTTACATACATACGGCAGAGAGACTTCAAAAGCCTATCTCAGGTACATGTATGGACCTTTGTGGGTAGGTATGTATGTACCTTACCTAGTTAACCTCTTCTCTATACTACCTTCCTGGGCTTGCACGACTGAGTTGTAAGCTCGGAAAAGGCTCTGAAGAGTCCTTCTTCGTGATGAAGTACCTACTTGTATAATGGAAAAGATGCATGCTCATTCTCATGATGCTCTTCTGCTGTCATGGTGGTTTGTTGTTGTCGCTAATTGTTGCTGCATGGCAAAACTCTCACTCTCGCTCTCGCTCACATCATATCTTCTATCTCTTCTCATTCAATTCATGATCAGATTTCATGAACAACAAAAAAAAACATGATGTTTTCATCGCCCACTGGTCAGACTATACGCTCGACTCCCTCTCCGCGTGCCAAACACTCCCGGACGTTCTCTCGTCACACTCCCGCCCGGACTCGATGGTCCCCCTTCCTTTGCATGCAAAATATGCTCGGGCATTTCAATGCCCAGTTTCGTCTCGCACACCCGCTGCCACACTCCCATGACCACTCGCTGTAATTCGCCTCCCATGTCACGTGCCATCAGTCCGACCGCCAACGGCGCAAATTCCTCCACATGCTTGTTGAATTCCGCATCCGGGAATGCCACCACGCCTTCCAACACATCAATCACCACCGGCCTCCACGTCACAATGTTGCGTTGTTGCGTTTCGTCGTCAAGTCCAATGTAGGACGCGATAATGTCCTTGCACAACGGGATCAATGCATGTTCCGTCTCCGGTCGACTCGCCGCTCGTTCCGATGACGTGTCCGCGTACATTCGCAACAATATCGAAACATACACCGACGCCGAACCGGATTCTTGCTTCAGCAAATTCGGCGGTTGCTTCATGAACCCCTCCCGGAAGAGGTTCGCTCGTAGTTTGCGATCCTCGTTGAATCGTTTGGCAAAGTGATACGACTTCTTGAGCAGAGCCATTAATCCGAGCAGGAGGTGAGACGGTATCGATGCGTACACCGCGTCGTTGTTAAAGAGCTCCGAGACCGTCTCGATCATCAGGAGCTGGAGCACGCACTTGGTGATGATTTGGTTAAAGTACCGTCGGCGGGCCGCTGTCACAACGACAGGTGCTTGCCGTGTCGGAGTCGTATTGCTGAAGTCTTCAAGGGAAACCTTTCGTCTGGCTGGTGACGGTGAGCGCTCACCATCGTGGTCCGAGGAGAGTGGAACAGGCGTGGCTGGGACGCGTTCGGTGCCATTGGCTCGTTCGTCATCGAAGCCGTTGACGCCAAACGCGTTGGTATTTGCAGTCATGACAGATGCTGCGTCGTCCATGGCGAGATCGCGAGGCGTGGGCTTGGGCACATCGTGTGCACCGTTGGATGTGTCTCGATCTCGATTGTAGGTCGATGAAGTCGCAGCCGAGAAGAGCTCTTTGGCTTCCGTCTTTGCGAAAAGATCAACAAATGCAGCCACAATCTTCTCCCAGTGCCCAGGACTGAACTTCTTCACGTTCTGCAAAATCAGCTGCTGCAAGCAGTTACTTCCAATGCGCGCTAGCGTGTCGTTCTCTTGACATATGCATAACGTGAGCAACTCCAAAAAGCGATCAAGCATATACTCGAGGCTCTCAAAGAAGTGTGTGAACAAGCTAATCATGTTTCGCAGTGCTTGAATCAGTGTAGTCGATAACCAGACTGACAACTCTTCCGAATTCGCAGCCTCCACATTCACGGACTTGCGATCTCTGAGCACCATGAATATCGGCATGAGTAGTTGTCGCCAAAGTACATCCCAGAAGTCTCGAGGAAACTCGCCACCATAGTTGGTAAGCGTATCGAAGAGATAGTTTAACGCTCGTGACCGTACTTCGAGATCTTCTCCAGTCATGAGCACATCGTGGAAAGCGAACAGTACTGGGAACCAGTACTGCTCTTCTTGCGTTCGTCGAACCGGTTGTTTGGGGATATTTGCTGCCTGTGGTGCATCCTTCAGTCCCGGAGCCTTCTGGCTGAGTGGGCACTCTGGTGTTCTCAGCATCTTTGGCACAGTCGAGCGGAGAGTCTCGATGGCCTGTAAGCTCTTCTTCTGAAACTTGCTATTCTTGCTGAACTCGGTCAAACACACAATCATGTCAGCAAAAGCCGATTGGGAGAGCACCACGCCGAAACGCTCGTTGTACACTTGTGTGACGTTGTCAAAGGCCAGGTTGACGATGCTCTCGTACGGCTCTCTGGCAGCCACAGTGAACACGCCAAACATGGTTCTCCATCCCGACCGGATCATGTCGCCTCTTGCTTGTATCATCTGTATCAGACACCGCAGGACCATATCTTTGACTTGTGATTGCTGTGCATTGCTGAGAATCAGCTCAAAAGGCTTGAGAAAGTCTTTTTGAAACTGGAAGCCGGGCAGCTCCTCAATCTCCATGAAGCGCATACTCAGCTGTCTCAAGCTGTTGAGCGCAAAGAAGACGACATGCGTATTGTTGTGACAACCTACATCAATAAAGTGTTGACCCAGAATTTTCCAGATACTAGTCCACTCAAACTTGACTCGAAGCATATTGTAGCCCGAGATTTCCACCAGTTTTTGTAGAGAATACGTTCGTGGCGTATCTGACTTCCCAGATGACTGAATCTCTTGCCAGCTGACTTGCGTGAGAGCCTTGACAAAGTCGACGATGGCTGTCCCGGAGAGGTTGGCGGTATTTGTGAAGATGCGATCCACTCCGCGGATCATATCAGCGCTCCTGGCATCTTCTGCAATGTCTGCCTGATACGCGCCATGGTTTCCATTGCGCCCGGATGGCCGTCTTTGGATCTGAGTGCTCCTCCTGCCCTGACCATTTGCCTGTGACCCATCGGATCCGCCATTTGCCCTGAGGACGTCAGGAACAGCACCTTCCTCCACGCCACTCGAGATGAGCTGGAACCGATCGAGCTGAGACACCGACGTCAACACGTCTCTCCAACTCTCCTTGAGATAATTGCCTTCTGTATATGCAATCTCGATGAGTGCCCGCAGTGCTTCCACGTTCTTTGCCTTCATCTCGGACAGATTATACAGGTTGGTGCTCCGCGATAAGCTGGAAACAAAGGCTTGCCGCGGGTCCTCCAGATCGAACAGGCACGCAATACGTATTGCAAGCTTTTGGCCCTCCATACACAAACGAATCGTGTCGACATTTTGGCTTTCTTGGGCAGCACCAGACAACGCAGTGAGGAAGCTCATCCACGTCACTTCGAACATAGGTCCAATATGTCGATATGAGCTCGCAACAAGATACCTGCCCTTCGCAGCAGCGGCTGCTCCACCTCCCGCACGTTTTTGTGCCTTGAGTAGGTGTTTGAACAGCAATTCTGTGCGATTACTCATCTCCTCACTTGCTTGCGCATATGCCTCTCTCTGGAGGTCGCGTCCAACATTGGCAAGGGTATTGACGAGCCCGCTGGGCTGTTGCGGAAGTATGCCCAAGTTCGCAGCGTTTGCGCGCTCTGTGTCCAATACAATCTCATTCTGGGCAATCTCGTCGAAGATGCCCTGCAGATACTCATCGGGCAGATCTGCAGAATCATTGATGCCGCGATTGTTTTTAATAAAGTCTTCCACCGTCATGCGCTTCTTCACTTGCGCAGAGTGCTGGTCAGTATTCAACATGATGACGCTGTAAGCAAGCACGTAAGCTGTGTCAGCATTGGCGAACGCGGCAGGGTTCCCAGTCAGATAGCGTTCGGCGAATTTGAGCATCAAACGATCAATCTTCTGCGCCTCACCTGGCAGCCGAAAAGATTGCAAGAATCGTCGCAAGGCATCCACGAACCTCGTCCTCGAGAAGTCCATGTTGTCCACGAAGGCGTGCATGATCTTGATGTTGTCTTCATCACCCTCGCCAAGAAACTCTCCAAGCGACTTTTTGTCGATTCGCTCGTTACCAGAGAAGAACGCGGCAATGTCTCTGGGGTCTGAAGAAGCAATGAAGCCTTCCTTTATCAGCGACTTGATGCCTTTCTTCGGCTTGAAGTTGAACGCACGGACAGCGTTATTCAACGCTGTCTTCTTCTGCTTGACCTTTTCCAGCTCCTCGGGGTCATCTTCTGGTAGTGGAGTGTCTGCCAAGCGAGGAGTGGCAGGGTGTACATCTGCTGACTCGCCAGCAAGCCGTGTGTCCATGCTTTCTCGCTGACCTTCCAGAGAGAGGCGTGAGTCCGTGTCTGCCAATGTGCTGCTGGACGCTTCGGCTCGAGCTTCCTGACTCCAGTTGACCATACTCCTGAGCGTGTCAAGCAAACACTCGAGACTTTGCATCTTCATCGCATACTCGGGAGGATACGCCTGGTCGGTATCGTGCGACGAGCTCATGCTGGCCGTTGTGAGGCTGGGCGGCATTGTTCCTCGTTCTCGCCAGTCGTTGGATGCACTGTTCTGCTTCGAGGCGGCGTCTGCATACGCCTGTTCCTGTAGACCGTTGATCGTCACCGGCTGACTGGCCATTTTACTCACATGCTCAATCATGCGCTGATACATATTGTCAAGAGCCTGCCGATCGCAGTCGTAATTCAAATAGATTTCGACCAACGTGCGCGGATCTGACCCGATCCGCCCAAAGATGTGCTGTACGATATAGCTCTTTTGCCAATGCGGAGCATTGCGTTTGTCCAGTATCGTAATGTAGATCTCTTTGAGGAAGACTTCCAATTCCCGCTTGAGTTGGGATCGTAAATGTTTCATCATCAACGAGAAAATCTCCGCCGAGACTTCAAAGACTTTATTAATACTGCTTGCGCCATTTCTGCTCAGACTCAGACACAGATATTGTTTCACCGCCTGAGTGAACGCGGTGGGATCGGTATTCGATGAGCTTCGGATGGTAGCATGCGGAGAAGTAAAAACCACAAAGTGATTGAAAAGCACAGTATGGATGATGTGCAAGCTCAACAGCTTCGATCGCATGCCCTGAGATTTGACGTCCACAGCATCTTCGACGCGCAGTGCCTTGGTTGACAGCTTGCACATAGCCCGAAATATCAGGAATGCGTCCTTGATATAGATCTCGTCCTCTTCTTCGTCCTCAGCTACAGCCTCTTGCTTGTCGTCCCGTACAGTGATTGACGGAATATCCGGACCGGGGCCAGTCCTCGACGGCCGATCGCGAGGCCTCTTGGCCTTGGTCACCATTGTAGGGGCACTGTCTGTAATTCGAGCATCATCAAAAGACTTTCGAGTCTCGAAGGTCTGGAGTGTCATCTTCGGCTGCGCCTTCTCTTCATCAGGCGTTTGCACATCCGCAACCGAAGGAGTCTCGTCGCCTGCAGTGGCCGATGACACATCCGAGTGAGCATACACACTAGGACTGCCTAAGCTGCCCAGGCCAGGGCCGTTAGGAGCTCGTGCTGCTTTGTTCGCAATCCGTAGCTTGACGCGCTCAAATACCGTGCCGACCATCTGCATCAGGGTCCCCTGCGCAATGTGTTGGTTCGCACTGTTCTTGCTCAACAAGAAGATGTTATACGTCTGCCGGACACTCTTAAGCAAGCCTGCACCATGCACCACAATCTTCTCATCCAGAATGGCCGACAACAAGCTTTTGATGATCTGCATCTGCACATTGACGGGCGTTGATTCCCCCTGAAAGCAGTCGCATATGGTGTCTATTGCCCGGTCGATGAGAGGTGGCCTCCTCCGATCCACAGGTACATCGTCCGAAGGGGCAGCAATGGAAAAGTACGAGTAGCTGATCAGCTTGCCAATGCAGTCCAGCGCAGACACCACGACAGCTTCAGTGGACGACTCCGAAGCCAGGCTCAAGGGCTCGAACATGACCTCGGGGTCGATCTGCGAAGCATCACCGTGCGCAGTCCTGATGGCCGACAGAGCTCGCTGGGCGGAGTCTCCCAGCTCTTTCCGCTTACGAGCATCTTTGGAAGCTGCAATGCTTTCCAGCGCGGACACCACAAATACCATGCTGGTCCGCGTGGACCGGACAGAGCTCTTCGTAGCAGTGGTCGCTGTCGTGGACTGCGAGTCGGTTCGTGGTCGAGTCGCGCCGGAGACGGAGCGTGATGTGGGTGTATCAGGAGCCGACGGAGTCGCAGGCGGCGGCGAGGCCACATGTTCGGACGCGGAGGGAACGTTGGGCTCGTGATGGGGTGTTGAAGAGCCCGGCTGCTGGAGTTCGGTATTGTCGACAGCTTGCGGCTCAGGCTCCTGTGGCTTATCCTTATCCTCAGCATCTGGCGACGTGGTCCCCCCATGCTCGACAGCATCGTCGTTTAGGTCGACTTGCTCGTATGCCGGCTCAGCGTCCTCGTCCTCCTTCTCCATGTTGTTCTGCGAAGGTGTCGTGTCCGCAATCCCATCATCCTCAACCTCATCCCCATCGCGTCGCGGCGGCTGCATCTCCGGGGCAGCCGTCAAGTCCTCTCCCGCCATCAGCAGGCTCAGTGAATGCGGATCTAGATGGAAGCAACTGTCCCTGCGGGCATGCTATACTCGCGGCATTGCTCCTTTGAAATCGAACGGACACGTGGAGATCGAATGGGCCAGTTGGTGGTAGCAGTGGTATATGTGTGGGTGTGTGTGGGTGTGTGGTATATAGGAGTCCGCAGACTAGAAGTAGCTTAGGCTCGTTCTCGATATATGGAAGTTCGCTTTGTCCAAACCTAAGGAAGGCTATTGCGAGGCTAGCGCAGTTCAGCCCTATGAAAGGTGTCGCCAATAGGCCGGATTGTCTGGTACATGTGTGTGAGAGAGAGGTACCTCCTGAGTGGCCGTGTAGAAGGAAAAAGTTACAGACGCGAGCTCATATCACGCGTCTCTACTTCACTTACCTACAGGCCAGACGCACGATGCATGGGTCAACGTGGCAGCTTTTCGGGGGCGGAGGAGAGTAGTGCGTGTGAATGTGGGCAGGATGAGGCAGACAGGCAGGATATTACTAGATGCATTGGAAGGGCCGAAAGTGCAACTCCGCGACACGCTCCGCAAAATAGATTCCAGCTCTCAACCACTTCCGTTGCTTGTCGTACCACCCACACTCTCACCCTCACCTTCACCCTCACCATCCAACTTCCCTTCCTCTCCGCTTCTCCCCCCTACATACACACACACACGCACACCACGCTCGCGCCCTTCGCACATCGCTCCCCGAGGAGTTTGGCGTTCTGCCGCTCACTTCCTCTTCTCGCCAGCTGCAGAGCAGAGCTACCACAGCTGCCGGAAGACAATGGCCGCCGCATCGCTGCTTGCCCGGACCTCGCGCTCAGTCGCAACACGAGGCGCCTGGACACAGCTGAAGACACAACATGCTGCGACGTATGCCATCCCGCTGCTCTTGATCCATCGCCGCCATCAGACACTGACGGCAATGCCTTCTCAGCAGCAGAATACCCGCGCTCTCGGCCTTGGCCAGATACTATGCCTCCAAATGTACGCCCAACAGATACTCCTCATGCCGCTGAATACAGCTCTGACCCCATTCGAACAGCCTACCCACCCCACACCGTCATATCCATGCCTGCCCTCTCCCCCACGATGACCGCCGGAAACATTGGCACATGGCAGAAGAAGCCCGGAGACACCCTCTCCCCCGGAGATGTGTTGGTGGAGATCGAGACAGACAAGGCACAGATGGATTTTGAGTTCCAAGAAGAGGGTGTGCTCGCAGCGATTCTCAAAGACTCGGGCGAGAAGGATATTGCAGTGGGAAATGTGAGTACAAAAAAAAGGCCGAGAGCGCGAGAAAAAAAAAAGGCCAGGCTAAGCTAATCGCGCGATGCAGCCAATTGCGGTCATGATTGAGGAGGGCGGAGATATCTCAGCATTTGAGGGATTCAGCATTGAAGATGCCGGTGGCGACAAGAGTGCGCCGGAGAGCAAGAAGGAGGGCGGACAGGAAACGGCAGAGGCATCGGAGGCCCCGGGCAACCCAGGCTCTGGCACCGCACCCCCTGCACCAAAGGAGGAAGCACCAAAGGCTGTCGAGTCCGAGTCCACTGGCGAAAGACTGCAGCCTTCCATCGAGCGATCCACCATCGGCCCGGCTCTTGCGAAGCTCGCGCTCGAGAAGGGAGTGTCTCTCAAGGGTATCAAGGGCACCGGACCAGGTGGTCGCATCACCAAGAAGGATGTCGAAAGCGCGAAGCCATCCAGCACGAGTGCCGCCCCAGCAGTCGCCGGTGTTGCTGCGGCCCCAAGCTACGAAGATGTCGAGGCGTCGTCCATGCGCAAGACGATCGCCAAGCGCCTGACCGATTCCATGAACCAGAACCCTCACTACTTTGTCGCTTCTACCGTCTCCGTTTCGAAGCTCCTGAAGCTCCGCGCCGCATTGAACACGTCCGGCGAGGGCAAGTACAAGCTCTCGGTAAACGACTTTCTCGTCAAGGCCCTCGCATATGCTGCCCGCAAGGTTCCCGCTGCCAACAGCTCATGGCGTGAGGAGAATGGCAAAGTCTTCATCCGCCAACACAACACGGTCGATGTCTCAGTCGCTGTCGCCACCCCTGTCGGACTCATGACTCCCATTGTCAAGAACGTCACTGGATCTGGTCTCGAGGCTGTCTCATCGCAAATCAAGGATCTTGGCAAGCGCGCCCGAGATGGGAAGCTGAAGCCCGAAGAGTACCAGGGCGGCACCATCACCATTTCCAACATGGGCATGAACAATGCGATTGACCGATTCACTGCTGTCATCAACCCCCCTCAAGCAACGATTCTGGCTGTCGGAGCAGTGAAGAAGGTTGCCGTGCCCAGTGAGGATGGTGAGGGCGTCGAGTGGGACGAGCAAATTGTACTGACGGGCTCGTTTGACCACAAGGTGGTGGACGGAGCCGTGGGAGGCGAATTCATGCGTGAGCTGAAGAAGGTCATTGAGAACCCCTTGGAGCTTCTTCTATAGAGCACGACGATGAGGCGTGGGATCAACACGATATTCGACAGGCGATGGTGAGTCAAGAGGACAAAGTCCCGGCTGTGTATCAAAGTAGCAGTCGAGGACGAATTGCATTTTCTTTTTTGCGCGGGACTTGCGTGTACAGTGAGCGAGTTGGGGGAGGAGGAGTACAGATGGATCTCTCATCAGCGGTGCGAGGGAAATATCAAGTTTTCGGCTAGCGTGATGCATGTTATTGCGTGTATCGGGTACCCGTTTTGTGAGGATGATGTATCAAAAGAGCACGAAATGTCTCTTCTCTCTCTCAGTCTATCTTTTTCTCTCTCCCTTTCTTTTGCATGATGTAAATGAACATATACCAAGTTGTACCTTTCGCTGACCCATGAATGTACGATTGTTGCTCCCGTCACTCCTTTCATGACACGTTACTTAGTACTATTCCTCTTTGCAGCATTCACCGCAAATTCTCGTAAATTCTTCGGAGCATCTCCTCTCGCCATGTGCATTTCCACAAACTTTTTTGAAGGAAGAAAAACCTTTCGTTAGCATCGTCTGTGTGGAAAGGCAAAAGGAAAGAAAAAAAAGGGGACAAAAAAAAACTAACCTGCAACCCCTTCCCCCTCCCAAATCCCTCCTCATCCCTCAACAACTCCTCCAACTCCCTCCTCCCTCTAACCTTCCAAGTCTTCACCCTCTTCTTCTTATTTTCCCCCTCCTCCTCCACAGTCAACACCTCCGGAATTTTACTATACTGCCACCTCTGAATATCATTATAATGCGCCTCAGGTCCATGCACCCACCTCTCAATCTCATACCCATCATTCTCAATGACAAACATAATAACATCCAATTCCAACCTCATAATCGTAGAAAGTTCTTGACAAGTCAGTTGAAAACTTCCATCGCCTTCGAAACATATGACTCTTTTATGTTGTTGAGGAGAGTCTGAATTTTGAAGGTTGTGTTCGCGAGCGTACAAGGCTGCACCTTGAGCGGCTCCGACGCCGTAGCCGATGCTGCTCCAGAGGATTTGATTGATGAGGGTGACGTTGCGAGGGAGGAGGGTTTCCCAAATTCCCATGAAGGAGGTTCCGGTTTCGGTGATCAGGATGTCGTTTGAGCGGAGGAAGGTGGAGAGGCGGGGCCAGAGGTATTCGTGGGTGATGAGGTCTTGTTCTTCTTCTGTTGGAGGGGTTGATGAGGAGGAGGAGGAGGCGATCAGATCATTTGACGTCGTGTCTTCTGCTGCTGTTGCAGCACCGATTTTCTTCGGAATTTCCAAAGCGCAACAAGACAATTTTTCCACCTCCAACGCCTGCTCCAATTTCGGAACAAAAGATTTAAAATATACTTTTTCGAATTTCGCATATCCCACCGCGACACAATCGTATTCGATATCGATCGTATTCAATTTACTGAATTGATACGTAAAACCCGCCGTGTTGAGATCCGATTGGATGGTGCCAATGGTAATCACCAAATCGCTACTTTCCAACGCAGCAGCGACTTCCGGATGTGATGCAGCTCCTGCGTAGAGGCCGACAAAGTTGGGGAGATCTTCGTCGACGGTCCCTTTGCCCATGGGCGCGACGAAGACGGGGAGAGGGGCTTTGCGGATGAGGGCGCTGACGGCGGGGAGGATCTGTAAGAAAAAAAAAATTGTCAGTCAAAAAAGACTCGCTCTCGTGTCGAGCGAAAAAGAAAAGGTGAAAAAAAACTCACCCTCCTCCTCTGCGCCGCCCCATCAACCAAAAACACCGGTCGTCTCGCCTTATAAATCTTCTCCAACACAATCTGCAACGCCAATTCCTCCGCTTCGGAATTACTCGCGCGCGGTCTCGTATCAATCGGGATTTCCAACAAACTCGCATCCACGGCCTGATCGACCATATCCGTCGGTAATTGAATATACACGGGTTGAGAATCTTTGTAACAAATGGCGAGCACACGATCGATTTCTGCAGGAGCAGTAATCGGATCGAGGAGATTGGTTTGCGCAATTGTGATTTCTTGATGGATTCGGGCGAAGACGCGGAAATCGCCGTTTCCGAGCTATAGATAGATATCATCAAGTCGTCAGTAGGTAGTAGAAAAAGAAGAAGAATCTCTTTTTCACAGTAACGAAAAAAAAGAAAAAAAAAAGAAAAACTCACAGTATGATGCAACAACATCCCCTCCCTCTGACTCTTCCTCCCAGGCGTGCCAACAATATGCACAACAGGAACCCGTTCCGCATACGATCCAGCAACAGCATTCACAGCCGAAAGTTCACCGACTCCAAATGTCGTACACAGAGCTCCGAGGCCATTGAGTCGGGCATATGCATCGGCTGCATAGCCCGCGTTTAATTCATTGCAATTCCCGACCCATTGCACGCCGCTGCTGTGCACGAAATCTAACATGCGCAAGGAGAAATCTCCGGGGAGGCCGTGGCAGGAGAGGCAGCCGAGTTGGCGGAGGCGGGTGAAGAGGTATTCGGCGATGTTGACGGTGCGAGGGGGGGTGGTTAGGGAGTGAGGCATTTTTTTGGGTGAGGAGTGATGGTGATGATGGGAGGAGGAGGAGGAAATGGAGGAAATGGAGGGATGTGGTGGTGGTGGGGAGAGGAATGTTCCCAAGAGGGAGCTATGGGTGGTTGAAAACAAGTCTGTGAGAGAAGAAGAATACCAACCTATACGAGTGAGAGTGGGACCGCCTTAATAGTGACTCAGTGCGGCATAGCAAAGGTCTATGGCCTGTCCATCCCATGGCATGGCGTGGGTACGTGAAGTCAGAGCCTGCTCGGCTCAAGACAGGAGGATTCCACGTGACCTGTCCTACCATGGACCGATACTAACCGAGGGCAATGAATCAGGCATCTCTTCGTGGTTTGAGGTAGATGACACACACACACACTCAGATCTATACAACCGTTATCTCATTACACTTTTTGGACGTTTCGACTGTAGCAGTGAATATCTATTCGTGGCCAATGGGCAAGCCAGACTTGACAAACGCCATGGGGGCTATTGCGCCGAGCAGACCCGATGCCTGTCCCGTGATATGAGGGTCGGGCCCGATGAAGTTGTTGGGGAAGCCGACTTCGAAGTCGAGCACGCTCTCCAGCTCGTCGATTTGCTCCTGCGAGAGCTTAATCTCCAAGGACTTGATGTTTTGGTGAAGGTGCTCGACTTTGCGACCACCCTATATCAAGAAACGAATTGGGTCAGCAATTGCACAGGGAGGGCAGCAGTGATTTCCCAGCAGTGACTTACCACAATGGGGAAGACATTCGGTGCCTTGGCCATCACATATGCCAGGGCCACGGCGGTTGGGGACTCTAAGCCATGGGCATTGGCCACCTTCTCCAGTGCTGCGGACATTTTGGCCTCTTTTTCATTCTGTCCTTGGCCCATGATGCTGCGCAAGCCTTCATTGTTCTTCTTGCGCTCCTCCAGCTGCTTCTTGGTCTGGAACTTTCCTCCGCCCTAGAGATATGTCAGTGAACGGCGGCCCGGAAGTATATTTCATGCATGCATGCATGAATGCATGTAGGCATGTATGCATGTAGGCATGTATGCATGCGAGGAGAAACTCACAATGGCATCCCACGGAGCGAGAGCCATGCCGTAGTGGCGAGCCATGGGAAGAATATCCCGCTCAAAGTCGCGGAGCATGACGTTCCATCTGCCCTGGTAGATGGAGAACTGGGTCTTGCCGTGTGACTTGGCGTACTCGTTCGCGGCAGACACGATCCAGGCAGGAGTGTCTGAAATTCCGAGGTAGAGAACCTTGCCCGACTTGACCATGGCATCAAGCGAGTCCATGATCTCTGCATCATTCGTGTTAGCGAAAACCTATGGCTATGGGACCATCTCGGGACCATCTCTCGAGGGGGTGGGGAGAGGGCTGCCTGTCTTACCCTCAATGCTGGTGGTCCAATCCCACCAGTGCAGATACAGAATGTCAATGTAGTCCGTCTGGAGTTTGGCCAAGCTGTCCCGCAAACTGACATGAAGCGAGCGCTTGTGGTTGCCGGCATGGTTGACCGTCTTGCCCTTGCCGTCCTTCTCCATCTTGTAGCAGGTGGTGAACTTGGTGGCAATGACCATGAAGTCACGGTTCTTCTTCTTCTGCATCCACTCTCCAATCCACTCTTCCGACTGCTCATTCTGGTAATTGTTGGCAGTGTCGATGAAGTTGCCACCGGCAGCCTCAAAGGCGTCGAGCAGCTTGAAGCTGTCTTCCTTGCTCATGCTGCCCATGAAATCGTTCCAGGCATCTCCAATGCTCATGGCGCCCAGCTGGAGGGGCGACACTCGCACACCGGCAGTGGACGACAAGACTCGGTAGCGGCCCAGAGGGGTGGCTGGTGCCGGTGCAGGCTGGAACATGGCGGCCATGATGGCGAGGTGTAGGTCGGTGGTATAGGAGGGGAGAGTAGGTTGTGGTGGTGGTGGTGGTGTTGGTAGAAGGTGTTTTGGTGAGAAGGGAAAAGTTCCTGGACCGCCTTTTCTCCTCTTTATACCTCCTCTCCGGTAGTGATGCCATTGGAGAGGGCCCCTCCCTCCTCCATGTCTGCGAGTGAGGGTAAACGCCGCAAAGTCCGTGGGGTGATGTGCCGATCATATCGAATCATTGTCGATGTTCTGTCTTGCTTACACAGGCGCAAGGGATGGATGCAGCTGTACTTGGCGGTAGTCTTTACAACATGAGTACCTAAAGGGACATTGTTCGTGGTATAATGAGAAACAACTCCTTGATGGATGAAAAAGCAGCGATATTCCCTTATTTCCATGCTCTCAATCTTGTACAACTCCATTTGGTGTTTTCTTTCATAAATTCATAAGGTACCTAAGGTAAGTTGATATGTGTGGGGTGATTAATAATGAGAGCGTCTTCTCCACTGCAGCCAAGAACTTCCCCTAGTCATGTCTCTCCTACCGCAAAGTCGAACCATAAGCTACCTCCGTACATTATCTGTGATATACGGACCCCGATTATACACTTGACAGCTACCATGTAACCGGTCCGGCTCTAACCTCCTTGAACAGTCTATATATTCACTTGTGACTTGACTAGGAAATCAAAACAGACTACATGTCGGTAATAACAACCCCCTTAAGAACCTCGTAGGTACGGAGGTAAGGTATCTCTCAAACAAAGCAACAAACCACCTCTCCCTCTCCCTCTCCCTCCCCTCTCCCTCTCCCTCTCCTCTCCCTCCACCTCCCCCTTCCCTCATCGCAATCAATCCCCATCATCAAAAATCAAAATCAAAAATCAATCCTCAAAATCATCATCATCAAAACGCATGCACCACCGCCGAAACCTTCTTCTCACCTCCCCCTTCATCGCCATCCTTTTCCCTCTCCGAAGATCGACCCGACATACTCACCGCCTCTCCATCCAACACGCACGAGAATCTTCCTTGCGTGGGAACATCCTGCCGATACGCCGACGGGAGAATTAATGTGTCTTCGTCGTGCTTGCGCTCTCCGAGCCCGAGGCCGGGAGGAGGCGCGATTTTGTTGAAGAGGTAGTAGAAGAACATGGAGAGGGTGAATCCTGTGTTTTTTGTGTTGTTGTTAGGTAGCGGTTTTTTTGGGGGGGGGGGGCGGGGGTTCCTTTTTTCCTCTCTATTTCTCACTCACCTGTAATAAACCCTAATCTGCTGAGTTTCATCCATGCATTCGGTGGTTGGTTGAGATCTGAGCAGCCAACTACGAGGAAGAAAAAGAGAAAGAAAAAAGAATTGTCAGTATGTTGATTGAGGAGATGATGAATTCATCCAGAGAGAGAGAGAGAGAGAGAGAGAGAGACTCACTGATATATCCTGGCATAGCAGGCGTAATAGCCAAAGAAAACGCCAAAAACGCTCTCCAATTGAAACCATGCCAGTACCAGTATACGGATTGCTCATTACCACGATACAAGTCATCCACTAGATTTCACAATTAATCGTCAGTACACATACCATACCACACGAACAAGATCTTAGGGAGAGGGGGGGGGAACGACCCACTTTTGACAAATCTTTTTCTCACAATCCAAAAATCGGCAATGAGGATTCCAGAGCATGGACCGTAGAAGATGCCAAATCTGCATTTTAATCACAACATCAGTGAGTGAGTGAGTGAGTGACTTGCAATCGGTAGTATGCTTGTCGGCGAGAACCAAAAAAGAAAGAAAAAAAGAAAAAAGAAAGATCAACACACCCATTGAGAACGGCAATAAAAGTCTGAGCCGTAGCAGTGAGTTGCCAGGGATTGACAGCGATGCCCACTGCAGCGATCAAGTATGCACTAGAAGAAAAGAATCTCGTGTCAGTTTTGTAATTTCGACTTGCTTTTCTTTTTTTCCCCCGATCAATCGGGCTCCAATCAAATAGACTAAGTGAAGCACTCTTCTTCTTCCTTTTCTTCTACTACTCACCCTCTCCTAATATTCAAATATTTCGGTGACCAAGCAGTAAGATCCATAGCGGAAGAAACACTATTCAGAACAATATTGACGCAAACTTGAGCGTACGCGCAAGTTGCAGAGGCGAAAAATCTGACCAAAACGAGGTTAGCTAGCGCTCATCATCATCATCATCATCGTAAAGAAGCCGTGGAAAATATGATGGGACTTACACTGCAGCTCGAGAGCGTGGGGAGTTGTTACTGGGGAGGGGAAAAAGTGTTAGCAATTCGTTCCCCTGACGGGTACAAAGAAAAGGGATGTCTCCTGTGTCGACAAGTAAACGTACTGATACTTTTGAATCGCTCGGAGGAGTAAATATGGCTGCCATAATGCCGAACCCAGCGTTTGACTCGCAGCAGAAGTGACGACGATTCCCAGAGCATCTAGATTTCACCATCAGCATCAGCATCAGCATACCAGCTTCCCCAACTCCACCCAAAAACAACACATCTCTCCCCCCCCCAAAAAAAAGAAAAAAAAGGGGGAGGGTCCAATTCCACATACAAGCCGCATAAATCATCAACGGACAAGCAACAATCTGCGCAATCATCGGAATCCGATTCCCATTCTTCGCAAATCGACACCAATCCGCCTGCGACAACGTCACCACTCCGACGTTTCCCAACACGGAAGTCGCTCCATAAATTACCGCCCAGGGCAGCGAGTTTGCTAAAAGTGCGTCCGGTTGGTAGTCGCGAGCGAAGTAGGGCCCGCCCGTGTTGTTGGAGTGGTGGACGGACCAGATCAAAAGTCCGAAAACGGTCAGGGTGAAGCCGACGCAGGATACCATGAAGGGTCGATGCATTTTTTCGGGGGGGAGCCACATGACTATTAGGTCTGTTTACAGAAGAAAAAAATATAAAAATCAGTCTTCCTCAGTGGCAAAAAAAAAAAATAAAAAAAATAAAAACAAAAAAGGGGGGGTTTAAAGAAAGAAAAAAGAAAAAGAAAACTTACAAACAACATAATAAATCACAAATCCCACAAAATCTTTCAACTCCATCGTTCCCTGAGCCAAGGGATGTGTCCAATTTGCCCAGCGGAGAGACATGGTTCCAATCATGGTCGAAACGGCTTGTCCTCCCCACCAGGCTTCAATTCCATCCCAGACGAGACCGGGCATGAGACGGATAAACACGGCGAAGTAAGTGCCTCGCATTCCCCAGCTCATTCGTGAGGCGACGGTGTAGGTGACGTGATGGCTTCCTCCGATCCACTTTGAGGAGGAAAAAAGATATTTTGTTAGTTGATATTTTGGAGGGGGGTATGGTGTTGGTGTTGGTGTGGTTGTTGGGGATCTTTTTTTTTGGCTTTTTCTTTTTCACAACTTACACCACAAAATACACACAAAGCTGCGAGAGCAATGGGAGAGAAAATTCCTGCGGCGAGAGCTTGTTTTCCACTTAATCCAAAGGCGATGAGAGCCGATCCTGTCGAGTAGTTGTAGATTGCGAAACCCTAGATTTTGTTTTTGTTTTTTTTAGTATCCTTCCTTACCCATTCACTCACTCCCGACTACTCTTTTTCTTTTTCTTTTCTTTTTTATCTCTTCCTCTCATCTGAAGAATGCTTCATTCTTCTTCTTTCAATACTTACACCAGTCGACCAATACGTCTACAACAAAAGACAACACGATAATAAGTCAGCACATCACATACACATCTTTCACGCCAAAAAAGAAGAAATACAAAGGATGCGAAAACTCACCACATAATCCCATCCTCCCCACGTCCGTCGAGTTTTATCCAACGGTACCAAATCTAAAATCGAGTCAGACCACCAACCACCACCATCACCACTATCACTATTATTATCATTATTATTACTCACCAGGACAAGTATACTGATCAATCGCATACGTTCCCGTTTTAGGATGTGCGACAGCTAATTTCTCTTTCCATGACGATGAGGAGGAGGTACGGTTTCGAGTCTCTCCTCCTCCTCCAAAGTCGAGAGAGGAGGACATGTTCGTTTTCGTCGGTCGGTTTCGTCGGTCGGGTGGGTGGGTGGTTATATTTCTTTCTTGTTGATTCGCTTCATGAGATAGAAGGAATTTGTGAAAAGGTGGAAGGTAGAGGGTAGAGGGAGAGCGGAGAGTGGAGAGTAAGGCTGAGTGAGGTAGAGTTTGTAGTTTGTAGTTTGTAGGAGTAAGAGTAAGAGTACCTTAGGTAGGTAATAATGGCTGAAGATACGTCGACAAGATACAAAAAGCCTTATCGGCGGGTCAAGAAATGTCTTCAGGGGAGAAGCATGAAGAAGAAAAGCATGTGAGGCAGGTCATGTAGCGTATGATGAGTAACCGTCAGCCTGGTCAGGTAGCTGGTAGTGTGTAGGTGTGTTTTTAGAAAAAAGGGCACGGCGGAAGAGAACAACAAGTTACAACCTGATGAAAGGAAAACGGAAAAAAACCCACAATTACCTACCTAGGTATCTACCTATGCACATTGTCACCAACTTTGCCGGGATCTTTCTCATCTTCTCTTCTGGAGATAAGTAGTTCCCATGGTCTACCCAGCAGGAATAAAAGGAGGAGAGCACATGGCTGTCGCGTGCAAAAAGCGAACAGTCGTTCTCTATCTCTCTAGAGTACAACAAACGCAGTTATACCCTGCATGTACCGTTCCCATCACAAGCTCGAACAAGCATCTTCCACTCCGACGGCATGCTTCTAACTTCTCAGCAGGCATCCATCCTTCACTCCACCAGTAGCACGGGCAGTAGTCTATGCTCCCTATCTCTCCCTCTCTCGCTCCCGCAATCCGGGTCTGCTGGCCGCGGCCGACATGCAACATCTGGCCGTTGGCAAGGTCTGCAGAGGAGAGCTTCAAATCAGCAGGCTTCGATAAGAGAATCTCAACTGTCGCGAGAGCTGACGCCGATAATGCTCTGGGGGGAACGAGGTTCGTCACGCTGTGATTGGCCGGCTGATGTCTTCTGCCAACAGTGCTGATCGGGTTGGTCAGGACATGGATCAGGGGTGGATAACCATACCCCATGCCCATGGTCCCCATCGCATCGGACAGCACTTTGATGCAAGTGCCGAACTCGCGAATCAGAAGTAGCATGTGTTGCCAAGCATGGCCTGTGGAGAATGAGTCTCCCTATCAGTCCCATTATACAGTACAGCCTGCATGATGAATCGAGAGCCGAGAGGTATTCAGGTAGGATGCATCTCTGACTGTAGGCTGAACGTATGGCGCCGCTCATGACCAAGCCGAGATCGCTGCCACGTCGCTATCTTCCTCAGATGTACCAGGCTGTGCTTTCTGTGCTCTGTGACAAGTTTCCCATGCATTCTCGACACTCCTTCTCGCAAAATGGCCCTTCTGCTCAAACCCTTCCACCTTTTCGCTTTGGTCCTCAGCAGCCTGGAGGACATCCCAGCAACGATCATCCCCAACATATGCGAGCTGTACCGCGAGGAGCTCCAGTGTGCCGTATCGAGGCATCCAGCCCAGTGGCTGCATATCTGCAAAATGACGAAAAGACCAATCCACAAGCTCCACTGCTCTGCTATGCTCGGCCTGCATCTGTTCGGGATCCGTCATCTCTCGACATCTGCCCAGCGCGTATTTGGCAGCTTCAACGAAACAGAGGATGAGTCGGTCGTAGGTCATTGCTGTCGGTGTCACACGTAGTGCGAGAAGTTCCGATACGAGGAAGGAGGCTTGCCGCTCATCGGGCGGGTGGGTGACCCGACAGCCTTTGAGCAGAAGATTGAAAGTCTCAATGTTGGCAAAAGATTTTTGCGCTCCGTAGCCAAGAGGTGCAAACGTGTGTATCAGCTTGTACACTTTCAAGGCCTCCGGCAGGTTCTTTTGCTCAACGTAACATTCGATGAGGAGATTGAGAATGGTGATGGATATCTTCCGATCCTGGGCATGCAATTCTTGGAGAGTGATTAACGCCTGTTTGATCAAAGCGGGTTTGTCTTTGAGATAGAGGAAAATCTCCCTGGTTTGGGCTATCGTCGGCTCCATCTTCTCGAGTGGCATGATGGTGAGGATACTGATTGCACGTCCGAGGTCAGGTGGGTTGGCGGAGAGGTAGGCCGTGATCAACAGTTCAAAGTGAATGGGCTTGAATGCAGTCCCTCTTTTGCTCAGATGGGTGAAGACTTCGGTGGCCATTGCAGCATCGCCGGCCTGAGCTGCTGTCGCAAGTATGTTCAAGCATGTTCCAGATGATGGATTGAGGTAGCCTTGGTTGACCTGGCTCATCCACACCAAGGACGTAGCATGATAATGTCGAGCTTCGCTGCCCTTATCGAGCAAATATGACCATACTGCTTGTCGTAACGCCACCTCTCCGGCATCGTATCGCGTTCGCATGATTCGAAACGCCTCCTCGATCTCGCCAGCATCGCACAGCATGAACACCGCCATATCATGTAACCATGGCTCAATCTGCATTTGCGCCCGTCTCATCTTGTCCAACCTCTCGAGTGCCTGCTCGAAGAGACCCTCTCGCAGCATTCCAGCAACCATATCGTGCCAGCCTTCTTCCGTAATCTGTAACCATCTTTTGTGCATATAGTCGAGGATTTCCGTCCGGAGCAGGTGATCGAGATGGACGCTCAGCACCTTCAGCACGGCGTGACATGTCCCGACATCTGGCGACATGCCGTCCTTCCGCATCTCATCCAGCAGATCATGGACCCTCCAGGCCGCACCAAACTCATTGTGAATATTGCTTAAGATCAGAGCGTTGTACAGCTGTAGATTTGGCCGCTCTCTTCGTGCCGTCACGAGATATTCAGCAATCTCCTGACACCAGTGTGTCTTTCCTCGCGCAGCATACGAACGAAGTCGCCCGTACAGAAAGCGCGTTTCTTCCGGCTCCATGTCGAAATCGACTCGCACATTCCGTAGCTTCTCAGCCTCTTTTTGAGCGCCATCGGTTGCATAATGCCGGCGGTGTCGTCGTTCCACGTTTCCTGCGAGCGGAATTGGTCTCTGCTGCGCGCCATGTGATGAGCTCGCGGTCCATGGTCGCAAGCATCGGGGCGCTGATGCTTGACGGCTGTTGCTGAGCACGCGAGACGTTCGTGGTAAGGCTGGCAACGTCCATGACGGGCATAGACATTGCCAAAGGGGGTCAATGGCAAGTTTCGCGGTGTTCATAGCATGAAGGTATTTGCGCTTCTGTCCGAACTGTAGAGATTCACTTCACGGAGAAGAAGTGGGCCCGGGTCCGACGGGCCGCACCTTCCCGGGACTGGGTCTGCATCTGCCATAAATATAATATGTCCCAGGGCATAGCACGAACTCGATGGCATGAACTCGTTTGGAATGGTAGACAGGCTGCAGTAGCAGCAATGCACACTATCAGCTATCCATAAGTCCTTTTCTCTCTATGTACTATGTACGACAGGGGTATATCTAGGCTCGGTGAAGAGACTTCGTTTCATGCTCACTTCGTCTCCGCTATGGTGTCAGGGTGCGACGTCGACGCTGAAGTGCCTGACCTCCCATGTTTTGATCTGATGCTCAGTTTCCGACCAATTCTAGTGACCAAACTGGGCTTCCGCTCCGCCGGTGTTGACGAAGCTGCAATATCAGACGTGACATCCGAACCACGAATACCTTGTTCAGAGAAGCGAGACGCATTCGCAGGAGGGGAAGTCGGTGAGGCTAAGCTGCCGCTTTCTGTACCTGGCACACGTCCAGAAGTGGGAGACTTTGACGCATCTGTGCTGTCTTTTGGCAGTGCCGCTGGTGTGGATGTTGTAGATGTTGGCGCCGCAGTAGGGCTGGAAGAGCGGACAGCTGGTGTAGATGGTGCTACTGGCGCGACTCGCGTTTGCTCAGCGTCTTCAGCAACTTTCTGCAAGGACTCTCGACCGGCATGATGAGGTTCGGTTGTCACTGCCGAATGACCACTAGGAGCAAGGCTTGCACGCCTTTCTCGATCCTGCCCGGCTCTTTCACCCAGAATGATACCACCAGCCGTTGGTATCTTGCCAGGGGTGTGCGATGAAAAGCGTCGACTGTCAATAGTCGACGGACCAGTCTGGCTTGTGGTGATAGACTCGTTCCTCGTGAGACTCGATCGTGTGCTAATGCTATCGGCATCACCGTACATCTTACCTTTGCCCTTCTCGCGCTTGGGCGATGCTGCACCAGGAGGCACATTGGGGCCAAGGTGATTTGGCAGCAACGTACCGCTGTCTCCTCGTGGCTCGACCACGATCGAGTCTGCCCCATTGGTTGCTGCTGACGACTGCGTAGCCACAGGCCCCTTGCCATCAGCAGGCTGGACGCGCGCCGTGTTCCCCTGTGCCTCAGATGATGGTGCTGAGATCTGGGGAGCTTGGAATTTGGGGTCCAAGTCAGCATCCTCGGAGGTACTAGAAACATTCTCTCGTTTCATGAACGGATTACTGAATAGCGACGAGATGAATGCTGGTCCTGTCTGCACTGGCTTGTCCCCGTCCTGGTCAAGCGGTTGAGGATTATACGTTGTATCGGGGCCTGCTGCTGTTGGGTTGCTGCAGCAAGTCAGAATATCTCCCATGCCTCATGTGAAGTCTATTGGATCACATGCTGGGGGCATCTGTATTACCTTACTCTTGCCGATTGACTTACCTGAGATTCTGAGGGTCCTTGGGAGTAGGATATGGCTCGATCGTGGCGGTTTTCTTTGAATCCATACCAACAGGCAGGCCAGCAGAGACAGGCTCAACAGCCTTGTTTTGCGTAGTGCCGAGGGGCTGGCCTATGGTGTAGCCACCCAAAGTGCCAGAATGTGGCTCATGTTCGGTCGTCTTCGGTACTATTGGATCGGTAGTGTGCGTCTGCTTTGGTGCAGCTATAGCAGATTATCAGTGGGTACTTTCAAATATACGAGGCGTAGGCAGAGGCAGGCTTACAGATAAATGCCAAGCTCTTGTCGGAGTGGGCAGGATCTTCACGCCGTTCGAGGGCGCCCTCATCGACCGCTTTTGATATTGCCGAACGGCTTTGTGGCCCGTTGCCACGTGAGACAGCTGAGGTTGGTGTACTTGTTCCGCCCACGAACTGCAAGCCTTGATTCGAGGTTGCCGGGTCATGTTTGCTCATGCCAATGTCATGGTTCAATGGTCGTGTACCTGCACTGGTCTGGGTGCTGGCACCATGAGACTGCTCGACATCGCCATGGCTAGTCGTTCTGGAGTCTGGTAATGCTGTTGTTTGTTGCTCATGGGTCGATGAGCCTGGTACTGAATTTTTTTGTTGCTCATGGGTGGATGGGTCTGTAGTCGCTGCTCCACCAAGTCCAACGGCAGACGCAAGACTCCCCAGAATGCCTCCAGCCGGTGCTGCTTCCTTCTCATCGGTAGCGAGCGATTTGAGAGGTGCGGCAACATCTTTGGAGTTGGCAATAGCTGCCAAGTACACACCAAATTAGGGCCGCGGCGTACAAGACCGGCAGACTTGGGATTCTGACTCACTTGTATGGTCACTCGTTGTGCCAGTGGTGAGATGCGAATCTTCCAAATTCCCAGAATCATAAGGCTGATCTGCTGTGCCCGCTCCCGACACACCGTTCAATGGCTCATGTCCGGCGGTCTCATTGTTGGCAGAAGCTGTGGTGGCATCGCCGAGCCCGATTGCTGTCTTTAAACTTTCCATGCTACTGTCCGGAAATCTCGCAAAGGCAAGAAGTGAATGCAATCCTGGGCTTGTGAAGTGTCCCGTACGTAGTGTGAGTTGGTGATGTTTCCGTTGGCGGCCGTGGTGAGATGGAGTCTTGGCACGATCGATTCACGTTCCATGCACTGGCAGTGGTAGTACCTACGAGGAAGATGAGTGTCGGTGGAGGAACCTGGATGCAAGATATACTGGATGGACTCCAAGCTGTAATCACAGTACAGGTATGCAAAGCAGCAGCACACGGACACGGGAGGTGATGTAGGTATGACAATGACGCAGCTTCGAGGCCGACTACCTACCTTACATACCTAGTTAGCTTCGATCTCGGTACGGCGCAAGCAGATGGTTATAGCGGTCCAATCAGGGCGTCGTCTGGGCTTCAATGGCGTTTGATCCATGGGCGTCAAACAGGTTGGCAGATGCCATTCCTCCCTCTCAAAAAGGAACCGGGCCGTGTGGCATTCGCCACAATCAATATCGTGATTCGTGATATGATAGTACATGTGTGCACGGTGGTAGGAGGTAGCACCCTAACGCTTTGCGGCACTTCGCTGCCACACCGTTAATTCCCCTTGGCTGGCAGCCTTCTCGATACCTTAGTCATACAGTAGCAGTCGAACAATACATACTTCTGACTGATGCTGATTGTATAGGTAGCCAGGGATATCATCGCATCATGCATCATCCCTCCCAAAACGCCTCCGAAACACTGTGGCACCGCTAAAAAACTCCTTCGCTTGGGACACATTCAACCAGCTGCCAAAAGGCTTATTATAGCGTATGCGGGCTGGGTCACGGAGCCATAGCCAGGTAGTATCCCATTTTCACGCCTGTCCTGTTTGCCAGCCATCGAACCCCACGTTTCCAAACTCTCTCTTCGACTCCACCTGCATGAACCTTATGTGAGAACCCGATGAAGCTTGTCGTACTCCTTCTTGGTCATGAATGAGATGGGGATGACATCGGACTTCTTGTTCTCTTTCAAGCTCTTCCGACACACCGGGCAGCTACCAGTGCCCCGATCACTGTTCTTAGCAGCAGCTCGTAGAGCCTGGATCAGACATTCGTGACAAAAGAAATGCCCACATGCAGTAGCAGTACAATTCGTGAAGTTCTCCAAGCAGATGATGCACGATCGCTGTCCAATCTTCTGCGGCATAGCATCCTCGAGCGCTTGTTGTTGTGCCTCAGTGGCTTTTTGCTGCTGAGCCTGCACTAGCTCTTCTTCAGCGGAGGGAGCCTCGTTTGCCAAACCGATCTCCTCGATTCTTGCCGATGGCTTGTGACGTTTGCTATCCGTGGAGCTGCTTGCGGCAATGGCATCTGTCGCCGATCGTTTACGTTTTGGCTGCCGTGAAGTGGACTGTCGCGGCGAGCCTTCGGTCAGGTCGACCACGCTCGTGCGGTGGCTTCGTCGAGTGGGCGGCATATCGGGGACCTCGATCTCTTCTTCGTCTTCAGAGTCGGTATCTTCGAGCGAGATGAACTCGTGCGTTCTATAGGAGGTCGGCGTGGAGACTCTGATGGGATGCACTGTTTCGTCGTCTACGTCGAGGTTGAACGTAGGCTCGGATGGTCGTTGACGTTCGAGGTCCGGAGGTGACACTGGCAGGTCTCTTTCTGGGTGCTCGTGCGTGAGCTCCTCGTTGTCGAAGGTGAAGAGGCGTGGTTGTGCTGCTTCATCGTCTGCACGAGGAGGCCTTTGTTCTACGTCAGCGCTCCTTCTGGCTCACTTTCATATTCCTATCTGCCCGGTGCAGTAACTGAGGTGTTTTCCCGTCTTCTGCCCCGTACTGACCTCTCGTACTGAGGCTGCAGTAGTCCCTGCCAAATATTTTGCGCATCGTGATGCAGGCCATCCCCATATTCGGGCTCATTGGTGTTTTCCGGATCGTCAAGCAAGTCGAAGTTCCACGTCTCCATATCCACGGCTGTCACTCCCCAGTCACGTTGTCCAGCATAATTCAAGGGCAGGATAGAGAGATACTGGACATGTATGAAGTCACAGATACCTGACGCAACCAAGGGCAGGACGGTGAAACATGGAGGATCGGCCGGCGCCACTCGCACTGCTGTTCTCTGCTCTGCTCTGCTCTGCCACTAGGAGGTACTTGGTAGCTACCTATAGTTCTCTAGGAGGTAGGGCTTGGGAAGTCCGGCCGAAGCGAACACCTTAGGAGGTAAGGTAGGAGTTAGGAAGGGAACCGAAGGGTCATGACGATCTCCAAATTTCTGCAGCTCCAGTCCCTACCTCCTACCCTAAGGTACAGGTACCTTCTATCATCTCCAACTCACTGCTCATCACTGCAACCAACATGTCCCGATAACGCACTATTCCCATTGCTCACGCTATGCGATCACGATGCCAGCGCCATCTGGTCAACGCGCTGGAACGGACGCAGCAGACCTCTCTCCTCCGCCGCATTCCCCTGACGCGACCGTGCGCACATCGAAGTTATGCTGCCGCGTCTGCGACATCATCACACCCGCGATCATTGGCCGTCCCATCCAGCGCCAGATACAATGAGATTGGCGTGCAGCAAGTCAGCGCCCATGTCCATCCTCAGCTATTCCCGCAGACGACTGCTGCAAAGCCAGACGATGCGTTGGTGGCGCTGTCCAAAGATCACCTTGCCCGACATGACCTGCTGGGCAAGACGAGCGACAACTCTGAGCCCATTGGCTTCGACCTGCCCGATCTCCAGGGAGCCTCGCTGGACGAGCACTTCTACAAACTGGGAATGGACAGCGCCGAACCATATCTCAGCTTGGCCACCAAGTATGCAAGAGCATCGCCTCCGCCGAGACCGCGAAGATGGGAGCAGCGAGCAGGCTGGACCAAGTACCATGAAGACGGCACCTCCGAGGCTGTGGAATACCCAGATGAGGAAGTCCTCACCTTCGACACCGAGGTGATGTGGCATGAGACAAGCTTCCCGGCTATGGCTTGCGCGGTCTCCGAAAGGCATTGGTATGCCTGGTTATCGCCTTGGCTGCTCGGAGAAAGCACGAATGATCGTCATCTGATACCACTGGGACCGCGAAAGAAGGCGAGAATTGTGGTTGGGCATAACATAGGTTATGATCGGGCACGCATCGCCGAAGAGTACCATCTGGAGCAATCACAGACGTTCTTCATAGACACCATGAGCTTACACGTGGCTACGAATGGAATGTGCAGTCGGCAGAGACCTACTTGGAACAAGCATAAGAAGGCTCGAGATCTGCAGGACAAGATTGCTGCCTCTGATGATAGCGCAGATTTAGCGGCGCTGCTCGAGTCTGGCAAGGCCACATTCGACAGCGAGGAGGAGCTCTGGGTTGGCCGTGCATCAGTCAACAGTTTGCGGGACGTGGCCAAATTTCACTGCAACATCACCATCGACAAAGCTCGCAGGGAATGGTTTGGAGAGCTCGACCGTGAAGGCATTGTAGAACGTCTTGACGAGCTTCTAGATTATTGTGCGGCCGACGTTGACATAACGCATAAAGTGTACAAGAAGGTACTGCCTCTCTTCTTGGAGACATCGCCACACCCGGTCTCGTTTGCAGCGTTGCGGCATCTATCTACGGAGATTCTTCCTGTCAATAGGAGTTGGCAGTCGTACATTGCTAATGCGGAAGCCACATATCATCGTCTTTCCTCCGGCGTCCAGGAGCGGCTAATCGATTTGACTGAACGCGCAGTAGAACATCGTGGAGAACCGAAAGTTATTCGGCATGATCCTTGGTTGTCGCAGCTGGATTGGGGCGGTCAGGAAGTGCGAATGGTGAAGGGCAAGAAGAAGGGTGATCCTCCCCGACCAGCAGCGCGCCAAAAGAAGCCGGGAATGCCCAATTGGTACAAGGATTTATTCAGTACAAACGATGCTGATATTGCGCTCACTGTACGTACCAGAATCGCGCCTTTGCTCCTTCGCATGGCTTGGGATGGTCATCCTTTGATATGGTCCGACAAGTACGGATTCACGTTCAAAGTCCCGCACTCCGAGGCTCAGAAGTATCGTGAACAAGGAATGACGACGTGCGATATGATGGAGGAGGCGAATCTGATGCTTCATGATGACTTAGATCACACTTACTTCAAGCTGCCACACAAAGACGGGCCCGACGCCCGTTGTACATCACCTCTCGCCAAAGGGTACCTGCAATATTTTGAGAATGGTACACTCTCATCTGAGTATGCATACGCGAAGGAAGCGTTGGAAATGAACGCGTCCTGCTCATACTGGATCAGTGCTCGTGATCGGATCATGTCGCAAATGGTCGTGTACGACAGCGAGCGCGCTGACGCTCCAGCGCAAGACACGGACCTTGGCTACATCCTGCCCCAGGTCATTCCTATGGGTACCATTACCCGGAGAGCAGTGGAGAATACCTGGCTCACAGCAGCCAATGCCAAGAAGAATCGTGTTGGATCCGAGCTGAAGAGTATTGTGACCGCACCTCCTGGTTATGCTTTCGTTGGGGCAGATGTCGACAGCCAAGAGCTATGGATCGCGTCACTTGTCGGCGATTCGAGTTTTAAGATCCACGGAGGCAATGCGATTGGCTTCATGACACTGGAGGGCACGAAAGCAGCAGGAACTGATCTACACTCTCGCACGGCAAAAATCTTGGGCATTTCACGGAATGATGCCAAAGTTTTCAATTACGGCCGCATCTATGGGGCAGGCTTGAAGTTCGCTCAAAGTTTGCTGCGTCAATTCAATCCTTCCGTGACTGAGGAACAAGCGAAAATGACTGCCACGAACCTGTATCACGAGACAAAGGGCTCAAAGTCTGGCAGCAAGGCGATCCGTGAACGCAAGTTCTGGCGTGGCGGCACCGAGAGCTTGGTCTTCAACAAGCTCGAAGACTTTGCAGAACAGGAACGACCGCGAACACCTGTCTTAGGAGCTGGCATTACCGAGGCGCTGATGCGACGATTCATCAGCAAAGGCGGTTTCATGACCAGCCGTATCAACTGGGCCATTCAGTCATCAGGGGTCGATTACCTCCATCTACTTATCGTCAGCATGGAGTACTTGTGCAAGCGGTACAACATTGACGCACGATTGGCGTTGACTGTGCATGACGAGATTCGCTACCTTTCGAAAGCCGAAGACAAGTATCGAACTGCGATGGCTCTCCAGGTCGCCAATGTCTGGACGCGGGCCATGTTCAGCCAGCAAATGGGCATCGATGATTTACCACAATCCTGTGCCTACTTCAGCGCCGTGGACATCGACCACGTACTCCGTAAGGAGGTGGATATGGATTGCATCACGCCGTCTCATCCCAATAAGATCGCTCCGGGTGAGTCACTCGACATCGTGCAGTTGCTTGCCAAGGGAACTCAGGCTTTCCTCGATCCAGACGTGGTACCCACCAGAACACCTCAGCCAGGACAATTCCAGTACACCCCACGTCGCCCTGTCATGGAGGGTCTGCAACCTCCGAATGCCCAAGCTTATCTGCAAGCTCAAATCGCATCTTCCCCCGCCGAGCTTAATAAAATCATCCGCGATTTGAGTAAACCAGCCGTGGTGACCTCCAAGTCTCGTCGAAAGGACAATGTTGACGGCAACTTCACCCTCACCGGTACTACTCCTCTACCGGCCAAGGGCAAAGCGGCGCCGAAGCCTCGAGTGCGAAAACCACGTCTACCCGCAACCAAAGCTCACTCCTCATCATTAATTGCTACGGCGAGGAACTACTCCAGCCTACTGCCACCGGAGTCGCGCTGGCACATGTCTTCCAGTGACTGGGCAAATATTGGCACCCCCATGGATCTATCTTCATCCTCATCTTCTTCTTCATCTTCGCCAGGTTCGCGATCGAGTCTCAATGGCTCGGCAGTCATGCCACTGCGTCACTCCGGTGTTTCATCATATGTTCGATCGGCGTGTTAAAAGTGATGGATGATTGTTGTTGCTGTTATTGTACAGTATACACATTTAATGTTGGGCTGTGCGAATGTGATGATATAACACTAGCGGGGAAGAAAAGGAAAGTGTACGGAAACAAAGGAAAACAAACAGTATGGGGAACATTGTGTAGTTGTTTGTTGTCGTGTACAGTAAGATACCTCAGATAGGTATCCGATTCGAATTGTTGTACAGTATAAAACGACCCCACAAATAGGCACCTTTCTACACGACGGACTGGCTTGTCATTTGTGACCTTACCTAGGTATTACTATTGTCAGCTCAGCTTCCATTTGCCTGGCAAAACACGCATCCTACCTACCTACCTCCTAAGATAGGAGGTAGGCACATGTAACTTCTACCTTACCTTCTAAGCGCCAAGGAAAAAAAAAGAAAAAGAAACGCTCCGAGGTCTCGGGCTTCAAATCGACTAATACCTACCTAGGTAGGTAGCCTTCAGGTTATTATGTGCCTTGGCTCCGATCTCCCACAATAATGGTGATGAGTTTGGTTGGAACTCCAACTGTGACTTCTCGGGCTGAAGCTAGTTGGCTGCTACCACCACCTACAGACTACAGTAATAAGAGCGCGTTCGCTTGTGCACCTTATAGCTTCTGGCCAGAAGCTATAAGGTCATCTAAGGCTATAAGACGGTCGCGTTCGCTTGTTCACCTTATAGCTTCTGGCCAGAAGCCGGGTTTTTAGCTATAATGTGGATACTCCGTTGATCTTATATAAAAGGGGTAAGGTACGCGTTCTCAACGTGAAAAAGTACGCTAAAATGCGCTAAATCGCCTTCTCGCCAGATCAACCTCATTTTCTCGCTTCTGAGTATAAGGACCCGCTTTTAAATAAGGCCCCTACGGGCCGCTACGGCAATCCTTACCTAGTCCTAATATAGTAAGACCGATACCCTATATAGTAAAGTTTTTACCTTGCATATAAGGCAAGTTGGTTATAACTTCTTATAAAAACAGAAAGCGAACACCCCCGGCTTATAGCTTTAGCTATAACGACCCACATTTAAGAGCGAGAGTTTGAGTAGCGTCAGCTTCTGGCCAGAAGCTATAAGGAACAAGCGAACGCGCTCTAAGTATTTCCCCATGCGCGGCAGTTTAAAACGGTGCGGAGGAAATCGGGAGAGCTGTATTTGGAAGCTGTAATGGCCCGAGCTCGGTCATCGAAAGCTCAGGACCTGGGGACATGCCGAGAGTTCACTCCGGCTGTGGTCAGCACATGCAATAATTGGCGCGTCTAAGTTCGGGAAACGTGGGTGAAGATGGAGAAGTCTGTTCATTTCATTCATTCATTTTGTGCAGTCAACTAACAATTGTTGGTGATGATCCACATCTACAATTGGTTGGCAGTGTTGAAGTCCTCGAGAGCGACAGCGATACGCTTCGACATGGTCTGCTCACCGGCACGGACCCACACTCTGGGGTCGTAGTACTTCTTGTTTGGCTTGTCGTCGCCATCTGGGTTGCCCACTTGCGAGCTGACGTAGTCCTTCTTCGAGATCATGTAGTCGCGGATGCCCTCAGTGTATGCGTACTGCAGATCGGTGTCGAGGTTGACCTTGACCACACCGTAGCTGATGGCATCCAGGTAGTCTTGCTTGCTCGAGCCAGAGCCGCCGTGGAAGACCAAGAAGACTGGCTTCTCCTCCTTGGTGTTCTCCTTCTCTTGCACGTATTTTTGGTGCTTCTGGAGCAGCTCTGGCCTCAGCTTGACGTTGCCTGGCTTGTAGACACCGTGGACGTTGCCGAAACCAGCAGCGATCGAGAAGTATGGCGAGATTGGTGCGAGAGTCTTGTAGATCTCGTAGATGTCCTCTGGCTGTGTGTAGAGGGAGTTGTTGTCCACATCCTCATTGTTGACACCGTCCTCCTCGCCACCAGTGATACCAATCTCCATCTCGAGGAATTGCTTCATGGGTGCGGCACGCTTGAGGTAGGCAGCAGTGGTCTCGAGGTTCTCCTTGACAGATTCCTCGGACAGATCGATCATGTGCGAGGAGAAGAGGGGCACACCGTTGGCCTGGAAGAACTTCTCGTCCTCGTCGAGCATGCCGTCCAGCCATGGGAGCAGCTTCTTGGCGCAGTGATCAGTGTGGAGGACGACTGGAATGCCGTAGGAAGGAGCGACGGCGCGGATGTAGTGTGCAGCGGCAATGGCACCAGCAATGGACGCTTCCTGGTTCTTGTTGCCCACGCCCTTGCCGGCAAAGTAGGCAGCTCCGCCCTGGGACATCTGGAGGATGATGGGAGACTTTGCATCGCGGGCTGCCTCGAGGGAGGCCACGACGGTGGAGGAGGAAGTGACGTTGATGGCGGGAATGGCAAACTTCTTCTCCTGTGCGTACTTGAAGAGGTTCTTCACGTCATCTAGCGAGAGGCTGTCAGTGCTGGGCTGGGCGATGCTGTGGTGTGGTGTGGTGTGGTGGGTGGTCTGCGGGTGTGTGTTCATGATAGCGACTTACCTCCGTAGATGACGCCAGTCTTCTGCTTGAGCACGCTCTGGGCCATGATGGGCTGCTGTTTCTGGTGCTGAGGTTCGGGGTCTGGTGCGGAGGCTGTTTAGTGGACAAGGGACGGGCAGGTGGGTGGATGGATGGATGGATGGGGACGGGAGGGGATGGAAGTGAAAAGTTTCCGTGTGAAGGAGTTCGGCAGGGCTATATGTAACAAGTTAGGGAGCTCTCACAGCCAGCGCTGCGCTGGGCTCTCACCGAAGATTCTGACATCAACGGATGAAGAGGGGCAGGCAGAGAGGGCTTTCCTGGTGGGGTCAACATGTCCGCACTACACGTACTAAACTTACTACCTGAGGCCACTAGCCTACTAGGAGGTGCACCCTCTGCTAGAAGCACCTTAGTCCGACACGCGCGAGAAATCTTCGTTGCTTCTTCTGCTGCCCTGCTCGTCCCTGCGTCGCCCGCTGTCCGTCCCGGTCATCTCCGACTGCCCTTTCAATGGGGGCGCGGGCGGAGGGTGTTTGTTGGCTGCGCTGAGAACCAGCCTATCCCGAGTCCTTTTCAATTCCTCAGGTACATTAGGTACAGGGACCTATCGAATTTCCTGTCTGCGTGCAAGTGAAGCAGATGGAAGAGACGCTGTGCAAATCGACCGAGTGCGTCACGTGAGATCCACGTTGTGGTCCATTGTAGGCACTATGCCGGAGCTGCCTCGGACAGTCTGCCTATGATCCAAAATGATTCTTGAATGGGACCTTGTGCGAGAGCGACGCATCGTTGGTGAAGCGTGGACCTGGAGGTGACTTTGCTCACGTGACCGCTGTCGGGGAATTCTCGGCAGCTTTCATTCGAGATTTTGGCTTGCGACCGCGACCGCGACAGACAGGACAGCCAACAGTCGCGTTGGGCTCATACTGCACTTCCCTTCACGATAATAGCAACAACATCAACAACATGCTTTGTGCAAGTGAGTGGAATTGCTGCATGTCTCCAATTCGCTCTTCTCTCTAACGCACTCGCGCAGTCTCTGGCGAAGCGCCTCAAGAGCCAGTTGCCAGTCGCAAAAGTGGTCAGTCAACTGCATTGCGTGACCATTGAGTCGAACAGAGGACTTACTGTAGGTATAGGCAATGTCTTCGAAAAACGCTTGATCCAAGCTTACATCTCCGAGCACGGCACCGATCCAGTCAATGGAGAAGATCTCACAGTGGAGGACCTGGTGGATCTCAAGCAGCCGCGCACCGTGAAGCCTCGACCGCCGACTCTTACCTCGATCCCAGCTCTATTATCGACCTTTCAGAATGAGTGGGATGCCATCATTCTCGAGGCATATCAGCTGAAGCAACAGCTTGCCGAGACGAGGCAGGAACTGAGTACGGCACTCTACTACAATGACGCTGCGCAACGAGTAATTGCGCGACTGCAGAAGGAGCGAGATGAAGCACGAGACGCGCTATCGAGAGTCTCCGTCAGTGGCACTTCAAATGGGACGAATGGGACGAGTGGCGACGCCATGCAGGTTGACAACCAGCCTCTTTCCGGCAATGCTGTGATGAAGGTCACGGAAACACAGGAGCGTCTTTCAGGTACGCGCAAGCAACGTGTTGTACCACAGGACTGGGCGACGGGAGAACAGTTGGAGAGCTTCGATGTCACAACTTCAGTCGATACTCAGTTCACAGGAGCGAAGCACCTGTCTACAGACGCGACTGGAGATTTCTTCTTGACTGGTGACTCGGACGGAACCATGGGCATCTTCGACCTCGCGGCGGGAGCATTCACGACGAGGAGCAACCTAGGTGCAGGGGCCATTCTCAGCGGTGCGTGGGCCAACGATAAGCAAGCTGTATCTACGGCCAACGGCACGGTTGTGGTAGCGCAGGAAGGTGCCATACAAGGAAAGTTCCAGCAGCACGCAGGCGCTGCCACAGCCCTTGCGACTCATCCCAGCGGGGAGTTGTTGGCTTCCGCTGGGTACGACAAGAGCTATATTGTCTACGACCTCAGCACAATGCATGTGCTGACACAGGTGTTTGGGGACATCGGTAAGCCACCTTTCTTATGGTATCGCTCGCGCTTTCAGGCCTAACATACTTCCAGAGCTCACGAGCATCGCCTTCCACCCAGACGGCCACCTGCTCGCAGTGGGAGGTGCTGATGGTTCGCTCAGGCTCTATGATGTGAAGAGCTCACAATTAGCACACACTTTCCCATCACCAGCTGGAGCGAGCCCCGTAGTCGCCATCGCATTTTCGGAGAACGGTACCTGGCTCGCATCTGCCAACGCCGGGCAGACCGCGCTTACGGTCTGGGACCTCCGAAAGCTCAAAGCGCTCCGCACAATCGATGTGGGAACTGCCGTTACTGGCCTCTCTTGGGACTTTACAGGTCAATTCCTGGCAGCCAGTGGACCAGGAGGCGTTACCGTGTCGCACTATACAAAGAGCAGCAAGACATGGAGTACGCCTTTGAGCAAAGCTCTGAATGCGGTAGACGTGAAATGGGGATCCAAGGCATCGAGTCTGGTAGCGCTTACAGACAGTGCTATCGTCGTTCTCCGAGCATAGGTAGACGCCTTTGGGAAAAGCTGCTCAGCAGTCAGCGATCCATCTCATAGCATCGCGCCAATGAAGATGTTCTCGTTGTATATTCGAGAAATAGGCGTTGATCATAGCGTTTGTAGCATAGTAGTATTCTCGGAGTCAAAAAAGCCCGTCGGCACTTGCCTGTAGAACAAATGATGATGGCACGTACCTCCCTTGCCACTTCCCTGGACGTGCAACTCTCCTTGTGACCAAGGCAAATCATTAGATACCTACTTGACATACTCCTTACAAAGGGCACCTCGCGAACGTAAATTGTGTCAGCGGCTCGTCTGTGGGCAGAAGCTGGTTGTCTCGCCATCTGCACAGTCCCCACCGTATGATACGGGTGGAAACGCTTTGTCGTACTTGAGCCCTCACAGCAACATCATTGCCCGCCGCCACATTCACTTCCCGGAACCACACGCTCGTCGCTCGTCGCTCGCCTGCAGCACCACGCAACCAAATACACTCTTCACGAGCTGCCGCGCAGCAATAAGTCATCGTTTTGCACAGACTGCGGTTGTCCCTTAGTGGCCCTCAGAAGTGGAGGAGGGAGTGGTGACGACAACATGGACGGTGCAGGTGGACCTGGAGGTTCAGGAGGGCTCCCGTCATTTCGAAGAGAGAGCGTAAAGGTATGTCATGTTCCTGCACTGTCGCTACCTCGTTCTCCCGAGCGACAACATGGTTCGGACCTCACTCTGACCATGTTTGAACAGCGAAGCTTCAGTACAATGGCAGAAAGTCACCGTGATCGAGATGGTTCACCCGCCACGCTCTTTGTTCCGCACGACGACCACTACAACAACGAACACCCAGCACAGCGAGCTCGATTGGCCTCCAGCCGTATAGCCTTGCCTCAGCGATATCCCGGTGACGGCTTTGACTACCGAAGACCCACCATGTCGGGCAGTGGCAGTGGCAGTAGCAGCGGCAGTGGAAGCAATGGCAATGGGCAGGATCGAAACCCAGGCGTAGGAGTTATTGACCTCACTGAAGAAGATGATGACCTACCGCGGACGAGAGGAACTCGAGGTGAAGAAGCAGGAAGAGATTCACGTGCTCAGCGCGGCCCCCGGTTCGGAAGAAACATAATCGACCTTGACGGTGAGGACGACGCTGAAGATCTCACGCAGCCTATTTCGCATGCTGCACCTTCTTCTGCGCCCCGGCCGAACTATTTGAGCCTCTTTCCAGCTCGAGCCCCCACGACAACTCATCCACATCCACGATACTCTGGACTTCGAAGACCAGAACGGTCATCGCCACCACGAAGGACAGATATGGAGGATTTGACGGAACTACGAACACGCCTGCATGCTAGGCCCAGTGAGAGTAGTCGTGGCCATAGGAGTGTCACGCCATATCCGAATGGTCGCCCCGAGCCTATCGATCTCACAGGCGATGAGGACGAATTGGTCATTGTGGACGCTCGCACACGAGCAGGCATAAATGACGAGCGGCCCAGTACCACAGCAGGCATGGGTACGAGGTCAGTCAACGACCTGTTCGCCCACCTGGGTCGTCCTGGCCGTCTGTTTGATCGGGTTATGGCTTTCTCAGGAATCCCGAGGACGAATGCGAACAATGTGCCTGCACGAGCGCAGGTCACGTTCGTCAACCCCGATGCTCAACAACGTGGTGCACTCCAGGTCAATTTAGATTTCGGCGCGACTGCGTTCGATTTGGGGTTAGGGGGTAATCCACCTCCCCCACCGAAGTATGAGCCCCCTCCCTCGGCGGCGAAAGGATTCACGCGTTCTCCCGGAGAGCAGGATGTCGTCGTCTGTCCCAACTGTGGAAACGAGCTTGCAGTTAATAGTGACGAGAAGAAGGCGGAGGTCTGGATCATCAAGAAGTGTGGACATGTAAGTTGTTTCGGTGCCACATGGCGATGCTATATATTGACTTCAAGACAGGCATACTGTGGGGATTGTGCTCAACATCGGACCAAGACAACCAAAGGCAAAGGCAAAGCCCCAGTTCACAGCACACCAATGCCTTTCAAGGAATGCGTAATTCACGGCTGTAGAGAGAAGGCTGGGGCTAAAGCTATGATGCACATTTTCATCGGCAGTTAGAATCGTTGATTTAGTGTCGTTTCCATTCCTGAGGCCCTTGCGAAATTTCACTGAATCCGCTCCGATCGCTAGGTTCAGCTTTGTTTCAGCATTAGCGAGCGTTGTATCAACAGGACTTCAAAATCATGGACTGACGTGGAGTCGATTCTTGCTTGCGTACTCTGGTCGCGATATTTCTTAATTCTCCGCAGTCCCATAACAAAGTCATCCGCTTGATCTTGAACCTCGCACTAGGAGGTAGAGTGACGGAGAGAGCCGTTCAGGGTCTCGGCAACTTGGCTCAATGTTCCAATGCCTCGTTCCTCTTCCTCACAGCTCCCTCACTAAACCTGTAATCATCCGTCAACCCACACCAACATGGATCGACCAGAAGACTCACAACAGACTGCTCCGGCAGCGTCGAAGGCGGAGCGAAAGCCATCGCCGTCGAACCCGAAGACCACATACCTCATCCTCTACAACTTTGTCTCAGCACTTCTCTGGAGCGTAGTGCTCGGCCGAGTCGTCGTGATCGGCTCCATCGTAGGGTGGCAGCAAGTCTTCTTGGGCACCTCAGAGTTTACCAAATGGACACAAACACTTGCAGGATTGGAAGTTCTACACGCAGCAACCGGTAATTTTGACACACCAAGTCCACCACCATGAAATCACACGATTTCCGTCCGCCCTAGTCGTTACTGCTGTATACAAGTCTCAGGCTAAGTAGGACCTTTCTTCTCCCATCATAGGCATCGTCCGCGCACCTCTCTTCACTACTCTCATGCAAGTAGCCTCACGCTTCCTCCTCGTTTGGGGCATCGCTTTCAACTTCCCCATCCATACCTCTCGATCGCCGGCATACAGTACCATGCTTCTTGCCTGGAGTATTACAGAGATTATCCGCTATTCGTACTTCGCTGTCAATCTCACGCGGGGAAAAGTGCCGGGTTTCATGACTTGGTTGAGATATAATACTTTCTTTGTGCTGTATCCTTTGGGGATCAGCTCGGAGTGTTGGTTGATCTATCGGGCAATTGGACCTGCATCATCTTTGAATAAGGCTTGGGAGTGGGTCCTCAAGTTGATATTGTTCGTGTATGTGCCGGGTGCGTATGTGCTTTATACGCATATGATGGCGCAGAGGAGGAAAGTGTTGAGAGGACCGAGGGAGAAGAAAGGCCAGTGAGATGGATACTGTGGTGATCTAGCTACGTGTTTGCATGTCGAGCTGGTGGAGGTAGGGACATACAGAACAAAGGCAAGCGAGGAGTCGAAGCGGTTGGGTATATGTGTTACAGCAGTGACACTGTGAACAGGCGCTAGGGCATGTTGCCGACGGCGACACTAGGAGGTAGCAAAAGTATCCATTGCGGATTAGAGTAGACTTGACCTTGTGATGTATTATTATATCATTATTATTATTCCATCAAAGAATGCACTCCCGGACAAATGGATTGTGAGTTTCTGGTGAATTCTTGGCTCTGGAACCACACATCATCATCATCCTCCTGCCAATGCTCCCGAACTCTCCTTCTTCGCATCATGCATCCACCTCGACCTACACACTCTCTAAGCGACTTATATGGGACGCGAATGGAGACCCAGTCTCGATGGCATAGCTGAATCGACCAGAGAAGACCGCACCTTCTCTTACGCTGCTCCTACACTCCACAATAGCATGCAAACCCGTCGAAGAAAAGACTCTGGACTCCTCGGCCGCTTCCAACCCAGCACGACGAGCTCTGCACGAAGGCGTCGAGAGACGTACTCTTCGACCCCCAAACGCTATGCCAAATACCTTGCCATCTTGCTCTTAGCGTGGACTGTACTGGACGTCTTCCTCGCCAAAAATGCCATCAGTCGTGAGGCTGCGAGGAGCTCCCCAGCACTCGGACATGAGAAGATTTTCATCACTTCGATACATTGGACATCGGAGGTCATCCTCCGCGATCACTGGATCCCGCAGGTCGTCGAGTTGACGAGAGCCATTGGTCGCGAGAATGTCTATGTGAGCATATACGAGAGTGGGAGTCTGGATGACAGTAAGGGCGCCTTGAGGGAGTTGGATGCGCAGCTGGAGGCAGAGGGCATTAGTAGAAGGATCATACTGGATAATACTACACACTTGGACGAAATGGAGAAGAGGCCGGCTGTGGGAGAGAAGAGGAAGGGCTGGATTCAAACTCCAGAGACGGGACCTACCACTGGCATTCCGGGATTCGACTACACGCCTTCGGGAAAGATGGAGCTGAGACGGATACCATATCTTGCAAAGTTGAGGAATATAGCTCTGGAGCCGCTGTTCGAGCTGCAGCAGAAAGGGCTGAAGTTCGACAAGGTCCTCTTCCTAAACGACGTTGTCTTTAACAATCACGATGTGCAGACACTTCTACATACCAATGAAGGGGAATATGCGGCGGCATGTTCATTGGACTTTTCCAAGCCTGCAACTTTATACGACACGTTTGCGTTGAGAGATATCACTGGGAAGGAACCAATGATGCTGACGTGGCCATACTTTGGCAATAGACAGAACCGGAAAGCTGTCGAGAGGAGTATTCCTGTACGAGTCAAGAGCTGCTGGAATGGAATCGTGGCGATGCATGCGGAAGCATTCTATGGAGGTTATCGTTCATTGGGTTTCCGTGGTCTGGATGACAGTCTGGCGGAGTCCCATCTCGAGGCTTCGGAGTGTTGTCTCATACATGCTGACAATCCCTTTTCGACCTGGAAAGGGGTTTGGATGAATCCGAATGTTCGTGTGGGATATAAGCTCGAAGCGTACGAGGCCGTACACAAGTCTGCTTGGATCTCCATCTTCCGTGCAGTCTACGGTATTTGGGCGAATCGGCTCCTGCGATGGACCTCTTTGATACGGCATCGAGCGACTACGATACATCAGCGCATCGCTAGTTGGCGGGCAGAGTCTTCGACACGTTTTGAAAGTGGAGACTTTTGTGTCATAGATGAGATGCAGGTCATCTATGAGTTTGGCTGGGCTCACGTCTGAGTATCTACTAAAAAAATATTCGGTTAGATGGAATAAGAGCGCATCATATCTGGAGAACAGCACGTCCGATATAGTTGAGTGTGTCTGTTGTGACTTGACACATCTAGAATCCCATATCGAATCATGAAATAGCCATCACTCGGCTACCGAGCGACCCTCTCAACATTACGCGCATCAGATATGCGGTTTGGGCGCAACCTTCAGAGCGATTATTCTCGTTCATGCGCCTCGACTTCCCCCTTGGAAATCTTTCCAGTCATCTCATCATCATCATCATCATCATCATCACCATTAATTACCCTCCGTGGCTCACACATACTCCTCCAAACTCCTCCTTCCTGCTACTACTGTTGTTAGAAAAAAACAAATCCCCTCTTCCAGCCATCGCTCCCTCACATTCTTCCACGCCCACAGATTCATCCGTCCACGCCTTGTCAGAAAGTCCCACCAAAATTTCAGCAGCCAAAACTACTTCTTGTTCTTCTTCTTCTCTGTCTAAAACGATTCCCATCTCATTCTTCTCATCATCTTTCCCCTTCTCATCATTTTTCTCTTTTTTCCCACCCTTTCGATGAAAATATCCTCGAGGATAAAAACTCCTTCTCTTCTTCCTTCTTCTATAAAGGTCCTTTTTCTCACTGACTAAAAACTCCTCATCCTTATTCGGATTTTTCGGATTTTTCGTTTTCGGTTTCGTTTTCTTTTTGTTCTTCCGGGTAAGAAGATGAGAAGAAGATTGTTGTTGTTGTTGTTGTTGTTGTTGTTGTTGTTGTTGTTGTTGTTGTTTCTCATCATCAAATCCCCTCTTTACTTCTCCGCGAGAAATTTTGGGACGGGGAATGGGAATGGGAATGGGAATGGGAATGGGTGGTTTGTGGGTATGGACGTGGGCGAGGGCGAAGGAAGGAATTTGATTTTTAGATGGATTTTTTTGTTCTTGTTCTTCATTTCCTGTTGTGGGGATGGCTGCTGCTTCTGCTTCTGCTTCTGCTGCTGTGCTGCTGGTACCGTTGTGCTGCTTAGTAGAACGGTGGAGGAGACGAATTTGGGCGAGGAGGGGAGGGGTGGCAAAGGAAGAAGAAGAGGAGGAGCAGTTATTGTTGGTGTGAGAAATCGAGGTGGAACTGGATTTGGAGAAATTGGTGTTTGGGCGTTCAGGGAGCTTGGAAATTTTTTTGTTTGTGGTGTTTTTATCATCATCGTGTTGGAGGCGGCGCTTCCTGTGAAAGAATATGTGTGAGTTGGAAATTTTCTTTTTTTTTTCGTTTTTTCTTTTCGGCAGGAGTGATTGTCGGCAGGAGTGGGTGATGGGTGATGGGTGAGGAGGAGGAGGAGGAGGAGGAATATGACACGCGTGTAGGAAGATGGTGGTGGTTGGAATCAAGATCTATTCTCCTCACTCTCGACCTTTAAGGTCCAAAAGCATGCGAAGTAATTATCGTTTAAGAAGAAGAAGAAGAAGAAGAAGAAGAAGAAGAAGAAGAAGAACAACAAGACCAAGCTCAAGATGTGGGTGTGAGTAGGATGAACTCCTCTTTTCACTTACATATCTTTCAATATTTCCTCGCAAAAAGAAAAGAAGAAAAGAAGAAATCATCCACCATCACCATCGTCATCCAGCTAGAGAAGGGAAAGCCATACACTACATGTAGGTACTACATTTTTATATATATAGAGGAGGAAAAGAAAAGAAAAGAAAAGAAAAGAGATATTGCTTGCTTGCTCACTGCCTTTTCTCAGTGAATATTGTCTTCTTTCCCGGGGAAGGAGAAGGAGAAGGAAAAGGAAAAGGAAAAGGAAAAGGAAAAGGAAAAGGAAAAGGAAAGTGAAGTGAAGTGAATTTCAAGAGCTTTCTTTACTCGTAGAGGGAAGTACATTCGTGAAAGACCAGAAAAGAAGAAGATTATTCCTCTCATTGCGACGATAATTTTGTCTTCTTCCCCTCCCTCTTCCTCTTCCTTCTTCTTCTTATTTTCACCCCACCAACCCAAAATCCCTCCTCATCGTCCTCCCCTCGGCAGCGATCGATATAAACCACAATTTCAATTCGTTCTGAATATACATTCCATTCGGAACAAAAGCAAAATTCGCACTTCCTCGACCTGCGACGCCGAATTTTCCGATTAAGATGCCCGAGGGATTCCATCTGGAAGGAAGAAAGAAACAGTCAATCATTATCAGTGACTTATTTGCGTGTAAAAAAAAGAAGAAAAAAAAAGAAAAAAAAAAAAAAAAAAACTTACACATGCACCCCATCACTCATAGCCGAATACACATTCCCTTCTGTATCCGTGTGAATTCCATCGGGGAAACCCCTCTCACTATACGCAAACACTTGACGGTTTTCTAAGCGTTTGCCGTCGGGAGTGATGTCGAATTTGTAAATGTTGGCCGGGTCGGTGGCGTTGTCTTTGCCGGCGAAGGTGTGCACGCCCGTGTCGGTGACGTAAATGTGTTTGTAGTCGGGGGAGAGTTCGATGCCGTCTGTGATGATTAAATTTTGTGAGTTTTGTGTGTAACAGTACGAGAGGTGTAGTGATTGATTGATTGGGGTGAATGTTGGGGGATTGGGTTGGATTGGAATGGATTGGATGATATTGAGTGATTTTTTCCTCATGACAGTTTCAAACGATGAAACCCTTTTCCACCTGAAAAAAGCCGAAAGAAAAAAGAATAGACTTACTAGGAGCAACAAACCCATCCGCCACAACCTGCACAACCCCCGTCTCCGGTTCAAACCGATAAACCTGCGGTCGAATCTGTGGCTCGCGTCCAAAATGCTGCCAAAACGCATACCTCGCATCCGTAAACCACAAATCGCCCGTCAGGGGATGTTGCACGACATCATTAATGGAGCTGAAATTTTTGCCCAAGTACGAATTCAACAACACTCGAGTCGTGTTGGTGGCTGGGTCGACCAGAGTCAATTGGGAGGCGTGCGTGAGATCTCCTTGGTCGCAGAAGACGAGGGCTTGGTTGGTGGTGCTGGTGAGAGGGGTTCCTGGCGGGTAGTAGACGGTGCCGCCGTTGGCGTTGGTGAGGTTGGGGTAGCGGCGGGAGGAGATTTCGTTGGTCGTGGGGTCGATGATGGTGATGTTGATGGGGTTGGAGATGTCTCCGGCCCAGTTGCTTGTGGCGTAGATTTTTTGGGTTGCTGTTATGAAGAAGAAGAGGAGGAGGAGGAGGAGTCAGGTACATGTGATGTGACGACAACAAAGGTAAAACGACGCTGCTAGTTTGCCATACCGAGATTGTACGCGCCCGCTTCGTGAAAGGCTTGCCAGGGAAATTCTGCAACGAGCCTTTGGGTGACGTTGGAACCGAGTATATCGAGAAAGGAGGGATCGTAAGAAAGGAGTGATACATGGTCTATGGAAGCGTTGGTTATGGCGTGAAGTGAATTGGCATAGTCCAAGCTAGTCGCGAGCCGCAATAGGTTGACATGAGTGATGTTGACCATGGTGGCTGCGGTGGCGACAAAGGGGGATCCTGATGCTGCAGTGGTCTCGCCGAGATATGTTTGGGTATTTAACCACAGCCACGTGCGATAGAACAAGTCCGCCATGACTTGCCGACTACCTCCTACGACGTACAGAGCGTACAACGTAGGAGCGTAGGCCAACCAGGGTGGTACAGACTACAGACGAGTCTTGACCCCGTACACGGTTAGACGCTGTACTGCCGTCACTGCGGTGTTGTTGATCATTTCCCCACCCCGGCACACCACTACACTTGATTTCCCTGCTGAGTATCACGTGACTCTAAACACGCCGTGATCTTCTACCTCATACCTCTAGGGTCGGCGGTCAACAAGTGAAGGACTCTTCCAGGTCCATCAAAATTAGGTCCCGTATAGTCGTATACCACCACGTATTCACATCAACACACTACACTCGACCAGAGCAGCCTTTCGCAAGGCCCGCATTCGAAACCGCTCATGGTCTTGGCAGACTGCCAATACGACATAACTTTATGCAGCTATGCCCTATAGACTATGGTAGCGTACGCCAAGAGTGCTAGTCGGTCTGCTAGTCGGTCTGCTACTTTAGCCGTACTCCTGGTACAGACGTGTTCCGCCTTTCTCTGGAACCAAGGAGCCGTAGCACGTTGCAAAGCTTGAGTTGGAGTGAATACTTGGCCAAGCCCCAAAGGCGCCGACGAACGTCCCGGTTGTCAATCGGGCTCCGATCAAGGGCCTCCATGATGGGTCCGCGGTTGCAACTACACATCGCATGAGCTCATATGGACGACAGAATACCCGCACAAATCTCGCTGTCGGCCCGTTTCTCTTGGCTTCGCTTCTGCTCAATACCACTCTATTATAGTCTCTAGCAAGGCGACAGCGTTGAGGCCACCATGTCACTTGCCAGGGGGAATCGAAGAAAAAAAAAACACCGTGATGATCGAGATAAGGACTTCCTATATGCTGGCCGCACTGTGGTCTGTTACTAAAAAGTCGTCGTGAAGACTGAAAGCCGATGCACTCAGTCCTGCTTCGGCCGGCCTCCAGTGTCCCGTGTCTTGGTCAGGACTAGCCTCTCTTCTTCTTCTTCTCTCGAAGGATCAGAGGTGGAGACAATGTGGAAACTGAAGTCCAGCTCGCCCACCAGTTCCTTGATCTCAGCCACGAGCCGATGCAAGTCTTCATAGATGAACCGGGTCCCAATCTGGACCACAGCGAAGCTTGCATACCCGGGCTCGGCAATGTGTCGTATCGACAGAATGTCCTGGTCCAGGTCGTCCAGCTTCTGACTTAAGCTAAAAGGCTCCGGCACTCGCAAATACGGAGGCAGCGCTTGCTGGGTGGTGATAGAGGCCGACAGGAGTGTCAGTAGAGTGGTGACCTGCTCACTGGTGTAACTTGCATTACGGAGAAGGGTTTCAAGGTCGCGCAACCACGCAAATCCATGCTCACTTCCCTGGTCCGAACGGAGCTCTTGAAAGCTGTATGATGCCACTGAGACCAGAGACATGAAATTGAGAATGCTTTGCAAATGGTTCACCAGTCGCGAATACCGCTCTTGTGGGAACTTGCCTCCGATGGGTATGTCAAATTTGACCACCTGAGCTTGCACACGAAGGCTGGCAATGGTCAAGCTGGCTTTGGAGTAGATCTTGTTGCGTGCTTTCTCCAGCCTGCGTCCGGGACTGTGTTTGGAAGCCATATCGCCTTGTGCATTCCGAAGCCTCACGCGAAGCGTCTCGTGCATGACCGAGTAATAGTTGGCCAGCAGGTAGAGTGACGACCCGAGCTGCTTCCGCAGTACGTTGTGTTCGCTGATCGGATATGGAAACCACGTGAAGATCCAGGCCACGAGAATGCCGGCACACACGGTTGCGAGTCGTATCGGCCCAAGCACATAGATGGGATAGTACGCTTGCCCGTTACTTGTCGCCACATCCACCCCCAATTTCCGGGCTTCTAGCTCATAGCCAACGATGAGCGAGTTGGTGATTTGGAAAATCACTCCTACCTGAATGTAGACGGGGTATTTGAGCATAATGTACGCGCCGATGTGCTGCACGACGAAGAAGAAGACGATAATCCCCGCTGTGTGCTCATCGACAATGTACCAGGCCACGAGCGAAGTGACCATAGCGAGACCTGTGCCAATGGCTCTGAAGAAGAATGAGCGGAGAGACTGACCAGCAGTGGGAACCATTGAGATGGATGCCTGCAAAAATGAATGGTAAGAAGGTGACGTTTCAAAACACGACATCGCCTCAATGGATCTGTCTCGAGGCTTGTTGTGGAGTAGTAGGCTGGGGCTTCAGTGGGCTGTGAGGAGAACATAGATATTCAGATGTGCCAGGACGTACCATAATTTGTGCCCAGAACAATCGCTCAGACGTAGCAAATGCTTGCGTGTCCCGGAGATAGCTGATGATAGCGATGCTCATCGTTGCAATAGTAGCTCGTAGTGCGAACGCAGCAGCAGGAGACTGGAAGAAATGCGAAATCTTTCTCAAGTTGTCTCCAAATTTCTCCCAGGCATTCACAGGGGGCAAGTGCTCCGGGTCTTTCCTCCTCTGGTACGCATCGCCAAGATATACCTGACGTGTCTGGCCGTCCGTAGCAAAATCATTGTCATCATGAGCATCTTCATTACCTCGGAACAAGCTCATGAACCACTTTCGAGATCTCTTGTAGCCTGGTACGATCAATCTCTTCTTGTCGAGCTTACCATTGGCGCGCAACGTATCCACGGCTACGATGAGATTGTACGTGCGTCGAGCAATGCTAATCAGTAGAAACTCCATATACAAGCATAGGAAGAGCTGTCGTCGAAGTCTCTTGTGCGACTCGGTCAGCATGCCCTCCTGCATCCAACCAGGGGTCTTGACGTCCATTCCTTCGGGATGATCAAAGAATCCTTCCGGCAATTCGATGCCGTGCAAAGATGACCACTCTCGTAACATCACTTGCTTACTTTCGTGGAAGGCATTGGACTGAAGCAGAAAGGATTGTGCGAATCCTTCGTCTCCAGGTTTAGGCTTGTCGTCTCCCTTTTCGACATCTGGCTCTCCTCTCGTCTTCTTCCATGTTTTCGCCCCGAGCTGCAGCACCACTCGAACATGCTCTAACCCATCGTCAATGGTCTGAGTGATCTGGCCAAAGGGTTCTCGGAGGCGCTTCATGAGAGCATGCCAATCATTGACAGCCTTGATCCTAAGCTTTTCACTTTCGTTAGTGGCATCTTCAGCTTTCGCTTCAGAGAAGTCAACGTCTCGATCCCATCCTCTCGTTTCCGCAATGCGAACAAAAATGTCAGCCATACAGCTGAGGCCGACCGTTGGTATCATAATCATCCGCAAGAGCCGGAATGTCTCCTGCATTTCCATTGGTCCAATCTTTCCCATGGCGACTTCGCGCTTTGCAAAAGGCAGATCGGTGGTCAACTTTCCATGCAACGCGGAAAGCGATGCCATCTTCTGCTTGAAGGCACGGGCCTCGGCAGACTTGGGAGGTTTCTCACCAATCGTGTTGGTTGCGGCAGCTGCAAACATGTCTTCCCGCTCCAGGCTATGCATATAATTCAAGTTGGCCTGCAAAGCGCCACGCAGAGATGCAATGTAGCTGGTGATCCCGGCGAAAGCGACTTGCCGGCTATTGGTGGGGAACACGAGTAAGGAGACACCAGCTCCGATGCCGAATCCAGTGAAGAAACTAACAAGCAGATTTTTGACAAAGGACTTTGCGAGAGCCATAGTGGCAAACTGAGGTCCGTATATCATGCTCACGTTCGCGAAGATGGCCCACATGATACAAGGGATGTTGTATTGCGGTAGTTTGGCACGAAGCACACTCAACCAGAACACTTGAAAACCGAGCCAGACTGCGGCTACAGCACTCGCAGACGAGTTGTAAGTGTTCGTGTCACCGCGTCGAGCAGCAACACAGCAATAAATGGCCAGCAGAGCCACTGCGGCACCGAGACAGGCGAGTAGGATGCTGACCAACAAGGTCTGCAGCAACTTTGCCCTTGGCATGATCCTAAATGTCACAAGTTGAAGGTAAGCAAGTATCTCTAGTAGTGCGGAAGGTTTGCCAATCGCGTTCCCTCTGTCGCTGCACTTACACCATGGTGAGAATCGTCATGATAATCGCGAGATATCCTACCGGACATGTTAGCTGAGCAGTCGTTGATATCAGAGCGGATATAGCCGTACCCTGGGTGGTATAGTAGCTGGCGAAGCTGTCGACTTGAAACAGCGCCAGAGTGATCGTGGGGGCAACGGCCGACTTGAACATAGATCGATACGTCTTGGAGTCAATACCGGTGTTGGCGATCCACATTGCGGTGGCCTTCTCGAGCAGGGACTGCTTGGGCTTGGCATTCTTTCCAGAGATGTCGCTGGGCTGGTGCAGGACAGTCGAGATGGTGGACTTCCTTCTTGCTGGCTCGCTGGTGGAGGCATTGCGACGTGGTTCCGACTGGGTCGAGGACGAGCTGTCGCCCGATGAGGTGCTACGTATCGGGGAGGTATTCTCCATGCTCCCTATCTGATCATACCAGGTATCATCGTTTGGTGGCCAATGACCGAGCGTACGCGGATGATGAGAATATCAGAAACGAGCCTGGTTCGAAGTGGACACCCATTGCGGTATTATCTGCGTCGGCGGGTCTCACGGCCAACTATGACGGCAATACCTGTCTGTATGTAATAAGATCACGGTCAGCAACAACAACGACACGTGAGATTTTGTATTCCAACGGAAAGTAGAGTAGTTCTAGAGCAACATACACAGCGATACATATACGCTGGTCGAGATCACTGCAGAGAGCACTGCACAGTGAGAGGCTTGCCTGTGACGCATCGAGACTGGCCGTACCATTGATTGCTTGTCTTTCTAATGCGACACGTGACTGCCAAGAAACGCGCACCTGTCTCTCCGACACCTCGAAATCTCACATCGCCGAGCACAAACGAAGAAAGTCGTCGACACTTTTACTAACGCCACAGCAACACCGCAAAGGTACGGTGACCGACCCTTTGAGCCCACACATACGGAAGTACTAACTTCATCCTGTGAAGATGGTTGCCGCCAAGAAGCATGTCCCGATCGTGAAGAAGCACACGAAGCGCTTCAACCGTCACCAGAGCGACCGCTTCATGCGCGTGGACCCATCATGGAGAAAGCCCAAGGGAATCGACAACCGTGTCCGCAGACGCTTCAAGGGACAGGCCGCTATGCCAAAGGTGCGTGGAAAGACAGGCTGTGGAGAATGAGATGGCATGGAAGAGGGGCAGAAGATGAGGATTGGCAATGAATGGCCACGGCGAAGACAAAGATGGGAGGACAGGAAAGATGGAACAGTCTGAATGCTAACGAGCGTTCTGCGTCCAGATCGGCTACGGTAGCAACATCAAGACCCGCCACATGATGCCTTCGGGCCACAAGGCTTTCCTCGTCAACAACACCCGCGACTTGGACCTCCTCCTCATGCACAACAAGACCTACGCTGCCGAGTACGTCCAGCCATGATGCGCGATATGAGACGAGGTCAGCTTGCTGACAATATTTGCAGGATCGCACACGCTGTCTCCTCGAGGAAGCGGATAGAGATTGTTGCACGTGCCAAGCAGCTCGGTGTTAAGGTCACCAACGGCAAGGCTAAGATCACCACCGAGTCGTAGATGGTTCGAGATGGTGCTTTCTGTGGGCAATGTGAACAGGGCGCTGGAATGAAGGGGCAAAACAGGCAGGAATGGCGCATGACTGTGGAGCAGCAATTGAGACATGACTTTTGTGCATTGAACAGGCCGACTTTTTTAATGTAGGCCGGTCAAAGTCTGCAGAGAACGCCTCCTGCGCCTTCGCTATGACAAAAATGCAAGTACGTAGCGCGCTCAAGTCGCTTGCAAGCATTGAACAAGAAATGACTATAATGTCCCATGTCGTGCACTTTTTCGGTCGCGCCAAACTCCTCTCTTTGAAGTACCATGAAAAACATATTAAAACGGCATGGAGACGGGCTATGCCTCCATAGCATCTCCATCCTTGCCCCCAACCTCGGTGACACTCTGCGTCGCCGCACTCCAATATGCCTGTACATCCACCTTGAACTCCGACATGGCCACGCCAAACATCTTGAGCAGCGCCGTTTGATGGCTGTTCAGCTGCTTGCCCTCCTGACACACCGTATACTCCTGATCCAGCACCACCTTGCCCTTATCCAACCTCGTCGGCATGCCCCACTTCCTCACCATCACCTCCAAACTATGCGGAAGTTGCACATCATCCTCGACGGCAACTTCTCCACCCCTCGAATACACAATCCCCGCGGGAACAGTAAACGTCCTCGTAGCAACGACGCCCGCTCTCGCAAAATCCACCTCAACAAACCCTTCAAAAAACTCCAACACCTCCTCTGGCGCACGATTGGTAAAGAGCAATCCCACATTTCCCGCCAGGTATTTCGTCAATTTCGCAAGTCCGGGGGCATGTTCATCTTCGACGGAACTCCCCAAGGCTTTGGCCATGACTTTGGTTTTTCCGTAGAAAATTCGCGAATCGGCAAAATGTTGTCGCACGTCTTTGAGGTAGGTGTTGCGCATATTTTCGACGGAAAAGACGAAAATGTGCGCATATTCGTCGACGGCGGCGTGGATGGAGGAGAAGAGGGCTTCGCTGCGCTCTTTGGCGGGCTTCTTTTGGACGACAGAAGTGTGAATGATGCGGTTTCGCTTGGACTTGGGCATTGTGGCGGTGGTGGTGTGAGTGTGTGATGTGGCTTGTGATGTGATTGATGGTGTTGGGGAGGAATTTGTGGTCTTGGGAGCTTTTGCGAGGGCGCAAGTCGCGCTTTCCTCGAAATTTCAATGCACGGACCCCATTGGTGTGCCTTATCGATAGGCCCCGACACTAACATCTCATTCTCCTCTTCACCGTCTATCTCTTACGGTCGGCCATTTTCCACCGGGACGAACTCTGCTTCCATCATGTGTTCGCGGGAAGATGACACGATCGTAGGCTTTTAGCTTAATTGCTTCCATATGCCAGGCGGTATAATGAATGTTGTTGGACGAAACAAGTTCAACATCATCAAACAGTAGTGTATTGCTCTCCCACGGGGCCAGGATACCGGCAACGCAAGGTTTCAGATCGATAACCCTCCAATATCCTTGTCTGCTGTGCGGGCGACGGCAAATGGACACACTCCACGTCTCCGTAGTTATGTCAGAGGGGTCCAACCGTCCAGGCAACGACATTAGTGGCATTTAGGACGGAATATCAGCTCCGGTTCACCTTCTTCAAACTACTTTAGGTGCAGTGCGAACTGCTGGGGGTGTGCAAGGAACGTATACGGTATATGGCGGTGGGATATGCAACCACGAGGATAAAGAGGGACGACCACACTCGGATACCTTGCCTACCTTATACAGCTCTCCGACCTACCTTTGAGTGTTGAACATACATCCTAACATCACTTTATCGCCTTTTCTGAGCTGCTCATCACCCATTCATAATACCTTACCTACCACCGAAAGCTCGCAATGGCCAGAAATGGTTTATCAAGAGGCGCGAGACCTCCCAATATCAGAACACCGACCTTTCCCAGCTACTATAGCACAAGACAAAAGCCTCGAAGATGGCCGTTGGTGCTACGCTTCATCAAAGGCGCGATACATCTCGACATTGCCATACCAGTCTGCCTGCACGCACTCTTCGCCGCCGCAGTGTGCTATGTAGACAGCGTCCGAGAAGGAAACCTGAGCATCCCATCCGCAACCGTCCCGAGTCTCTCGATCGTCGTCGGTCTCATGCTCGTCTTCCGCAACTCGACCTCCTACGACCGCTTCTGGCAAGGCAACCAACTCTTCACGACAGTCGAAACCTCGATTCGAAATCTCGTCCGCTCCTTCCTCGCCTGCTCCTACAAAGCCTCGGGACCCCCACCAACAGAAGCCGAGAGAGCCGACACCGAACGCACCGTCCGCCTCCTCCTCGCCATGATCTTCGCAGCCAAAAACTCCCTCCGCGCAGAATGGGGTCAAGAAATCCCTCTCCTGGTCCCTCAAACCGAAGTCGACCGACGTCGCCGCGAAAGCGTCTCCGTCTACAAAGCCGAATACGACGAATTACTCCCTCCGGGAACTAAAGGCCACGAAGAAGCCGGTCTCGCTCTACTTTTACAACTCAGCTTCCAAGTCGAAAGCTACATCAAACGCGCACACGACCGCGGTTGGTTCCACAGCCCGCAAGCTTCGCAATTGACCGTACAATTAAATACTCTAGTGGCAGCGTACGGCTCCATGGAAACTATCCATTTGACCCCATTACCCGTCGCCTACCTAATCCATACAAGACAAGTCCTCGCGCTGTTTTGTATGGTACTCCCCTTCGCTCTCGTGCAAGAAATGGGTTGGTGGTCGATATTTCTCGTGACGATTACTTCTTTCACGCTGTACGGCATCGAAGCGATTGGCGCACAACTCGAAGATCCATTTGGCTACGATCGAAATGATATCAAAGTGGATGCGATTGTGGAGGATTTGCGTGTGGAAACTATGGTCACGTTGGAGAATTGGAGGAGAGGAGAGGATTTGTTTCCCTTGCCGGCCGTGGGGGAGTATCGAGATGTGGTGCCGGATGGACGAGATCGACGCCATACCAGGCCGAGTTTGGAGGGGAGGAAGAAGAGTGGGATGCCTCATCTTGGTGCTGAGCAGGATTCGGCTCTCATTATTTGAGTGGACCCCCTAAAAGGACTGCCTTGTTCGTGCTCTGGGAAAAGATATCCACCTGACCTCATCGAATAATCACTCACCTTCGTAAGCTCTGATTCGGAAACGCGCATCTGTTGTTGTAAATGAATAAATCCATGAGTGCAGTCACGACCATGAGCCATGACTAAAGGTGACGAGGTTAATACATAAATTTGGATGATTTTCATGCATTGTAACCGCTATTTCGCCACTGATGGCGAACTATCGAGACATTCTATCATATCGCCCCAAGAGTAACGCCTCCCATATGAGTGTCGCCGCAAGTCTTCGCATCACTTGCTGTCTGCAGAGACGTTGACGCGATTCAGAACCTGCCGCGAGAAACCGAGTTCATTACCACATGCCAAACGTGATCTTCGCCTAGTCGTAAAGATCCTCCTCGCCAGCGCCTATATCATTGTTAGTGTCTGTGCGCTGATATGTCCGAAAGGTGGACAACATACCGTTTTGCTGCGCCTCTGCTGCGGCTCCCTGAGCACCTTCCTCCGGAAAGCGGAAGAATGCACTCCCACCAGCAGACGTCTTCATGCTTTGAGCGAATGCCTCGTACCGCCTAATCTCAGTGTCCGTGACCGAACGGCGAGCCGATGCCATAGCCTCCTCAAAGTGGCGCCTCGTGAGCTCTGGGACGGGGTCCTCATCTTCAACGTCCTCATCCATCTTTGTATCATCGTCTCCCTCTCCTGCAGCAGCATCACGCTCCTTCTGCTTCTCAATGGCGATCGAGATGCTCTCCTTGATCGCGAGCTTCACGGCACGCTGCGTAATGAAGCCGAGATCGGCACCAGAGAAGCCATGGGTCTTCGAAGCGATGAAGGAAAGGTCGACATCGCTGGCAACGGGCGTCTTGCGGAGCTGAGCCTTGAGGATGCTCTCACGGCCAGCTTGGTCGGGTAGTGGGACGTACACGAGGGTATCGAGACGACCCGGTCGGCATAGAGCGTTATCGAGCTGCTCTGGTCGATTGGTAGCGCCAATGACGAAGACATTCTTCTTGCTAGTCATGCCGTCCATCTCAGTGAGGAGCTGGTTGACGACTCGGTCGCTAGCACCACCAGCGTCGCCCTGAGATCCGCCACGAGACTTGGCGATGGAGTCCAACTCGTCGAGGAACACCACACAAGGAGCAGCAGCACGGGCCTTGTCAAAAATGTCACGAATGTTGCTCTCCGACTCTCCAAACCACATAGAGAGCAGTTCAGGTCCCTTGACCGAGATGAAGTTGGCGGAACACTCGTTGGCGACCGCCTTGGCAAGAAGAGTCTTACCAGTACCGGGAGGACCATAGAAGAGCACACCGCGCGATGGGCTGAGACCAAACTTGAGGAACTTCTCGGGATGATCGACTGGGTACTGCACGCTCTCGACGAGCTCGCGCTTGACATCCTCGAGACCACCAATGTCGTCCCATCGCACGTTTGGAACCTCCACGACTGCGACTTCGCGGAGAGCACTTGGGTTGCTTACGCCGAGGGCAAAGCGGAAGTTCTCTTGTGTGACACCAAGGCTATCGAGCACTTCGGCGTCAATTGTGTCCTCATCCAAGTCGATCAGATCCATCTTTTCACGAATTTGTTGCATGGCGGCTTCTGAGCAAAGCGAAGCAATATCGGAACCGACGTAGCCATGAGTCTCAGCAGCGATAGTCTCAAGATCGACCTCGTCAGCGAGCTTCATGTTCTTGGTGTGGATCTGAAGAATCTCGAGACGGCCGGTCGGGTCTGGGATACCAATGTCGACTTCACGATCGAAGCGACCGAAACGACGCAGGGCGGGATCGATCGAGTTGGGGCGGTTAGTGGCAGCCATGACAACCACGTTCGAGCGAGCCTTCATGCCGTCCATGAGAGTAAGTAGCTGGGAGACGACACGGCGCTCAACTTCGCCGTTAGTCTTCTCTCGCTTCGGTGCAATGGAATCAATCTCATCAATGAAGATGATGGCCGGGCTGTTCTTCTCCGCCTCCTCGAAAGCTTTCCGCAAGTTCGACTCGGACTCGCCAGCCATTTTCGACATGATTTCTGGTCCGTTGATGAGGAAGAAGAACGCGCCAGTCTCGTTGGCAACAGCACGCGCCATGAGCGTCTTACCAGTACCGGGAGGACCGTACATGAGAATACCACGCGGGGGCTTGATACCGATAGACTTGAAGAGCTGGGGATGTCTCAGTGGCAGCTCAACAAGCTCTCTGACTTGTGCCATTTGCTTGCGGCAGCCACCAATGTCATCGTAGCCGACCTCGTTGAGGTTGCCCTCCTCATCCTCGCGCTGGATAGGCTCGCCTTCGCAGTGGATGACGGTATCTTGTGCCACGATGCCATACTCTGGGGGGTCAATTTCGACGACCTTGAATTCCACTGTTCGCATGGCAGCACGCGCAGTGAAGAGATCGCCTTGTCGGAGTGGCCGGTAAGCTTCGCGGAAGTATGGTGCGAGGAAGACGTCGAACAGCGAGCCAGTGAGACCTTCGATGGTATCCGCCATGGGCAGGACAGCAATACGCTTGGCGTATTTGATGTCGGGGCATGGGTTGACAGTGACGACGTCGCCCAGCTTGACGCGGAGGTTGTGTCGGACGACACGGTTCATGCGTACCGATCCATCGTCGAGATCATCGTCGGCGAGAACGATCAGCACCGTGTCCTTTCTCTTCTTGCCCTTGACGAGCACAGTGTCACCGCGGAAGAGCTGCAGCGTCTCCATGGTGTTATTCGATAGCGCGAGGATGGAGTTGTCGTCTGTGGTGGCGTCTGTGACAATCAAGCTGTTCGGCTTCTTCTTCTTCTTGAGAATGGCTGTGGCGACCTCGTTCTCATCGCGCTTCTCACCACCCGAAGGATCGTTGTCCAGCTTTGCTTTGGCCTTGCTGGCGGCGTGATCAGGTTCCGCGCTCATGATGGCGGTGTTAATGGCTCGTCTGTCTCTGGTGCAATCAGTTATCGGGACGCGAGGGCCACTGAGCTGCTTCGGCGGCGGCGATGTACGTGGATGGTGGATTCACTCTGTCGGCGGCGGATTGGTGACAGAAAGAGGAGCAGAAAGGATGGTGGTGCTCGTGATGATGGCAAGGGAGGCGAGCGATGGCAAGTGTGCAGAGAGAGAATGTGTGAGAGAGAGCTTTGAATGATGATGGCAAGGTGGAAGCTCGGGATTCCCGTGACGCATGGATAGCTGTCTAATCATCAGCCGCTTCCATGGCTTTCTATACGCACGCGCAACACACTGGTGCCTGGCACATGTCCACATTCATTCACCCACAGCTTTCATTCACTCACCTTCGCGCTTTCACGTGAGACTGACGACCTTTGCAGCTGCTACATGTAGGCGGTATATCTGTACTGATGCGGTCTTGCACAGTGGAAAGACATTGATGCCTGAGGCGCCTGTTGCCACCGATGCAGCGGCCCATCCTCGCGCTCAAGTCGGCGGCTGCGAGAGTTCACCTCACGCTTACGCGCCTGTCCGCCCCCAAGTTGCTCCAGCATACCACGATCATGTGGCAACATTCAGTAGCAAGAGCCTGAGCGCCGCCTGTGATCAGTGAAGACAACACAAGAAGACGGTTGCCCGGTCGTGAATCTGTCCAAGACGGCGACTCGGGACACACTAGCGATCACTGTGTCACCGTGTAGAGTGGTACAATAACAGTCACGACAACGAGTGAACAGTGCAGTGAGGGCGGACAATCGCCACTTTGGGAAGGAGCGAGACGCCTCACTTGCAATGGTACGTTCGAGGCAATCTCCACTTCCATCTTGCCACACTGCAACATCAAATATCTATTGATTGCAACATCGGCGACCGATACAGACATCACGGCACCACTTCTGAACATGACTCCGGACAGGACGAGGCGCCGGGACTGGGTGTTGTCACAGCTTGCACAGTCGCCCACGAGTGAAAACCCGTCTCCGGGTACTAGCGACGAGGAGGAAAACGAGCGGCGGGTGAGTCTCAGCGTTCTGGAGGCATGGCGATTGTCTTTGACTAAAACCCGAGCCGACCAAGGCGACAAGCTGGAAGACAGACTCAGAACTTACTTGCTTACCTACCTTCACTTGCTACGGCAGGAAATAGCAATTAGCACGACCACTGCTTCAGCCACTTTCAGTTATCAACGTGCACTGATCAATCGCATGCGCGATTCGCAGTTCGCCGAAAGTGCAGCTTACGATGCGGCCACTTACAAGCCGACGTTCGTTCACGACGTACTGATGTTGCCGGGAACTCTGGCTCAGTTGGTTGGCAAAGTAGGATATCCACCAGTCTCGGTAGGGCGCGCTGACTTGTCAGGCTTCCTCAGAAGATCTGTTACCAAAAATGACTCCTGCTCTTCTCCACGGAGTTCATGCCCATATCAACCTCGAGAGCATGCAACCAGTACTGGTCACAGCACGACCAGAGGACTACGTTCAAGGCATGATTGTCTTCGGACTCAGAAAGCATGCCAGGGACGCCGTCCGTAGACACTACCATCCCTTTGCACACCGTCATAGGGTGCAGGTCGAGTTCGAAGTATGCGTAAGCACAAACCCACGAGATCGATCTTCTGCAGCACATCTTTGGCACATCGAACGCCGAGCTATAACTGCGTATGCTTGGGTTATCAATGCGCTCGACGAGTGTGAACTTGCAACTAAGAACGAGAGCTGCCCCAATTGGCAACTCGAGGACTATCTCGCAGGTAGGCTATCGGTACGGGAACCAATGCGGGTAGAACCGAGCGGTAAGGGAGACGAGGCCGATGACGGCTACATTGGCAGAGACATCGTCGAGTATGAAAGTGAGCCAGAGGAAGTGGTACGAGAACTGAGATACTCTGATCCTGCTAACATTCACGACCAACGCACTCCGTACGAAATTGTATGGTAGCGTCCTCTGGCGTCACTTTTTGGCATTTTCATCATGTCAGTCGTCTGGCTGGCTTCCCAGATCCTCGCGGCGCTCACTATTTCGATACAGGTGGGGATTTGAAAAGAGACAAGAGGGTTTCGATAGCAGAAGGACCCAGCTGCATGATTGATCATTCTCTCGCATCCAAGTATTTAGGAGGAAAAGAGAAAACCTGCAATGAGCCTCTCGAGTCTCACTAAGCCTTGAGCTCCCATGCCTTCTTCGCATACTCTTCGATATCTTCTAGCAACTCCTGAGGTTTCTCCATAGCCTGCGTCACACATTCCAGTATCATTAGCACACTGATCACAACAATACAGTCTGAGCCACCAGAAGTCAAACAAAAACGTAAAAACTTACCGCAAAATGTCCTCCACTAGTATGCACCTTCGAATGCACCAAATTCGCCGTCGTAGCTACCCAACTCACAGGTATGGGCATCAACTCTTTCGGAAAAAATGAATACCCGGACGGTTTCGCCACATAAGTCATCTTGCGCCCCATCCCCTTCATTTTGCCAATTCGCGGCCGCTCATCATCGCCCGTCAGACCGCGATACGGGTAGATGCAACGCGGGAACGTGTGGGTGAACCAGTAGAGGGAGACGCTTTCGAGGATGGTGTCTAGTGCAGGGTCTTCATCGGACCATTCAAGGAATTTTTCTCCGATCCATGCGAGGAGTGCGAGTGGGGAGGCGCTGAGGGCGTGGCCGATGGTGGAGGTGCGGGTGCCGTGTTCTAGGGCGTAGGCTGAGCACTGGTTGTTGGGGGAAAGAAGGCGTTAGTTTTTGGTTCAGTGTGGATGCTGCTGCTGCTGCTGCTAGGTTGGGGCACAGAGGTAACATGTGGTTTTGGGAAAGAAAGGGGGAGAGGGGAAATTGCCATGGAAGGATTCGGATTCGGTGTATACAGGTACCTTATACATATATCTGATCATGACCATAATGATAATGATAATAATGGGTGAGATGCAAGAGAGGGTAAACAACAAAACAAAAAGACTTACCTGATCATTGAACCACGCGGCTCTCGGAAGGGCATCTGCCTCTATCTGGCTCATCTCGAGCTCATCGGCGTTCTCAGGAGGGTGCGCCGGATTAAGATTGAGATGCATGCCTTTACACGCCGCACAATTGGCGCCCTGGTAGCGCACAACCAACGAACCCAAATCACCGCCTTGGGCGAGATATCCCTGTGGGAAGAGACCCGCAGCCAAACTAATTCAAAGCTTCCGACGCATTCTCCACTGCATAATCGACATCTCCAGGCGGACCAGACGAGTACGCATAACCCGTAATACTGGGGACGAGAACATGGTAAGGCAGAGTTTCGGGTGTATATTTCTTCCGCAGCAGATCCAGCATGGGGAGGAATTCGAGAAAACTTCCGGGCCAGCCGTGGTAGAGGACGAGAGGGATAGCATTTTCTTGGGCGGAGAAGAGGGCGACGAAGTGGAGAGTTTGAGGGTATTCGAGATCATCTTGGACGTCTGCGGTGAAATTGGGGAAACTGTTGATGTGGTCTTCGGATTTTCTCCAGTCGAATTTGTGGAGCCAGTGCTCTTTGGCATTGATGAGCCAGTCTCGTGGGATGCCTATATGATGTGGTTGTACATCACATCATCGTCAGAGGTGAGCTAAAGATGTTCTGTAGCAAACACACACACACACACATGTGTTGTGTTGTATCGATACGAGCTTTGTTGCCATCGTAGCAGGTAGGCTCGGCCCTCAGCAAGAAACAAGGAGGGGGGGAAATGCAATGAATGCATTGCTCATGCCCATGAACTTACCATACCGACGTGGACCGGCTACTGAAGGGTGAGAGTTCTCATAAGTGGCATTAGAGACCGGAGAGAGCCTGAGCAAAGTCTTGAAATCGTCAATCGCTTGCTGATCAACATGAGCCTTGAATGGCTTAATAGTAAGCTGGGAGCTCGATGGAGGTTTGCTAAAGTCTGCCATGGTCGATTCTGAATGCACGGAACTGATGGGGATACGGAGAGGAGACATTGAAAGAGGGTTGCATTGATTTAATTAATAGTCTCACGGTAGCTTGGTGGAGCTCATGATGATGATAAAGCAGAGGGTCTCCATAGATGGGGAAGTCCCCTTGCTTACCGAGAATAGACCCCGTCAAGGGCGTCAAGGGCGTTAAGGGCGTTAAGGGAGCACCTAGGTGATTATAAACAATATAGTATCATAAGTCGGGTACGGATGTCAGAGGAGAGTACTCCACGTCAACTCTTTTGCCAAGAAGACTTATGTTCACTGAAGTTAGCAGGAACTGAAGTTATGGAAGCAGAGGAATGTCTTGTTCCCGGCGTCCCGACCCCCACCCGGCCATCTATATGACTTGGCGTACTTGGCGCAGGTTCGAATCAATGTGCCATTCGATAGTAATATTTCTGGTACTGGTATAGATAATGGACTACAAACGAGCAATCATAATAGAGACAATGGCCTCGAAGCCTGGGTATCGATACGTGAATGTATGCAACATTAGTTGTACATGCAGAGTGCACTTTTTTAGCCAACGCACTGTCATTGCTCATTTCCACTTTCTGTCCTTTTTGCTTTTCGTGGTCATATCGGGCCCGCCCAATATCGCATCAAACGTTTTGCTCGCATCGACTGAATGCACTGGAGTTCGTGGCCGCTCCATTGGGATGCCAGGACTTGGCGACCTGCCATCAGGAGAGACACCAGCGGGCAGAGGCAAAGCCTCAAGTCCAAGACCCAAAGAGGACAATCTGTTACTGCGATTGCTAACCCGGCTACTAGGTCGCAGTAGGTCATTGCCAGACGGTGGTGCTGGCAATCCTTCGTCATTGTATCCTGGCTCATGACTGGCCTGTTGCTCTTGAAGAGCGGCGCTCAGCAGAGGATTTGCGGCGCACCAGCGTTCAGCCATGATCCAGCAATGAGATCTCTTGTATATTCCCTCCACGCCATGATCAATGAGGTCCGAAGGCAGAGACACTACACCGCCTCCTGCTCCACCCACTGAGAACCAGGTTCTGCTCCCTGCTCGTGCGCCTGCAGCATTTGGATCTGCCCACGGCACGCCCGAGCGAGGTGGCTCGCACAGGAAGTACTCCACTCCCTTGGTCCACTTCAAGCCCGGAGCATCGCATGCCAGCATAGGCAGAGCTTGCAGCACTGTGTACATAAAGATCCACTGACCAATGCGGAAGTCTTCAAGCTCAGAGGCCGTGCATCCATGGGCCGCCCTCTTTTCCATCTCACGGAACGCGTCCACGAAGGGCGTGACCTGCGCATCTTCGTTCCAGCTGGCACGAAGTATCTGGTGTATCTCGTCATCCTTGAGCTTTTTGTGCAAGACCTTTGCGTCCTTCTTGGCATCCACACCAAAGTCAGGTCTCGTGCTTCGCAGAGTAGGCAATTTGGGCAGGTCAAAGGGAATCGGTGGCTTGACAGGAGGTGTCGAGCGATCGTACTCTGATAGCACCGCTCTCAATCCGCGTACCACTGGTTCGTCTCGGCTTTCATCTAGATTTACTCCGTCGATTGTTCTAGATGTCAGATTGCTTCGGTCAACGAGTAAATCGTACATGGAGGACAGATCCTGATAGACATCGCGTAGCACCAGGCGATTCAGCCCGGAAGTCTCGAGAGTGTTTTTCTTGCTGCTTGCCTTGGGAGGCCAGTCGCCGTATCGTTGCTTCAACATTCCCATCATGAACTTGCGCATGCCCATGAAGTGCTCTTTCCACGCATCGAACCGGACACCCTCTTTCCTCTCAATTGACGTCTTTGAGGCCATGATGCCTGAAAAGAGGAAGGGGAAATCAAAATCCGTCATGATCAGTCGGATTGCTGCAACACGCTTGTCGAGATCCATCGATGCGCGAGTCAATCTATTCTGTGTGATGGGCGAGATCATGTTGAATTTGGGGCTTTTGAGCGCAAGCAGGTCCTGGTGCTTTCCAGAAGCGTGTGTAAAGGCTTCGTTGTATAACGACACGCTCTTCATGCGCTCACCAAGCACAACGCCTTCGATGGTCTTCTCTCGACTCGTCCGACAATCGCCAAGCCCAAGCTCCTCGATGTATGCGTCGAAGCTTGAATTCGCTGCTTCGCCATAGGTGGAACCGTCCACATTCGTGAACTGGTACGATTTCAAGATGCCGGCGACTGTCATGAAGATGGCAAAGAAAGAGCTTCTTCTCTCGGTAGCCACCAAAGATTGGCCGCAAAGGAAAGCGAAGAAGTTTCGATAGTCGATCAATGTCTGCAAGTCCTCCCTGTTCGCTTTCCCGTCGGTAGAATTTGTCGCCCCAGGCGCCGCGCCATCACTACTCAACTTGATGGGCAGATAGAGATGCACTTCTTGTGGGTCCGAAAAGTTGTAGTCGCGTCCTCGAGAGTCGTGCGAAGACGTAGTGCTCGAGCCGTGCGTCGTGCCAGGCGCTGGCTTTCGCGTGGGAGTCATTGGAGGTGTAGCTGGATCGCCTAATGATAGATGTGATGTTCGATCTTCCAATGGCATCGCTCTTCGATCACCACCGGCGGGGGACTGATTGCTATATATGTCACCAAACGCAAGCTTCGTCAATATTGGAGACGAAGCAAAGACTGCGGAATCGATCCTGAAGGATGCGCCTTTACCAGAAGTTCGTGGAAACAAATATACGAAGCAATTGCCGTCCTCGGTGTTCCACATTTCCTGCATCGGTTGCGCATTGGCTAAAGCGTCGACGTCGTATGGCACTTTCTGAGGATGCCCTGAGATCCAGGCCACGGGGCCTCTGGCCACTTCACTTTTGTCATCCTTTTTCGTCCACCAATGCTTGCTCTTCTTCTTGTCATGTGCTGGCTCGGCGTGTATAGGCGGCTGTCCAGGCAGTTGTAGCACAGGAGTCATCGGTCTACTCGAACTCAAGCCCCCCGGTGTTCCCGGCCTCGATCCGGCTGAGTTCGTTCTCGAATGTGAAGCAGTATGGATCGACGGGGGCGGCATGAGGTCACTGTCGGACCCATTGACTGCGAAGTCATCTTGTAGGCTCTGTAGACTGGGCAATGTTGGCTCGCCGGCATTTGGGGGGAGAAGATGTGCAGAGGGTCTTCGAGCCTGGTTGTATGAGGGCGCCTGCTTCGACAATTTGGAGGGCGATCTCGATCGTGCAGCGTCTGGCGGCGATGCTCGTCGCGGAGAGAGACCTGTGGTGGGCGATCCATTCTTCCTGTCGTCTGAGGATGACGAGAAATTGTTGGTGAAGATAGCGGAAAGTCTGCGCGACATGGTTAAAAACTGTGCTTAGCGCAGTATCCCTGCACGGTACATAGGTCTGGTAGGACTGGTAGGTTGATATGATGCCGAGTCCCAAGGAAGTGGTCGCAAACAACAAGCAACAGAAGAGGAAAAAGAGAGAGAGGGAGAGAGGGGGGGGGGGAGGAGGAACTGATCAACAGGAGGATAGATGGATGGGATGGATGGGACAAGAGAAGGCCGAGCAGGACGAGAGAAGCCCACGAGGCACTTGCAGCAAGTCCGTCTCATCCAAAGCCCACTTTGCTAGTCCCGCGTGCGTAATCGGGAAATTCTAGTGCACAAATGATTCCAAAACACAGACCAGGGCCGGACGCGTCCTCAAATAGGCTCGAAATGGTCCTGATCCCTCCCTACCTTACCTCTGCGCCCGTGTATTGGTCTGTTGGTTGCTATGCGCGGGCTGGCCAGGGTTGCGAGTGGTAAGTTCCCGGTTGTTGGCCGTTTGGCGACTTCAACGAGGCCGATATTGCCGAACGAGGACTGACAACGCAGAGCGTGTGGCTGAAGCAGCTGGAATAGGAGGTAGCGATTTGCACTGCAGGAGCTGAGCTGGTGAAGTGACGAGGGCCAAGACAGTCGTCTATTTTTACTATGAGATCTATTGGCATCTGCAACACATCTATCACATCGGCGGCAAATGAAGAAGGAAAAAGCACTGAAACCGCGAGTGGACAAGACTGCTCACTGCTCCCACCTTGCCGATGCGACCCCCGCATCTTCTATGGCCAGAAAAAGCCCTCGGGTTGCTACCTACTACTGTGGCCATACGCGCCTATGGGGTACCTGTATGCCGAATGCGGCACTCGGGTAAGGTAGGACGAGAGCATCTTCAGCCTCGTAAGGCATCTATTTCCGTCTGGAGCTTCGAAGCATGCAGCTCAAGGTGAACTGAGACCCTGCCCAACGATCACGCTCGCTGTCTCCGTGTGTCTTCATCTGCTGCAACGTCACCGATTGTAACACACTGCATGGACAGTTGAATACCATCATCTCACGCTCGGAACGTCACGATGTTAGTCAGGGAGATTGATCTCTCGTCATGAGGACGCCAAAAGGAACGCCTGCAATACACAATCCTCAAGGTGGGTAGCCCAGCTGACACCCGGAGCATGTGAGCTCAGGTCACGCCAAGCCACAGAACATCAGGTATGATTCGACGCAGTGTTGACCCGTCGAGTGCGTATTCAATCCTCTACCTACACTATCTGGACCCGGAATTACTGCCCAGGAAGCGTCGCCTTCCCACGCTGCCTGCCGACCGTTTTCCTTTCTTCGCATGTTCTTGGGCCTGCAAAGGGTGGTCCTTCTCCCACTGTTCGTCGTCCCGATAAGCATCGATTGCAGAGTCCAAATCCCAACCAGCATTTTTTAGATACATCAATGCGACATCATACCTGAGAGAGGGAGCGACACTGGTTAGTCTCAGTCAGATGACATACCGCGGCAATCTATCAGCAGACTTACTCGGCGACTTTGCAGGCTACTTGCCATCTTCGAAGTTTGTTCTTCTTCAGCTCCTCTTCTTCACTCTCCAGGGGCTGTGGCGACAACGATACACCGCCTTTGTAATGTTCTCCAGGTATTAGGATAGTTTTTCGGCCCTGTACCAGATGGTCTGCGTAGACATTGTTCGTCTTTCGCAGAGCACTGATAGGCACCCCATAGGCCAGAGAAAGTGATGAGATGGTATCGTTCGGTGTCAAGAAATGAAGCACATCTTCAGCATCGTCGCTGTGGCTGGCTTTCTCGGGAGGCGCTTGAACAGCTTGGTGTTCCGAGTAAGCTGGCAGCTCGTCTTCGTCTGTTGTCCTGCTAGGTGGCAATCGGTTGTCTAGAGAGGAATATGCAGGCGGGTCTTTCAAGCCCTGGGGTAATAGCGATGGCTGTGTTGAAATTTGACAGTGCGGACAGTATGTTTCGTAGCGCTTGTTCTGGTTCAGACATCGTACACATATCGAGCGTCCGCAGCAATCGAGATCTCGGCCTGGCAGAAGCGGTTTCTCTGACACAGGATCAAGTGGACTGTCGAATCGCGAAGCACACGTCGCACAGGCGGAAACCATCTTGACTGGAGTTCGACAATCAATTCTTCTCGATCGGGACCTTTTCTACTCTGTGTACTGGTGTCTCCGTTCTCTGTTTGATAAATTGTCGATTGAAGTCGCTCGAGGCAAGGAACATGACGACAACATCAATGCTAATCTGTTCGCGTGCATCAACCCTGCGTGAACGCACGGACCATCAATGTGGCGAAACAGTCCTTCTGGCTCTGGCGCACGCCGCCGGTAGCGGTCTTTCGACTTCTCTCGTGTATCATCATCATCATTCCATCCCTCCTCGTTTTCCACCTTTTCTTTGCACACACTTCATTGACCTCGTCCACCTCCGCTTCTTCCTGACCTTCATACGCTCCTTCCGAGACTGCTTATCCGACTTCACCTCTAATTGTACTGCACATCTGACAGCCGTCCACTCGACACGGCCGCAGACATCCGCCCGCCCTTTCCGACACGCCTTCCAACCGCCTCCTGATTGCGTGCACCCTGATTGCAAGCGCAACTCCCTCCCTCCCCACCTGCGAATCGACGAACACTCAAGCGCCTACCGGCGCACTGCAATAGTATTCGTACTGATTGATGATGACGAGCATGGCGAACGCAACATACTTCGCCTTACCACCTTTGCCTGCATACAAACTCGAGCCGCAGCAACCACTCATATCATGGCTGCCTGATGCATACCTGACGCTTGCGCTCCCTGTCATAGCATACTGGGCAGTCTCGCTGTTCTTCCACTGCATCGACGAACTCGACTTATTCCCGCAATATCGATTGCATACGCCAGCTGAGGTCTTGAAGCGAAACCACGTGAGCCGATGGGACGTATTTCGGGATGTCATCATACAGCAGGTCATACAAACAGCGGTAGGGGTGGGATTGACTGTATTCGACCCGGAGCCTACAATTGGAAAGGAGGAATATGATATTGCATGGTGGGCGCAGAATCTGCGGCTGTTACAAACAGCTATTCCAACTGTGCTGGCTACCTTGGGACTTGATGCAAAGTCGATCGCGGATAATCTTGCTTCCTCCCATGCCACGTTTGCATCTGTCATTGCTGGTGGCATATACCCCGATCTCAATCAGACCATCGGAGTATTGGGCGAGCAGGTTACCGCACCTGCGTTTGCACACTGGGAGCTTGTTGCGGCCAAAGGCGTCTACCACTATGGAATCCCGGCGCTGCAGTTCTTGCTGGCCATCATGATTGTGGATACCTGGCAGTACTTCCTACATCGTGCAATGCACATGAACAAGTGGTTGTATGTTACCTTCCACAGTCGGCACCATCGATTGTACGTTCCGTACGCGTACGGTGCGTTGTATAATCATCCATTCGAGGGCTTCCTCTTGGACACTCTAGGAACTGGCATTGCATACCTCGTTTCGGGCATGACAGTCCGACAGAGTATGTGGTTTTTCACCATGTCTACCATCAAGACTGTCGACGATCACTGCGGCTATGCATTCCCATGGGACCCACTTCAGCATTTGACTAGTAACAATGCTGGGTATCACGATGTTCATCATCAGAGCTGGGGTATCAAAACGAATTTCTCCCAACCATTCTTCACCTTTTGGGACGGACTTCTTGGCACGAAATGGACCGGGGGCGATGTGAGCGCCAGATATGAGAGGGCCAAGATCGCGGCGCAAAAGAAAGTCGACGCAGAAGTTGGAGCGAAGAATGCATCAGCGACCGGCCCCACCCCATACGCACAGGATGCGTCACAAGCAACTTCGGTTGCACGCACAGCACAGGGAGCTGCAGAGCCGAGGATACCAGCTGGCAAGGCCACATATCAGCCTATTGGATCTAGACAGCAGGTTCTGGACGATCCAGTTGGCGGTGGAATCAGCGTGCTTGCAGAAGAAAGCGCAGAGGAGGTCACGGCTCAGCAGAAGCTCAGATCTACTCCGCGCACGCGGACAACAGAATCTCTGAAGGGCTTCGCCGATAGAGTAGGAGAGTCTTTACAAGGCAAAGGCACAGGAATGTTAGGCGTTGAAAGTCGAAGCCGGAGGTAATCATAATACTGTATAAGTCTTAATGAGTGTGATCGTTCTGTCTACATACATACTGTACCTAGGTACCACCGTAACCTGTACCTTACATGTACTTTATGGTATGTCGCTCACTGCGCGCCGATGACGTAGTACCGATGTACATACATACTTTCAGCTTCCAACTGCCATGTTTATGCACCTCACCAACACGTCCACAAGGGAGCTGGGTTGCCCTTCATCTACATCTCTTAATGGACTTTCTGTCCACAGTGTGAAAAGCACATTCGCGACGACTACGACCAGCACACCAACACACTTACGCAAACATGACCGAAACGCCAACACCCACAAAGGCCACAACAACGCTCCTCGATCTCCCAATCGATGTACTCGTCCTCATCACTCCGTATCTCGATGCTCGAAGCTTTCTGAGCCTTACGTCCACATGTCGAGCACTGCACAGCCCTGACTTCACTCACGACAGCACGTTCTGGTCCACGCTCGTTCGACGAGATTTCCGCGTCCCAAATCAGCCCGTCGTCGAGAATGATGGCAGGCGTTGGCAGAAGCTGTACAGGCGAATGCGTACTCAGACCAAGGCGTTCACCTGGGGCAACAACGAGAAGGGTTGTCTTGGACACGGTGGCGAGAGTCATGAGATCAGGCCTATTGCCTTTCGAGGGAGAGGTGGCATGTTAAGACTGCACCACGCTAGACGACGGAGAGGGGCTGCATATCCATGCCAGGTCCAAGGTCTGGATAGTCTAGGGGTGATAGCCGATTTGCAGTGCGGCGGTTGGAGCACGACGTTATTGACAGCGAAGGGAGCGCTGTATATACTGGGGGTGCTCGATGGACTAAAGTGGGATCAAGCAAATCAGCAGGTAAGAGACACACCCACACCGTTGAGATTCCCTCCAGGCTTTCCGCAGCCTCAGGAAAGGCATGACCCAGCGACTGCAGTCAAACAATTCAGTTCTGGGAGAGCTCACGTGCTGGCACTGAGCGACTCTGGTCGAATATGGAGTTGGCATCATCGCGACCTACCAAGCGTCCATGTCAAGTTTGTGAATCATGAGACACGAGAGACTGGTGGCGAGCAAGGCGAAGGTACTGTGAAGAAGGTCGTGGCGGGCTGGAACAAGAGCTCCGCGCTGGTGAATGGTACTGGTATCGTGCTATGGGAACCACTGCAGCTAAGCCGGGAAGAGATTGATGTCGCAGATGCTGCTCTTGTCATGGAGACACAGGTTGTCCCTCGTACAGGCACAAGACATGTTGACGATGAAACGGACACGATTGGAGAAGTTCTGAACTTCACGCTGCTCGAAGACACGATCATATTCAATACCTCTCTCGGGAAAGTATTTGCCGCACTCATCAGCTGGACCGCTGAGTCACAGACTGTTCATGAACCAGTTGAGCTGGCCATACCCCTGGGGGAAGGTGCAGCTCCAGATGCTTCTTGGGTTACCGATGTACAAGGCTCGTTCCGCAGCTTTGCTGTCTTCACAAAGGCGGGAGCGGTTCTCACCAGCACTCAGGACGCCATCATGCCATTAGTGCAGGGTCACGATGGCGATTGGCATCCTTTCAAGCGCATCCCGGCTCTCCAGAACCAGCAGGTCATATCTCTCGCATTCGGCGACTACCACTTCCATGCTCTCCATGCACCAGGGTACATCACGTCCTGGGGGGTAGAGCCGAACTCTTGTGGTGCACTAGGTATTGGTGGGTATGGCGCTCCTGAAGGTCGGCTTCGAGGTGTTCGTAACCAGGCTGCAAATGGCGATGGCAGGTTGGTGCCTCATGCCTACACAGCTGGACGCAGAATTTGGTTCGAGGAGGAGAAACGAAAATGGGCCCAGTTCTTGACCAGCGGCGGAGTTGATCAGGAGGAGGCCGCTGAGCGCTTGAGGATGGCAATCGGAAGCCCAGATGTTGCAGCCCAAGGTGAAGTCAGCGAATGGATCGAGCAGGAGGGTCGAGATTGGGAATCGAAGTTCAATATCAAGGACAAGAACGGCGAGGACGATGGCCTAGGTGCCTACTTCGCGTTGAATGTCACAGCAGCCGGTTGGCACAGCGCAGCTCTTGTGCTGGTAAACGAGTCGATGGCAAATGAATTGCGTAACGCGGTTGAGATCCCCGACCATGTCGGTGCGACAGAAGAAGCTGAGGCTGGTCCCAGCAATGCTGCAGAGACACCTACACCCGCGCAGGACGGCAATTCCGAACGAACTAGGACCTGGACAGATACAGCTGTCGATTTTGGACGCTACTTTCTCGGCCTCGCACCATATAACGTCAACTCGGCTGCGTACGATCCAAATGCTCCTCATCTGCGTCATGCGCCCACCGCTACCAGTGCCCAACACAATGTCGCTCCCAGGCTGAGCTATGGAGCCTCGCCAAGAGAAGGCTTCCACTATGTGTGGGCAAATGATCATTTCCCACGCCTCCGGCTGAGCAACGGAACCGACATGCCTGGGGAAGTCGAATTCGATGAGTGGCGATATGGGAGACCAGAGTGGAAACTGGACTGGGATCATCAGGACTGAGTGACTGCTTTGGCTTTGTGATTCATGATTAACGCATTGAAAGAATACCTACTCAACAGACTCCTGAGCGCCGATTCGCAGCCTGCAGTTGTCCGTCCAAAAGCACTTTTTCTCTCAGACACGTAGACTCGACTGCACTGTATTGCTTGCTATCTGTAACTTCAGTAATAATCTTAGCCTATGAGACAATACCTACTCTTTCTGCAACGCGAATATAACCCAATTTTTTTCAGTGTTCTTTGTGCTTGAAGCTGAAGTTGAAACTTGACTGAAACTGGGCGTAAAGGCAGGTAAGGTATTATTGAATTATTACCTGCCTACATGTATACTTACCTAAAACATCATATGTACCAAAGGTATATGTACCAAAGGTATATGTACCAAAGGTATATGTACCAAAGGTATATGTACCAAAGGTATATGTACGGTATACCTACCTCCTACGTATGATGTAACTATGCGATATGAAGAAATCTATCTGTCTGAGGAGAGTTTTGTTTGGTATCTTATCCATCTGACAGACAAGAAGAAAAAAAAAGACAGGCTAATGATTCCATGGACGAGGAATTTATTTCTTGCTATATTGATTTTGGAGAATGATTCGAGACCAATGACGACTCACATGAGTTTTATGGAGAGAGAGAGAGAGTGTGTGTGTGTGTATGAGAGAGAGAGAATAGGAGTTTATTATTTTATTTTTCATGGGTGAGAGAAAAAATTGAAATCGGTCTGGCATATGTAGGTCATCACCTCATCTCTTGCCTCTCAATTTGAAGCCTTTGACGCTAGCCCATACCGATTCCGAGACTTTTGTAGGGAGCTTCCTGCCCTTGAGACGCTGATCAATCAGCCACAGTCCGACGACGAATTCCTCTTTACTCAGTCGACCACTTCGCTTCGTATCGACGAGATCCCAGACAAGCTCCAGCACAAATGCAGGTAAACGCGACCGACTCCAGATTTCTCGTGCAACTATGTTCGAAACAGTGTCTTTGACGGCTGCCTTCGCCTCGAGAGTCCGCTCATGCGATGGTTGCTCGAGAAAGAACTCCTGCTCCTCGAGTGTGAAAGAGCAATGTATGCCCTTGTTCGCAGCCCAGACGCCCTCATAACGCTTGCGTTCCCTCTCAGTGACAGCATCACGCCATCGTTTTCTGTCGCCCTCATGATGTTTATTAGGATGTTTCCGTACGAGCCGCTTTTTGTGATGTTTGTGGTAGGGGTGCTGATCCTCGGACTCAGATGATGAGCCATCATCCTGCTTGCGAAGAGTATGTAGCATGCCAGTCTTTACTGGACTAGAAGATCTGCTGAAAGATAGCTTGTGGTGTTGGCCTTTTCTTCGCCTTGACGGCACAGGCGGCGGTTCTAGGCGGGTCGGGCTCGGAGCGCCTGATAAAACCAGACTAGATGCAACGATAGCATTGGCTAGATCATCTCCGCTCCGTAGCGGAGTCATCTTGCGTGGATGTGCGGCATTGTACTGCGCAGGTATAGACAAATGAGATTGTACTGATGATGCTGATCTTCCCGTAGACTGCGCACTCATAGGGCGAGGGGGAGGAGCCATTTGCTGATGCTGCTTGATGGGAACAGGGCGAGCACTGCCAGCAACATGCTGGGGCGCTGGTGAAGTCTGCGGTCGCCGCTTTGCATCGTTCTGTGACCTTAGTAGATCTCCATGTGACGGACTGCGTGCTGCCACTTTGGTCCTGACGTGAGCGCGCAGGCGAGATCCACCGTGAAGACTCTCCGATGCAGAAGCGAAAGAATCCTCCGAGGAATGACCCTGGCCATCATAACGATCTGCCAGGCCACTATCCTCCTTCCCTGGGTCCACATGATCCATAGCCTCTTCCCCTTTCACCCGCGCTTCTAGCTCCAGCTGAATCATCGACGTTACTCCCCCAGAGCGTACGGGCTTGGGATTGCTCATGGGCAAGTCCTTGCTCGGCTTGTACACCAGCTGGTCGGGACCTTTGACAGGTGTATCCGACGTAGCAGTCCTGGATCGCTGCTCAAACATATCCACTAGTGATGTCGTTGGCGCGATAGACGTCGTGTCTGTGGGCTTATCGACTGTCGATGGATCTCGATGTTCGCTATACCGCCTGGGCTTGGGACCAACAGCAGGTCTATGGGATGGACGCATGGTTTGCGTACCCTTCCCCTGCCTCTCTCGATGTGCTGGATCCATGGCCACACTCGGCTTCGCCCGAGCTGCTGCGAGCACTGCCGCCTGGTGGGAATCGTCACTGCCGCCTTGAGGAGGAGCGAGAGAAGCACGGGAGTCGGGGCGGCCAGGCGTGGTCGCTGCCGCCAGGGCTCGGTGGTTGTTTCCAGTGCCCCGTCTGGCGGGAGTCATGTTCGTCGTCGTGGGCGGCGCTCGTGGCTTCGGAGGTTGTCGCCCAAAGGCCAACGCGGCGCCCTGGAGGGCGGCATTGTTGTTGTTGTGGTGGTATTGCGACTGTGACTGCGAGGAGGTGGTGGTGTCGGCACTCGCTACTGAGCTGGCTCTCGACACTGGCGCGTGGTTCGCCGGCATGAGCGCATGTGAACGGCGACCATATTGTCAGAGACGTAATCGAGTAGCAGGAGCCACATCGATTATGCGCTGCTGACTCCGAGAAGCAAGCGATTCCGCCTCGTAGCCTAGGAGTATGGAACATAGTTTCACGCTAATTCTTGGCGCGTCTCGCGCAAACTCCATGCGGCGGCAGAATTAGGCTAAGTCAGGTACTGCACAGTAAGGTAAACATCTGTCAGTAGCACGGTTCGACTTCACTCTCTTCCAACCTGAACCCGAAGCGGAATGACAGGTACTCCCCTCGTCTATGCGGTCTGCCTGGCCAATCACGACTAAAAAGGACATATTGTCGTCAATTGCAGTCAGGAGTCGAGACGCTCCGGGAAGTCAAATCACTTCAAAACTTCATCTCAGACTTCATGTATCATCGGAAGCTCGACGTGTGCATCGATGGTTACAGATGAACTGAAAACTTGGGCGACATTGCGAGATCTTGAGCAGCTGACCAGCAGCTCATGAAACAATGAATGATATTGAGATGATTGTTCATTCCCGTCTCATCCTTCTCGATTCTCTCATCTCAAACACATTCCCTTCAATGCTATTCTCTCTGCTCTAGAATGGAATATACACATTAATAGTCTAGGGGAATCTAACTGCTTCGACCCTTCACATGCGTCTCATCTTCCCACACGCGCCTTCACTTTGGCGGGTGCTTCTTCGTTTCGTGACCGAGCGGTAAACCAGCCGCTGGTCGATGATGGTGGTAATTGCATGCATTGACATCATTCCATGCATCTTGTTGGTGTGCAGCGTGTGCGGAACGCGTCGCGTGACTAGCCTCTCCTTCTGGCTTCTTTCTCGAATAAAACATGACTCTTTCGGGGCAGGACTCTTGTCTACACCATATGCAGCATGCGGTATTCTTGTCACACATCGATTCATTCTCCCCTAGCAGGACGTGATTTCATGTACTTTCTTCAGCATAGTGGTTGCTTCACGTCTTGTACGCCTCGCTTGATGACATCCTCCAACTTCCATCGTGGTGCGTTGACAGCCGGGTTGCCACCTGCCTCGAGACAAGATCGGATTTCCACCTCCTCCTTGTTGGTCAAGCCGTCTGGAATTGGCTCCTGGCCTCCAGCGACTCCGGAACTGAATTTCAGTTGAAGCACCTCGCCCGCTTGATCACATGCTGCCAATAATCGGTCTAGATCGTCCTTGGTGTGCGCGGCAGAAACGCAGAACCGAGCTCGTGAGGAGATCAGGGGTGTAGCAGGATAACCGACAACCACAACTGCAATCTTGCGCTTGAGCATCTCGTGGGAGAAGGCTGGAATCTTGGCTGGGTGATAGAGCAGAAGTGGAATGATGGGCGAGTCATCGTGGCCATAGACGATGAAACCAAGACGCTTCAATCCAAGTCGAAGGTAGCGAGAGTTGAACGCTAGACGTTGCAGGCGCTCCTCGCCTTGGCCTGGTGCAAGTTGACCAGCGATAATTCTCAGACTGGAGCTGATTTGCGCAAGGACAGCAGGTGTTGGACACTCGCCATAGATCGTACCCGCATTCGTCACTCGAATCTTATCGATGATGGATTTGCTACTGCAGATGTAGCCGCCGTTGGCACCGAAAGACTTGGTGAACGTTCCCATCAAGATATCAATGTCCGCCGTGTCGATTCCGAAGTAGTCACACACACCACGACCGCGTGGGCCAAGAGCACCAATGGAATGCGCTTCGTCGACGTAGAGGTTGAACTTGTACTTCTTCTTCAGTGCTACCAGACCAGGCAGGTTGCACATGGTACCCTCCATGCTGTACAAACCTTCGACTGCGACCAAGATTTTCCTCCAGGGCCTGTGTGTGCGTGGCTGTCCTTGTGAGATGCGCTCGCGAAGAAGACGTTCAAGATCGTTCATGTCGTTGTGTTGGAACATGTCAATGACTGCACCGCTGAGTCTGGCACCAAATCGAATGGAAGAGTGGTTTAACTGATCAGAAATCAAGAGGCAACCCTTGCCAACAAGAGCCGGAAAGATGGTAGCGTTGGTGACGAAGCCCATGGAGTATATGGTAGCAGACTCCTTGCCAACAAATTCGGCGACCTGGCGTTCTACATCAACGTGCAGATCAGACGTGCCGACATCTCCTCTGGGCGAGCAGTAAGAGATTCCGTACTTCTTCAGCACACGTTCTGCCTCGTCGGCACACTCTCCTTCTGACTGAGCGAAGCCCAAATAGTTGTACGACGACATGTTCAGCGTCTGGGTTGTGGTGCCTGTGAGCTTGAATGACAGGTTGTGGTCATCGCTGGTGCGGTCCAGGAGTGTGATGAAGCGGCCCGGCACTCCGGTGACTGGTCTGCGGAAGCAGTCGTTGATTCGCAGCTGGAGTCGTCGAATGTAGAAGTTGTCGAAATCAGAATTAAGAGGAGCGTATCCATCGTGCTCTCTCAATTGTTTGTAGTGATCTGGCTTGAATCGCTTGCCGAAGAAGTCCCGCACGTGTCCAAAGATGATAAGAATCAGGTATGAGATGTAGGTGGTGATGAGAAAGTAGTACGGAGGCTCGTCCTCGATTGGCTCAGGAAAATCAGTGCCGACGAATCTCGAGGAGTACAGGTGCTGCTTTGAGCCGAGTGGTCCGAACGCCGCGTGCTGTCGTGCAATGCGGCGCGCCTCTGTGGGCGACGGCGGTTGGAACAGTGTCATAGGCTTCGGCAGATCCTCCATCTTGCTCTTCTCGCCCGTTGCTGTCGTCAAATTGATGGTTGGGAGGCTCAGCGTCGGGATCTGTGGGCTCGGCGGCCTGAACTGCGACCCTTGAGGTGGCTTCAGCTGATCCTGTGTGTTGATCTCGGCCAGGGATTGCACTTTGGCCGCCTTGGGAGATGTGCTGAACGGCAGAGAGAACTTTGGTCGTACGAAACGCAGACCGGTCTTGGTCGGCGGGACGGGGACAGTGGTATCTCTCGCCTCGATGCGAATGGGCTCCTTCTCGGAGAGGACAGTCTCGGTGTGCGCGAGGGGCGCGGCAAATGGGTTAATGGCGCGTATGGCCGGCATTGCGTCTGTCGAGGTGTATTATGATTAGTCGAGGAGTTGGTAGAGCGCACTGTGGTGCTATGCAGAGTAGGCGGTCGGAGCCGCAGTCATGCGAAAAAGGGCAGCGGTAGAGTAGTGCAGTGTCCGGCCGGGGGGGGGGCGAGCGCGTTGTTCTGGTTAAGTGTGTTGCTGAGTGCGAGTAGCGTGGCGGTAGCGCGGTGTGATGCGGCGTAGCAGGAAATGAGGTCCAGGAGGCCGGTGCACGAGCAACTGGTGGCCCAAAGGGAGTAAGGTAGTGGTTCGTGCTGGAGGGAGAGAGGGAGGGAGGAGGGAGAAGTCGTAAGGACAGGACAGCAGCAGGTGCAATGTCAATAAGCGGTACAGTCAGAGGCAGGTGCTTGGTCAGGCCAGGAGAGAGAAGAATGGCGATGATGTAAAGGAGGGCAGAGACGGTTTCATGCGAGAAGAGTCTTCCGGTTTGCAGAGCAGCCAGGGCGTGGGCAGCGGGAGCGGCTTGTTGAGTCGGGTGGTGACCGGAGCTGGCTGCTGAGCTGACCTGAGCGCGTTTTGCCGGACAAGGGTCAAAAACTTAGTAGGTGGAAACGCCAAGCGCCCGTTCGGCTACTGTGCGCCTCGCCGTAGTATATCGACGCTGGCGATCGCAATATTTGCTTCTCCCACGTGCACACGAGATTGTTATTGCTGCCCGGAGGATCGTGTAACGTGTTTCGCAGTGCCAGACTGGGTTTGGTTCGGTCCTTGTATGCCTCAGAGTTCCAACGGGCTTTGGTGTGTTCGTGTGTGCCCGTGTATGTGTGGGTGATCGGGGGGGAGGCAAACAATGATGATGATCATAAACGAGAAGAGATGATGTACCTACTCACCAATTCACACCTCTTTCCGTACGATCCGTCCTGAGCCCTGCAGACCAACTCCAACAATGCTCCAACGTCAGTTTCCGATGAGAGCCGTTCCTGGCCTTGATGATGACCCTCGTCACCCTTCCGCCGTCGCCTTCGTTCGACCTGGTTGATGATGGCCTGGATCCTCCCAGGCTCCCACCGACTGACTTCTTCGCGTCCCCGATTCCTCCAGTATATCCCCAAACCCTTGACCGGTGTCTCGATAATGACGCAGGCTCACTCACGTTCCCAAATGTCAACCCCTAATCGGACCTGGAATAATCTCGAATCTCGTCTCGAATGTTGCTAGGCGAAGCAGTAGGCTCCAAACAATGACGCACAGGAGCACAACAACCAAGGTATAGGCGACAAGAATGTCCCAAAGGTGTAACAGGTGTCAAGGAGGGCAGATCGCATGGATTGCGCTGCTACTAGTATTTGTATTCTACCTCTCCTACTCGGCGCTGTATGAAGGACAGGTACCTAATTGCCCCAGCGCTCGGTCTCTACGCCGACCGCAATTTCCCTCGCCCCTGCCAGCGAATTGCAGGTCTCGTGTCCACACCTCGATTCCATGATCAGGGGCCTGAACTCTGCACGTTTTATTTACATGCTCCAGGAGTCCAATACTGAGTACTCTGTCACAGCACCTCGTTTCAACGTGAATTCGCAGTCAACACTGATGCTCTGATACGCATAGCAATTTGCGTCAAGCATCGCATGAAGCCAGGCGCACTTCTTCGTACAAACGCGAGCGGCAAATTTGTCGAGATTCGGGCGAGAACGGGGGAGGAAGCTTCAGATCTCCGAGAAACCGAACTCGGATCGGTGGCAGACGTCGATCCCGAGCAGGATTTGGACACAATTTTTTGGTTGCAAACTGCAATTGTGCAAAATGCTTAGTCGACATGCGGCATGCCTGCATGTCGTACCACTAGAGGTAAGTACAACAACATACTCGATCCCCCTCCCCTCATCAATAATATAAGTGCTACAGCTCCACCTATCTCTGCACCTAGTTCGCGTTTTGCAGCGTAAACAAGGCTTTCTTATTGTTGCACAACATACATGTGCTGCCGCGTGCTTGCAGTGCCCAGTGCACTGAGTGCAGTGCGAGCTGACCTGCAGCGGGACCTTGCAGGACGTTGCGAGAGACTCGCTGCACGAACGTGTCCGCTGTCTTGCAGCTCTCGTGTTTATACTAGGAAGTAGGTTGTACAATGCTTCAGCTGCCCAGGCTCAGGTGATTTCGTCAAAATCTCCCGTTTGCGCATGCTGGGACGCCCATTCAGGTGCCCCTTCGGGCGCTGTTGGCATAGCCAAGTCTTCCGTCGCGCCTGTGCTGCCAACAGGGAGTGTGGCTTCGAGATCTGGCATGACTTCGTCTCCAATGCGCTCCGTCAGGGCAGCTGTCGTGCTGTGGGTTGACTTCGACTTTACCGCCTTCTTCGCTTCCTCCCTGGCTACCTTATCGGCCTCTAACTTGTCATTCAATTCCTCCCACTGCTTCGCTCGCGCCTGTGTTCTTGCGCTCCTCTTCTTGCTATCTTCAACCTTCTTCTCGTGTTTTGAAGTGATTGCATCCGCCTTTTCCAAAGCCTTCTCCTGTCGCTTTTTTTGCGCCGTGGTCAGCTGCTTCTTCTTCTGCTTCTTCTGAATGCCAGCATTTTGCGGGTTGTGCAGCCATGGCTTGTAGTCTGTTTCTTCCTTTGGTGGCTTGATCGACTCGAGGTCTGCGCGAGCAGGTTCAGCACCGCGACGAGCAGCGCGTGATCGCACGGACACGCCTTCGTGAGGGATTAGTATTCGGCTCTCATCACCGTCACCATGACTGCCACTTACCCTTTTTGTTGACCTTTGGCACTTTCATGTTGGAGTGCCTTCCAAGTTACTCCAGATGGATGAATGGGCTTGAATTTGAAGCTGTCAACAAATCGACTATCGATAGACATGCCAAGCCATGCATGTGATATATCACCCTCGTACCTTAGGTTGGCTCTCTGGCCATCTTCGTGCCTACATGTCAGACTACCTTATATGTATACTCTCATCCCTCAGACATAGAGTTTTCCACGGACATCTCACCGATGCCGAGTATCTATCAGACATGAAATCATGGACAACCGCGTCCGCTATCACCGACTTGAGCAGCACCGCGAGGAGGAATCTCGCCCGACAACAGCTTTCTACCTTGTCGTCTCCGTCTTCGTGCTCGTCGCGGTCAACTACGGACTACAGTACCTAGATGTAAATTTCCTCTCTCCGCAAGAGGTTCTCTGGAACACCATAGTCTATGTGATTCCCGCGCCACTGCTACTGAGTGCAGGCCGGAGGCAGGAGCTAAAAGCGAGTAACATGCTGTCACAAAGTCACGCTGCAAAGAGCGAAGCGCTCCGACAAATGCTAGGTCTTGGAGGACATGCGCTCCTGCAGAAGCTACCTGCGGCAGATGCGATCGGGCTCGGGGGCGTCTCGCGAAGACTGAGCATGGGTACGGGACTGCGACCTGCTACTTCGGACGTGCCAGCTGGTCTGGGCAACTGGGACAACAGCTGTTATCAGAACAGCGTGCTTCAAGCTCTTGCGAGTTTGGAAGGCTTCCGTGGTTGGTTGAAGGCAGCAGAGCCCAAAGACAGCGAGGCAAGCTCGACGACAAATACCGCGCTGCAGGAGATGATTTACAAGCTACGGTCAACGGAGAACAATGGGAAGCACATCTGGACACCGGCAAAGCTAAAGAACATGAGCAGTTGGCAGCAGCAAGATGCGCAGGAGTACTTTTCCAAGGTCATGGACGAGTTGGACAAAGAAGCCAGGAAGGCATTCGCGCAGCAGCTACAGAAGCCTGGTCTGGAGGCTATAGTGGGAACAGACCACAAGGGCCAGGAACATGGGTGTGCAGAGGAGGCAGCACAAGCCATCTTAATGCGTAACCCACTGGAAGGGCTGACCGCACAGCGGATTTCGTGTACCCAGTGTGGTTTCTCAGAGGGATATTCAATGATTCCATTCAATTGCCTCACGGTACCACTGGGCAATTCCCGCTTCTATGACCTACAGGAATGCCTCACAGACTATACAAAGAGTGAGGACATTGAGGGTGTAGAGTGTCGGAGCTGCACGCTCATGCAAGCTGCGGAAAGACTGCAGAAGCTACTTGTGAATGCTCCTTTCCAACCTGGCAAGACGGAAAATACGGAGGCTTTGACGGCATCTGTGGGAGGGCAGGCCATACAGCTTCCACCCGAGGTTAGAGCACAAGTGGTCCAACGCCTGCATGCTATTGAAAAGGCACTCGACGAAGATGACTTCACAGACAAGACACTTAAGCAGGACTGCCAAATTCCTCTGAAATCATACGCGAGCGTTGTCAAACGACGAGAAGCGATCATTGGACGTGCACCACAATCACTCGTGATACATATCAATCGGAGCGTGTTTGATGAGATGACAGGTGCGCAACGGAAGAACCACGCCGAGCTACAGTACCCTATGATGTTGGACCTGCGACCATGGTTGTTGGAGTCGTCGAGCTCACATGCCACCTTCCAATTGAGGGCCGTTGTGCAACATTTTGGGAGGCATGAAAACGGGCATTATATCTGTTACCGGAAACATCCAGGCACCCCCCCTCTGACTGATGATGAGCCTGATGCTGCTGATGTGGTTCCAAACGCCGAGAAAGAGAGATGGTGGCGGCTTAGTGATGAAGATGTCAGTCCTGTATCGGAGGACGTAGCACTCGGACAAAGTGGGGCTTTCATGCTCTTCTATGAGCGAGTCGGCGAGGAACTTCCTGCCGTAGTAGATGAAGAAGCGACGCCAGAAGCTGCATCAATACCGCTGCCGCCCGATGAAGCGAGTGAGTGGCCTCAGATCAGTATGCCGCTCTCCACTGCCACCCCATCACTGGTCACATCTTCTGGGCAATCGGTGATATCAGACACAGATACAGACTTGACCTCAGAAGTGGAGCCTGATGGTGCATTCCCTTTGCCCGCAGGAAAAGAACCAATTCAGCCTCAGATTTCGCCCATTATGAAGACGGCCACGAGTCCTACGGAATTGCTGCAAGGACTAGGAATGGAAAGATCTTCAATGATGAGCGTCTAGTGCTAGTAAGAGTTGAAGGCGACACGTTTGTACGAACAGTAATCAATGACGATACCCATGCACCTGGTCCAGAATACCACGCATTGAAGTTTTCTTTTCCCATGTCAAATAATGCTTTGGGTAAGGTACCTAGGTAAGGTAAGGTAAATGTACATGTACCTAGTTGCAAAGATGTGCCAAGCCCGGAAGTGAATGTCAACTCCACTTCTGTCTGTCACATGCATCACCAACTGAACTCGTACACTCACGTACAGGTCTACAATCCTGTCCAAGAGATATCATGCTAGGCCACGACGGAGACACCCTCGCTAGTAGTTGCGACTCGCCGATGCCATGAGCAACTGGATCGAGCAGTACTCTGCTGCTCTCGACGCCCGCGATGCTCGTGAACAGATGCACAAACCGTACATAGACGCCTGTACGCGACACCTTTCCCCCCTCCCTCTAAGTGTTCGTCATCGCAAGTGCTAAAGTGTGCATGCGTAGACACCAAGCTCGCCGACCGCACTGCAGCCGCCGCCGCCGCCGCTGCAAAAGTGCCTTCCAGCTCGACACCCGCTCTCCCAGACCGTACTGCAACACCACCGAAATCCCAACCTCGTAGCTCCACCAAAGGCCCTCTTCCAGATTCCCAAGCAGCAACCGACCTTGTGGCCACTCTGAGAACAGACCTTGCCAATACTCAGCGCGCGCGCGCATCTCTACAACTGCAAGTTTCCGAGCTCACCGCATCTCTCCATCAGCTACAGACCACACACAAGGAATCCAGCGCGCAAATCAATCTTTTAACGAAGCAGAAGGCCGAGAGTGAGCGGAAACTCAGGGATCGGGAGGAGGAGATACGAGGTAAGGCGAAGTTGGTGGAACAGGCGCAGGATGAAATGGTCAGTCTGCAATTGCAGTTGTTCAAGGCTGAGGAGAAGCGCGACGAGTTGAAGGAGGAGAACAAGGAGTTGGTTGAGAGATGGATGAGGAGAGTAGGGGAGGAGGTCGACAGGGTCAATCGGGACACCGGGTGGGAGTGAGGACGTTCTGGAGGATGGTTGAGGCGAGTGGAGATGGTGTCGAGGCGAACACTCGGTGAGACCAGGTGAGCATGTTGATGACAGTGGTTACCCTATGATGAAAGCCTACATCTTTTGCCACATTCATGGACATTCCCTCATGAGAGTGGGATAGCCACGACCAACAGCGAGCATGCGCTCTCAGGCGATGAGGGTGTCGACACATGGCTCCGTCCAAGCCACCGTGATCACAGACGCGGCGTCGAGCCGCCGGATTGGAGAGGCTTGCACCATGATCGGTCGACATGACCAGTCACGCATGGCTTCGTAGTCAGTAATCCGAGGTCCGTTTGCCTGATCCAACATGACGGCTTCTCGATGATATCTGTCTTCATACTTATAAAGACTTGGTAAGCCTATGCTTCATACTAGAAGCTACAACGCCGCGGCTCCACACGATTCCAGCTGTTATTTGAGGACTCACGACTTGCAATTGCACCGTTCCACATGACACTCATTCGCTCCGCTCTGGTCATACCATGGGTCAAGTACAAGTTTGCTGTGATGGCTCTGCTACTCACCACGCTACCGATGCCCACGCAAGCTGTTGTACCTGTCAAAATAGGCACTCCTGCGCAGAATGATAACCTCACTTCACCGGCAGGTAGTTACGACTACACACCAACACTACAACTGGAGCCTCGGGTGCCTCCGACGAGCTATAAAAGCGCCGTCAAAAAGGGCAGAGAAATGTGGGCCATGATCGAAGATCCTCTCAAGACCAAGCAATCAACATGGGCTGCCACAGATATGTCCAAGTGGGGCTGGAGCGTCAAGTTCGACAAGAATATTGAAGTGTTCAAGGACAAGACTTCAGGTCTTGAAGCCGCGCTTGCTGCGTTACAAGTCTCACCAGAGACCAGCTCGACCATTCGACTCGAGCACAACAAAGATGTGACCATTAACGGTGTTGAATACCCGGTATGCATGAAGTCACAATCAGCAGAAGAAGAGAAAGCATACTACCTAACCAGAAACATCTTACTCATTTACTTACGTAGGCTACCAATGCCGAATACTGCGGCATCTACAATCCCGCCAAAGGAGTCATCATCGCCTCTGATCGACACAGTCCCAACTATCGCAAAGCCACATCCAGTCATCTCTCCAACAATCAATCCCCTTTACCCCTTCTCCAACACTGGTCAGATTTGACTTTTCTCAGCTATCAACTCCTTGCGTCCGCGCAGAGTAATAGCTCTCCTCTTCCTCCTTCTTCTTCTTCTGCATCACCTTCTTCCTCCAACTCCTCCTCCACCCCACCCCTCCCCCTCCAATACATCTTCATCCGCGGCATCACCAACCGCGCAACTCAACAAATCATCCTCGCAGCTTTACAACATGATGGATATTTTCAATCCCCAAACCTTCCAGACACAACAGTAAAAACCAAAACAAACACGAAAACAATTCTTCCCTGGCCCCATTTCTGGACTTTTACACCTCACAATCCCAACCACATCAACAACAACAACAACAGTGCGAATAAAAAGAATAATCGAAAAAAGGGGGGTTCTTCTTCTTCTACTTCACCATTATCAGATCCTTTTCTCGCAATTCTCGGAACAGAGAATTTTGCTGGTGTGGCTCCTTTGTTGGCGCAACATCATGTTTCTCTTCTCCTTCCTCCCCCTTTTTCACCTTCTTCTTCTTCTTCATTAGGATGTAGCAGGGAGAAGCGGAGGAGATCGATCAAAAGTATTCGAATTTGGGGCGAAGGGGGCAATTCGCAGATTTTGCATGGGATGGTGGAGGTTGGATGGGAGTGAAGGAATTTTTAGATTTTTGCGTGAGAAAAGGGGGGGAAGATTGAGAAGGGAGGGATGGAGGGAGGGTGACAAGGTATTATTACCTTTGAATGGTAATTTTGGGAAGAATGGGGTGGAGATCGAAGAAAAACTCTGAGGGAGGCAGTTTGAGGTAGCGGAGAAGGGAGGATTGATTTTTACCTTATGGATTTTCTTAGGAGTTTGGATATGGATGCTCATGTAGCTATGATAATGGAGATTTATGCGTAGCTGATCATATATATATAATGATCATCGCAAGATTCGAATAGCGCGCACATACACTCAGACTCGATCGTCGGTTTCGTTTTGCACCACTTGAGAATAATCTCCCTTGACATATGGAGGCCTGCGATGTAGAAAAAAAAAGATTTTCCCGTTAGCAAGGTTCTTTCTCCGTTCACGCAATGTAGTAAGTAGTAAGTAGTAAACGAAAAGGAATGAAAGATTACAACCAGACCAATCACCAAACCGCTTCTGTATCCGCGGAGGGGAGCAAACTGGCAAAAAGTACTAATACCTACCTCCAATAATTCTTCACAGCAACAATCGCCGCCGTCCCAACAGCCATGAAACCCAACAGTCGACTCCAACCCGCATCATACTGCAGCTGCCCAACACTCAACGCAATCAAATCATAAACCAAACACGCCCCAAAAATCCAATCACTGCACAACGCCGCACCTCCGAATCCCAGCCCCGTCAGAATTTTCACCGTCGTCGACGGGAAGGAATTTTTATAATATGCCACAGAAGTATTATGCAACGCGTCCAAAACTCCTATCCCCGCGAAAGTTTTGGACACGATGTGTGTGAGGACACTGGCCGAGTTGCGCGTATCCATGGGGTTGTTGCGTAGTTGGGTTGCGAGAAAAAATATTTGCGCAGAGGAATTGATGAGGACGAAGATATTTGCGAGAGACAAATGGGAGGAATTCCAGAAAAACATCCAGGTTCCGATGCAGAAATTTCCGAGAGCGTAATAGGGGACGTAGGGGAGAATTTTATCCAGAGAAGATTTTGAGGAGGGGTGGGAGGGGTGGAGTGTGCAGAGTTTGTAGAGCCAGAAGAGTTGGAAGAGTTGTTGGGGGAAGAAGAAGCCGGCGATGAAGAAGGGTTGTGGGGAGAAGAAGGAGAGGTTTTGGTCGTGGATTTGTTTCATGTTGGGGGTGCTGAAGATGCCGTATTGTTGGGCGGCGAAGTCGTAGATGAAGGAGGCTGGGGCGAGATATCGAGCGGTGCTGAGGCTGAGGCCCATGATTGATGGGTGGATGGTGATGATGGATATGGACTTGATGGTGGTTGTTGGTGTTGTTATGGTTGGTTGATATTTCGGGTCAGTAATATGGCTTGTTACAGTTGGTCCGTCCTCCTGGTAGATATAGTATCTGAATGATGATTCAGAGATGAGGTTGGTGATGGAAACGAGACTTTTTCTTATTCACAGACTTACAACACGTCATTCATCCGATGAGGTGAAGCCGGACAAAGAGAAGACTCCGGACAATGTGTTGTCGTGGAGGAACATGGAGATGTCATCATCATTGCCCTTACATTTCCCAATAGAGTTTACCCTCACCCCTTCATCCTCGTCTGCTTGCCGACCTCACTCTGCTTCCCCTTGGTATACCTACATATACCATGATAATCCTTTTGTACCGCAATCTTCAACATAGCCGTATTGTCAATGTCAGTGATGGTCATTATGGACGATAATTTCTATAATCAAAAGCTTCTGGCTTTTCATTCACATTACGCTACATATAAATCTATACACAAAATCATAGCACTGTTTTGGTAGTTGTTCATCACAATCCTTCTCCAATAGTCACAGATTTCTGCCGATCGGGAAAGGCCTCTCTCTCGGCGCCGGCAGCATCGCTGCTGTTCTTCCCGCTGGTATCAGCACTATCAGGCACCTTGCTACCATCCCACTTGGCACTGGTGATGGGGTTCACTCCGAGCATGTACATGGTATCAATTTCCTCCAACGAGCGGTCCTTGGACTCGATCATGAAGAAGAAGACAATGACTGCCAACGCCAAGCAACATCCGGCGAAGACCAGGCCGTAAAAGTAGTCGATTGCATCCGTGATGAAGCGTGTGAAGAAGGAGATGAGGAAGTTCCACAGCCAGTTCGATGCCGTCGCGAGAGCCATTGCTGGTCCCCTGTATTTCATGGGGTACAGCTCACCGACAACAGCCCAGACGAGTGGACCCCATGTCGTTGCAAAAGCAGCAATGAACAGGCAAGAGAAGACAATCAGGACATTGCCCGCAGCAGGCGATTGGGTGGGATCAGTCTGGTCCAGGGCGAAGTGGCCCACGAAACTGTACACCATGAAGCACATGAACATCCACAGAGCTCCGACGATGAGGGCGTTGCGGCGACCGCACTTCTGGACGACCCAGAGACCGCCGATGGTGCACGCCACGTTGACAGTACCCAGGATGATTTGTGTGACGTAGGAGTTACTGAGACCGGTGGCCTTGAAGATGGTTGTTCCGTAATAGAAGAAGAAATTCGCTCCGGTGAGTTGTTGGCCGGCTTGCAGGATGACTCCGAGAGCAACACGGTAAAACATCTTGGGTCCTGTGAAGAGCTCGATCCATTTGGCTTTGCCGGCAGCAGTCTCCTCTTCGTGCTTGACCCTAATGTCGTTCATCAATAGATTGACCTCACGGGAGTCCTGCGCGAGGCCGCCCAATCTGGCCAGGGTGGTGCGGCACTCTTCGACACGACCTTTGGCGTACGCGTAGCGAGGGCTCTCGGGAAGGAAGAGAATACCGACACCAAGAACCAGAGCCCACGCAAACGAGATACCGTTGGGAATGCGCCAGGATGCAGAGTTCTCCATCTCCGAAGTTCCCCAGTCCACCATCTCGGCAGTCCAGATACCGAGAGTGATGAACAGCTGGTAGCTGGCCACAAGAACACCACGAATGACAGCTGGAGAGGACTCGGACTGGTACATCGGCACCAGGACCGAAAGCGATCCAATACCAACACCATTGACGAGCCGACCGATGGCGAATTGATACCTAAGATCTGTCAGCTGGATCAAGTTGAAGGTGAGCTAGCGAGCGAGTGGGGTCTTACCAAGCGGTATCAGACGAAACCTCGATGACAGTACCAATCATGCAGGAGAAAGCCGAGATGGAAATCGATCGCTTTCGTCCCAGGGTATCGGCAATCTTGCCTGCCAGCAGTGCCCCAAACAGACAGCCCACACAGAGCAGACCAGTAATGGTTCCTTGTCGCACAGCAGAGAAACCCAATGTACCGTCAGGCTGGAGCGTACCGAATCGTCGAGCATAATCGGCCATGGAGAAGAAACCAGAGATTTGACCGGAAACATAACCGAACATGAAACCTCCAATCGAAGCCACCAGTCCGAGGAAGACAGCAATGAAGGTGACCTTTGGTGCTGCTCCTGCTGCTCCGCCCCCAGGAGGCGAAGGAGCCTTTTCTAACTGGCCGGCATTCTGAGCCTCGCGCTCGGTGCGCTTGAGGAAAGGCATGATCGGCGACGATGTGTAGTTGAACAACACCCGCAGCAGAGAGATAGAGAGACTACTCGAGGAGAGAAGAAGAAGAAGAAGGAGAATAGAAAAGAGCCCCAAGAAAAGAAGAGAAGGGGGAATGGGGTCCTGCTTATATTACATTACAACTCCAGTCTCCAGCCGTCACGCGGGCAACGTTTTGCATGGGTCATTGGAGTCGCGGGGGGGCGGGTGCTTGATGAGATTCAATGCCCATGGGCCGGCCTGGCGAGAACCCACTCATCAAGTCACTAATGGGGTGGCGGCCAGCAGGGCGCGGTCTGGTGAACTGCAGAGACTTGTCACGGTTGTGCTCCGATGATGTCTCTCTCCACCGTGCCGATATGCGTTGAACCCGGGCCCCAGAGAGGGAAGCCCCGTTTCGGATTCTGGAAGATGCGTTTTAGTGTGGATCTATTTTTTTTTCTCTCTTTCCTTTCTCACCCGCGAGATTCTGATGTGCGGTTACGGAGCCTTTGCTGGTAACGTAGCGCTGTAACGCGAGACGGTTGGTACATTGTCAGTTCCCCTTCCTACCTCCTAGTTCTTCGGTGCTTGGAACGCCAAATTGGTGACTTGCAATGAGTAGCTAGCAAGACGGTGTTTTTGCCATTGCGAGCTGGTCATACCTAATTACTACTACTGTTACTTACTACTGACTGCCTTAGCTGACTTAGCCTCTCTTTTTTCCTTTATTTGAAAAAAAAGAGAGAAAAATTGTACTCTACTCTGGGTAGTCGGCAGTCCCTTAATCCCCCGAAAAACACAACTCGTATGCGAGAAAAGGACAGAGTGACGTCTTAGGAGGCCCACTTGGAGGATGGATGGTGAGGATGGTGTATGTCGAAAATGGGTCTGTCTTTTTGTTTTGCAAGGATGAAAAAGAATGGGTGGAGTCTCTTCCAGCGAATCATTCCAATTCATATGGATCTCTTAGCTTCTCTTGGCATTCCTCGTGGGCCGCAACCCGTCCGCTGCACTAGTAAGGAGCATACCCTACCTCCTAGCCATATGTCGCCGCCCGGACTGCCGCACTTCATCTCTCGATTGATTGATTGATTGATTAATGATATCCGTCTTCACTCTCACATTCAGTCAGCTAGGTAAGCAAGTATGAAAGACACATGTCATCTTTTCCCATCCATCCATCAGGCACAACTTCGGTCCCATCCCATCATCAATCGTAAGATCAAAAAAAAAACAAAAAGTCTAGACCATTTGTGCAACAAACACCAAAAAATAATGTCACACCCTCCCCGAAAAACACACCGCGATACCACCGAAAACTTGGGTGTGATCCATATTTCCTCTCTGTGTGAAGAAAAAAAGAAAAGAATTGGGAAGAGAGGGAAGGGTCTCCACATAAGTACCTAGGTGCTACCTTTACCTTTACCTTACTTGTACTTTACTTTTACTGCATTGAGAACTTCCATACACCTCAACTTGTACAACATATCACTAAGGTAAAGTAAGGTATCCTACTGTATATGTAACCACTACACCGGGCCGGGCGGGACACCATTTTTTGGGGGACGGGAGTTTTCGGGCAAGGAAGATGGCGGTCGTTTTGTTTTTTGTTTTTTTTCTGTCTTTACTTTTTTTCTTTGCCTTTCTTTCTTTTCTTTTGCTTTTGCTTCAATTCAACCGTTTTTGTTTATTTTGTTCGGGAGGAAGGGAGGGAGGAGACTAGAAGCGCTAGAACTTTTTTTTTCTCGAAGAAGAAGAATTACTATCTGACTACTGTTTTGTTTTTGTTCTTTTCTTCTTTTTAGTTTAGTTTCGGGGTTTGAAATAAGGACTCTCTCTCTCTCCTTCTCTCTCTCTCTCTCTCTCTCTCTCTCTCTCTCTCTCTCTAAACTTCATATACCTAAGGCAGTTCTAAGGTAGTTCTAAGGTAAGGTAAGGTACATATATGCACCGTATGTACCTACCTGACTGTTGTACCTACCGTATATACCGTATATACCGTACCTGTAGACACACCTACATACCTACCTTACCTCCTACACTTACCTACTACAGAAAATGTAACCTTACCTGAAGTCCCAAGTTTTGAATTAAGCCGAAGTCGCAACTCCCGTTATTAACATACCTAGGAGCCTAGGTAAGCTACATAAGGACCGTAAGATACATGCACATGTACATCATTGCTAGATAACCGCCAAGACGCTATACCTGACCTACCAGCCGACCAGCCGGCCGATTCCTTCTCTCTAGACATAGGTACGGGCATACATAGGTACCAACTAAGAGCGTATCTAGGAGCGTAAGGTACCTTGCTGGTGGTATGAGGTATAAGACCACCGACCGGCATATACATACATGTACTGTATCTCCAGATAAATGACGTCTTGTTTTTGTTTTTTTGTTTTTGTTAGCGGAAGGGCGGAAGGGAATCGACTACCTTACCTACCTTACCTACCTATGTATGTAGCTGAACCTTACGGTAATGTGTCTAGACTTCTGTCTCATATGCAAGTGTGATGTTGATATTACATGTACCTAGGTAAGGTAGGTAAGGTAGGTAAGCGTGTACGTGTGTGTATACATACATACCTGACATATACCCTACGTACCTAGGTGTGTATAAAATCAAGGTATAAAAGACCAATAACCAAACAGCAACAACATCAAATCGACAAGGAGGTATCTCAAATCCAAATTCAAAGGAAACAAAAAAATCCCGCTTTCATATACCAAAGGAGGTACCTTATGAACGAATCGAAAAAAATCATTTCTCGCTTCGACGACTTAGATCCATCCCATTCATCTTCTCCACTGCGATCCAAGGAAGAAGAACTACTGCTACCGCCTCGTTTCAATCGGACTCACATCGTACGCTGAATTCGACTGGTCATTGGGAGTGGGTGCTCCGACGGCGCCATGCATGGTCAACCCATTCAAAGCACTCTCTTGTCTGCCCACATACGACTGCGTGATGTCGCTCTGATGGTATGCGCCCAGACCGGGCCGCTGAGGTGACGCGGGACTCACAAACTGCTCGTCCCGAGTGAGCACCGGAGATACCTTGGCGTGGTCATCCGAGTATGCATTCTCGAGCTCGTTGGTATTTTTTCGGTTGGGTGCTGCAAATGTGGGTTCGTTCTCGATGGTGAATGTTCGAGAATGCTGGAGAGGTTGGTGTTGTTGATCAAAGTCATCGAACGATACGGTTTGCGGGTGATATGCTTGTTGTTGTGGTGGTGGTGGTGGTTGCTGCTGCTGCTGCGATTGTCGTTGTTGTTGTGAAGGAGGTTGAAAGGCGCCATACTGGTTCGGCTCTGGATCCGCGAATGGATTGACAGCTTGCTGCGGCTGCGATGGAGGTATCTGTGGTGCAGGACTGCGGTTCGGAGGAGGCCCTGCGGGTGCTTGGTATCCTCCAAAGGTCTGCTGCCCGTATGCCTGGTTCTCGCCTGCACCCTGATTATAGTAGCCATTGGTCTGAGTTCCCGGAGCTGGCGTGAACGCATTGCTGGATTGTTGCTGATGTAATGAAGACGGACCAGAAGACGACGAGGCAAAGGCACCATACCCAGAATGGGCGCCCTCTTGCGGAGACTGTTGGTCCTGCTGAGGACTATGTGATGCTCCCGCTGCACGTCTAGCAGCCAGGAGCGCGCGTTGGTACCGACTGATAGCCAGACTGAGCTGCTCATTTGTTTCAATGAGCGTCTGCATGGTATCATGGTCGGGCGCTGGGTTTTCTGCGTTGATATATATCTGCATGCTCTTCTGTGCCGTGTTACACCTCTCGCTGAACTCTTTGATCAGTTCGTTGCCCAGCACCTCCTCGGTCGGCGTGCTTTGCACCAGTTGCAACAGGATTTTCGCAGTGTTCTTTGCCTCCTCAACCCTACTCGCGAGTTCGACGGCAGAAGGCAAGCCTGACTCCCGGTGTCTCCGTCCGGAGCCAGCAGATCTCTCGTGCCCCAGACCCGGCTGTTGATACCCATTGGGAGGCATGTGCGACCCGCGCGCCATATCTGGCCCCCTGAATCCACCTTCGCTGAAGCTCGCGGCATGACCCTTCTCTTTGCGCCACATATAAAACAAGCCCTGGAGGCCTTCATCATTTGCCTTGTCGTTCTCTAGATGATCGAGCGTCTCACGAAGAATCTGCTGAGTGCTCTGATCCTTGCAGTTTCTGAGCATTTCTTTCACGGTGCTCACGAAGCTCATATCAAAGTTACGCGTAAACTGCGGCCCTGGATTGTCTGACAAGATGCGGATGAGCATAATGGCATTGTACTGGACATGTGGCTGCGACGACCATGCCTTTCCCAAGAATCTTTTGATTTGGTTCGCAGCCGCCGCTGCTGCTGCGGGCGACGACTCGGCGGATTCGACGATCACCGGGAGGTGTAGGACTTCCTCGCCGCCGTTGTTCTGGGATCCGGATTCGCAGAAGAGGCGGATAGCCCTGGGCGCGTTCGCTTCGGGCGAGTCGGACGAGGCATCTTCATGCTTGGTGCTGTTGTTCCAACTCCCGTTTCTCAGGCCTTTTTCGACACCGCGCTGGTCAGCTTATACGTCGCCGATCCCTTTGTAACAGCGAGCCCACATACTCTTCGTTCTGCCGAGCAGTCCTTTGAACTTGTTCATGTTGCGCTGCAGCACACAAGCAAGATCCACGCCGTCGAATCAGTGCAAGCGCACGAAGATGCAGCGACAAGATGTAAAGCAGGACAGAACAGGACAGGTCTCGTACACCGAGGCCACGATAGTTCACGGAGTGGCTGAGCTGGGAGCTACATGTAATGTACCTATAACAGTTCTACCTATGCAGGGTCCGTAGTTTGGTTAAAACCACTAGCGCCAAGTCCTTACACACGTCCCGCCGCGTCACAACCTCACATCAAAGACCATCCGAGCACGTGTCAAACGACGTATTTTTAGCTTGGCGGGGCTATATCAACGATCATGTGGGCATATGTGTGCGTGAATATTCGCCGTTGGTGTGCGTGGCTAGCACGATTAGGCGCTCGAATTCCAGAGACACACACGCCACCACCACCAGGCTAGGCTACAGTGACTAGACTGTGAGACAGTACGCGAGTATGAGTGGCGAAGGAGGGTGAATATTTTTGCTGTCATTGAGCATGGAGTGATTACCTCCTACTGCCTGGGATCGTTGCGGACACAAGCTCAATGTGATCACCGCGATTGGATCTCCAGGCGTCGAAGAACCCCAGGCGTCGAAGCAATGCCCATATTGTGCATTTCAAATGAATGCGGCGTGAATTGGAAGAGGATGTGAGGGGGGGTCCTTAGTGGCAAGTTGACGAATTTCCAGGTGCTTAGGTTGGACGACGTAGTCTCGCGATGCGATGTGCTTTGCTGAAGTAAAATGGTCAGTAAGGGTGAGCTGTTCAGTCCTCGACGTCGTCGTTGCCAACTCCTAGGAACATGGAGGGCTGGCCCGAGACATAGCTAGTGCACTGTTGGCTTCTTCTTCCTTTGGGTGAGATGTATCAGGAAAGTGTGAGAGGCAAGATCGTAGAAAGACACTCCGAGACTCTGATTTATTCCAGTGAGATGAATCAGTCATGACTGTAATAGGCTGTAGCAGTGCTCGCGGAGTGGTGTGAGAGTCGTCGAAGGTGAATGGCGGTCCTGGAGGCCTAAGTACATAATAGCATCTGTGAATATTCGTCGGCTTCACTTTTCACTTCACGACTTTATAAATTGGTTTCCGCGTCTTGATCTTCGTCCAACATACAACAACAACAACCACTACCACCTTCCTGATCACCAGGAACACACCTCGAAAAGGGCAACATGGCTTTCATTCTCCAGGCTGAAGAAGTTCCCGACGCGATTCCATGCAAAAACCTTCTCGACTTGCCACGCGAGATGAGAGATCTAATCTATTACTTCGCAGCATTCTATCATCTTCGAGACATCGGACCTTGCAAAACACCAGGGCTCTTGCGCGCAAGTACGTGTTTTCTCACATAGGCTGGAGCCTTACAGCTGGACAGTAGAGTCTCTCGAGTCGCTGACAGTTCCCCGTAGATCATCAGACTAGAACAGAATTCAGCAAAGTGGTCTACAGCACCAAGTTACTGCGGATCACGAAGTTTGAAGGCCAACCGCGCCGTCTGGCCCGGGCCCGCCTCGTTAAGCCCCGCACCAGTTTGGTCCCCCAGCCTTTTCCACACTCTAGCATCGAAATGGACCTAGAGCACAACAAGGCAGTGCTCGAGCACAAGTACTACAGGACTAGATTCTTCACTAGCCGATTCGGCTGCTCCAGATCGGGCGCTCAACAGCTTCTTATTGCGTTGGAGTTTTCACATCCTGGCCACCAGCGCATGGGTGTATTCAGTACATTGGAGCTTGTCGGCACAGGCGGAAAGTACTGCGCAGTAGTTGACGTCCCTTACATGGCTATGATGGACAGAAGTATTGACAACCTTCATCGTCGCCTGTGAAGTAGCATACCCAGCAGACTTGTTTTGTGTAAATGTCAGGGCCAACGTTGAACAAGTTCATTCCGAACCCTAGCTACGGAGTATGGTGGCTTCAGATGTCGAAAAGCAAAGCCCCGTGTAGGCATGGACGGTGGGTGTACATGGCAAGAGTTCGCACAATGAGGGAGAGAGCCAGCTCTGCTCACGAGGACGGACGAGCGTGAGCATCGCCGATCTTTCTTCCCGTGTGCCTCTTTTTGTGGCATTGTAGTAGCGACGCGGTAGCTGGTACGAGCTTCATTCTTGTCCTCTCCGTCGTTCGAGCTATACCAAGCTTGGGCATCGCGTGCGCAGTTAGTATGCTACAGCAAAAATCTGCTTCACGAGCCTGTGGAGGGTGCGCTTTCCGCCTGATCCTGGGATGGAGGTTTGTATAAGAGTCCGCAACATTCCAAGGGTCTACTCTGCATCGTCCTCGTCATCTTCATCCTCATCGTCTTCACCAAGAATCTTCTCGACGATGAGATTCCCACTCCTCCCAATCCTGTCACGGATGGTGCCCTTCCCATCTACATCGTATGCCTCGCGCGGCATTGGCGACACAAGTCTGAATTTGTATGTATGTTCGTATCCCTGCGGCTCCGGCACCGTCTTCTCAGAGATGTCCTGAAGCTCGTCATAGCACTCCACAAAAGCATATAGCTCCTCCAGTTCCGCATCAGGTCCGAATTTTCGTATCACACGCTCTCCAGATGGCATCCTCAGACTCATCCTAACAGCGTCCTTGACCTCGGCGCCCGGCTCTGCAGGAATGCTCTGGGCTCTCCACCTTCTCCATTGCGCCAGGTTTCGTGCGTTTCGAGCCTTGCGTTCCACCGCTTCATTTCGTACACGCTCAGCTTCCTCCTTTGCTGCTTGTTCCTCCTTTCTCTTCCTTGCCTTTTCACGATCCATAGCCAATGATCGCTCGTATGCGGTTTCTTGCTCCTGTCGTAGATTCCTTGTAGCCTGTTGCTCCTGTCTCTGCCGCCGTACTCTATCCAATTCCGTATTTTGACTTTGCATTGCCGTCTGGAACTTTGTGATCAATTCCTGCGCAGGAACCGGGCCTGCCGAGCTCGCTATTTTTGACATTGCTGTTGATGACACTGATGGCGTGTGTACGACAAGTGCAGTATAGGGGAACTTCGTCACGTTCAACGCGGTGCTGACCTGATATGCCTCTGCGTCTTGCACTGTCCCAGCCCACAGGATGATGTTGTTGCTTGAAGCCTTTACAAACTCCACGAGCTCTGGTGATAGCAATGTTTCACTCACAAACCCTGCATTGTCGTCGTGTTCTGGAGATAGCAGCACCACGAGAAGGAACTTCAAGTCTCTCTTGGCGATATCGAATGCCTGCGCATACCCGCCTTCATGGAACGGCAGTGTGCCATGCTCCACCCCATACTCCTCTTCAAACTCCCTAATGAACCGTGCTGCCGTATCCCTCGGCGCCAGCGGTCTTCGAGATGCATCTCGTGAGGGTCGTGACGTTCTCCCCGACCAGAAGCGAGCGAGGAGTCGTGGCAGGAAAGGGAAGACGTAGCCAATGCCGCCAAACAGTCGCTGGAGAAGGGAGTACGCTATGCTGAACGGAAAAACGATGATGGCGAATGGGAGGGGGAGCTGCTGTGTGAGTTGGCTCTCTGGCGTGGGAACGACACGTGGTACCGGTTGGAGTCCAGAAGCCCTCGCCGTTCGAGATGATCTCGTGGGAATGCTGTCCATGAGCGTCTCGGCTCGTCGTGCATTGTGCGCAGGCGGCGGAGCCTGCGCGGCCTCGGCGACAGGATCGATTGTTTCCGCATCGCCGTCGAAGAAGCGGGTAATGGCGATCTGGGCATTCCACTGGCAATTCTGCAGCAAAGGCACTGCCGAGTCCAGGTCCTGGTCCGTCACGGAAGTGTACTGCTGGAGAGCGAGCTGTTGCGCCTCGGTCAGAGCCGACATATCGATAGAGGGGGGCGCCATGTTGCTGTCTGTTACCAGACGCGACACGTTGCAGATCGGCCTTGCAAGAAAGAGGGTGTGATGTGATGGCAGACAGAAAGTGTTCGTGGAAGAGGACGGGAGACAGCTAGGCGGTACATGACAAACCGTCTCGAGAAGCTTTGGCAGACCCACATGGGTTGAAGTAGAACGAGCCCGTCCCGAGCCTCACACCGTGCTCGTTTCATAGGGCTGAGAGCCTGAGGACGCCCGTGGTCCATGTCCCACCTCACGCGTCCGTCCGCAGCCGTGGCGGTCGTTGTTCTGGTTGTTCTTGTCGTTGCTGCATCCCATCACGGCATTTCTGTGATTGTTGGCGGCATCGCGGGCCCCCAGCGGAAGGTGTTTTTTTCGCGGACGTGGCTTGAACATATCCGTGCTTGATGGCTTCGCAATGGACGGACAACAAAGACCCAGCCCCAGCACTACTGACGCCGACGCCTGCTGACTGCGACCATTGTTGCTGCCACTAGCCAGCCCGCCCGCCCGAAGGTACAGTATGCCCGTATTGCTCCCTTGCCGTCTTCTGTTCTGCCTCCCACCGCCCTCGCCTCGACTATCGTTGCGCGGCAGTATTGCTGGCCGAAGAGCATGGTGCTCAGCGGTGTGAGTCGCTCGCAGGGTAGAGGTAGTGGGAGACAGTTGCCACTCTGCACTCGCACTGCGATTGCTGACCATTGTTCAGGCACCCTCGGCGCACCGCTCCCTCATATTCACGTCAACGCCAGATGCGAGGAATGGTATGGCCAACGTAACACCTCGAGCAAGCGACTCTAGGCGGTCTAACCGACATGAGAATCGGCCACCCCCAGGACCCCATCAGCTCTGTCGCAACGGACCAGGGTGTAGGAAACTCCAAGAAGGTCGGCTTTCTACCGCTATAGACATGCCCTCTGCAGCTTCTTATTCCGTTACAGGTACATGCTACTACAGTCACGATTTCTCGGGATCCATGTCTCCCAATGGCACCAATAATCCGTGAGTGTGCTGGTCCTATCATTCACGGGATGAATCATCGTGCAGCTAACACGATACAGCTCGCAGAGGGCGCTTAATGTCCAATCTCCAGCCTTCACGCCCACACTCGCTCACGCAAAGCCTGTCAAACAGATGGGCATCTCTCCCAAAGCTGTGGCTGCAGCCGCATTCACTCCTCGTGGCTCAGGTAAACGATCGAGCCGACCGGGGCATCATAGGCGAGGCTCATCTCTGACAGGATCGGTGACTCCGGCGGCGCCTCTACACAGCAAGCAGTTGTCTGAAGAGTTTATACCACAGCAGCCATTCCAGCAGATCCAGCAGATATCAGAGTTTGTGCCAGGACCAGATTTCGTGCCCGGACAGGACTTTCTGTCTGGACAGCAGTTTATGGGAGTTCCCAGTGTGAGTTGTAATACACGATGGAGGCGTAACTGGACTGTGCTGACTCGGTACAGCTCAATTCTCAAACACACACGTCGACGCAGTACAACCCATATGGCGATTTTGCACAGCAAGGCTTGAGTAGCATGGAGACGTCGCATATCCATGTCAATCCGTACGCACACCACGCAGGTTCAGGTGGGGTGCAGCCTTATTACCAGAACTCGACCGACTATTCGTACCCACTCAATTACCATCTATACGCTCCATTTGGACCGCGACGGGAGAACTTGACGGCCTACCAACGTAGCACGGCCGACTTTTTCATTCCGGACGATATACGCGAAGAGCTTCAGCGAAAGTCGGAAATGACGCTGCAAACGTTTGCTAACAGTACTCTTCCCCAAAGCGTCGAACACTTTCATTCGCTGGTTGCTTTGAATGTGAGAAGCTCCAAAAGTCCAGCCACGTTTGGCTACCCGAGCTCGATCTATAAAGCCACGTCTAAACGGGACGGGCATACGTATGCGTTGCGGCGCATTGCAGGCTTTCGCCTGAACAGTGAAGCTCAGATCAGAACCATCAATGCGTGGAAACGGTTGAGCAGTTCCAGCTTGGTGGCTATACACGACGCTTTTACTGGAAGATGGTTCGGAGATAGTTCGCTCATCATCGTCACTGACTATCACCCTTGCTCACAGAGTCTCGCGGAAAAGTTCTTTGGCGCCACACGAGATTTCAAAAAGTCCGTCAGCCAGGTGGTGCCTGAGAGTGAACTTTGGGGATACATTGTCCAGCTGACCAGTGCACTGAGAACGATACATGGCGCAGGACAGGCGGCACAGACTGTCATGGCATCGAAAGTTCTGCTCACGTCTAAGAACCGTGTCCGCCTGAATGGATGCGCCATTCTCGACATTATACAATATGATCAACGACCGTCGATGCTCGAACTCCAGAAAGCCGATCTCCGGGATCTTGGAAGACTCATATTGAGCATCGCCGCGCGAAATCAGCTGGCGCATAAGGATGCTGCGAAGGCGCTGGAATTGATCAGTCGATCATACACGGAGAGGTTCCGGTCGTGTATCGCATGGCTGCTGGCGCCTCCCCCTTTGCAACAGGATGGCGACGGTTCAGTAGCATCGTCGACGACGGGCGAGTACAGTGCGAATGCACTGCTCACCAGCATCGCCGACAAAGTTATTGACATATACGACAAGGGTCTCCATTATGAAGATGAAATGACAGCCCAGCTGTCGCGCGAACTGGAGAACGGACGAGTGCTGCGGCTGTTGACTAAGCTTGCAGTGATACTGGAGCGACCGGACATCAGCATCACTGGCAATACACGTGGCAACCCAGCTTTGCTCAACCAACCGTCTGCAGCGTGGTCGGAGACTGGAGAACGGTACTATCTGAAGCTGTTCCGAGATTATGTCTTCCACCAAATCGACGCGGAAGGCAGACCAGTCATTGACCTGGGACATATCCTGACATGTCTGAACAAAGTCGATGCCGGCATTGACGAGAAGATTCAACTCATCAGTCGGGACGAGGAGAGTCTGTTTGTGGTGAGCTATAAAGAGGTCAAACGAGGCATAGAGAGTGCTTGGATGGAGATATTGAAGGCTTCGAACACAGCGAGGCGATGATGATATTCTTGTCCACGGAAGAAGCCATGGCCATGGTGCAGTCAGTCGGTGATTGGAATAGTGACTGACATCCGGAATAGAATCATCCAACCGGTCGTTTCTAGTGTAGCACATCCTTGTTCTTTCCGACGCAAATGCCGACGGTCTCTTTCGCCTTTGCGGGCAAGCAATAGCCGACATTGATAGATCAGGTCCTTCGTTTGTCTTTATTAGATACTGTAGATAAGTATATTTATCCAGTCGCGTGCTTCTTGATGACCGGGTTCCTGGGGATACATGTACTGTAGGAGGGTATCATATCTTTCATTGTCGCCGCCTTTTCCACACATTTGCTGTTCCTTGACTCTCCATATCGCTGACCACGCCTCCACCGCCTCCACCGCCACCGCCATTCCCCACTCCCACTCCCACTCCCGCTCCCACTCCCGCGGGGCCATCATCCACCATGGCCAAGACATTCACATTCGAGGAAGTACAGCAGCACAAGAGCAAAGAGTCGTGCTGGGTCATCCTCTACGGAAATGTCTACGATGTCACCTCCTTCCTGCCCGACCATCCGGGAGGGAGCAAGATCATTCTGCAACTCGCCGGCTCCGACGCGACCGAAGAATACGATCCCATCCACCCGCCAGGCACGCTCGAAGACAGTCTTCCCGCCTCTGCAAAACTGGGAACGATCGATGCCCGCACTCTGCCCGCGGTCGAGCAGTCGCCAGTGGAGAAGGGAGAACAGGCAGAAGAGGAGGTGATGAGCCTGGAAGAATGTCTCAATCTGGATGACATTGAGACGACGGCGACGCAAAAGATCAACCACAAAGCATGGGCATACTACTACTCCGCGGGCGATGACCTGGTCTCGAAGACATTGAACAACACCGTGTACCGCAATATTCTTCTGAGACCGCGCGTCTTCGTCGATTGCACCAACTGCGATACATCCACCACCATCCTGGGCCACAAAGTCGGCGTCCCATTCTTTGTCTCACCCGCAGCTATGGCTCGACTCGGCCACCCAGACGGCGAACGTGGTATTGCTACAGCTGCAAACAAGTTCGGAGCCCTACAAATCATCTCCAACAACGCCTCTCAAACGCCCGAACAGATCCTCGATGGAGCACCACAAGATCAAATCTTCGGCTGGCAATTGTACGTCCAGAACGAGCGCAAAAAGAGTGAAGATATGCTCAAGAGAATCCACAAACTTCCTCAAATCAAATTCGTCTGTCTTACTCTCGACGCACCTGTTCCTGGGAAAAGAGAACACGACGAAAGAGGCAAAAACGTCGGATCCAACCTCCCCGTCCGTTCCAGCGTACAACACGCCAAAGACGATGGTCCACAAGCCGACGCGGAAGGTATCAAACTCGCAGACAAAGGCGGAGTAGGCAAAGCCCTCTTCGCAGGCACAGCGCCCGATCTCACCTGGCGAACCACTTTGCCCTGGTTACAGAAACATACGCATCTGCCTATTGTGCTCAAAGGAGTACAAACCCATGAAGACGCGTATCTGGCAAGTTTGCACACTCCGCAAGTACGAGGTATTGTTCTGTCGAATCATGGGGGCAGAGCTGCGGACACGAGCCCTCCGAGCATCCATACTTTGTTGGAGATTAGGAAGTACTGTCCAGAAGTTTTGGAGAAGTTGGAAGTCTACGTCGATGGAGGCATTAAGCGTGGGACGGATGTTGTAAAGGCTTTGGCTCTGGGGGCGAAGGCTGTAGGGTTGGGGAGGGCTCCTTTGTTTGGGCTCGGAGCTGGGGGGACGCAGGGAGTAGAGAGGGTCATGGAGATTCTGAAGGGTGAAGTCGAGACTGCTATGAGGCTATTGGGGGTGGAGCAGGTTGGCGAATTGGGGATGCAGCATGTGAATGCTAGAGCTGTTGAGAGGGACATCTATGATGGTGCTACGGGACTGGAGAGTCTAAAGAGTGCGTACGCGGTGAAGAGCAAGTTGTAGGGCACGATACAGACGCATCGATCAAGAATGTGAGATGTTACAGTATGCTTCTTTTACCTACGACTGCTATGTTGCAGCGCATCGTGAGCCTTGAGATGGACACCGGACCGCTTCCCCGACCCTGACTTCGGTAATTCTTCATCCTTGACCCTGCTGCAGGCCTGATGCTGCAATAGCTACAGCTTCCGACCAACAACTCTACAACTCCAACACACTGAGTTGACCCGAGGCGAAGATCGAGCGGGGACGTGGCTGGGTAAGTTCTATGTAAGTCTTGCAAACCTCCTCATCATTCCTGTTCTTCATTAACTACATACATAAACCAAGCACAACCACCAGCATACATCCAAGATGGAACATACAGGGCAACGACAGGAACAAACCATGATGAAAGCAGCGAGATATTATGGCAACCATGACATTCGAATCGACCAAGTCGAGGAACCAACACCGGGTGAAGGTCAACTCATAGTAGATGTCGAATGGTGTGGTCAGTTCTCGTTGATTTCCTATTCCTACTGACAGTCACGCCACCGACTTCAAGAAACAAAGCTCGCAGAATCATATCTCATTACCCCCCAGACAACACGAAGAGCCCACCACCCCCAGGTTTTCTTATTTCCATATTGCTGACTTCCTCACCAGGCATCTGCGGCTCCGACCTGCACGAATACCTCACCGGCCCCTCCAACTTGATTCCCACCCCAGCCAACCCCACCCCCTCTGGAGTCCACATTCCCATCACCATGGGCCACGAACTCTGCGGTCGAGTCCGCCATCCCCCTCCCGGTTCCCAATTCAAACACAACGACCCCGTCATGATCGATCCACGCATCACCTGTCGAAACTACAACCATCCTTCCTCTTCCTCTCCATCCTCATCTCCATCTCCCTGCCTCCCCTGCTCCTCCCACCTCTCCCACTGCTGCTCCCAACTCGGCTACGTAGGCGGCACCACAGGCTTCGGCGGCTTCGGGCAAGTCGTCGTGATATCCGAAGATCGCCTCTTGCCCCTCCCACCCTCCATCAGCCTCGAACACGCCGCCGTCATCGAACCCTTGAGTGTCGTCCATCACGCCATCAAAATCTCCTCGATCCCTGCGGATTCGTGGAAAGAGAAATTCGTCTTCGTCATTGGAGGTGGGCCGATTGGGTTTGCTTTACTTTTGATTTTGAAGGCGTTGGGTGCGGAGAAGGTGATGGTTTCGGAGCCGACTGCTACGAGGAGGAGGCAGGTGAGTGAGGTGGCGTGGAAAGTTGTGGATCCTGTTGGGGAGAATGTGGTGGAGAGGGTGAGTGAGTGGACCGGGGGAAAAGGGGTGGAGGTAGTTTTTGATTGTGCTGGGGTGGAAGTGGGGTTGAAGAGTGGGATGGAGGTGTTGAGGAATTATGGATTGTATGTGATGGTTGCTGTTTGGCCGAAGCCGGTGAGTTTTAATTTCTTTTTTATTTTCGATCTTAAATTCACTTTCACACACCTACCTACACCTAAGACGACGGAGTCTTCCTCTGATACTTCACTTTCTAAATCACCTAAACCTACCTATACTAACATCCTCTTTCTCCCTCCTTTTCCCCCCCCACCAACCCAGATCACAATCCCCTGCTGGACTTTCCTCGCCAAACACATCACCATGAAAGGCACTCTCATCTTCGCAGACTCCGACATGGAAGAAGTCATCGCCATGATGGCAGCTGGAAAACTCGCAGGTTATGAGAAATTGGTCACGGGACGCATCGCATTAGATGATATCGTAAAGGAAGGCTTTGAAGAATTGGTAAATCATAAAGATGAACATATTAAAATTTTGGTTACGCCGAATCGGAGACGGGATAGTATTACGGAGTAGGTAATGCATGGATGGATGGATGGGAGGTTGGGGAACGGGGGGGGATGTGAGGTACTGGTAAGGTCGAAGGTACGTACTATGGTGGTTGGATCTGAGTGACCGGATTTACATGGACCTTTCTCTCGGCGACTGCGACATAGCATAGGTAATCAGGACGGTTCGAGACGAAATGGTATCTTAGGTCACGTGATGGTATATGATCTTAGGCCGTGAGGCAGTCTTGTGGGAGCGTCTCTGCCTTGTCATTATTGTTCCTGGTACTTCTAGGTGTGAGCAGCCGGGATATGAGGGAGGTTGCTTTCTTCTGTAGGAGAGGCAGAAAGTTCGTCATAAATCAGTGCCCTGGAAGGTGGCTAAAGTAGCAATTTGTACAAGCTCGGCAGAAGAACGTTTGTCTTCCTCAATTCTGCCACAAGTCTTCACTTCGGTTATTCATCATACATACCTACATACAATCGTCCCAACTCAAACTCAGCTCACCAGCAATATGGCACTACCCAGTTGTCTTCGCAAGTCCTCCTTCTCCACGTCGTGGGTATCTTCGACTTCACCCCACTGCTCCGTCTGATGCAGCACTTCCAACGAGCTCGCCTCCTCCGCATGTGATATGCCGAATTTGTCCTTTCCGGGTGCATTGTGCAGACTCTTCCATTCTGAGCTCCACTCGACCAATAGCCGCACGGCGATGGTCAGACTCTTCGTCGCCAGAATTGCTCGCTCCACTGCTGCGAGGTCAAACGCCGACAAACCTGCCAACCAGCCACTGATGACTTGCGTGGTCATTTCCGGCTGTGGGAGGGGCATGATGCTATCTTCACTCAGCACAGGCACAATCTCCACGCCCGGGAAGATGTGTGTCGTCAGGAAGGCAATGATGGGTTCTGCAATGGCCCTTTGGCGTGCGCGGAGATTCTTGGTGGATCGCTGTTGCATCGCTCCCGGGTGGTTGTCGTGTGGATTGCTCTCGGGCGCCCAGCAGAGCAGCGTGTCCGTGGCTAGATAGCGCAAAGCCATCTTGACGATGTTCTCGCGGATGGTAGAGTCGCCTGCGCGATCGGCAATTTCGATGTCGAGGGCTCGTGATGTCAGCGAAGTGAGGGGAATATAGTGCTGTTTCAATGCCTGTTGCGCGGACACAAGTTGATCCCACTCAATGGCGATGGCTGCTGCGAGTGCGCGCTTGCTCTTGGGCAGAGTGAGCACTTCTTTGGTGGCTGTCCGCACAGGCCGACTATCGAGCATAATCTGCAGTCCTCCATCTTTGGTCTCGGCCACTGCAACATTCTTCCAGAAGCGCTTCTGTAGAGCGGATGTGGGTTTTGCCGGGTCTGTCCTGCTATTTCTGCCCTGCTTCACCAGTTCCAGCTGCTCTCTCTTTCTCGCTAGTCGGCTCTCGGGATGGAGGGGCGACTTTTCGGGTGCTGAAGGCGGAGGTCCCAGCACGGTCGGGTGTGAGACCGGCGTGGCACTTTTCGACCCAGACGTGTGTAGACATCGCGCGCATATCGGGGATGGCCTGTACTGGTGTGATCGTGCCAAGGAAGAAGCCGCTCGCAGCGACGATCGATACAGAGAAGAAGCCCCCTCCATGAGATGACGTTGGGGAGATGTGATGTGTGAACAGTGTCGACGTGGGCCTGGATGATTATTTGCTTCACCTGGAAGCTCGCAGACCCCTGCACATACATGTACTAAAGTATAAAACGTTTCCTCGGCCGCTCGGGAGTGAAGTCAGAAGTCCCATGTTCCATTAGTAATTAGATGCCGTTCGATCTCTCTTCGCCGTCCCAAGACATGTATTCACAACACTTTCTCCCATTCACCAAGTGCTTCCACTGGCAGCCACCGCTTGCTGCAGCTGAACAACCTACGTGGCCTCTGCTCATCCACCTCGTATCTCGTAACGCTCAACAGGCGTCCCCAGAATGAGCCATGTCGGTAATTTGCCAGGAATACCACTCTATTCTTCTGCACACGCCGGGCACCGCACCGCTGTTGTGAAGACGGAGAAGAAGGATTGCTGGCGGCCGGGATAGGGAGGACGGGTAGGTGGTAGGTGGCAGGCTGGCAGGCTGGTAGGCTGGTACAGGAGGTTGTACGCAAGGCCAAAGCTACCTCGCAGTCACCCAGTGCTCCCACAGGCTTCCAGTCCCTCCCTTTGTACCTACGTACCGTACTGTACCGTACCAGACAGTGGCAGACACGACCAATCCAGTCCCGTCCCGTTCAGTCCAGTACAGTACAGCACATTACAGTAGACTGTAGTGGTGGGCACTGGTGGCATCCGTCCGCCGTCCGCCGTCCGGCCTCATCTCCGTCCATGTTGAGGGTATAGATTGAGATGATCACCACGATCCATTGCAACGCTGGTGCTACTCGTCACTTTCCAGCTCCCCGTCCCATGCACCGATGGCATCGATTGGCACAGGACTCTCGACAGCGTCGCCGGTCAGCCCACAGCCGGAGTTTACGCTGCAGCCTTGCACATGGTTGGCAGGCTGAGGGGCATAAGCACGAGCGACCTTCCTTGTCACATCCACGCCTCCTCCACTTCCTCCACTGGGGTCAGCGTGCACCAGCGCACCGCGAAAGCTGGGCACAAGGCTATCTTTTGATACTTATGTACGCTAGGCGATGCGAGCCCGTCGCGACTGCACCCATCACACACATGTGACATACTACCGACTGTCTCTCTCCCTCCCACTCGTCGCCCCGGATGTCCATTGCGCCAATCCCCTCTGCCACTGTACCCAGCAGAAGCAGCAGCAGCAGCATCGGCAGCAGCATCAGCAGCATCAGCAGTAGCAGCATGTCCGACTTCTGGCGGCCTTGACCGAACGAGACGACCGCGAAGCCGAGTCCATCTGAAGACGAATTGCGGGGATCGGGAGCCTGCAGCGAGTGAGCGAGAGCACGTGTGGTCCTTCCGTGGGCGGGACGGCGAAATATGCAGATGGTCGACCGTAGCGATGCAGCCGGATCACAGCAACACCCACCGCCGCCGCCGCCGCCAGAACATGCGGCGCAGACGCCAGCAGCAACGACGATATCGACCCCAAAGCAGCCATCGCAGCAGCAGCAGCAACAGCAACAGCCCAAAGCTCTCCGCTTCGTGACCACCTCTGGAGCGCCTCACCCCAAGCGGTATGTGGAGGAACTACTGCATGGAATGCATTCTGTCATCACAGCAGGCGCATACTGACGGTATGCGTATAGGCGACGTATCGGCGCGGCGTGTATGACCTGTCGCAAGCGCAAAACAGCATGCTCGGGCGAGAGACCAACCTGCGAGACGTGTAAGCAAAACAAGCTTGAATGCGCCGGCTACTCCGAAGCTACCACAACACCGGGCCATCATCGAACCACCACCACCCTCGAAAGCAGCAACAGGCGGCAGTCTGACCTTGGCGCTGGCACAAGTGGGAAGCAGAGCAATAGCCAAGACGTGCACGCGAAAACACCATTGTCACCAGGAAATGCGATAGCCAATGGGCGGATTGGCGACCAGTCACCACGCACTGGAGGCGACAAGCGGCCCCGTTCTGCAAGCGATGGCCAGCATGGCGAGAACGGGCAGGCTTCACTCTTCTCAGGGCCCCGGAATCGCATGCCTTACTTTCGATGGCTGGGCCCCACTGCGATTATGCCTGGGTTCAAACAGATGGTCGTGAAGGTGAGGAGAAGCGACACAGATGGCGGTATGCGGGCATCGACAGACGGTGGCGCTGGATCGCCAGCACTGAACGATCCACGTCCCAACGAGCGAAACTCGGCTGCCGCATATTCCGTTACGCCCACTGCTGTCGAGTCCGATATGCGGACACCGCTCAGTCTGCCCTTCTATGACACTTCTTCAGTGCCTCCCAGTGAGCTCATCACTCACCTCGCCAACACCTTTTTCACCCATCTGGGCTGCAACTATCCTTTCTTGCAACATGATCGATTCCTCAAGGACCTCGAAGAAAAGCAGGTGGATCCGGTTCTCGTCGATGCGGTTTGCGCGTTGGCCGCTCGCTTTTCCACGCATTCCCTCTTGACACAATCTCAAGCAGATGGCGAAAAGACTACCCCTGCGGACTATGGCCACGCTTTCGCACAACGTGCAAAGTCTGCATTGACAGAGACTTTCCCGTGTCCTAGCGTCGCAGCGTCTCAAGCAGCTCTCCTGCTCGCCTATAACGAGTTTGGCGAACAGCGAGATAGTGGCTTGTGGATGTATCTGGGCATCTCCGTACGCTTGGCCCAGGATTTGGGACTGCATAAGCTGGAGGGCCTGAGGTACGTCGGCAGAGATGGTCCAACCCCGCGAATGGTCAAACACGATCTGCATGGATCTGCATCGAGGTCCTTTGCACCAACGCCAACGATAGAGGACAACTCGGAGCACGTGGATCAAAGCATAGTCGACAAGCCTACCATGTTGGATGTGCAAAAGGAAGTTGAAGAAGCCCGAGCTGTGGAACAGGAACGTGTCGATACGTTCTGGGCTATCTTCTTCCTCGATCGTGTTGTCTCGTCTGGCACAGGTCGCCGCGCCACATTGCGAGATAAAGATATTGAGATTTCACTTCCGTCCCTGACGCAGACGCATGGCAAATCTGACTGGCCAGCACCATTCCCAGCTTTGATCCGGATAGTCCATCTGTATGGGCGTGTAGCCGACCTACTCAACAGCATCAAAGAACCATCAGACATCACGGCAGAAACCCCAAAGCGCCTAGCTGCAATGGAAAGCCAGGTAACCACATTCTATCAGAACTTGTCACCACGACTGCATTTCGATGCAGTCAACTTCCAGCACTACATGAAAGCCAGCGAAGGAACGAACTTTGTGCTACTTCACTTCTGGTTTCACGCATTGATCGTGATCCTCCACCAACCGACATTACTCAAGACCTTTGCAGGACGAATGCTCCAGCTGTTCCCTAATTCACAGCAGCTGAGTATGAGCAGTGCCAAGACGATTGCAGACATTCTGAGCTACTCTCAGCTGATGGACGGAAAGGCATCGCTCGGAAACCCCTTCACATCGCAGCCCATATATATCGCAGCGTGCGCCTTTTTGAGGGAGACGGCGGAGCAGACTGCTACCAGCAATGCCCAAAGCCGTGCAGGCAGCCCGAACCGGCTCGCGGTGAAAAGCATCAATTCCGAAGGCAGCCCGACGTCTACGGGGCCGTCGCACGAGGCATCACGGCAGGCATCATCAATGCCGAGCATCAATGCCACAGAGGTCCACGACGCGCGCCAGACATCTAGTGCCAATGAGAGGTCAACGCTGGCCAAACATACTTTACTGGCTACTGCAGCGTCACAACACTATCAATTATGTTACAAGGCACTGCAATCGCTCGAGGCGTACTGGGCTGGTACCAAGTACATTCTGACAGTCCTTGATCAGAAGTTCGAAGGCGTTGGTGATCCACTGCTCTACACTGCCGAGGAGGGCGAGTCCTCCATGGAGCAACCTCGGCCAGATCCTGTGTTCACTTCACCTGGATGGCGAAGGAAGCTCAGCTGGAGCTCCTACGTTGCCAATGCGAATCTGCCGTCGCCGTTCTGGCCACCGAAAGGCCTTGTCGGCCCGGTTCCTGGCAGCCCTCGGGACGGCGTGGATCCGAGCAAAGGTAAATTATCTCAAAGCGACGACAGTTTTTGTTTGACCTGTATTGACATATATCACAGCCATTGGGTGGACATTTTCGGGCGACATGAACTCCAAGTCCACGAACCTGGCTTGGCATTATGCTGGTGACGGGAGTAAAAATCCCAACCTCGATCCCAGACTGAGCTCGTTGGCTTCTTCGGCGTACGCCGCCCCGACTGGACAGACACAGCACACTCCGGGACCTGCACACTTGCATCCTGCGGGCACCACCATTTCGAGGCTGTCATCACAACAGCCCAAGTACACTGGTGTCGCAAATTCCGATGCCGAGAACTTGCTCGCACTGAGCTCACCTTACAACCAGCATGGTAGCCAGACATCGCCACCGGCACCTACATTCGCCAGTTTCCAACCACAACACCAAAGTCACGGCCAACCGCCATTGGCAGGCGGTCCGACCAATACGACGGGTCAGCAGACGATGAACGGCTCCATGATGATGAATCCACCGTACACTGGTGGTGGCTTTACGCTCAACGACTTTTCCTTCATGCCCGGAAACATGATGATTGAGTCTCAAGACGTGGACATGAACATGCTGGGGTTGGATGCAATGCCGTGGTTTGACTCGTATCCCATGCAACTCTTCGATCCCAACCAACAGGCTGCAGGTGGTAGTAATAGTGCAGGACGCGCGCAGAGGTAGCTTCTGGTCTTGTGATCTTCTTCGAGTGGTGTGCATTGAACGAGGGCCAAGAACGAAGGTGCCGACCTCGCCTGAGTTGGTGGACGTTTACACTACTCCAAGCACACATATGCTGCTAGTAGCTAGCAACTGAAAAAAACCCGCAATCGTAATTCACAGCAAATGCGCGAAATGTCTTGCGCATTCGCCCTACTATTCGCGGCTCACAGCGGCGATGGTATGCGACGACCACGGCAAACTCCTTAGAGCATTGCCGAATACAGTGAGCATACATATAGCTCACGTGGCGTGCAAATAATCTATATACCCCTTTTCGACAGAAACCATATATATATGCGATTTTAATGACAAACGAGAATCGCATAGCGGGGCTTTTTTTTCTTTATCAAAGCCGATATCAGACGCCGAAGCATCATTATCAAGTCAGACTTGATTTTCAACTTTTTCTCTTCCCTTTTCAAATCCTGTACATCATCAAACCCTTCATCTCAGCAGAGGCAGAAGAAAAAAAAAAGGCAAGAAAGTGAAAAGAAAAGACATGCCTCTCCAAGCCCAACCCCACCCCCCAACCCCAGCCTACCTCCCCCTCCCGGGCTCCATCCTCCACGCCGACCGCACCTTCTACCGCACCATCGCCACCTCGCCACGCAGCCTCTGCCAAACCTTCACTCTCCCGATCCGATCCGGGCGGGCGTGGAAAGTTTCTGCGGGAAAAATCATTCGAATTTCCACGCCCGAGGGCCCTCAAGTCGGGGATTTGAATATTTGGAATGCGAATGATCCGAGAGAGAAATTTTGGGCGGCTAGGACGAGACAGTTGCATGCTTCGCATGTTTCTACGTTTGATCGTTTGTGGAGTTGTTTGCCGTTTTTGAGGCCGTTGGGGACGATTATTGGGGATTCTTTGGCTTGGGGTGGTGATGATGATGATGGGAATGAAAATGAAAATGGTGAGGGAGGGGATAAGGGAGGTGGAGGGTATCCTCAACCCGACAAATGGGGAGGACGATGTCATGATTTATTAGGAACAAGATGTGACCCCTATGTCAACCGGATGTTGAGTGGAGATTCGTATGATTTTCACTGTCATAGTAATTTGACGCGCGCGGTGATGGAGTTTGGATTGACGGAATTTGATGTGCATGATGTGTTGAATGTGTTTCAGGTGACGGGGTTGGATGCGAAAGGGAGATATTTTATGGAGACGTGTCCGGCGAGAAAGGGGGATTTTATTGAGATTTTTGCTGAACAGGATTTGTTGATGGCGCTTTCTACGTGTCCTGGAGGGGATCTTTCGGCTTGGGGGTGGGGGGAGGGTGGGGAGGGGGTTGAGGGGGAGGAGAAGAAGAGTATGTTGGAGTGTTGTAGGCCGTTGAAGGTGGAGGTGTTTGAGTTGGAGGATAGAGATGTGGTGTTGAAGGATTGGAAGCCGTATGAGAGTCCGGATTATCGAGGCAGGCATGGGATGAGTGTGCCCGAGGGAGAGAAGCAGAATTGATAATTGAATGCTCACAACGAACGCCCAGCGGACAATTATTTTAAAACTACAACTTTGCCGCTGACTTGGCATGCGTCCCATCCCATCCTTCCAAAGCAACATTCATCTTCGAATCCAGCCGCGCCTGCGAAGCTCTATACAACTTCGGCAAATCCACCTCTTCCACCTCTTTCCCCTCCAACGCCATCTCCGCCAGCGCCTTCGCAGACAAAAAAATCTGCGGCATACCATGTCCACTAAATCCCGCACAAATAAACTGTCCCGCCTTCCCCGGCACAGCACCAACATGAGGAAATCCATCGGCCGAATATCCCATAATGCCCGTCCACACAGCATCCGTATACGCACCACTATCCTCCCAACCGCGAAAATGGCGTTGCATGTATCCGTCAAAATAGCGTTGAGCCGAAGTGATGAGGGAAGAGTCGTCGTAGTTTTCGTACCAGGTTTCTAGCTGGTGGAAATAATCTCGTCGACCGCCTCCGACGATGATGCTGCCGTCGCTGCGGGGGATGAGATAGTCGTATTCGTTTGGTGCGAGGCGCAGGATGTAGCTGTTGGAGAGGAAAGGTGCGTTGGGTTTGGTCGTGACGATGCGGCTGCAGATTCCTCGGACGCCGATGATTTTGGTTTTGTATTCTGGTAAGAGGGATGATGTGTAGGCGTTGCTGGCGTAGATGACTTTTTCCGCCGCGATGCTGCCTCGAGATGTTTCTACTGCCCATGTGTGAGGTTCTAGGGCGGGTTGGACGGATGTGACGGGTGTGTGTGTTTGCAAGTTTACACCGTGCTTCACGGCTTTGTTGAGCAAGCTGAGCACGAGCTTGTATGGCCAGACGTGGGCTGCAGTATATGTGAAGCAACCTTGGGCTCCTTTGACGCCCGATACCTATTGTTTTTTGCCAGGTCAGACCAAGGCCTTTAAACGTTGTTTGTTCAAAAGCAAGTAACAAAAAGAAAAATGCTGTAACTTACGCCTTGAGCGGTTCGTGTATCACTATAGTGCACTTCACTCGCCGTAGACACATTCGCTTCCGTAAGGGCATCCAGCCCTTGCTTCAAGTCCTTCCGCGCACCCTCGTACATGCATACATCAGTTGCTCTCGTCACAACAAAATCACATTCAATATTCTCTCTTTCTACAAGCTTCTGGACCTCCTTTACCTGTCTCGCCTCGAACGATGCTACTTCTTCAGCAGCCTCTTTGCCATGAGTCTTGAGAGCCCCCGCTGCTCGGTTATAAGGATCTGGCTTTAGATGGCCACCATTTCGCCCCGTAGCGCCCGAACATGCTTCTCTGGCTTCGAGGATGACGATGGAAACTGATCGACCCAATGCTTTGCTCTTTTCAAGCAAGTGATGGGTTATGGAAGCCCCAGCATATCCAGCACCGATGATGACAATATCTGCTTTGGCGGGCAATTGCTCGGTCGTTCTGTGATTGTCCAAGGGTTGGGGGTCAGATCTCCAGAAAGACTGCGTGGCATTAGCTACAGGTACGGCCATGGTGTTTCTCTCTTCGATCGGTGCAGTCTTGGTATTGTTGAATGAAAGCATAGGTGAGCCGTGACTTGGACAGGTGAACGGTACGCAGGGCTATGTGCTTGGCATACACCGGACCGGTGACCGGGCTTTGCCTATCGCTCGCGGCCGATAGCGCTTGTTCCTTCGACCAGCAATGCGTTTATGAATTATGAATGGTGGAGGTTGGACATGGATATGGGAAGGCGGCGTGGGGACATTCAATTGAGTCCGTCGCAAGTGGATTGCTTGGTAGACGCGGAGACCTTGTCAGCCAGCTTCAGCAAAGTGGCACAAAGCACATCCACTAAATCAAACAAGTCTGTTGATGCTTCATTATCCCCCAGTGAGCAATACGCTCCTCTCTCTCTTTGCAGAAATCATTTCCTCTGATGGGTACATACATTAGTGGACATCTCTGCTGCTGCACCGTCCTTGTTCACCTCACGTACACATATGGCCGGCGCGGCCCGGCGGTATATCACGATGTATCCCTTTCTTAGATCAGCTGCTCAAAAAACCAATTCCACTAGAATCGCAAAACTGCAGATGCTCGGCAGACAGCTCTATACCAGTTTTCTCAAAGACACCGCCGATTTAAGGCGGATCGACCATCGTGAACGCCCGGATATCATGCGACTTCTCGATGCATTCCTCAGTGCCAGACCTCCGTGTGAGTCGCATGTTGCCTTTCGGCATGACGCTGCTCATGACGGCGATACCAACGCGCAAGGAGTATCCCAAGGCATCAAGCGGAAGGCACTGGTCTTCAAGCTATGAGGATTGCTAGCCGACTTGTGCGGACACCAGGGACGGCAATTGGCCCAGAGACGTGCCGCGTATAAATCGTCCAAATCGGCCCATCGCTATAGTGGAGGTGGCACTTCTGGTCGAGGCGCAGGACCAAGAGATCCATTGGATATGCTGAAAGCCTCGTCAAAGTGATGCATGCCCAAAGCTTCAAAGTCAATTGGGGTCTCGTTGAACATTGATGCATCAAAAGGGCTCCAGTCCAGATCTCCAAAAGGCTCATACATATCGAATGTTCCGGCTGTGTGTGTTGGCAGGGGGTCAAACAGACCTTCAGCTGGTTCTCGCGTGTCGCCTTGGAATCTTGTGGCCAAGTTCTTGAAGTTGCTCAATGTCTCTGCGACTTCGTGACCTCTTTGAGCGTCGAGATGTCTGATAGCATTCTCAAGGGACGTCACGAGTGACGCTTCCGACCTCGTCGATGCGTTCGCGCTCGACATGTATCGGATGAGATTCATGCCTTTTCCGAGAACGTCACGCGTCTGCTGGGACGATTCGTGCAGACACTGTGCAAGCAAGACCAGTACTGCTGCCCTGCAAGCGGAGAATTCGACCCATGATGCTTTGGCAAGCCCAATCGTTGCATGCATCTGCTGTTCGATAGCGACGATTTGCTCCGCTGATCGTAATGCCTCACCTGCAAGCTCGGACCAGCGCTCGTTGAGCATGGCTCGGCCACTCAACTTACGAGCCGTTGCAGCATTTAATCTGGCTCTGTTGAGCAGAAAAGGTCTGCCAACGAAGACAAGATTCATGTGCTTGGAGAGATGTAGATGAGCCACGGCTCGTGATTGCTGCATGGTATTGATGTCCGGGATGTGTGCACTTTGCCACCACTCGAGATATTGGCCCTTGATCTGCAGTAGCCGCTCGAAATACGTGTGGCGCAATGAAGGGGGCGACTTTCGCAGCATGAAGATGACAAAAGCCATATCGCCCAGCCAATCGGTGATTTTAGTCATACTATTCTCCAGTCTCCTGATATCTGTCTCCGATTCCGTCGCTGATATTGTGTCAACAGGATGATCAGCATCGACTTCGTTCGACGAGATGGAGGCTGGTCGGCCATGCAGGATGCTGACTCGTTTCTCCAGACGGTAGGTACTCCACCACAGCCTGTTACGCAAATCCCGAGTATAGGCATCGAATTCATTACCTAGATGCTTTCGATGCATTCCATTCTGTATCGCCATTCTCAAGGCCAACCCGAGATACGTGTAAGCCACTCCGTGCGCATCTAAAGGCAGGGCGTAGTGAGCCAGGAGAAGAAATGCTTGAACGCTGTCCACACTGGCTATCGCGATGATATCCGGGATGAGGTCCGCCGCTTGCTGGTAAAACGAGATGCCAACAGCATCAGCGACAGACTCGATGGCGTCCTCGCCATAAGTTGGTGTATTCTGGGGCATATGGGCGAATTGAGTTCCGACTGCGAGCACCATGAGCGTACTACATAGCCAGCATGCGTCGTCGGCGGTTAGCACGATATTCTTTCGATACAGAGCATTGACTCGCTCGCGAACCCATCCTTCTTCGACAAAAAACGTCGTCTGCTGAGCGAATTGGCAGAACTTGGAAACTAGGAATAATGCCACATCTTTCCCAGGCAGGCTTTCCAGGATTGATTTCATGCTGGAGTCCCGAGATTTCAAATGATGGGGTCTCCAATAGTCCAGAACCTGGAACTGATTGACAGCCTCGCCGCCTAACTGCTGCTCAACGTAGGACTTGAGCCTCATGGAGAAGTTCCAGTGCGAAAACTCGCCCGAATAATGCCAGATTGAACTTCCCGATGTGGTATTTGCGGAGACGTTCTGGACACTGAAACGCTCTTCTTCCAGCGTGGGTGTTTCCGGGTCATCGGTGGGCTTCCTGTGCGTGCCGTCGCTCTCGGACTCCAATTTGGCCACGATCTTGCTCAAAGCATCATCTGTGAGGGTCACGTCTCCGAGAAAGTGTCGGGCAATATACTCGAGATGCTGAACGCGTTCGTGAGATGGGCTTGCGCGCTCCGCATGCGATTTTGATGGGCCATTGTGGGAGGATGAAGCAGGCCGCGAAGCAGCATCGGCCGGCTCGCACAAGCGGTTATATCGCGAGCATCTCGAACACGGCACTTGGCCATCGCACTTCTCCTTGAGTCGGCGACAACTCTTGCATGCAACTGCGGCTCGCTGGCGTTGCTGCTCTGGAACCTTGGGGCGTTTGCGCTTGCGAGGCGGCTTTGCAGGCACAGACACGGGCACGGGGACAGGCACAGGCACAGGCAGATGAGCACTGGGTGGTGCTGTTTCGGCCTGTGGGAGTCCCGTGGTGTGATATACCGACATGGCAGTGAAGCCATCGATTATCCTCTCCGCGATGCGAGTTGTGGTGGGCGACCTGCGGCTAGATTAGATTAGATACGCGTGATGAGCTGTCTTCACTGTCTTGCGGTATACGGTACGGCACGGTGGCGTTCCGGTACGGTACGTATCCCCGTGCAAATCATACCGTGGGCCTGGGCTTTGACGAGAGAGGGTGAAATGAGTCGGAGTAAATTCGGCACATGGAGCGAAGCGACTGGCTGATATCAACCGATTGCCTATATACTACACAGGATACATCTACTTATCCGAGGCTCATTCTTTTCCATCTCTACCAATTCATGTATCGATACATCTCCATACCGGCCATGCTTCGCTAAAGCTGCTGCTGCTGCTGCCCACCCGGCAGGTCTGTACTAAAAGCCATACTACCATTATCATAACTGGCAAAGTCACTACTCATAATATCATCAAGACCTTTCCAGTCAATCTCCCGTCCGGGTGTGTTGAATGTGGGCAAGTCACTAAAGTCGAATTGTCTGCTTGTCGGGCTCGTGAATTGGGCATTCTGTCCCATGTTGTCCGTATCGTTCAGCATCTGCGCAAGGTGTCTCGAGAATGGGGAGACTTCAGTCGACCCGTTGTTGCTGCCACCGCTTACAGTGCGGCCTCCTGGAGTTCGTTCGACTCTGCTCGGAGTCGAGCGTAAAAAGTATCGTGTTGACGATGGTGAAGTCATGAAGTCGTTGACACCGTTCATGTCAGCGTTATTTGCTGCGTTTGCGCTGGGTGTGAGTGGCTTCCGCTTGCGGCTGTTTTGGGATGGCGTCTTGAGCAGAACGTCCGGTCCAATCTGCTTTTGCGACAGTGGCGTAATGTTACGCTTGGCAGGTGTCTTACGAGCGGGAGTCTTGAAGACAGCACCCGGCGAGCCTTCGAATAGATGTGACAGGTCGCCATCCTCGTCGAAAGGTGGAGCCATGTTTTCCTTATCGTACGCGAAAGCTTCGAAGACATTGACATCGTTTCCTCCGGCGAGAGCTATCACCTCTGCAGTGGGCTTCTCAGTCTGTGCAGTCATCGAAAGAGGTGCAGACTCGGTACGCGAGATACCATGGTTATCAAGGCTTTTTTCTTCGCCATCGCGGCGAGGCGATGGAAAGATCAAGCGTCGTGTTGGGTTGGGCGTAAGGTCCACCTCAATTGGACTCGCCTCTGACCCATGAGATCGGACAGGACTAGACTGAATGGCACGCATGTACTCTGGGTCGCGATGAGGTCTCCGTACATTGCCATCGTCGCTGGCTGCACGGCGAGGCTGAGTCTCAAGACTGCTCGCACGGCGTCGTCGACCTGTCTGTGTAGGTGCAGACTTGTCAACCTCCGCTTGAGGTATTGGAGCAGGCGCATGAGGAAGAGGAGCAGCCGCTCTGTTGGTTTCTTCTGGCATGATCTGCTCGCTGTAGAATGCTTCGGACGCGGGCTCGTCCGTAGCATAATCTCCCCTTTTCTTGGTGGCCTTCTTTCCAGACTTGCGTGCCCACTTCTCGGGCGGTCGCATGTTGCAGTACTTGTTGAACCACAACCCGCAGGGGTTGCAGAGTACGTTGTACTCAAATCCTTTGCCGATGACCATATCCTTGGTCTTTTTCATGGTCTTGAGGATTTGGAACCTGGTAGGCTCACCATCTTCATTGTGCTCAGTCACCTTCACCGCTACTGTTTCACCCTCTCCTGCAACAGAATCCAGTGGCCCGGGCTTACCATCCACCGTCTTGACGTACAGCTTTCGCCAAGTCGGCGTTTCGATGGATCCACAATGAGAGCAGAACTGGGGCATAACGCCCTTGCTAATGGACTCTTGTAAACGCTGCTCGATAATTTGTCGTCGAGGCGCACTAGATCCCGATCGCGGGCCTTTCGAGCGTGCTTCGGCATCCTGTGGCGCTGGCGAGCCCGATTCGGATTCATTCGCTGTATTTGTGCGCGCCAACAGCCGTCTGGGCTGTTTGACAGGAGCTTTCGTGGGTAACGCTAGCGAGCCTCGTCTTGACTGTGAGACTTGATCGTCGGGAGGAGACATTGCAGACATAGCCCGTGGGGCTTGCTGTCGGTATTGCGATTGCCTTGTCTGCATGTCAGCATTCTTTTCGCAACCAGCTTGCTAAGGTCCAACATACCCATGAGATCTGCCACGTGTACCGGCTTCCACATCTGGAACATCGCTGCTGAAATGCATGTCTGAGTACGGCGCAGGAGTAGCTTCAATCGGAGAGCCCTCGCTCTTAACAAGGGTCGATTGTGGGCCTTTGCTCGATTGGTAGCGTCGAGCCATCTGGACGTACTCAGCATCAGGACTGCGATCCGCGTCATCCTCCATGCTTTCCATGATGGTGCCACTGCGGAATCCGCCACTCATGTATCCACTATCAGCCATGTGCGACGCCATAGTTGGCAGACCTGGGCTGCTGGGTTGTGGGTGATTGTAGCCAGGCACAATGGGAGGCGACGAAGGGATATCCATCGGCGTGCCGTCGCCGTTCATACTATTGCCGGGAGAGCTGCCCTCGGGTGAAGTCATGACGTCCGACATTAGATCTACATCAGACATGGCATCAGAGTCCGCCACGGATGCTTGTCGAAGTGAGCTTCTTCCAACAGCACTTTGCAGTCGCGGCTGCACAGGTCTAGTTCGTTGTGGTACGGGAGTCGGAGCACGTGGAGGCGGCTCAAGATTGGTACCAGGCGCTGTTGGTCGCTTAGCAACTGGTCTAAACATCTGCATCGAGGACGATTTAGCGGCAGTTACACGAAGATCAGCAGATTTTGAGCCAAACGAGGATTTTCCACGCCAGTCTGCTTGTACGACCTTGGCACGTTTGCGTGACTGGCCATCTTCGTTGTAAAAGCTCTCGGTTTCTTGTTGCGCGGTCTGCTGTTCGAATGCCTGTAAAGGCTGTTGTTGCATGTGGGATGAAAAGGATTCACTTCGAACACTGCCACGTGAATCGGGACGCGTTTGATCCGTAAGACTGGGTGCATTCCCTGAAAAACTTTGGTGACGTAACAGCTCACTCCGAGAGCTCGAACTGGAGACTACCATAGGGCTTCCAGCTCGGCTGCCTGGTGCGCTGTGAGAATGAGTCAAAAATGCGGGGTTGTAAGAGGCAAACGCAGAGTCTGTCGGGGTCTGTGAGACTCCCACGGACGCGCGCTGCTGCTGAGCAGTGGCTTCCCCACTGCCTTCCGTAGCCATGCCGAATAGCTCTTCCAGCGACGCCGTATCGGACCCTTCACCCATTGAGGCCATACCAAAGTCGAAATACTCGTTGGACTGTTGCTGGGGCTTACTCTGCATGGAAGTGTTCCACGCATTCGGGTCGAAGCCAGCCGAAGTTGCAGGACTCGCACTGCGAAATGTGTCGATATTGTTCGGGGCTCGCGATGGTCGGGCCAGCGGTGTCAGTTTAAACTTGACCTCAAGCGTCTCCTTGACTCCGTTGTTGAATATGGCAATGTTCTTGCAGACTCGTCCTGTGATCATCGTCTTGCTATCCTCGACGACGGGCATGGAATTGCCCAATAGCGAGGACATACGACCTTGGCCGACCACAGGCGCGTCGTATTCGCTGTAGTCATAGGAGTAGACGGAGAAGTCGCCATTTTCCAATTGTGACATGATCTCGGGAGAGGCGGATACCATGGCGTCTATGCATTGCTGAAGGTCGATGACGCCGACCTGAGACTGCTCATCTATCGCTACGGCAGGAATGTTCAAAGTCGATGGAAGCCGAGCCAGACACGTCGTCTTGCTCTCAGAATCGAAGGTGTAGAGAATCTTGACACGCATCGGACGCGTCGGTATGTCTGCAAAATCGCCGGTGGAAGCCATAATGAATGTCGATGTAGGAGGTCAAGTTGAAGTTGGAAGTGTGGAAGCTTTATAGACGCCTCGCGGGCGGTCTGAGGGCTTCCAATCGTGCTACAGCATACTGTGGTGGAGGCGGTGTTGGTCGATTCGTGCACGCGAAGCAGTGCGAGTGATGTCGAAGCGTAGCGGGATAAGGCGAGGATCGCTGGAAATAAAACGACTGAAGAAATACAGATGAATACTAAAGGTCGCGATCGGCAATGTGGACGGACAGTTGGTGGTGGTGGTGGTGGTGGTGAGGATGTGGTGGTGGGAGAGAAGGCAAGGCAAGGTAAGGTAGATGTAAGGTAAGGTGAGTAAGGTAGTGTCTGAAGTCGCGTGTGCAGATCGGCCCCAACGCGTAGAGCTCCGTTCGATCATCGCGCATGGGCGCGTATCACGTGATGTCCACTTTTGCAGCCACCGCGCGTGAGACCAGCCAGCGACAGGACGCAAGACCTAGAACGAAGTCAAGGTAACGGAAGCGACGCAACACAACACAATACACCACAATATCCCGTCATCCCGATACGACAGTCGCAGTCATGGCATCAGGCGCATCAGAGGCGAAGATCCAGTAAGAGCGCGCCATGCGCCCACAGCAAGATTGAAGCAATGGCACAGACTGACTTCTTCGTGCACAGAGAACTCCTCGCAAAGCCTCGCGCTGAGCTCACGTATGCGCGACTCCTCCCTTTCTCCCTCCAACAACAACAACGAACGCACCACTAACCACCCCACACAGAGAGTACGAGATCTCTCTCCTCGAGACTCACGAGTTCACATCAGGCCCGCTGTCGCTCCTCCAGACCGCCGTGCGACAACACACTCAGGTCCTCATCTCATGCCGTAACAACCGCAAGCTGCTGGGTAGAGTCAAGGCCTTTGATCGCCACTGCAATATGGTGCTCGAGAATGTGAAGGAGATGTGGAGTGAGACTCCCCGCACGTCTGATGGCAAGAAGGGCCGCGTGGTCAACAAAGACCGCTTCATCAGCAAAATGTTCTTGCGTGGAGACAGTGTCATTCTGGTGTTGCTGAGTTGAGTGGTCTATTATCAGTATGGACAAGTGGAAAGAGCGCAAGTATGGCCCTGTACGAACGGGAGCCGCGGTTCACGATCATCGGGGAGAGGTGCATGGAAAGCCTCCCAGGCGCATTGGATGGGAATACTGCAAGTAGGGTCATGCAGGTCGAATGGTATGGCCACCGCTCTTTTCCACCTGGCTCGGGCTAATGCGACGATACCTATCAGACCGCGAGAGATTCTGCAGATGAGCAGAGTGCTTGGAGGGGATGCTTTTTGAGCCGCCAAAAGCAGGCTATGTATTACGACAAAACTATGGTACTCGCATACATCCTTCGTGAGACAAGTTGCCAATTTTCCACCACCGACTACCGTGCTTACTTACCTACTTTAATGCCGATGCCAGACCAGACAGGAATATCGACAAGCCATACGCTCCTGGATCAGGAACCTCCTCAAAACCACTGCCTCCCAGATACACTGTTCGACCCAGGCTGGCCTTCATTCCTTTGGTCTTCTTTGCGCCCTCATCGGCAGCCTGCGCCGCCTTCTGGACATCTCCGCTTGAGCTCAACTCTTCCACGAATGGCGCCAATGCATCAACCAATGTTCGATCTCCGGGCTTCGCTGGCGTGTACTTGGCAAGACTCTTGCTAGCTTCTCGTAACGCACTAGCCCAGACCTTTGGATCAGCTTGCTTGCCTCCATTACTACCCTGCAGACGAATGCCATACGCAAGAGCGTTGAGGAATATCGCATACAGCGCGCCGCTGGTCCCGTCCATGTCAGTCTCAACAACGCTGATTATCTCATTGAGCCACAGCGCAGCATCGTTCTGCCCACTGATATCGGAGAGTCGACCTTTGATGCCTTCGGCGCCACGCTTGAGGCCAATCCCACAGTCTCCATCTCCCACTATGGTATCGAATCGCGTCACCTCAGGCTCTGCCTTGATCAGCTGGTCGAGAGCTTGTCCCAGCACGTTACTAGCATACGCGGCATCGATTTGAACATTCGAGGCTTGATTCTCGGCCGTCTTGTCCCGGGCCAGCTCTCGAGTTTGGGTGGGCCTTTGAGTCCAAGTCTTTGAAGAAATTGCTGCAGACCAGCCCGCCGCCTCGGAAGGTGCGTCCAACAGCTCCAGCATTGACTTGCCAATACCGAGGTCAGACGTCTTGAGGAGCGATATCGAGAAGCCCAGTCCGTTCAACGAAGTCATGAAAGTGCCGGCCAAGATCCTCACAGGTCTGATTCCATAATCGCTCTCGAGCTGATTGACGACCTCTGTAGTGATGCCACCAAGCTCCAAAACGCTGACACCACCGAGATTATTGATCAGGAGCACCATCTCATCAGAGCCAGACACCTTCAGGAAAGCACGATCCTGGTCACTCTGGTCCAGCATGTTCTTGAGCATCAGCTTCACATTCTTCGGAAGGTCGGCGGCTGCCCGCTGCGATCCAGACTCATTATGTATGCCCATACCGATCTCGACCTCATCACGCTTCAGATCCTCCTCGTGATCTTCTCGTCCAGGAACATGAACATGCGCCAAAGACGATCCCATAGAAACAGTATTGTCAGCCACTGCCTGAGCGACTTTGTGCACATCCTTCAGCCCCGCTCCCCCAGCCGCAGCCGCTCCAGCAATCTTATGAACCAGCACCGTACCCGCAATCCCTCTCCTGCCTACCTTTCCTCCCTTCGATCTCGATACTGCTGCATCATCACCCACCACCACCATCTCCACTTCTATGCCCGCTGCTTTCGCCTTCTCCACAGCCATTCCAAAGTTCAGCACATCGCCTGTGTAGTTCATGACCACAACCAACACGCCGCGACTAGTGTCGACTCGCTGCGAAATACATCTTCGCACCTGTTCCGCAGAAGGTGAGGCGAAAATGGTACCTGCTACAGCGCCACTGAGGAGCCCCGGACCCACAAAGGCCGCGAAAGAGGGCTCGTGGCCGGATCCTCCACCGCTAATGATGCTGACTTGGGCATCTCCCGCGACGTCCGGGCGGAGGTAGATGATCTTGTTCTCTGCATCCAACGCGACGTTGGGGTTGGTGAGAGTGATGGATTGCAAGGCCGTGGAAACGAGATGGGAAGGATCGTTGATGAAGTGTTTTGACGACATTGTCTCTCTTCTGCTGCTGCTGACACCAGCGGGTCTTTTTTCAAGCCTTTGGGTTGTGATGCCGATTGTAAGTTATAGAAGCTGTCGGAATTATTCCCAGCCAGAGAATCGCGCGGTTTGTGATTATCTCTGTTCGTTGTCCGTCTCTCTCTCTCTCTCTCTCTCTCTTTTATTTCTTATTTCTTATTTCTTATTACTTCCCAGGCGAAAGACTACCTTAAGGTACAGTACCTTCTTCCACGTGCAGCATCAATCGAAAGAAAAATGTGAAAAAGCGAAAGATACAAGTACCTACAACCTAAGTAGTAGTTGGGGGACTGGAAAAAGGGCCCGATTAATACATGTAAGGTCAGGTAGGTACATGTAGATACCTGACGTCTCGCAACCAAAAAATGCGGGCACAAGGCGGGGCTGGAGCATCGAGACGCGGGGAGGGGAAGGGAAGAAAGTGGAGCGAGGTGACTCTCCCTCTTACTCCTCAGGTAGGTACATAACTCCGCCGACCCAACAACACCAAACCAACACACTACCTCCTAGGTACACTAACCAACACGTCTTCGGTCATAATTGGCGCGTTGAAGAGATTGGGATTTTTCTGGGGGGTTTATTGTAGGTATGTAGGTATTAGTGTACTGTAACTGTGTACCACCTTTCTTCCATCTCGCAGTGGTTCGGTCCGATATGTGCTTGGGACCTTATGCAGTTGACTCTGGGCGAGTGGAGAGGCTGGAAAAAAGATGGGCCTGATTATTCTTCACGGGCGAAAGAAAAAAAAGGGGAAAGCCGATGGAACTGGAAGAAGCACCTCAGCGTCCTCCTCACTTTATGTCACTTGGCATTCTCGGAGTGAAGATGATACCTACCTTAAGGTACCTCCCTGACCTTGCGAAGTAATAACTGCCAAGATTGAAAAATGCTACCTACCTAATACCTACCTACAGCTTGCTGCCTCGACTCTTGGCTATCCTTCCCACATGCGCCTGGGGAAGATACCAGCCGGTCCATTTCTCCTCCGGAGCATGGCTGACGCCCGTCACACGATCCCACGGACTCTTCTCTTGCAGATACTTCAACACAGCAAAATCCGCATCACCCTCGGCATCGTATCCAAAAATGGACTGTACGGTCTCTGGCGCGCCCCAGAGATTCCAACTTCGAGCATTCGCATCCGCACCCGTGATTCTCTGCTGCGAGTTGAGGTTTCGGACATCTGCCATTGCAGGAGTAGTATTCTGGACGGAATCTGCGGAAGAGCTGTCTCGGTATGCTGCGCGCTCGGGGTCAGCCATGTAGATTCCACCCATCACGAATGAAGCTTGCTGCTTGATCCACGCTCGTGGCATGCGCGCTTTTTCGTAGATGGTGATGGCTTCTGGCAGATTGAGAACTCCATTCACACATTCCGCGAGAACACGACCGAGAAAGGCGCCGTCTTCCATACTCGTCGCAGCGCCCTGGGCGAGATGATTCACCATGCTGTGCGCACTATCGCCCATTAGTACCACATTCTTCTGCGGACTGGACCACGACTCAAGTGGACCAGTAATGAGTAGCGGCCAGCGCTTCGAAGAGGGCACGAGTTTCAAGATCTTAAGAATGCGTGGGTCCAGATCTTTGTAGTATTCGACCATTTCGGACATATCGCAGTCTTCCTCCACATCAGTGACAGGCTGGTCCCGATAGTGCGACATCACCGCATTCCACTCCCGACCCGCCGAGATGGGATACTGGATAATGTAACCCTGATCCAACGACCACACATCAATATCGTTCCCAAACTCTCTCGCTTCCGGCACCTGCTCATACACATACTCGTATGGCAAAACCGCGCGATACGCAGCATTATGCGTCGGCGCCCGCGGTTTCACATCCGGGAACAAAGTCCTCCGAACCACAGACTTCAATCCATCACTTCCCACCAACAAATCAAACTCGTACTCTCGACCCTGTGAGGTTGTCACCTTCACGGGGGAACTCTCATACATAATCTTCTCCACCCTCGAATCAATCCGAATCTCCACCCCATGCCTCCTCGCCGCCTCGGCCAAGCCCGTGTGCAGATGATGTCGATGAACCATCCACCACGGGAATCCGAATTCCCGCACCACTTTCGGATGCAATTCCGTGCGCTGGACGACATCTCCTCGTTGGTTTCGCATGTTGATCCATTTGCATTGGACGAGGTCATCGCCGATGATTTTGTCGACGCCGTATTTGATCAGGAGACGAGAGACGTTGGGTGTCATTTGGATTCCGGCTCCGATTTCTCCGAGTTGGGATGCGGCTTCGAGGACCGTGACGTGACAGCCGGCTCGTGCTATGGAGATTGAGGCCAGTAGACCGCCTAGACCGGCGCCTACGAGGCCGACGTGGAGGGGACGTTTGGTTTCTTGGGGCATGGTTGTTGTTGTTCTGGAGATGTTGTTGTGAGTGAGAGTGGATGGGAGAAAGCTGGAAAGAAGTCGCAGGATATGAGCGATATTCATCAATCATGCTTGTGACAACTGCTTAGACAGAATCGATTGTCGCCAGCAAGGGCCTGTCCCTTCCCCGCATCATCCGGCAAACATGCTTCGCAGCGCGAAACCAAACGCCGCAAAGCTACTTCTTTCTTCAACTAACCTGTCCTCTACGGATCATATCTCCGGACATAGACTAGAATTGTGCGGTTGAAGAAGCTATCAGTGACAAGATACTTAACTTCTGACGTGTCTTCTGAGCTTATGCTACCATCGTCAACATTGCGATCGAGCGATCAGGTCGATTTCTAACAAGGGGATCTTCGAATGCTGACACGATATTGCGAGACATGATATGTACCTGCATTAGCTTGGCGAGCTTTCTGGAATGGCAGATGAATTTTCGGTCCTGTCTCGTGAGTATCTCGCACGAAAGGATGACTCCGCTGCCATTCCTGTGAAGATCAACTCCAGCGGTATCGGGCCTGCACATTACGACGTCTGCAGTATGAGCACGTGCACTTACGTTGCGAATTGCAGATTACTCTTTCGCTGCTTTACCTTCTTCGTCCTCCTCTTCCTTGCGCAGCTTTTCCGCCAGTCTCCTTCGCTCGGCATTTTTGAGGCGGATCTTGGTTGCATCTTCCATGCTCAAACCACCTGATGTCGGCTGAGCCAGTTTAGGGGTCCCCTTGAAGCTGCCGAAGGAGGGCACTTTCCGGAGACCTTCGCCCGGCGTGCTGCGTACGCGGTCCATGCTGGGAGTGACGGGTGCCCTGTGAGGTGAATCTGCTTGCAAGGCCGTTGCGACCGGCGCTCTTGCCTTTGGTATGCAGTCGGGCTCTTTGCCTGCCGCCCAGTTGACGTGATCAAAGATGCGCCAGTCGTCGTCCTGCAGGGCTAGCTGTGGAAAGTCTGTCACTGCAGAGTGGGCGCTGACAATACTTTCGTAGACAATTAGCGCAGTAGTGTATTCTTTCCTGTGCTTCTCCCCTTCCACTTTGACCTTCTTGGTGGTCAGTACCACATCTTGAATTTTCCCAAACTTGCTCCATTTCTGAGACAGGTCTGCCTTATTCGGCGCTTTTGATGCGTCTGCAGGATATCGCAGCTTTATGGTCCGGTCGATCTCTTCTGGTACATTGCGTGGTGCCGCGGGTGTACTGGGTTGTGATTGCTCGTATTCCTCTTGTGCCTCCCTCCTCAGCATTTCCTCTCGCTCCTTCCTTCGGCGTGCACCGTCGGCCGCCAGTCGCCTGAGTTCTCGCTGAAAGGCCTCTTCTTCCTGGTCCTCCTCGCGTTTGCGCTTCAGTCCCGCTACGCCTTCACGTTCTCTGCGCTCCAGCTCATCCTTGAGGTTCTTACGCCTGCCCTCATATGCCTGATCTCGCTCCTTCTTCTCTTCGCGCGCACGGCGTGCATTATTGTACAGCTGGCGCACGCCGTCGTCCGATAGTACATCGTAGGCAATCTGGAGGAGATGGAACTTCTCCAAAGCGGCCGTATCGTTTCCAACTTTATCTGGATGATACTTGAGGGCTGTTTTCCGATATGCTCGCCTGATTTCTGCTTCGGCTGCGGCTGGTGATATTCCTAGTAGTTCGTAGAAATCGTGCGAGCTGTTGAGTGCATGCTCTTTGAGGTCGTCCATTTCCGTTGTCTGTGTGTTGTCATGGTACAAGAAAGGATGTCATCGGTGCTGAGTGAGTGTATCATGTACACTCGAAATCGCTTAGTAATCAGGACGTCTGAGAGGAGGGTTTCTTAATTAGTGTTAGCGGCGCGGATCATCATGCCGAGATTGATTACTAAGTACCCGAGTGTCCTTGCAACCCGCTCCGCTTGACACTCGGGCTGCCGGGCATGTGCCTGGTAGCTCGTCTTGGCACGATCACTCCCGCGATCTCGAAACGAGTAGCAGCAACGGCGACATCAACATTGCTTCTTCTACGCACCACAGGACTCCGACAATCACTATCGCTACACCGCACACCACAACCCGGCGCCTGCCAAACGCTGAAGAAGCTCCTCTCAACGGCCCTGGATCGCTTCCGCTTCCAGTAGCCCGCCTGACCGTCACCATCATTCGACTACATTCACTTGTTACCATTCATTGAAATGTACCGTCGCCGCTCCAACATCTTGCACGACCCCATACAGCAGCAGTATCATCATCATGGCAGAGGCGGCGGACCAGATCATCCCGCAGATGACATTAGTTGACTGGCTCGATGACTTGACCGTGCGCTTCCTTCTCAACCTTCCGCCTTCCGAGCTCAGCAGCGTCCCCCGACTATGTTTCCAGGTGGAGGAGGCACAATGGTTTTATGAAGACTTCATCCGCCCAGCTAATCCAGCCCTGCCTTCGCTCAATCTGCGCCAATTCTGCTTGACCCTCTTCCAGCACTGTCCTTTACTCAGTGGTTTTAATGCAGCCCAGCACTTGGCCGCCTATGAGGAGTTCCTCGCGTACAAAGTGCGCGTTCCTGTGCGTGGTGCCATCTTGATGGACGACAACATGGAAAAGGTGCTACTCGTGCGTGGCTGGAAGAAAGGTGCGAGTTGGTCCTTTCCGCGTGGCAAAATCAACAAGGACGAGCCGGACATTGATTGCGCTATTCGCGAGGTGTACGAGGAGACAGGTTTTGACTTGGGAGCTGCCGGACTGGTTGAGCGTAATAAGATTGGAGATGGCAAGGTGAAGGCTATCGATGTCACCATGCGTGAGCAGCATATGAAGCTGTTCGTTTTCCGCGGCGTGGCTTTGGACACGCACTTTGAGACGAAAACCAGAAAAGAGATTGGTAAAATTCAATGGTACAACGTTAAGGACTTGCCAGGATTCAAGAAAGTGAAGGGCGTCGCGGGTCAGGGCCAGGGAGAGGCAGAGTCGGTCAAGTTCTACATGGTCGCGCCGTTCTTGGGCCACTTGAAAAAGTGGATTGGGCAGCAGAGGAGGAAAGACTCGGAAATGGCAACGCAAGCACAGCACGGGAGGAACATTTCGTTGTCCAACGAAGGAATACAGGCGACCATCACTGAAGACGAAGCCGAGGACACTGAAGCTGGCCTTTTCACGAACAACGGTGCGCCATCTGGCACTAGAAGCGCAGATGAGCTCAAGCGGCTGTTGTCTATTGGTGGTCCTGCTTCTTCAACCAGTCAGCCTTTGCAACCTGTCCTGCCTTCGAACGGGGCTCCAACAAACACTCTACTGGCTATGCTGCAAGGCAGCATCGTCGCTCCTGCGGGCAGTTCTTTACCTCATACACCATATGAGCAAGTCGATCCCTTCATACCGGCACAAGAGCCACGAACGCCACAACCTCAGCCTCCACGGCACGCATCAGCAGCAACACCGCAGTCCGTCCTACCTCAGTCTCAGTACTCGCCGCAAACCTTGCAGCAGGGTCTTCTTCAGCAACAGCAAGCACAGCGTCATTCTTCTATGTTCAATCCCAGCTTTTCGAGTCAGCTCAGTCATCAACAGCCTGGTCTGAACCAGTTCCCACCGCATACCCAGCAGCAGCTTTTGCAGCAACAGCAACGACAACACAGCTTGCCTGCTGGCTTGTTACCTGGGCAAGGGCCTGGACCACACCTTGGTCAGCGACTATACAATCATGGTTTGCAGCAAGCGCAGCATGGATCAAGTGTGCAAGACATTCATGTTCGTGGGCCATCCCAACAGCAGCTGCTACCACCTCACTCACAGCCGATACCGAACCAAAACATGTACAACGTCTCTACCTTGCCTCCGCAACGACATATGTCTGGCTTTGGACCTGCAGCAGCACACGCCCCTATCGGCAGTGAAAGGGCTGCACCCGACGCCAACAAGCTCCCGCCCCCGAAGCTGAATGCACACTCCATGAAACTACTCGATGCGTTCAAGACGGGCCCAGGAACATCTGTATCGGGTCCTTCAGGCAACGGCAATGGCCAAAGATCAGGCAGCCAACACCAAGCAGCACTTCTAGATCTCTTCCGGAAGCCATCGGTAGCCACGCCCTCCCCGCTGTCATCATTATCGGCTCAGAAGCCAGTGTCGCCAGCGTCAGCATCTTCAGCACTTACAGATGCCACCGAAATGCCCGCACCCGCCAGGAACTTCGAGCGCAGGCCTACACTGAACGAGATCACGCGCACTCTTCCACCCAGAACGAAGGCAGTGTCGCCTGCAATGCCTGCAATGCCTGCAATGCCTGCAATGCCTGCCGAACTGCCACAAGCTCCACCCAGCAACGCCTTGGTACCCGATAAAGAACAGCCGCCACAACGAAGCCGAACGCCTGGAGCAAGATCATCTGTTCGCGTTGCATCAGAGACGGTGCGATCGAATGATGTTCAAATTGAGCGACCGAAGTCTCGAGGCCAGCTCTTCGACCCATCGCATCCCAAGAGGACTATGCGGGCCTCACCGCAGGTGAAGCAGCAGGAGGTTGCGAGCTCTCGTCCACAATCACAACTGATGGGTCGCGCGCCAAAGTCTCCCAGACCCGGTCCTAGACCTCCCGCTTCCTCATCGCCCAAGCCCAGGAACAAACAGGCTCGTAACGAGAACGGGCCCCCGCGACAGCCTCAACCAGTGCCGCAGTTTAGCATACTGCAGCGACCAGGCTCGTCGCGCACCTCGGTACCGCCTAGTCCTCTGAGACAAGAAGCGCCATCGTCGGCCCGCCCTCTGCAGGTACTCAAACGCCAGCCAGATAATCAAAAGGAGAATCCGAACGTGGCACTGCTGTCCAACAATGCGGTGGGGACACCAGCGGCTGATGATAAGAAAGACCAATTACTTGCGCTTTTTGGAAAAAGAACGCAGAGCAGCGCTGCACCCGTGCCCACACAAGCTCAAAATACGACCTCGAAAATATCGTCCGCACCCACAGAGCCTCAGCAGGATAGGCAGCAGAAGAATCCATTGCTTGATTTGCTTCAGGGCAGCCAGGCGGAAAAAGCACCAAAGACACCAGAGCCTCCAGCATCTCCCGACCTTATACCACAGCGGAAGCCCTCTGCTCAAGGATCGGGATCGCAGCATCTTCTCAATCTCTTCACGAAGCCGAGCACAGCTCTTGGCAACAGACTCAACAGTCCAGGAACACCAATATCACCTTTCACACTGGGCACGCCTGCGACTACTTTGTCGATGGATAAGATGTCACATGCGGCGTATGAAGCAATGCCTCGCGCCTCCGAGAATAAAAGCAGATTAGGCAGCATTGCCAGTGGTATGAGCAACGGCACGAGATCAGGAAGTGGCGCACAAACGCCAACTGAAGCTAAGGATTTACTGTTGGGCTATCTTAATGGCGTCGTCCAGTCCGAGGGATACAAAGGCACGAAGAAGTCTGTATAACGCGGTGAAAGCTACGAGTCGATTAGGCAGTATGACTAGTCTAGCATAATGGCGTAGCCATAGTTCGAAATCAATCCTCGTGAAAAGACCGCATCTACGATCTTTGTATATGCTTTTGAACTTCTTCAGTAGGACGTACAAGCGTACAGTAGTCATCAGAGCCCGGGAAGCAGTCCATTTCCGACCTTGATTTGATTTATCGTTGTCTACGTTAAAGGAAAGCAAGATCCTCTAGCGTTGTGTTGGAAGTGAACGCAGCACGAAATCAGGTATATAGGTACTGTAGGTAGGTGCCTAGGCGATCTCCGAATCATCACCTTACCTCACACCTTCCCGTGCTGCAGAGACACTTTTGACTCTGAGAAATCACATCAACACAACACAACATGGACTCCATCGCAAATACCGTTCAGATTCCTGTAATTGACATTAGCGATGCCAACGCCGATGCGCCCCAACAACTGCTTGACGCCGCCGTCCATTACGGGTTCGTGTTTGTGGCGAACAATGAAGCCGGCATCTCACCCGATTTAATCAAGAAGCTTTTCCAAATATCTCAAGAATTTTTCGCGTTGCCTCGAGAAGTGAAGGAAGCCGTATCGATCAATTCGAATAAAGCGGGCAAAAATCATGGCTGGCTGTCTCAGGGAGTTGAGAAATTGGATCCTCAGGGTCAGAAACGTCCTGATGTGAAAGAGTACGTCTGCGATTCTGTTCTTTTCCCCCCACTATCTTTGTACCACCCACTGCATACTTTCGTATTTGAGAAGAAGAAGAAAGAAGGAAGAAGTCTCCATAAACCCAATCGTTCAAACTCATCATCGTTATCATGAATTACCCACTAATCCATCCTCCAAAAACCTCTCTATAGAGCCTTCAACCTCTCCCTCCCTACCCCCAACGGCACCTTCGACCAACCCCTTCCCCAACTCTTTCAAACCCACATTTCCGACCTCATCACCTTCGAAACCGCTTGTTACCATTTTTGTCAAAGACTCCTCACACACTTCGCCACCGCCCTCGAAATCCCCTCGGACTGGTTCACCTCTCGCCACGATATTTCTTCGGGAAAGCCTGCAGGAAGTGTGTTTCGTTTATTGTATTATCCTCAACGACGACGAAGATCGACAACAAAACCAACAACGACAATGGAGCTCACGAACGATGATGATGATGTTGATGACGAAGAAGGAGATGAAGAAGATATCCGAGCAGGCGCACACAGCGACTACGGCTCCCTCACCTGTCTCTTCCAACAACCCGGCGGTCCACCCGGTTTAGAAATCAAATCTCCCGACGATAATGGCGAATGGGCCGCTGTACCCGTGAACCCTCTCATGAACCACGACAATAACAACAATGTTGAAAATTCCAATTCCTCCCCCCTCCCAATCCTCGTCAACATTGGAGATTTACTCGAAGATTGGACAGGAGGACTCCTCAAATCGACGGTTCATCGGGTTGTATTTCCTCATAATAACACGAAGAAGAATGAGAAGAAGAAGAAAGAAAGCGATAGATATTCCCTGGCATATTTCTGTCATCCATTAGATGAAGTCTTGTTGGAACCCGTGCCTAGTCGTAAAATCCCCGTGGAGGGAGGGATGAACAAGAAGAAGAAGAAGAAGACGGTTGGTGGACAAGAGGAAACGATGACGGCGCGAGATCATTTGATGGAGAGGTTGGCTGCGACTTATAAAGTTTGATTTTTTCTTGAGGAGGAAGTAGGTTGGAATTGATAGGCTGGTAGCGAGAAGGATAAAGGTATGTAAGGTAGGTACCTAAGGTAGCTACATGTAAGGTATCTGTATCTTTCATTCATTCTTGCCTTCTTTCATTCATCATGACCAAGGACGGACGGACAAACGGTGAAAGGGGGGGTATCTCAAAGAGTCAAAAGACAAGAACAGAACAGAACGCTCACATAGTGGTTTTGCGGCAAACAAAAACAAAAAAAGAAAGAAGAATCTCGCTTCTATATGATGAAACATAGGGATCTATGAAACACACACACACTCTCTCTCTGAAACCACACACATTGTAGTCGCTTACTGTGCTCGTTTAAATGGAGCAGCACATCGGGCAATAGCCATGCTGCATTCATAGTCGTAAGAAGTCATCAAACACATAAAGCCGCCGTTAACAAACATAAATGTATGTCTCCTCGCAGGACAGGACAGACACAAAGGCAGAGAAGCGGCGCTAATTGAATCCATTGCTCGCTTCAGGGTTGGCAAGCAGGTATTCGAGCATATCGTGGCCTCCGAGCTGTGGTCCATACATGGTCTGATCAACATCGGCTCCAGACATGTTCAGTAAAGGATCGAGTGGCAGAGCCAGCCAATCACCACTGAACGTCCCGTTTGCAGAATAGGAATCGTAGCTTCCGCCTGCGCCGTTCAGGGTATTGGGTGAAGATTGGCTGAAGCCTGGTGGCGGCATGACGGAGTAGCTGTTGTCGGTACCCATGAGGTCGTGATAGTCGTTGGAAATCCCAGAAATACCAAAGAGTGGGCTGTTGTTCATGTCGTTGGAAGGCGGCATCATAGTACTGTTGTAACTCCATTGCTGGTTGCTCGGCATCGCGCCAGCCACAGCCTGTGGAGATTGCTGGACGTGACGCCGGTCTGACATTGCCATGGCTGGATCCAGGTTGTGGTTGCTCTGGCGGCGACTGCGGCCTGCGCGACCATCAGCGGCGATACGCACCAATCGCGGCTTGAGATTCGATGACAACGTATCCAGAAGATCGGCGAAACGACTTGCGACATGAACATCATCCACTATGCAAGTTCGCAACGCTTCCACAGTGCGATCCATGAGCTTAAGCGACTCTGTGATGTCGCTTTCGGTAGCCCCCAGTGCAAAGGACTTCAGTAACATGATGGCGACGCTGATGATGCGAAAATATGTGCGTACAGGAGCATGTCGTAGGGCCTCATCGGGATAGAGGTCATCGACGACAACCTTGAGCAGCTTGCGAGCAGCATCTCCCACATTCAGCACGTACTGTCGATCACCTCCAAGCCATTTGGACAGAGTCGTAGGCGCTATTGCAATTTCTGACTTGTTTCCATCAGCTTCGATGGCAGACCGAGCCATTTCTAGAGGTGGATCGAGAACTTGCTCTGGTGATGGATGTTCATTGGCACATCGCTCTGCGACGGCCTGGAGTGATAGCGCATTCAAGTAACAGCGACAGTACTCGTATTCGATTTCGAGAATCGCTCGCATATGCTTAGGAATTGAGCGTGCTTCGTCAAACTCAGTCCTCCATTGGTTCATGGGACCTGCAAATTGGTCCAAGGCAGCCTTGTAGTTGCCATTGCGAATGAGATCGCGAGTGAAAGTCTTATTGGCAAAAATCTTGTTGTTGCCTTCACGCATCAATGCCGCCATGCGAAGCCAGAAGTGGAAGGTCGTCTCATGCACACTGTCTTGTTGGCCCAGCTGTCGACGAAAGAGATCGCTGTCCTCTGGTTTACTGTAATACCCGGGAAGCATCGATGTCAAGCCAAGACGTCCACTGGTTTGAGTCACGTACACGAGAAGCAGGTTGCGAACATTACCGCGCCGCCGGTCGTACTCGGAGAGCTGGCCTGCGGATAGTGGCTGACCATTGGGTCCAGTGGCATGACGCTGCCATTCGCTCGAGTCGAAGACACCGATTTCCATGGCTAGTGACATGGCCATGCCCAACAGCATCCAGCACATGCGATCACTACGCCAGCAAGGCTCCAGCCAAGCGTCCATACGATGCCCTCCAATTCCTCGAGGAACACCATCCTCAACATTCATCTGCGGCACCCAAGCTTCGTCAGGAATCATCAGATCGTCATCATCCTCATCTGGCGGAAAATGCATAGCACGAGGATGCCACTCCGTCAGCAGAACCAGGGATTCTACTGAACCCAGAGTTCGCAAGCCTTTGCGGGTCAGCGGATTCACATCAGAGCATGGCTGAGCCCCTGGGCCTCCAGCTCCGCAAAAGCCACCTCCAAACTGCTCCTGGCCCCATACGACTCGATCGATCATACCAGATAGGTACTGCCATAGCTTATGGTGAATAGCATTAGGCCGACTCAGGGAACCCGGTCCATCGAGCTTCATGTGGCGCGAGGCGATCAGTAGCATTGTGATGGCCAGCATCGGCTCTTCTTCCAGCAAAGTCTTGTGTGTGGTGGGATGTTGGAAATCCGGCAGCGCGACAGGAGTCAGTGGCGATAGATGCTTGTAGAAGTACAGGATATAGTCAATGCCCTCTTTGGCAGTGAACCAGCCAGCTCGGACAAAGCGGAAGCGAGACCATGCTTTCATGGCGAGTGCGAGGGCTTCGCGTTCGTAGGAGGTTGCAGCCAGGATACTGTTGCTCGAAGGCGAAGGCTGGTCTGTGGGAGTTTTCCAAGTACCATCTCGGCTCGTCACGGCACCTAGGGGTCCATTGTTGTAGCTCGTGTAGCTTTCACTCCTGGTGAGCCCATCTGGACTACTTATAGGTGGCAGGCTATTGGAGGTGATACCCGAAGCGAATGCGGGGCGTACGCTGTTGCTGGTCATACTGTCGCTTCTGCCGTGTACAGCCGCTTGATACAAGACTTTGAGCGCATCGTGCCCGCCATGTACTTCAGCTTGTTGCAGTATTCGAGCGGTGTGTTGGGCGGCCTTGACGTCCTCATCTCCATACTCGATGTGTTTCGGCGCAGCGGGCCTACGGAGTGGTGCTGTACGTCCAATGGACCCACCCGGTGTACGGGGAGGCTCTTCATACTCGTCTTCTTCATTGCGTCCATCGAGGGAGGCTGCTGGCGCGGACGTTCGTGGTCGCTTTCGGTTCTGGCGAACTTCGTAGACGCTCGCATCGCCCGCATCTGAACCGTGCTCTTCACTCTGCGCTTTCTTCTTCCGACGCGTCGCCGAGAAGTAGCACTCTTTGGCCTCGCGACGACATCTGGTGCATGGTGGATCGTGAGGGTTATCGACCGAACCCAAATCGCAGCGGACCTTTCTCTGGCGACAAGGTATACAGGCTGTCTTGTGGTCAGCATGTCATGGTCTCATCGTGCACTCGCGGGCAACGGTCAGCGCGCGCGCAGACAGATTCGTGCGCCGTCATCGTAGTGAGTACGTCCACAGCCACATACCCTGATATGTGCGTTGATGCACAACCGCATTGGGCTCCTGTTGTGGCCTCGGTGGAGAAGCGCTGGGACCGTTCATGGTGTCTGAGACTGAGGTGCTTTGCGGAAAACCGCGGGTAGCCGCTTCTTCGCTCCCCTCTCTCTCTCTCCCTCTCTCTGCTCTCTCTTTCTGCCCCTCTTTGTGCGGGATAGTAGAACGACCTGTTCTAGTCGCTCGGCTAACGGTTGTTGTTTGGCAAGACGATCATGGCCATGCTCTCTGCAGATTGGCGATGCCGGAAGGCCATCCTAGCGGCTCATTGGACGCCTCAGCAGATATCTCTCGTGGGAAGACCGGGTCGTTATCAAGATATTGTTCAGCATGTGCGTGCGGATGTGATTGCGGTTTTATTTAGTTCCCGCGTGCCGAGCAAGCCGCTCGAACTACAGCTAGAAGTGGTAGGTAAGGTACAATGTACCTGACAGTGACAGTTGAATATCATCATCACATGCACGAAAGATACGGGAAGTGAAGGAATATGGCTGATCTCAACTTTGCAAGGCAAATGAACAGTGCACTACATACATTCCCGATGCTGCTCGCCCTTTTCGGACACGTCTCACTACACGATGCTTGCACGGGTTGTGGAACAGGACATGTTGTGCATGAAAGGCCCACGCGCATCCTCTGGACACTTGCATGATTCGGCTTGCATGCATTGACGTGTACCATTCCTGTCGAAAATCAAATCTTCACAGGTGTGTCAGTAGTAGCATTGGATCAAATGTAGCACAGACATTTCTCCCATGCATATGTCCGTCCTCAGCGATTCGGCTACAGGGTCACATATAGAATGGTCCTTCTGCGATGCAGTCCATTCGCGGTCAAGATTGTCGGCGGAAATCAACATGAAGCTGCCGTCCTTGACGAGCCTTCATAGGAATTGCAACAGATGTCCGCCAACAGCAAGCACGTATTTAGGCGACGTGGATACAATGCAGCTACGCAACCGACTGGCGCAGGATGTAAGGGATGGAGCTCGGCTCGAAGAAATCCGTGTAATGTCCATTTCTAGCACGCAAGACATTCGGTTGATACCTGCATATGGTAGGAGGTAGTCGAATGGCCTCGCATCGAGCAGAGTTCACTTGGTCTGGCTGTCCGTTTCCACGCAAAAGCCCAGTGCTGGAATTTGATTGGAATTTTGATTTGGCAACTTTGATTTAGCAGGCAGCCTGCCGATAACCTCCAGCTTGATTGACCCGCCGCGTCTGAAGATACCTTGGCGTGGAGTGTCGTATAGATCAGAGCGGAAGGAAGTGTGCTTTCCGACGTACAGCAGGTTGCGGGTATCACGCTCGACATCTTCTGGGTGATAAGTGGCTCAGGCATACATGTAGGTACCTTAGTATCAATACCTTAGGAAATTCGATATTGCGTATAGAAGGCAGCTTCTGACCAGGCTAAGTGCACTTCCTCGCGTTATGACGATTCCAAGCTATTGCATCTGGACGCAAAGGTTGAGCTGTTTGGTTGATTGTTCCAGAGAAGCTTGCGACGTCTGACTGACTGGCTCTATGCGCCCAGAGTACATATCGTCGTAAGGTAAAGAACATCGAGCCAGCCTAGAAGTGTGTATAGGTAAGGTAATTTTATACCGTAACCTGAGGTGCCTGAGGTACTAGAAGCCCCACTAGTCCATTCTGGATACCTCACCAGGTACTTTCTCTCACGTCGCGGTCGCGCCTCCCCATGTCGCGACTCGCGACTTCCATCTGCAGCTTCACACATCTCCATCTTCACCTCTCCGGCTTCACATTCCCAACTTGACGACGTCGTGGGAACCAAATTTGCGCATGCTCACTCACTGTTTGCCATAAACCTCTGTTACCAACCACACCAACCGCACCACCCTCCACCACCTCACACCTTGCCACTGCATTTGGAGACACCGCCCACGATGATTGGAATCTGTGCCTAACGCCATCCTTGGAAGCAGCAGTGACGCGCAATGGGTCTCTGCGCTCCAAACAACATACCAACACACGCTGGTTCAGCCAAACAATGGCGCCAGTCGAGGTCATCGACCTGCTGTCTTCGTCCGACGAAGAAGATCAGTCTCCTACAAAACTTTTGAAGTCGTTTCAAGTCCGCACCAATGCCAGTACAGCCCCAGATCAACAGAGGAAATCAAATGGTGTCAGTAGTGTTGGAGGCGGCAAGAGCAGCAGTTTAAGTACCAGCGGGCCTGGGGATGGTGGAGTGAGGTCCCAAAGTGGCTACAGCCACCTGGAGCCTCAGACAAACGTAACGTCTAGTGGCTTCAAGAGCTGGACGTTGGCTCCAGCACCTACCTTTCCGATCGCATTGAGTGCCCTCCCCACGGTTGAGAACACGCGAGTATCCTTTGCGCCTCCAACGATTTCGCAAGAAGCATGGAACGCCCTTGGTACACCAGGACGCAAGCTTCAGCAAGACTTTGCTAGGATTCAACGTGACCTGGACACTTCGCGCCGCCAGAGTGAGCCAGAACGGATAGCGAGAGTTGACAAAGCATATCAGTACCAGCGGCAGAGACGCTTATCCAGCGGAATATCTCAGCGCGTCGGCCAGGAGACTGTTGGGTCTGTAGCTCAGCGACCACTTGAGGCCGTGACTGCTGCCGGGCCCGCTTCATCTACACATAGCTCAGTAACAGCTTCAGCTATTGCCCAACCTCCGAGGCCTGGCGGCTCTGATCATAATAATGTTGTGGCTGCTAACAGCATCGTTCGAGGTCAAGTCTCAGGAATCAAGCGCACTTGGGAAACTGCTCCTAGCGAGACTGTCCCAACCAAACGACAGCGACCTGTCAATCAGCACACTAGCGAAGTTGCCCACACCCCTGGCGCTCAGTTTTTGAACACAATGAATGCTATAGGGGAGCGAGTTCCAGTTAGTTTAGAGCCTGAGACTGAGGTCCGGGTGTCTTCAGCGATACCAAAGGTCAAACCCCTTCTTGAACCACCATCGCTATCTCCGTCAACGCCAGTAGTACCTAGATCAGCGGAAGAGATTGGCATTTCATCGGAAGCAAGCACAGTTCGACCGCAATGGACAAGTGCGGAAGTCGCATTGCTGAGAAAACTCAAGGATATCGACGGTCTTGACTGGAAAGAGATTATGGCTCGACTGCCAGGAAGAACGCTAGGCGCCATTAAATTCCGTTACTATACTCAGGGGAGAGCTCGAGAAGAGCCCGCTGCTTGGTCTGCAGACGCCAGTCTATCACAGCCCAACGCCTTCGAGGCAAGTGCGCCTCTACAGCAGCCGACTCCACCAAATTTGTGGATTGCTCCGCCTATTCAGCAACGCCTCGAGGATGCTGCTGTCGAGCATCACCCACATGTACCTGACAGACGGGAGACTCAGCGTGCAGCACCAACTGTAAAAGCGCCGACTGCTGGAGTTAAGATGTCCAGCAGCCAGTATACCGCTGCAGATAATGCGCTGCTCAAAAGGCTGAAAGAGGTTGACAAGCTCAAGTGGCCTGATATTCATGCATATTTCCCCGAAAGGTCGCTTGGGTCTCTACAGGTACATTACTCTACCAAGGTCAAAGCTGCGGATCTCGATTTGTCCAAAGTGGCAATGCCGTCTCATAGTCAGTCTCGTTGTATAGACAAGGCGCAGCAAGAGGTGAACACCAGGAAGGCTGTTTCCACAATTGCCCCAGTTGGTGGTTTTGGTAGCCTATACACTCCTGAAGAGCTCGCCTTGATCAAGAGACTCAGAGAGGAAGAGCACTTGTCCTGGAAGGATATGGTGCCTTACTTCAATGGACGAACCGCAGGTTCACTGCAGGTGCAATGGTACACAAGAATACGGGAAGGAGGCCCAGCACAAAAGGCTCCAGAATTGCATAGAACCGACTCGCAAGACACTGTTCTTGTTCGCAGCAAACGCTCAAGGAAGAGTAAAGTTGCTGATGGCTTCATCTCGTGGGCTGATGCACGAAGTCTCATGAGGGATGGTCCCGATATCGAAGATGACAGGGAGGATATGACTCGCAATGCAGCCACCCCTGGACCTTTGGATCAGCAGGACAGTGCCTTTCCGCAGACGGTCAGTCGCATCCTTCGACAGCGAGAAATCGGCAACATCACAGGGGCTCGAGCATGGACAGCTACGCGCTGTACATTGCCTGACGAACTGAAGAACACTGTGTGCAAGGATTATACCTTGCAACAGTACTACCATGGAACATCAGGGGATGTAGTCGGCCTCTCGTGGTCGTCGACAGGCAAAAGGTTTGCTGCTGGGTCTATTGCGATCACAGACAATCGTTCAATGCAGTACAATATGAGCAGAAATCTACTAGTTGGCGACTACGAGAAGACAGAACTGCAAGAGCTCGTGGAACACCATGTCCCTCGTCCTCTGGTCGAGGAAGCTGACAATCCTAATGCACTTGGTGCGATGCGCCACACTCAAGACCCCCGGCTGTTCTTGACAGTTACAGCCACTGGCTTTTCGCCAGCGCCGGGTCAGGAGGACTACTTGTTCACTGCAGGTACCGATAAAATGCTGCGCAGGTATTTGGTCGGATCAGATATCTCCCACACAAGGCCCGAACACGCTGTTGAGCATGCTGCATCTGTGGATCTATTGGCCATTCACCGCGAGGGAATCATTGCGACAGGCTGCCACTCTGCGTCTGATAGTATCAACGTATTCAGAAGCGGCCAAGCCGGTCTCGATAATGTCTGGACAGGCTCGCCGAAGCGGCAGGATCTGCAGACGACCGCATCCATCTTTCCATTAAGTTTGAAGTGGGGAGAAGCATATGTTCATCGCAACTTCTTGCTCGCCGGATTCAGCAGCGATAGCAATACCAGCATTGAGGACCAACAGCTCGCAGGCGAGACTGCTCTGTGGGACATGGTACATCAGAAACAACTCGAGATCAAAGGCACGATCAGAAACGTGTTTGACGTGTGCTGGAATCCCAGGCCTAGCTCAAGTTCAGTGGTCTTTGCCGTAGCTTCGAGTGCTACTGGCATGGACTTTAGTCGCAGAATGCGAACAGCCGTGAGCTGTTTCGCACCAAGCCAGCCACTTTCGGCTGTGGTGAGATGGCAATGCCCTGCTTTAGACATCAACGACGTTGTGATCTGTCCATACGACAATCACTTGATTGCGGCGGGAGCTACGGACGGCAAAGTGTACGTTTGGGATCAGCGTTGGGCAGGAGCAGGACAATCTCCACTCCACGTGCTGTCTCACGACGACTCTCTGAATGTTTTGCCCCATGGCTACGACAAGGAATTGACAGACACTGGCGTTCGCTTCCTCTCCTGGGGAACGACCAGCTCTCGGCTCTTCTCTGGCTCTTCGGACGGTGTTGTCAAAGTATGGAACCCCTACAGATCTGCTGATAATGCACATGTCGAGGATATCAATGTGCCTCGCCAGCACAGGTCTGCTATTATGTCGGGCACCTTCAGTCCTGACTATCGGGAGCTGCTTATCGGAACTGAGAACGGTCGAATCAATGTCTTCAAGATGGGCGGAGCGGTGCGCAGACCGCAGCAATTCAAACTGCACACTGCATCAGAGCCGGATTCCAACCCTCATCACGTTCTCGAGGCTGCTAATGCACAGATCAAGTCAAGGGCTATTGCTGTTCGTCCGTGTGGCGCAATGCCGATCAAACAGGCTGTGCAAGGCGAATTCTATCAGGGTCCTTTCCAAGCGCCAACCAGCCGTGATTGCGCGAATGCAGCGCGAAATTTGCAGCAAGCTCTGGATGCGCAAGCCGATCTGGCGGCCAATCTTGCACAACAAGGAGGCATCGATTGTCATGACCCAGCATTGTTAGAGAAAGCGCAAAGCCGTGTTCGTGACGCACAAGCAGCTATTGAAGATCTGCAGAGCCGTGCAGACTTTGCTGCGCAGTCGAGACCACGAGCGGAAGCGTTCCAACACAGCCTTCAACAGTCAAGAAAAGAGCGAAAGGACTTGCTGGCACGTGCGCGCGAGGTCTTTGCAAATGACGCGGGGCCGTGCAAGAGTGATTGCGCATATCTGCCGACTTCAGATGAGCTCGAGGACAACAGACGCTCCGAGCTTCGTATCCCCGGCGTGCTGAGGAGTATCGGGAATGAAGAGTTGACGCTTGCTCGAATGCACGATAGTGATCAAGCTGCCGAGCGATGCTCGAAGTGTTTTCCTCTTCAAGCACAGAGAAAGGGCAAGGGCAGTCAGCGCGAGCTATGCTTGACCTGCAAGCTTGATCGTATGCGCTTGACCACAGTATGCAGCTTATGCTCTTCTCCTGCTCGGGTGGAAACGGAGCCGAACAAACAACCTCTATGCGAGGCGTGTACATTTGCTTGCTTTCGATGCTCAGGGCCTGTCAAGTTCTCGCGGGGCGCGCGCTCGCTCAGATGCGAGTCTTGTAAACTTAGTTGGAATGCCGGTGTTCTCGGCTATGAATTGGTCACCAAAGCAGAAAAAGCTCCAAAGGTAGATGCTCCCCAGGGCCATAGTATGATGCCGCTGTATGAGCAATATGACGACTTGGGAGCCCTAGAGAGGGAGCGCTTGGCAGAGAATTGGGAATGTTGAATAATGGTTATTGAGTAGTTTAGATGATCAACAGGAAATATCATCTATCATCATTATCATTTATTGCCATGTTGTTTCACTTTTCGTCTAGCTAAGAGGATCATCTGTTTGCTAATACTTTAGGTACCTACCAAATCATCTCTCAGCTCGAGTACCTATATATAACCTAATGTCAGTCCTATATATAGAGAGAGAGGAGGACAAAAGGGCTCGATCCAAACCGAGTATAGACTGTTAATAAGTAGGTAGGTAATATACCTAGGTAAAATAAACCTACAGGTACCTACCACCTATCCATCTATTCATCTCATCTCATCCACCACTTATATACATACCTTTATAGTCATATACAAAAAACAAAATCTACCGAACTTTCCACCCCTGTTTCTCCCCCACCGCCTCTCCATCAAGACCCAATTCTCCATCTCCCCCATCACCAAGAGCATGAGGTTTTTGCCCTTCGAGCGTAGCAGCTTCTTCCGCATCTTGGATTACAACAGGAGGACCCGTGAAATGTTTTCGGCCGTTGATGAGATACCAGATCAGACTCAGCGTTGCAAAGGAGATGAAGACTACTGAGGCGTAGTTCATGGAGGAGGCTTCGACCTAGAATTTTTTTTTTCGGGTAAGCGTGGGATGGTTGATTAGGTGGGGAGGGGAAAAGGGGAGAGGGAAGTAACTTACGGGTAAACTAACAGGCATACAAAAAAGCACAATAGCAAGAACAATCCACGCGAGGCAAAGAATATTGATTGCAAAGCCGAATTTCCCGAGAGAAAACGTGGAATGTTGGACCATTTTGCGACCTCGCAGGACAGAGACGAGAATGGGGAGACCGTAGCCGCAGGAGAGACAGATGGTTGCTACTCCCGTAAAACTGTTGAAAGCGGCTGTGGAGCCAAAGTAGATGAGCCCGAGGAGGCAGTCGACGACGGTGGAGAGGACGAGACCCCAGAGGGGAATGTTCAAGGTGGAATTGGTGGTTCCGATCCATTTGCTACCGGGGAGAGCTCCATCTCGAGCGAAAGCGTAGGTGCATCGGCTTGCGGCGGTGAGGGAACCTACGCCGGCGAAGAAGAGGATGCCGAGGATGAGGAAGAGGAGACCGAAGCCTCCGCCGGTGGAGCCTGTGACGATTTTGAAGAGCGTTCCGATCGGTTGGCCACTGGCGACGTCTAATAAGGTGGCGACGTCGGGGAGGACGAAGAGGATCGGGATGAGGTAGATGACTCCTGTGACTCCGGCTGCTGCAACGGATAAGACCATTGCTTTGGGCACTTCTCGTGCTGGGTTCTGCACTTCCTCGCACATGGATGCTACCAATCCATATCCCGTCAGCGTGTACGCTGCTTGCAATAAGCCCACGAAAAATGCCCATCCATCCGGCCATCCGCTCGCACTGGCATCGTAATGGGTAAAGACGAATTCTCCGGAGCGGTAGGTGTCGGACATGGAGAGCAAGACAATCATGATAATGAGCACGCTCGCGGCCGTCCAGTAGATGCAGACTTTGTTAATGAGATCCAAATACTTTGCCCCAAACGCATTCACTCCAAAACAGACCAACGTCCACGCCCAAAACATCAAAACCGTCTGCCAGGCACTCGCGACAAAATCTTCATTGTACAAACTAATGGCACTCAAAATCAACTGGGCGCCCGAAAAATTTATCGACAGCGTCACCGTCCAATTCCCCACCAAATTCAACCATCCCGTAATCCACGAGGCAATTGGAGCATATTTTTTCGTCGACATCATTGCACTCCAGTAATACACTCCACCGGCAGTTGGATACACGGCGCAAATTTCGGCCAGGGAAGCGGCAATGGAGAGGGAGATGAGGGAGACCAAAACCCAACCCCAGATGATGGTGACGGATTGGCCGTCGGTGAGAGTGATGTAGAGGGTGGTGGATAAACCAAAGGGCACGGCCATGATGGCAAAGGACATTCCGAGAATGGATAACATGCTTAGACTGCGTGGAAGTTCGCTTTTGTAGCCCATTTGAGCCAGGTCTGCGGCGGCGTTTTGCGCCGAGATGGAGTTGGTGCGCGCCGCTTTTACTCCTCCGCCATCGCCGCCGCCGCCAATGGCGGATAGTCTTCTTTTCATGCTGTCCATTCGTGCTCTGATCCCGGTGGGCGGGGGGGGGTTTTGAGAGGTTGAAGAGAGAGAGAGGCCGGAGGAGGTGGTAGGTACCAGGACCCAGGTAGGTGAGGTATCTTATCTTTGCAAAGCTACTGGTAAGTACCTAGGTTGCGGGGAGAAGCAACGAAATGCGCAGTAATGATGATATTGATGATGATATCGCAAAAGAAGAAGAAGAAGAAGAAGCAGAAGCAGAAGTGGAAGAAAGGAAGATAGACGGAGTGGAGTGGTGGATATCAAGTTCCAAGACTCCAGAGATGGTTATCAATTATCAATTCACAAGTTATCAGTGAAACCTCAGCAGCTAAGCTTACCGAGTCTAACCTCGTACTGTAGGCGCGCTCCTACTCTCGTCGTCGTCGTCTCACGGCCTCAGTCCGGGCAAAGGAATCCAAAATCCACCGATAGAAGCACCGATAGATAGTAGGGCCTAGCCTATATTCCCACGTGCTTTTTATCTTACCCGGACGAATTACATTCCTTCGGGTATATGCATCTATACGTACAGTACATAATGTACCTTACTTACCTACAATCTTACATCCTACGACTACGGCTACGACTACCTACCTAAGGTACATACGTATACCTAGGGTACATACATCCATACTTGATACGTATGGGTAGGTATCTTACGGTATTACTATTACATGTAACTTTTTCTTGGCACGCTTACGACGACATCCATCACTTCCAAGTGATACCGCGAGCTTAGCATCGATAACGCTTCTTCTTCTTCTTCTTCTTCTTCTTCTTCTTCTTCTTCTTCTTTTTTACGAAACCGAACAAAAAAGGAAAAGAAGTGTGTGCAGCAAGAATAATGTAAAATGTACAATGTATTTCATCGTCAAGAAGTATATATATACAGGTCAAGAAAAGACAAGAAAAAGCAAAGAACAAAAAGTCATCAGGTAGTCTTCATCATGAGCCATCGTCTCTCCTTCTCTCCCTCCATCACTCCCTCCCTCCCTCCCCCAAATCCCCCCAATCCACCACGCCCTCAAAACCCCTCCCGATAAGTCCCCCACAAACTCTGAATCCTCGCAACCTGGCCGGGCGTAAACTGCGAATAACACGCATCCGAAGAATAATCCATATAATTATGAATCGGATCGACTCCCGTCTTAGAGGGACAACTATCCTTAGGAGGTTTCGCAGGACAACCATCCGTACTCGTCGACTGCATGGGAGTATCCGAAATCAAATCGCCCTCGCCATCGCACGAATACCCTTCAAATGTATGCAAGAGACCGAGCCAGTGGCCCGTTTCGTGCACGGCTGTCATGCCCATGTTGTAGCCCGTCAGGGAGCCGCCGGGCATCGTGTGGCCGTTGATGTTGCAGCCGTCGGTGTAGTACTCGGCTGCCGTCGTTTGGGCTGTGACTTGGGAGGGTAAAGTGCACGTGCCGAGGATTCCGCCCGCAGGGTCCGAGTGGAAGTAGAGGTTGAGGTCTCGGTAGCTTCCTGCGCGCAGTGCCTTTTTGAGATCATCCATGGCGGTGCCGTCCGCGATTGCCCATGTATCGTTGACGGTGGTGGATACGTTGACGAGGTTGAAAGTGATTCCAATGCGATTGTAAGCTTTGTTTAACGCGGCGACTTGCGCAGTGGCCATGTCTGGCGTCAAGGTGCCCGCTGCTGCTGTTGTCGTCAGAAGATGGAGGTAGGTATCTATAGTAATCGCAGGAGTGACAGCGGCTCGTTTGGAGACCGCTGGGATTTGCCCAGGTCTACGCCCATTGCGAGCCAAGAACTTGGTGGTTGCATTAAAGTGTGCAGAGGCTTTCGCTCGTGTTGTGCCACAGTCGAATCGACGAATCGTCATATTCGTAGCAGGGTCCACGAACGTGGATATGCCGTCCTGATTCGGCGACGCTGCTGTGACGACAGACAAAATGGTTGCCAAGGCGGCAATGGTGAAGCCCTTCATTATTGCAAGTGATGTCCGTCTTCAGCGATAGAGGATCGTGTCGATCGTTCCGAGGAATGTGAGTCTGCCTTTGCCTCTGACCAGTGCTATAAACCCCCGGAATGTAAATGGGGTATAGAAAGTACTTGATCTTCCCACTCAACGTGCCAACACCACAAGCTGATGAACCGTGCTACAATAGTGGGACCATGCCCTTGGTATATAACACAGTTGTCGCTCTGATCCAGATCAGCTTATACCTGGGGTAGTCGGAGTCGAGAACTCGACGTTTGCGGCTCTACACGTTGTGTCAGAAAGGCTCGGTAGCTCGAACAAAGCCGATCCGCGAGACTGGTCGCCAGCTGCAGCACGGAAGGCCTTTCCAAAAGACCAATCTAGAGCCTCGAAGAGGAAGTCAGTAGTCGCTAAGCTCAAAACATGTTTGCCACCTTTCGGAGTCGGCCTGCCCGCCCGGTCTGGTGCGCTCGAAGAACATGAAGGGCAAAGAACGGGGCTGGCTGGGTTGGCGACAGAGAGTATAAAGGATGTTGTTGTGTATTTGCTGCGTAGGGGAGGTGCAAGTCTCACAGCTGCGCAAGACGGGTAAGTTGATCATGGTAACATTCGTTGTGAGGCAATCCTCCGTGATGCATCTGTGGCACCACCGCTGTGATTTTGAGATACCCGTGCAGAAACCCGATACTGCGCCTGAAACACCAAAACGCCCTGTACCAACTGCGTACTGGAACAATGAACAATAGTCGTATCTTCTTTTATGCTGCTTCGTTAGGTCTAGGTGCTCGTCCGGTTGTAGTTGCCGTGGAGGGGCCCTCGGAGTTCCATGAGAGATAGCTGTGATCGCCCAGTTTTCTGTATGTCACGAGGTTAGCCAGAGCGATTGTTCCAGATTCTGTGTTGATAGATACTGACCTTGGCCTGATCAATTGTGTGACAGTAAAGAGACCGCCCAGGAGGATGCACAAGCCTCCGACCACGATGTATGCGATACCTAGGAATGGATTGCGGCCGCCCATGATGGTGCGAGTCGAGAGCAGAATCGACTTGGTGCCGTCGTAAATGGTGACGGGAAAGTCTACGAGAAGAGGCGGGCATTAGTCACACTACCCGGGCCCAGGGTTTCGCCAAGTCCTCAACACTTACAGTCATTGATGACCATCTCGTACGTCCCAATCTCCATGGCTTCGTTGTCGTTTCGCAACGCAAGTTTGCTAAAGGTCGGCAGACCAGCCGTCCGCATCCACACCTGAAACTCCTCCCAGATCTTGAGATTTGGTATGGGGTAATCCTCATTGTAACCGACTGGGTATGCAACCCGCCAGTTCGGTGGAGGTACGACCTGATCAGGGGTGTATGGCGCGAGACCGTACAAAGCAGCATCCGAGGACCAGGCAATGTTCTCGTTGGTCATGTTGTAGGTGATATTGGGCGACGCTGATCCCGGCGCATTCAACAGGACTGGCATTGCGAAAGTGTCATTGAACATCGAGTTCGCAATGAGCCCGCAAGGGTAGTATGGCTTCTCTACTGAGTCACTGTCGTTGACCTTGCCCCGTTCCAGAGGATCGCAGTTGCTGCCAGAGATAGAGCCGTTGTCCCGGAAATTCCCCTTCAGTTGGTCCTGGTCAAAGGACTGCACGTATCGTCGGTGGTTTTGGTAGAAGTTGGTGAGCTGGTAGTAGAGCAGCACAGGGCCGGAGAGGCGGTCGGGCACATAGAACTGCAGATGACATTGCGTAGTTGAAACGTTGTGTACTGATGGCAGACTGCTGTTCAATGGGAAGCCAACCTGGACATCCGTCTCTTTACACCATTGTGGCGCCTGTGCGGTATCGGTGGAGTTCTTAAAGTGAGAAGAGATCTTCCCACTCGGTATCCTCTCCAGTTCGGGACAGATGGGAGCGGTCGCGTTGCAGTCCGAGTAGTCGATAATCAACTCCTGTACGGTCGAGCTGGCCCACAGAAGCACGCCGCCGATGGGGGCAAAGATGATGCCGACTGCGAAGAACAGTGGCAGCACGGTCCGCGGCGTCAAGATGGGCTGCCAGGCCTTCAGTCGCTGCTGGCGAAAGGCATTGTCTGTCCACCGTCATCAGCCCACTCTGTCCATACAGCGCGCATCGGAGCGCATCGCATCGTATCTCAGCTCACTGGGAGGCCTCCTGCTCTTCGGCTGGTCCTTTTTGTCCACCTCTTCGCTGCCCTGCGTGCTGTTGGCGTCGGTCTGCTGCTGCACTTGCGTCGTCTGCGACATGTCGGCGATGGTGGTGGGTAGAAGCTAGGACGAGGAGGAGGACATGAGAAAGAAGGGAGAGACTGGAGGTGGAATGAATCGGACTCAGGCACTAGGAGGTACCACCAACTGGCACCAAGTAAAGAGGGACGCGAGTGTCCTCTCGCCTCCAGCTCGTACTGACATGCTTACTTAGCCTCGTACAGGGATTCCGTGGCTGACGATCCGCGGCCTTCCCTCTGGATCCATAGACCCTTTTGGACCTCCTCCGCTTCTCGCCGCTACGTACACATTATCCTATACATGTACACAATTACACCATTTTGACGCCCATTGTGGTCTGTTGCAATATCATGTCATCATGAGGGTTATGAGGGTCATAAGGTAGGTAGGTGTAGAAACTGAAAGCAGCCTGTGTCCCGAAACCGTTGTTGTGTAGAATACATATATATATACTGTCCTAAGCTTCGTATGCAATACGAGATCTTGCGCTGCCACATGCATCAGGTAGTTGATCTATGCCTTTATCATCATCTCGCCCAAAACGCTGAAATTGCTCTCGACAATACTAGACCACCTTGCGGCAACAAATTCATGCCTGCTTCTTAGCGTGCGTTATTGCTCATCTTGGCCCACTCTCTTATACTTCCCACTGCCACCCCCATTCGAATCCTCGCCGCCACGCTTCATCTTGTCAGCCACATTGCTGAGCCAGCCCGCGACACCTTCGCCTCCTTTGCCATTGCCGAGCATCGGCTTGCCATCCTTGATGTCCACCTCTGGAGGCTGCAAGTCCAAGTCGGGAATGTCGCCGCCTGGTTGATCGTCACCCAGGGTGAAGGATGGAACCGGTGAGCGATCACCAAAGAGAGACGCGGCTTCGGCGAGGGTTTCGGGTGTTGGTGCGACTGTTGTGGCATCACCAAAGATGGAGTTCATATCTTCGAGGCGGACGTTGGCAGTCTCGGGGTATATGAACCACACTATTTGTTACAGGTCAGTGAGTATACACGGGGTGTGACTATCTCTCTCGCGCATGCCGACTTACCGACTACGAAGCTGACAGCGCAGAAGAAAGCATGCAGCAGGTACAGTCTCCACTTGATGGCTTGCTGGAGTATCGGCGTCATTTCACCGACGAGCCAGTTGAATGCCCAATTCGTCGCAGTAGACAAGCTTGCACCCTTGGCTCGGATGCTCAAAGGCAGAATCTCTGGAGGGTAGAGCCACGGGATCGGACCCCACGAGTATCCAAATGCGGCATTGTAAATCATCACGAATATCACGACCAAGGTGGGCGTGAGGTGAATGTCGATGTAGATGAAGTACGAGATGGCTGAAAGTGATATGACCATCGCTACTGCACCGGACAGCAGGATGAATCGGCGGCCCAGGCGATCGACAAGGTACCAAGGGGGTATCGTAGATGCAAGATACGTCAGGCCATTGATACCGGTCATTAGAATGGCATCTCTCCCCACCCAGCCTGCTTGTTCAAACACCAGAGGTGCATAGTAAGAGATGACGTTGATGCCGTTGAGCTGCGCGAGAGCTTGCGCGGACATGGCAATGAAAACACGCTTGTAGTAACGCTTGAACATGTCCGCGTATGAGCGCTCTCCCTCTTGACGTTGCAGCAAGACGTTCATCTTGATTTCCCGATATTCGTCACGAGCTTTCTGGTTGTGAATGTCGCCCTTCCCGTAGAGATTGGCAATTACCACGATGCCCTCTTCGTCATGATCATTGTCCAGCAGCCATCGGGGGGACTCCACAATCAGGAAACTCCCTACGGCGAGCAGACCTCCCATGACCACCTGCATGAGCAGAGGGAGGCGCCATGCCCAATGTCCGTCAATGTAGCTGCAAAAGTAGTCCACCCAGACACTGCACATGTAGCCAAAAATGTTGCCCGAGAATTCGATGCACGCCAGCTTGCCTCGATTGTGTGGAGGACTGATCTCGCTCTGGTACACGGGCACAATGGTACTCAGCGCTCCTACCCCGAGACCAGCAATGATTCTTCCCAGCATCATCATGGGCATGCCATTGGCAAAGGATTGGATCGCACCTCCGACCACAAAGATCAAAGCTCCATACAGTATCGTCTTCTTTCTGCCGAGCAAGTCTCCAATTCTCCCGACTGCGATGGACGAGATGAAAGCTCCTACCTCCAAGATGGCAACCATGGTTCCAATCTCTGCAGGAGTCGGCTGGTTGAAGTAGTCCTTGAAGTACGGACCTGTGATGATCCCAGACATGACACCCTGATCATATCCAAACAGGAAGACGCCTAATGACACGAAAATGGACAAAAAGTACACGAGCTTCTTGCCATGCAGGCCGTGCATGCGCGCAGGGCCATCGCCGGGCGCCATGGTGCGAGCGAGGAGTCTCTGACCCCAGCTGAGTGGTATGCGTGGTGGAGTGGGAACGACGATATCCTCCTTTCTCGTGACGAAGCCAGACTGGCCGTGACGTTTCTCGCCGTGGGAATGGTTTGAGGCGTATCGGACGTGTTTCGAGGAACGATGCTTTCGACTCTTGCGAGGACTCTCGACGCTGGCGCTGTCTCGTAACCGAGCGGCCAACGGGTCTTCCTCGTCAGCAAGTTGGTCGACGAGATCGCCGGTGTCGCTCCACAGCGAGAAGTCGTCGTCGTCGTCGTCGTCTTCGAAGGAGTTCGAGCGCCGCCGGAGGCGTTCACGGTCCTTCTCGTTGTAGGACTCGCTGCTGTGTCGTCGGCCCGAGGAGGACGAGAAGGTGTGCAAGGGTATGGTCTGCTGTGGGTTACGGGCAGAGCTGTCTGGTGAGAACGGAATCTTTGGAGACAGAGGCTGTTCGGCAGCCTTCTGACCGACAATCGGTTGGCTCAAAGAGGAAAAAGAGCGAAAGCCAGGAATGTGCGCGTGTGCGTGTGTATGCTGCAGCACCCCCCAAGTCCAATATCCAGTCAGTATGCGGACAGCAGACCGACTTGTGCTGCAAGGTGTCGTAAGGTAGGGTAGTGTGGTGTATAGAGGAACTCCAATCGGCGGCGCTAGTAGCAGGGCTTCGGCTGGCTCTGTTGATATCGCGCGCTCGAGATCTCAAACAAGAATCGGATGCTATTTGCTACCTGTTGAGGGGGACAGGGTGGAGCATTGGCTTTGTGCGACGGGGAGAGTAAGGTACTTGGGGTAGGCAGTAGAAGAACTATGGAAACGCAACAAGAATCAAGATACGGGGATAGGTAATACTAGGTACACGGAGAGTATAAAAAAGGTACAATGTCTTCCCTTTCTCTCTCCCCTAAGGTACACTCCTACGCCTTGACGTAGAAAGTACCCCGAAATAATGCGTTGCTGATCCAAGGCTGAGCGCGCCCCTATGCCTCCTATTCGTTGAGCCCGACGACCGCCTGCAGATTTCCCCCATCTCATCCCATCCCATCCTGCTGCCACGTTTATTTTTTTTTATGTTTTGTTTCACGCTTCACTACTGTCAACAAATGTCGTACCGCACTACAATCATGCACACTACGAGGACATAGGGCACGAGGTGTGTGTACTCGGGAATATAAAAATGTCACTGGTCACGATGCTTTTTTCAGCTGCACGAGATCAAATGGTACAGGTACCCAGGTACCCTGACTGTGAGCGTTAATAATAAGAATGTGGAGATCGATCCTGTTGTTCTGCCGACCGAGGCCTCCACCTATCTTTCTTGTCGACATGTACATCCTAACCTCGTACAACACATCAGGTCTCTTATGAATACCTTCACGCGCTTACCAAAAACAAACACACTCATTGACAACAACAAGGCCTTCTCCTACTACCTGGTAGGTAGGTATATCATTGAAGATGTGCCCAAAGAGGCCGCAGAATAAACTCTTTCAGAGAGTTATAGAGACAAAGAGAGTTAGACAAGACCGCATCCAAAGCGTCCCTACCTTAAGGTGCGGGAGTTGCGTATAATCTCTCTACTCTGCTTGGAAGTTGAAAAGGGGGTAGTGAGTGAGTGAGTGCACATCATGTTGCGTAGCTCCTTTTTAGTGGGAAGTAAAGACTTCATGATTACATATGTACCTAGGTAAGGTACCTGAGGTAGGCAGAGGACTTTCGTATCATCATCATCATCATCATTTTTCGGGCATGCTCGTCGTCGTATGTACCGTTGCTTCCCAAAAAGTTCACAATTCCTCCACAGAACGACTCGCAAGGATTAATCGCCACCACCATCGTCACCGCCGCCGAAATCACCTCCATCGTCATCTTGGCCATCCTGGTAGCCATCTTGGTATGCGTCCTGTTCGTGGTCGCCGATCTCGTCCGCGATCAAAGCTCCACCGAGCACACCAGCTCCCAAACCCAGCGCCGCTCCTCCTGCCATTCCCATGCCTCCCATTCCACTCTTACGAGGTGGTTGACCATGACCATACATGCCTCCTTGAGGAGGGTATCCTCCGTATCCACCTCCGTATCCTTGCTGAGGGTAGCCTCCATAGCCTCCACCTCCTCCATAGTGCTGTGGAGGATATCCCGAAGGTTTCGAGCCGCTGCTGCCAGCCAGTTTGCTTGTGATCTTACTCAGAAAGCCCCCCTTCTTGCCTCGGTCCTGGTCGCCATATGGCGCAGGACTGCTCGATTGACCGTACGCCTGCTGGCCATACGCTTGCTGGCCGTATGCTTGACCGGGCGCTGAGCTCTGGCCAGGAGCACCGTGATTGTAGTATCCATCACTTGTGCCTCGGTTGCCGCTGCGTGCATTCTCCTCTTCTTGCAGTTTTCGCGCCAGCTTCTCATCTTCGGAGATGTTATTGCTACCCGTTGCCCCTCCACTACCGGCATATGGATTGTTGCTGTTCAAGTATCCGCCCTTTTCGGGTCCGGTCGCCTGTGCTGTCGAGTGGTCGTACCCCGGTGGAGCGCCTGGCGGAGGTGCGCCTGCGGCACCGAAAACGGGCTCGGTTGGTTTTTCCCACTGCGATACGCCCGTGTGTGTGTTGACATAGAACCACTCGCTGTACTGTGTGTTCCAGACTGCTTTCCAGCCCTATTGTTGCGTTAGATCAGTTGAGCTCGTGGCGCTGAGTGTCGATTGCACCTACTTCTGGGACCTTTGGAGGCGGCGGGCCAGGCGGAGGTGCGAAGTCTGCCATGGTGAGTGTATACAGGTACCTGAAGATGGTAGAGCGAGAAAGAATGTGAAAGTGAGCGGCTCATTCACGTTTTCCTGTCGAGCTGTTTCTGTCAGCGCGCGCGCGCCACCAACAATGACGTTGCAGTTGCGTCCCGCAGATGACCTAAGGTAAGTGCCGATACACCTGGTTCTTCGCGTTGGAATGAACTGCCGGCAGACTGTCCTGTCATGGTTCTTTTCCAACAACTCGAACTCTTGCTTTCCATTGGAGTCACCTCCACTTCAGCCTGATTGTATCAGCTTGAGCCTGCCTACCTACTTGATCAGACATCATGCGGAAGCATATGTACAGGTATGTACCTTCTGTAGTTCAACAAAAACATTGTTGACGTTGCATCGATACTAGTAGGTACTCGATATCTCCTCCAGACTCTCGGCTTCAATTCAATGCTGCCAACAACTCTTCATACCGGTTCTCTCCATTTGATGATTCAGCAAAACCCTCTCTCCTCTCGGAAGTACCGTTCTCGATCTCATCTGATCGTATTTCGTCTATAGAACTTCTTCTGAAACTGAAGACGACTCGCAACTAATGCAAACCTTGCAAGCGAATCATCATTGAAGAGTGCAGACCCTCGCATCTTCATGTTCTTGACCCTGATCACCCCATGGTGATATGACGCTTGATACAAGCATGTTCCTCAGCTTTCAAGGCGACTAGCGACTCCCTGCATGATGCCAAGCTCAGGGTCCCAGAGAATAACGAATGAATTATGTACCTTACCTGTGCCTAGGTGGGAAGCAGCGAGCATGATCATGATCACCAAGTACCTTAATTACCATATGTTTTGCCAGGGTACATGTGGTAAGTGAATTGCAGCGTACGCGAAGGCATACCGGACCACTATGTTGTAGTACCTCCGTGCTAGGAGGTAGTACTTGAGAACGACCGTACCGATGACCAGAAGAAGCTGTCGCAACGCTTTCCCCTCCCCTGGCTCCCCCGGCTCCGACATTAGTTCTCATCGGCTATAAGGCTTGATGATCACGAACTCTGCCTACGTCTGCAACACATGCAGATGTGATGAAACAGACAGATACGGGTCCCCCTTATCCTCTATGTGTGTAGGAGGTAGCAGCAGCAGCAGCAGCAGCAGCAGCGAGAATCACATGCAAAAGAAGCATGAAGCGAATCTGTCTGGATCGGGTCGGACATGCGCCGTTGCAGCACCTCAGCTGCCAGACCCGCGTCATTCTGCTGGCTGTCGCTTCTGGTCGGCCTTGTCATGCCACACCACCCACCTGGCACCATCTTTTAAAAGAATAGAAATAAAAATAAAAATGAAAAATCGGTGTCCGTAAGATCATCTTTCTCCACGGCTACATCTCAGTGTCAGGTAGCGGGGGAGACGGCTAGGACTCCTAGGAGGTACTCCGCCTCGAATATCACCTCTTTCTCAAAGGGAAGACCCCTGTCGATGACGGTTCTCACTGGGCTGCGGCTGGCTGATGAGAGACGTGAACGCACGTGCGAGCCTGGTATTATTAGTCTGTAGTGAGCAATATCACAAAATGAATGCCGATAGTGAGGAGGCATCTAATGATCACCATGATAGACGACATTCCTCGCAAAATAAACACAATCAGGTACACTAATCGCGTATACACTGCCTCCGAAGCACTCGATCTCTATCTCAAATCGTCTGGCGCCCGCACATCAAACATGGATGAAACGGGCTATTTCCCCCCTCTCGAGGACTACCGTCTTCGTCAAATAGCGCCTGCTCGACCGGTATATGTGCCACCACCTCAGCTCATACTGCCCATGCAGCAGCAGCAGCAACAGCAGCAACAGCACATATCCTCACCTGTCTTCCGAACCGACATCGCCAGCGCAGATATGAGTGAGGCGGCACCATCATCTCAGGCATGTTCCTGTCCGATACTCGATCCATGCATTCTGGAGACATTGGCACTTCTACAAGGCTCATTAGGCCTACTTCGGGAACTCAGCCAACAACAACACAATGAAGACGCCCAATTATCGGCACTCCTCGCTCAACCCTGCCGACTGAAAATGACCATCATGGACCTTTTGCCCCTCTCCGAAGAGTGTGAAGGCACAGAGCGCGCATTGAGCACCCTGCTGCTCCGGCGGGACACCTATCGATCTACGCCCGCAACCCCCGACCTGTGCTCCTATGTGCGCTGTCGACTAGATGACCTCTTACTGGACCCCGTAGATGCACTGGCACCAATGCAGCATTGTCTCAGTGTACTCCTCAACATCCTCGACTTCGATACGCTCGAATTTCGAGCCCATTTGCGACGAATGAAGACTCTTTCCAACGACAACGACAACACCAACGATATCGACCTCATGTGTCGCGCATACGATCATTTGGCCAAATCTACACCTAAAGTCTTTCGCTCGCAGTTTGGCGAGAAGTTGAATATGCTCGAAGCTGCTGTGGAAGGTCTGGCGGATCAAATTGCGCTGGCTGATGATGTCGACGCTGATAATGATGATGATTTTGAGACTTGGGCTTCTTCATCACATGGGGAAATTGTCGAGACTACTGCTGTGGCTTCGACAAAACGCTTTTCTTGCACAGTTGCCAAACTCATCACTATTCCACGCTCGACTGCTTGCGTATGATGTGACCCACATCAGTTACGGGGTGGAGCGTATGCCGAACTGAAGTTTATGGCGACCAAACCTACCTACTTTCCATGGTACCTTACTTTTGACATCATGCAGGGCTGCCAGGCCCTACCTTACCTACTTACTTAAGGACGAGCCCTACCAGTATTTATCCAACTGCATACAAGCATACAGCATCCCATTGGAAAAGCGGGAGCGAAAACTGTTTATTTGCACAACAGAATTTGGAAGCAACAGCAACAACCATGGCCACGATGCGAGCGTATCTCACGGTTTCTCGAGGCGCTCACAAGCAACAATCCACCAGGACACTCAGAGAATAAAACAAGGTATCCAGGATTCAAACTTTCAAGAGGTCTGCATTTGACCTACCTACCTACCTACCTACCTACCTACCTTACGAAGGAGAGAGACAAGGGAAAGAAAGAACTTCAGATAGACGAAAAGGAATTCTTCTTCTTTTTCGCTAGATCAAACAACCCTACCTACCAACCCACGAACCTACTAGACACCTTATGCTGGACTATCCCAAGGAGAGAACAAACCACCCCATCTCGACTGACTGACGAGTCCTCGTGTCTTGCGAAGAAACTTGGTACCAGTCTCGGCCGAGTACTTCTTTTGCTTTGTGGGCAAAGAATCTTGGGGTTGATGTACCTACCTACCTGGGTTAGGGAAATGGGATGGGATGGGATGGGATGGGATGGGATGGGATGAGATGGGATGATTTGAGCGGTTTTTGAGGGATGGAGATGGAGATGGAGATGGGAGATTGGAAGAAGGAAAGGTTTCGGTATAGGTGGTTTCTTACTCGGGTACATGTATCTTATCTGCCTGCCCGACTTTATTGTAGAGATGAGAGAGTGAGTGAGAGATGAGAGATGAGAGATGAGAGATGAGAGATGAGAGATGAGAGATGAGAGATGAGAGATGAGAGATGAGAGATGAGAGATGAGAGATGAGAGATGAGAGATTAGAGAGAGATGACAGAGAGAGATGACAGAGAGAGATGACGAAGAGAGATGAGAGATTAGAGAGATTAGAGAGAGAGGCAACTTATTTATGGTAGGAGGGAGGTAGTAAGGAAGAAGAAGAAGAAGAGTCTCACGACATAAAAAGCGATATTACATGTATTCTGTATGTGGCTACTCACCTTTCTTTCTTACCCTACAATACATATAAACACAGATGGGTGGGGCTGTTCAAAAGTGATGATGATGGTGAAAGTGAGCACTTTTTGTGGAAATGTGTCTTATTTTGACTTTTGATGTGTAACATCTGTGGTATCTGCCTTTCTCTCTCTCGAGCAGTGCCTTGCTTCATAGTGGAAGGAGGTAGTACCCGAGTCTTTTGCGACTTGCTCAAGCGCGAGTCATGGCGGTATGGTAGGTGTCCTTCCTGCCTGCCTTTTATGGCCGCCTCAGTGGGTGGCCGGGTGGGTATTCATATCCATCTCTCCCTCTGTCTCTCTCTTTTCCTCTCTCTCCCTTTCTCCACAGCTTTGGTGATTCCTTGTAACTTGCCCTCTTTCCCCTCTTCAATTCTCAATCACCTCCACCTCCACCACGCCCTCCTCTCCCTCTCCCCGGACCTCCTCCTCCCCGCCCACCTCGTCCTCGGCCTCGATCCCCTCGTCCACCACGGTCACCCCTCTGTCCACCAGCACCAGCACCACCGCCCCCTCTGCCCCCGCGCTGCGACTGCTGATTCGCCTGCTGATCCTTGACCACATCCACCACCTCGTCCGGCACGCGCAAATATTTGATCTATTATCATTCGTCGTCAGTCAGTCAGTCAGCAATTGACTTTGTCCCCTCCTCCTCACAACCACCATATCAAACGAAATGTCTTCTCTTGCTGCTGCTTACATTATTCCCTCTGACATAACACTCGGCCAAGCGAAAGAAATGATCACCCTCGGGACTCGTTTGTACGACTTCTTTCAGGGTGATGTTCATGTAGGTGTCGCAGCTGACGAGATGGCCATTGAGGGTTTCGCCGGTTTTGAGCTCGACGAGCATCGGGTGGCCTTGGGCTGCGGTGAGGAGGCCGAGGGGGAGCTGGCGATGAGGAAGAAGGTTAGTGGGAGTGGAGTGATGGGAGGATGAGGAGGAGGGGCTTACCATGGTTGGAATGAGTGGGTGGGTTGTTTGTCGTGGATGTTGAATGGGCTTTCCGTGAAGTACTGCAGTAGCAAGCAGTTCACACGACTGGGGATCTTAGCTTAGTAAGGTGCTGAAGTGGGGCCATCTACAAGTAGCTTAGCGGAGTCGGGAAGTCGGCTTCTGGTTAGAAAGTCAAAAGAAGCGAGAGCCTAGGCAGAAGTATGTAGAGAGTGAGTGCCAAGAAGAGACATTGCTACCTCATGATTGACTTTTATTTTACCCTCAGCTATGGACTGACACTAACTACACACCTTAAGGGTCTCTCTTCCATTCGTGTGTGGGAGAATGACTAAAATAAACAAAAAAAAAGAAAAAATTCTCAGAACGGAGTGTAATACGAATGAGTGAACAGGATGGATGGATACGACAAGCCGTGCGTCTCTCAAGGCAGCAGGATTCAGGCTTACCTCGTACGCGAACAGCTGTTCATTCTGCATGAGAAGAAGAAGAAGAAGAAGAAGCAGTGCGTACACCTGGTGTTCTATCATCACTATACCACTACTTGAACTTCATCTTTGCATGTCCACCATCCCGCGGTAGAAACGAGAAGATGCGCTTGGCCGTGTTCCATCTCATGATGATGATGATGATGACTCCACTGGCGGCGACGCTTCCTATACCCATACCCATAAGCATACCACAAGGCCGTCGCGATAGAGTGGAAGTGGAAATAGTCGAGTCTGGTACGGCAAATACCTATACCTATGAGGAATGATCAAACCACACACTGACCTCATTCTCGTAGATTTGGCGCGTTCCTGGACGAGGTTCGCCGTGTCGCCAGGTTACAGGGATCAGCACCTTTTGCTGACGACGTCTCCCTTGGTAAGTCGCTTCACTATGGATAGAGCCGCATGCGGTGCTCGTACACACGCACGTCACTGGCACTCTCCATCGAATACCAGGTACCTGTAGCTGTACCTATAGTATACCGCGATATCTGCTCAATTCTGTTTCATCTCTGACTCGCCATCAACACTGCTGACCCGACCCTCTCTCTCTCCCCTCTTCCACTCCTACAGCTCTTCGACCTCAATGTGCACCGGGTCACCGACCTGCTGACCTCGAATCTCACCATCAATGACCAACTGCTGCACGTGCAATGGGACCCTGTCGTCGCTGATCGCGCCCTCTACGCCACTCTCTCCTCGCCTTCCTCCCACCTGCTCACCATCGCGGACGAGCGTGGTCTCTCGCACGCCGTGGACATCTCCATCTCCGGCTACATTCTCGTGGACGGCAGCCAACAGTCATTTCGGAAACCCGACCATCTCCAGCATCTGAGTCTCCTCGTTCGTTCCGTGGACGCCTCTGCTGTCCACCACTTGCAACTCGACATTGTCGCTCAATCGACCGCCTCAGACACTCGCTTGAGGAAGCTCTCTCGCGTCAGTGACATGTACCCCGCCGGGTCAGCCGCCCGCAAAGTCGAACTGCTGTCAGCCAATTCCATCCCCGACGCCAATCCCTTCGCTGATCAGCGGAATGGAGTCGACCTGGGAGACGGAGGCGAGCTCGATGTGGAGCTGGAAATCGAGTCTCTGCTCCATCTAGAGGCGCAAGCGCGCCAGTTGTCGACGCAGATCGCCGCCAAGAGACTGGGCATATCGAAGCACCTCCGAGACCATCGTGAACATGTCTCACTGGGGCATATGTTACGCCAGTGTGAGGGCGTCCTCTGCGCAGCAAAGGTCATCGCCCAACGCGTATGTGACAAAATGGGCGTCGAGACGGAACCCACTTTCACCTACGTGCAAACACCCGACTCCAGTACCCAACAACTGATCCCCATCGACAGCGAGGACAAGCAGGATGACGTGCAACATGCACCACACACCGCAGCAGCAGCAGCAGCAGCATCAGTACCTTCTTCCTCCCGCCTGTCGCGCAACTCTCTCGCTGGAAATGGCCACTTCACGCTGCGCACCAGTGGTGCAGCCATCCGACAGTCCATGGAAATCGTGTATCCGCAGAGCATGCTCTACCGTGTGCTCGGCGTGCTGTTCAGTGCCTTTGGGCTGACCGCGCTCTGCGGCTTCATCCGACGGAAATGCATGTCGGCCCGCAGAATGGTCGACGAGTTGGCCGAGCGCGAGGAGAGACGAAATGCCAGAGCGTATCGTCGTGCTGCTCGTCGAGCCGATATGCGCAAGCGATGGGACGATTTCCTGCGGAGCGTGTCGTGTTTTAGCATGCGCGGAGAGGACCCTCAGGTGGGAAGCTATGAGGAGAAGCGGGCACTGATCCTGCAAGATGCATTCCTGGAGCAGGGAGTCGAAGCTGCGGAACAGGGCGAGGTGATGGAAGCGCAGATTCGCGAGTTGAGGAATGCACATGAGATTGTATCCAGTCTCGTACGAGTGGACGAGTACCGGTATGACTTGGCTCCGCTGGTGATGAACAATCCGTTGCCGCCGTCGCCGATGCCACTGGTTCCTCTTCCCCGAAGATCTCGGTCCAGCACTGCGACCCTCCCGTCGTACACATCTGAGCTTCTGCCGGATTATCAATCTCGCATCTCCACCGTCTCCACTACCATTGCGAGCAGCAGGACTAGCAGCATCGACGACTCCTCAGATTATACTCCCACGACTTCCAGTGCAGCCGAAGGGGAAGAAGACGCTTCCGCCACTGCCGACACCGACAGCACTCCACGACCCTTCAGTATTGAAGTAAGCACCGGCACAAGAGGATCACAGCTCACAGATATCAGCTCGGTGATTGAAATATCCCCCCGTACGAGCGAGGAGACTCTTCGTACCTTTCAGCGCTCATCCATGGGCTCTCAAGACACAGACCTATAAACGTCATCTCTCATCATGCTTTGATCAATTTGGACGACACGAAGCTCCCATAAAAGAAACATCAGGGACGCTGCTACGAAACGGCGAACGACGCCTTTTTTTTTCTTTTTTTTTTTTTTTTCTTTTCCTTATTTTGCTCTTTTGAAGGTTGGCATGTATGGCGCTGGTAGGATGGGTTGTTTTTGGATCGCGTCATTTGCGGCAAGAGCATCGTTCCACTGAAGGAACTTCTTGATCGTGTACTTTGCTGGTTTACTTCTGGCTGCCTTGTAGGACCGCAGGTTCTTTCACGGCAAGCATCACTGCTGCTACGACTTCGCGGGCAGGAGGAATGGTGCCAAACTCTCTTATGTTGCACATCACAGCCGGAGAACTTCCGCCGTGAGCGGATACGAAGGCGTACCCATCATGGTACGAACAAGGCGCCAATTCATAATGAATCTTGGTTGTACAAGATGAATTGCACGCCGTAGCGAAGGAGGCGTGCCCACACCACGTACCTCCGCACAGTCTGCGTTTCTACACACAATTAATTCGTAATGCGCCCATGAGCTGCAAGGGCCGCGATACAGTCAGTACTAGGTGAGGAAGCGCCACGGATTTCGTATGCAGACCAACTGCGACTTTCACTCATTTCTTGCTATAATAATCTCAACCACATCAAAAACAATCATCGATGTGTAGTGAAGCGGTATGGGGGGTAATCTGGCGAACATGGCATAATCATTCGAGCAGCACACAGCAGTCGACCCCATTCATTCACTACCTTGCGATCGATCTGGCAAACGATCGATAGTGGTGTTAGCGCATCCAAAGACCTTCCCACCACCACCACATTCTCCCCAAGCGTGTCATACCTTGCGACTGTGCCCCGATATCGAGCCTGGCCGAGGATATGCGATGCTCGGCGATGTGGTGTGTCATGGCATGGCCCTCATGGCAGTAATACTTGGCTCTGTTATTGCTGCTACGGACGGCAGTCTCCGTTTCGCTTCCAGAGCAAGCATTCAGCGCCTCGCGTGCAGAAATATCAAAGTTCACTCCAGGATGAGGCTGGCAGCTTGATATATGTGGAAAGGCTAATGCTATATGTGCAGAGTTTGGACTACGCTCAGGTACGTCACGATCTGCACGACCACGACTCGTGCGATTCGGGCTTCACTGCTAGCGACTCGCCAGCCGTGGGCGTCTTACCCTGGAGGTGCTCGCGATGGCGAGAACCACGATCGAGAACGGCGTGTCGCCGTCCAGATAAGCGTCATGTTCTGTTTCAGCATCTTCGGCCCGTGAATGATGACGCCGGTGAGGTATGCTATGCATTGGCCGCGACTCGTCTCACCCGCCTCTTTGAGCAGTGATGTAAGGATACATTTGGAAAACACAATCCACTTCGAAGCAATGGATAATATTTCTCTGGAATTAAAATTATAATATCACCAAAATCACGACGAGAGCGCGGGCCGCAATCGAACGAAGAAGATTGATCCAGACATGCGTTTATTTGACAACTCCGCCATCAAGATTGATTTGTTCCCAGGCAAGAAAGACAGAAAAAATGCGAAACACAAGAATGTCGGCGAACCAAAGCTGTCGCGCGAAGCTGCTCCCGCCGCGTACAATGCGGTTCAGAAGGTTGAAAAGGAGGAGCCCAGGGCCACTGTGAAGGCGGAACCAAAGAGCAATGCGAGGGAGGAACCCAAGGCCAATGTGAAGGAGGCAAAGGGAGTCAAGGAAGTCAAGAGCATGCAGAATATGGAGCGACCGACTTATCAAAGACCGAATACATCGCGATCGTTTCACCACGGCTCGACAGCGGTGACACTTGTGAATCACGCGGTCAGCGCAAATGAACACGACCGACCTCACCATGGCTCGACAGCGGCGACACTTGTGAATCAGGCAGCCAGCGGAAACGAACACGACCGACCAAGTATCGTGCACTCCTCGGAGCAAAGCAATCCTTCTCGCACATACCAGCAGCCATGGTCATCGCCGACACATGCTACGAGCCAGTCTGTAGACGCACACGAGAAGCAACAACAACGAACAAGCCCTAATCACTCGGAGCCGAGCAACACTACAACCGATCATTACGTCTACCGTGACACTCCCGCTACCGAGTCCCCGACAAGCAGTAGCAGCACCAACGAGAGAGTGACCCGCGACCAACGACGATCCCGAGCAGATATGCAAGAAGAATGGGAAGCCGATCAGAAGTTGCGAACCAATATTTTGAAGGGTGCCCCCCACTCCACCAACCACGCTCTCAAGAACAAGCGCAGCAAAGCGGATATGATCCGGGCGACGGAGAACATGGCGAGGACTCTGTCGAGGAGTCCCCATCGGAGCCCGGCGGGTAGGAGACAGTTGGGTGGTGGAGTGGATGAAGTTCGCCCGGGCACGTCGTCGAGCAATGGGAGCTCCAAGTTCTCACATGCCAGTCCATCCAGAAGTACCACCACCAACCGCAGCCTCAGTCAGTCTCGTCACATGAATGCTACCAATTCTGACAGCACCGACGAGGCTCAGCAAAAGACCCAACATGATGGACTCAGTCCGAGTAAGCTGCCCGGTGTCGCGAAGAAGCAAGGGAAAGCCTTCCATTCTACCATCAGAACCTCTCCTCCCCTCTCCATGGAACCCAACAAAACTACTTGGTCTCCCACCTCCAGCATTCCCCGCAGGAACAATCACAGTCGTACGAGGAGTGGTCAGAATACCACGTCGACTTCCAGTGCTGGAACCAACACCAGCTCTGGCCCCAGTCACTCTCCCCCATATGGCAATTCCAATGGCCACGTGCAAGAGCCTGGCGTCCAACATGACGGCTCTCCCAAGCAGCACAGAGACACACGCTCCTCCGTCGACAACAAGAAGAGTGATCACCTGAGCATTGCACAGCGAGAGAACTTGGCGACGTCGGAATATGCCAAGCACCAGCCTCAGCCCGTAATCAACCGGTCGAATGGCACGTGGGCGCCGCCGCAGCATGACGAGCAGACTCGGGACGTTTCTGCGAATACCCAGACGAGCTCTGACGCGGGACGTGGAGCATCAGCAGGAGATGCCAGTCAAACGCAACAACAGACGCACAATGAACCAGCCACAAGCTCCCATGGAGTCAACACCAATTCGACCACCGCCAACCAGCAGAGCAGAGACGGCAAGTCGAAAATCCGAAGCGACATCTCCTACATGAATTACTCCCGTCCCGTCACCAACTCCTCGACCTCCACCTCCACCCCCACCAGCCAAACTGTCAACCACTCTCGATCCAACACCGTCGACTCCAGCACTTCCACGGGAATGACGAGCAAAAGCACCCAATCCAGTCGAGAAGTCGACTTTGCCAAACCAGCCCCTCCTTCTTCTTCAAACAATCGCAAGAAACCCACAATCAAAGCCCCCCGAAGCAATTATGTCGATTCGGGAAACAGTACCAAATCACCTCTACAACCTCGCTTTGGTCTCGGGGCGAAGAGTGCAGGAAATGGTGCTGCTGGTGCTACGACGAAAAAGGAAAAACGTACGTCGGGTTTGGCGAGGAGTCAAATGAATGCTAATGACGATCATCATGTCGTCCATGCGAATAATTCGAATGGAAAAAAATTCAGTAACGGTAGTGCTGTGAAGAATAATCTTCAGAATTCTATGAGGGATGGTTCTGCTGTTGCTGCTGCCACGGGAGGAGGGGGAGGGGATTTGTCGCGGATGGAGTCTGCTAATAGTACGACTACGACTACGACTATGACCAGCAGCAACAAGAAAAAACCTGCCCTCACGTTACCTGTTGCTACTAACAAAAACAATTCCAACAATACTTCGCACGGAAACGGAGCAGGAGGAGATGGAACTAACTCCAATCGAGCCAAAGTCGTCTGCATCAACAGCGCAGGAAAAAGTACCGTAGTCCCTACCCCCGCCACAGCGAATTTTGCCGGGAGGGGAAGTGGAATGATGATGAATGGCAACAACAACAACAGTAACAACAGCAGAATGAGCGGAATGAGCAACAGCAACGGTAGAACAAGTCTCCCGAGAAATTACGTCGACGACGAGCAGGAGGAGGATAACTACTATGCCACCCCCGCCGCCCAAGATGAACAACAACAACAACAACAAAAAGTCGTCTCGATCAATAACGGAGGTGGAGGTGGATTTAGTCCTCGCAACGCTGGTACTGGTACTGGTGGTGGAAGAAGAAGTACCATGCAACAACAGCAACAGCAGCAACAGCAACAGCAGCAGTATGAGTATGATGAGTATGATGAGTATGGCAATAACAGAAAAGAAAAAGACGGCATCGAGAGAAAAGATAGTGGACAGAGTCAGCAGAATGAAGGCGATGGGACGGTTCGATGGGATTTTGGAGTGGGGGGTTGAGTTGGAAATTCTTGGGGTTTGGTTGATTTTTTTTCTTTGGATGGATGCGATGGATGCGATGGATGGATGCGATGGATGAATAGGAATAGGGGTTACCTTAGGTTGGATTAAGCGGGAGTATTCAAGGGATTCAAGGGATGAATATGAATTCGAGGACTCCTCAAGGGATGGTTTTGGATTGGTATTAGTTTTGGTATTAGTATTGGATTTGGGTGGATAGGGATATTTGTATATATATCTGTATCTGTATGTATACTATACTGCTGTAACTGTATTACTATTGTAACTATTGCAACTATTCCAAAAACGATTTTACTGCTTTGATTTAGTTGATTATTAATTAATTAATTGATTTTCTCTTACTCTCGCTCTCTTACTCTCGCTCTCTCTTACTTCTTCTCTCTCTTACTTCTTCTCTCTCTTACTTCTTCTCTCTCTTACTTCTTCTCTCTCTTACTTCTTCTTCTCTCTTTCTCTCTCCTCCTCTCTACCTCTCTCCTCCTCTTCCTCTCTCACATCTTTCTTCTTTCTTCGTCTTCTCTAGACGACGACGACGTCTTCTGAATCTTCTTGGCCCTATCTTTCTGGTTTTCTATCTTTCTCTTTTCTTCTTTTTCGTTTGATTATAGTATGTTAATTATTTTTGTTGTTTTGTTGTGTTTTTTTGTTGTATATACACTGTATACTTACTTCTACTGTATTGATTACGAATATTGGATGAATAGCTAGATAGATAGATACGCATGTATGCACGGGTACGTACGAGTTAGTAAGTACACTCTCTTGTTTTTCTTTTCTCTTTCTCTCTTCTCTCTCTCTCTCTTCTCTTCTCTCTTCCTTTCTCTCTCTCTCCTCAAGTCCAAGATAATAGATTATAAATAGATAGGCTATCCCAGCCAAGGTGTAGTAGAGGTCTGAATTTCCCGAGTAGGTAAAAAGCTAGGTAGCTGACTTGGTTCTTTTTCCTTTTCCTTTTCCTTTGCTTTGCTTTGCTGTTGCTTCATCCCTTTGTCGTCGGTCGTCGACCGTCGCCGATCGTCGTCGACGTCGCTTAACTAGGGAGGTAGCCAGGGAGGTAGTCAGGTAGGTACTATTCCTCATGATTCCTCTCTCTCCCTCTCTCTTGCTCTCAGCAGCAAAAGAAGAAGATATTTCGATTGGTTCCGGGAGTTGAGGTCCGTAAGGTCCCTTGGGGAGGGGAAAGAGAGGAAGAGATATGTTTGAAAGCGAGGTGTGATCGACTGGCTGAATGATGAGTGATGGTCTTCTTCCCGGGAGGGAAAAATATTGGAAAAACATCAATAGAGAAAGGAGGAAGGAAAAAAAAAGAAAAAGGAAAGGTAAGGAATCGATCGCTCAATCGATCGATCCATTCTTTTGACTTTTTCTTTCCTTCTTTCTTTCCTTCATTTTCCTCCTCCTCCTCCTCTTCTTCCAAACTCTTCCAGATTCTCCCAAGATTCCACTCCCATCCACCACCCCGCCACCCCATCAACCCTCTCACCCCCAAACCCTCTCAAGCCCCCTCCCCCTCCCCCTCCTCAACCTTCTCCCTTGCCTTCGCCGCCAGAAATTTCTGCCTACGTCTCCTCTTCACCAAAACCACGAGTCCCAAACCCGCCAACCCAAGAATCACAGCCCCTGCAATCGACCCAGCGATAATTCCCGCGAGTTGGCCTTGAAAAGTATTTGTAGCTTGGCTTGCGGAGGATTTGGTGGATGTTGCTGTTGACGTAGTAGACGAGGTTGTAGATGTTGCTGTTGGATTTCTTGTTGTTGATGTTGATGGAACTTCCGTCCATCTCGAACTCGTCAAAGATAATGATGATGATGGAGTACTACTACTATAATTCTCGCTAATCGTCGAAGGTGTCGTTTCGGTGGCTGTGGTGGTGGCGATTGCAGAAGATTGGGAATCTGTGATTGTGATGGTTGTGACTCGGGTGACTGTCGTGACTGAGAGTGATGCAGTGGGAGTGGGAGTTGGAGAGAGAGTGGACGATGGTGAAGGGTTCCAACCCGTATATTGTCCGGAATCGTAACTGATGGTGGATTTCCATTCCGTGTCGATGGTGGTGGTGGTGGAGGCCGCGAGTGGGATGTTGCTGTTTGAAGACATTATTTATTTTTGGGACCTATTTGGGTAGATGATGATGATGAGGAAGAAGATGAGAAGATGAAGAAGAAGATGAAGATGAAGAGAATGAAGAAGATAATGTCAAAAGAAACAAAAAATCTCTCTACAAACGAACAAACGAACAATCACAGCAGCAGCTTCTCAACCGACCATGATAGCAAATGTGTATAGCTCGTGTGTAGTAGAAGACGTTTTAATTGACTTCATCAAAGCTTCTGTTTTTGGATTGAGTTGAGAGAGAGAAAGAAAGAAAGAGACACATGGTGGACCGTGAAGCCTATCATGAGGAAGAGTAGAAATGAAAACCTCATTTGATCGCAATGTCTGGTAACATTGGCAATTCACCTCTGGTGTCTGTGAATAGTACGCGGTAATTGAGAGATGGTAATTGAGCAATGGTAATTGAAGTGGTAATTTGATACCTAGGTATACATAGGTAGTAATTTGGTGGGAGAGATTGGCTTCGGACCGGACTTGTGGGGGACGCACTGATATTACTGTAATTGGCATATTTACCTAGAGAACAACAATTAGCAGTGTAGAAGTAGACTGACAATTGAGCATGAAACCACAAGGGAATGACCTGCGCAATCTGGTCTGCGCATTGAACATTTTCTATTGCCGGATGCGTGCATGATCCATAACATCATTATGTGTGAGAAAGTAGTCGCTTCTGAAGTTTGGATTGAAGTCTACATCTCCGTGCACTTCACGTCTGCGCGAAAAAAGGGTACAGCAGCGGCAATCGTATTGGGCTCACTGCATCTGCACCTGTTGTGGGCCACAGCCATTCAACGCCGCAGTGCCGTCCTATGTCTAGGCCACCCAAACACCTCCGATGCAAAACCCACAGACCAGATATCGCGGGATGACCATTGTGCACACACCCACTCTACCTGTTGGACTTGGCAACACGCTCGAGCTCATCCTTCTTCTTGATGGCGTAGCTGTTGCTGCTACCCTTGGCAGCGTTGATCAGCTCTTCTGCCAAGCACTCAGCGACAGACTTGATGTTGCGGAAGGCGGCCTCGCGGGCTCCGATGGTGAGGAGGGCAATGGCCTGGTTGACACGGCGGAGGGGCGAGACATCGACGGCTTGGCGACGGACAGTTCCCGCGCTTCCAATACGGGTCGAGTCTTCGCGAGGACCGCAGTTGACAATGGCGTCCACGGCGATCTGGATGGGGTTCTGGTCGGTCATGATGTGGATCTGCATGTGGGTGTTGGGGTTAGTGTCCTGTTCTCTTGTGCAACTCCATTCAAGCGGGACTAGAGAGAATGGAGTGGGTGATACGCACAATCTCGAAGGCGTGTGCGACGATGCGCACAGCCATGAGCTTCTTTCCGTTGTTGCGGCCGTTCATCATGAGCGAGTTGGTGAGACGCTCAATGATGGGGCATTGTGCCTTGCGGAAACGCTTCACAGCGTATCGGCCAGCCGAGTGGGAAATGTACACGGGCTGTCGGATCTGGATGTAATCGCTGTGGTATCCCAGTCAGTCTCAATTCGCTCTTTCTTGTGTCCCACATCCCCTCTTGCCGCCACCGCTGTGGTGTGCTGCAACCATGCGCGTCGACCAAGTCCATGGAACACGTCGGTGGTGGGTGAACAACGTACGTGAGGGAGATGTCACGGATCTCGACATCCTCGTAACTCCACTTGTTGAAGAGCTTGGTCTGGCCAATGTTCTCGACAACGTCCTTGGGCAGCACCGAGTAGTTTGGCGCCTGCTCGCTGACCTCAACCTCGCCGTCAGACATATTTGCGATATTCGACGTGCTCCGGGGACAGATGCGAGAAGGATCGTCTAGCACAGGTTCGTATCAGTATGGTGGTCGCTGCGATGGTAGTAGGCGGTAGTGTATGCTCACAGGCAAAGAGTGCGCTGGGTGTGGGATGCCTTCTCGTCGCGGTGCAGTATTCGTCAAGTGAGGTGGTAGTGGACGATTCGGGGTGAGCACTCTCAATTCTGGGCTTGGCAAAGTGCAAAGGCGGACGATCCCGCACGACTCATGCTTAGATAATCGAGCCTCCTACATCCTACCTACCAGCACTCTTTACCTCACTTTGACATTCAATATGATCCTCTCTCGTCTACACTCATGTGCAGCGAACGGTTTGAACCAGATCATCACTGCCCGTTGCAAAGGAATAATCATTCCTCACCCGACACTCGCACGCTGAGGTACGCACTCCACAAACCCCGAACCAGACTTTGCAATCATAATCTCATCCTCAGTCTTCAGACCTAAGCAGATGAAACATGACATGAAGAACCACGTGGCCAAGACCAGCTATCTATACATATCTTCCATACACTGATATTTCCCGCTTCATTTACACCACGGCAAATGATCCAATTTACCCACCTATTGATATATTATTAACAACAAGCAAGTGCTCGCATCAGCTGAGCTGAGGCACAATCATCATCACCGACGGTACCTGAATTAAAACCCGTTCGTCTCTTTCACCAATACGAGTAAAATTGCAGGCCAGGCCGCACAGTTGTTCTCTTCTTTCTAACCACAAACAAATTTGATATCTGTTTCGCATCCTGCGCAAGAACATGCAGCTCTTGAACTCTGGCTACAGATATCTGTCTATTAATCGCCACACACACACACACACACACACACACAAATGCAAAGTAAGCCCTGCGATGCAATGCAATGCATCATCATCATCATCAAAGTTTTTTCGTTGCCGTATAAATGACGCCCCTCTTTTGACTGAATGCCCGGATAATGAGGTTAGGTACGGTAGAGGCTGGCCATGATGACTGCATTCAGTCGTGTTCTCATCATCAGCGTGAGAGACAGAAGAGAGAGAGAGAGAGGAGAGCCGGGCTTGCAGGCATAGGAGCTATAATAAAACACTTCTTCCCGTATGGTGTACAGTAAGCCGGATCTTACAATACCGGGTGTGCCGAGAGGGCAGACCGGAAAGCCGCAGTGAACAGTGGATAGGTTGCGGGAATGAGGTAAGAGTAGGTAGGGACACATGATGGATCGTCATTTACTCTTGGAGTAGTATCGATTAACTCGGCTACATGCAAAAGAAACCAAACTAGAACGCTGACAGACCAGGCCAGAACGCCGCTTCAGAAGTTGTTGTCTCGAGACTAGAGACAACAATGAGGTCACATTGTGCTGTGGTGTGGGTATCATTTGATGCTCTGGGGACAGTCTTTGCCCACCACGATTGCCCTATCTTCCTAGGCTTTTATATTTTGTGCCGCTCTGTCAAGTTTGGCTATCAAAACAGCAAGTCCAGAAGTAGTCGAGGAGTCCGATGTAGTGCATGGCAAGTGCGCAGGCGAGACATTCAAGAGATCAACAAGATCCGGTTCCGGTAAACTCGTTACTGCGTACGCATTCACCTGGTTGAAGTTGTTAAAGTGTTGTTGGAAGCCACCGAGATTAAGTTTGCTGAAGTTCTCCTCGGGTATCATCGCAAGATTGACTTGTGACTGGTCTGGTTGAGCTTGCGGGATCTGAAGCTGAGAAGCATCAAAGTTCAGATACTCTGGCTTTATATCCTGCTGAGGTTGCTGCGGTTGCGGGTGGGAGTGTGACTGCTGGGGAGTAGGAGTTGGATGGACCGGGGCTTGATGTTGCGATTGGGGTTGTTGTTGTTGTTGCTGTTGCTGCTGCTGCTGCTGTGATCGTGACTTGATCTGCGAGTTGGCCAGAGCCGAAGGATCTTGGCTAATGTCGTTGATGAATGGAGTGAAAGCTGGGTGGCGGAGCAGAGTCTCGATGAGACCGCGGTAGCGCTCATTCTCTTCCAGGAGAGCCTGGTTTTCTTGGCGCAGGCTGTTGCTCTCCTGTGTCTTCATGGCGACTTCGCCTTCAAGCTGTCCAATATACTCTGAAAAGAAGTTAGTCAAGTGATGGGACAAGAATTAGACATGCATTCACATACCCTTTCTGCGAGACCGGAAGGCACGCGCAGACACCTTGTTCCTTAGCTGGCGGCGCTCTTTGCTTGACAGCTTCTTGCCCTCATCAGATGCAAGCAATCGCTCGTCCTCGTCCATCTCCTCTTCATCCTTCTTCATACGAGCAATGTGGGGAAGAACATCAGACGGCGAGCCGGCATCATCTGATCCACCGGCATTGTTCTGGCGCATCTGGTTCAGGAGTCGCGAGATGGATTCCTCTACGTGGGGCTCGGTGACTTGCGAGCTGCGCTTGCCATGCGACTGCTGAGGCGCAGGCGCAGTCGGGGCAGGGGCAGGGGCTTGGCGGTACTGGGCTTGCTGGGCTTGAAGTTTCATCTGTCTTTGGTGGACGGCTTGAGCCTGAGCAGCCTTTTGCATGGCGGCTTGCTGTGCTTGCTGTGAATGCATGCCGGGCCATAGACGGCCCACGTTGCTCGCGGGTTCTTGCCCACCAACGCTGTTGGGGTCGACAAACACGCCCGATGGTCCGTCGTTGGAGTAGTACATGGACTGCGACGGTTGCGAGGCAAAGTCCATGGCCATGTCAGAGTCCATGTCGATGCCAGAGTTCCAGCCAAAGGCCGAGTTGAACTCGCCATCCATGCCAGCGTTGAAGCCATCGTACATTCCGCTCTGGGGGAGATTGGCCAGACTGCCGACGGGCAGACCAACTTGTTGTTTGAACTGTCCATAATCGTGGCTGGGCCCGCTGAATTGCTTTTGCTCCTCCTTATCGAATGGCGACATGGTGTCGGCCGGTTGGGAGGCCGAGGCGACGGTGGGTGAGGCTTGATTGGCGTCGCTGAAGTCGAAGAAGCTGTCCATGTCAAGTTGCTCCGTCTTCAATTGTGGTCTGCTCGTCATTGCCGACTGCCCAAGTTGCGGCCTGAGGGTGTGCTCGGGTGTGGTGTGCGAAGTGCTCTCGGTGTTATGGTTGCCTTGTCCGCAGGAGGCAGGTGACGCGTGGCGCACTAATCGGGCAAATGCGTCGTCGTCGCTTGGATATTGAGGGGGTGGTGGTGGTGAGCGGGAGTCTGGTGGAGAGGAGCGAGCGAGCGGTAGACGACAGTTCGGTGTCTTGATGGATTGAAGTGGAAGTTGTTGTCAGGTGTCTATCAGGTGGGATGGATCATGAAGGAGGATTGGGGAGAGAGTTGGTTGAGCAGCCTCAGCAGTCACCACGCATCTCATCTCACTCAGCCCAGGCCAGGAGACGGGAGCCATGCCCTGCCCTGCCCAGCGACCACCACAACACAACTGGAACTCCGATGTCCGACTGGACCGAACTCCCTGACTGCGCCCCAATGTCCATCCAACTTTAGGAGGCTCCACCCCTAAGCTCCGACCCTCCGACGAGCGGCCCACATCTGCCGTCCAATCACAGCGCACAACGAATCACGACTGTGTTTCTATTCTTCCCGCTCTGCCAAGCTGCTGCCTAGCAGGTATGTCTGCGCTTTTCTTGGTGCTTTCATGGCATTCACTGGAGGTACATGTAACTCCTCCTACTGCCACTCCAGCTCACTCTCTACCAGCGCCATATCTCCTCCTCCTCCTCCTCCTCCTCCTCCTCCTCCACCAAAACTGCTCCCACATGTCCCGTAGTGTATTGCGCACTGTCAGCGCGTGCATTCTGGGTTGAGTTTCACCGTTGATTATTTTGACGTCAAGCAGCATCCAGACTCAGACAGAGTCCCGGCAGCGAGTGGTCCTCAGGAACCGGCGTCCTGTATTGGCAAAGACCGGAATGACCTTGGTGTGGTCCCTTGGCCCCTTCAGCACCCCCAGGGTCGCTCATTCGGATCAGGGATCCTGAAACGTGCGCATTGCTCATCACAAGAAAACCGTTGCTGCTACTTCTTACTCATCATCCCGTCATCTCCTGCGTCTGAAGAAATCTCTTCGCTTTCATTTACCGAGATTCGCGAGTAGGAGCGCCGTATGCATTTTTCAAGAATCTGGGCTTTCCACTGCCCGGTTCTCGTGGTCGAAAAAAAAAGAACGCCGTAGTACCCGACAACGAGGGTGTATGTTTACATGATTTATTTATTGTGATCGAATGCGAAACACGCGGATGCGGGACTTTTTTCTCTTTGTCGTTCGCCTGGTTGATTTATCCTTGTTTCGCCTCGCTCTTTCGTGAGAGCTTCCACCACAGGAATGATGAGAAGAAAAAAAAACACCACCTGAAACTCAGCGCGACAGGGGTTGGGGAGAGATTTCCATCTGCACGATGACATTTCATTCATAAACTTGGCATGTTCGCTGTACTAGGTATACTGTAGTACCTCTTACCTCTCCAGTAGTGCCACTCCAAGCATATACCACCACGACGCCAAAAGACCTCAAGACTTGGAGTTACAGCTTGACTTTCTTTCGTTCGACGCTGAAGCGGCTACGACGTGCCCAGCGCGGATGTGTATTTCCATATACCTGGACCCTTTTTGTTTGTCAAAGGTCGCAAAGTTCCATGTTCAGACAGCGACGGCACTTTTCGTCTACCTAACCGTCTCGCTGATCTCTGGGTTGGAAATTCCCCGAACAGATTCAGTTATGGGGCTTGGTTCGGAAAATCTCGCTTTACTGCTGAGAAGTGTTCGTTGCTGGGTACATGTATTTGGGCTTACTGGTAGGTCAGGTAGGTAGGTCAGGTGGGTACCTAGGTAGGTACATGTAAGGTTCCGTGGTCAGTTGGTTGGTTGGTTGGTGGACTGCAAAGCAAAGCCCCCATCTTGCTCTCAGAGTACCCTACCTCCGTAGGTACATGTATTTTTCGAGATGGTAAGAGGTAGGTAGGTAGGTAGGTAGGTGGGTACCTGTAGGTATCGCCCGTTCGTACGCCGTATAAATTCATCTCACTCTAAACCTCAGGCAGAAAAGTCCCCATATCAGCTATAGGTACCTCCTATAGTCAGACCCACTTCCCCAACCTTCTTCATCTACACCTGCCTATACAACTAACCTTCCTCCAAGGCAAATATGAATCGCAAACCAACCTACCCGTCCGATATACAAACCCAACTATAACCTACCTACCTAATCCATCATCTCACACCGCTAGCCGGCACAGCATTGGATTCTCAAACTACAGACGCTAATGGCTGTTTCCTCTAGTACTACAGTCTGTTCAAAGTCACATACCCTTGAAAACCTACCTACTGTCCTTGTTTTTTTTTCATAGCTAAGGTATATACAGTACCTAGGATGAGGGTAAGGGTAGTTTAGTAAGAATAATAAGGGTAAGGGAGGATTTTTACTTGCTATGTATGTCGCTTGCGAATGCGAATGCGAGTGTGTACGGTAGGTAGGTAAGGTAAGGTAAGGTAGGCAAGGTATTAAGATGCTCGGCTTGAACTGAGTAAGTGTATTGGACGGAGGAATAAGAGTTGCGAGTCTGATGAACTGTCTTTTTTTTTGTTTGTTTAGGACGCGATAATATACCTCGAGGCTATATGTACCTAAGGTACCTGTAAATGCAATACTTTTTGAGGTACCTAAGGTAGGTAATCATGCCACATGCATGTATTTTGAGAATCACATAGCGGTTGAGAAGCATGTAGTGCGATTTGTCGTTGTCTTTTTTTTTACTTCGTGTTTGGAGACTACCTTACCTAGAGGTAGGTAGGTTTACGGCACGGCCTACCTACTGAGACACGGAAGTCTGCTTGGTTACTAGTGATAGAAATACCTTCCGACGAGGTTGATGGAGGTTTAGGTCAGAAAGACGTGAACAGAAGGATCTGAAGCGTCCGATTGAAAGAAAGTGGGCACACCAGCTTTCGGACATTATAGAGTACGTTCTCGATACTCCGCAAGTCTCTGCTGTACACTTGCTCCATTCCACTTCTCCTGTGCCCCATCTTCATCTGCAGAAGTTTCCAAGACAGGCATACCCACCTGTTCAATCGTGAAACTCGAAGCAATGTTGCCCCATTTCGCAGCTTCCACCACGTCGAAGTTGGTCCTCACCAGGCCGACTGCAAGCCCACCGAGAAAACCGTTACCGCCACCGGTGGGATCCACGACACGGCTGGCGTCTGTATGGTATGCGGGTAGCCATAGTCTCTGTGTTGCTGATAGCACAAAACATCCTTCTGCTCCTGCACGAACAACAACAGCTCCTTGCTTGTCTGGTCCTATGCCCGCATCGAGCAATTGCTGAGCGTGGCTTTCGATGGCGGCTTTCGAGGGTCCCTCTAGAGGATGTGTGAAAGAGAACATTGCGGCCAGCTCTTCATGGTTGGGGCTAATTACATCTACATATCGGAGAGCTGTAAATGTATTGGGTAACTCTTCAGGTGTGCATAAATCCGGCACAGGTTCCCAGATGAACACCGGTCTCGACTGTTCTCGGATGCTGAGACTGTCGTGCATAGAGGCACGCTTAGAGATGACCCCATTCACTTGATCAATGGCCCGTAAAGGACTGCAGATCAGGTGGAATGATCGCGCTAGTGCAAGATCCGAAGTCAAATCGTCCGCTGTCAAACGTTTCTTCTCAGTCAGGTACTTGAAGGCGCGATGCTGGTTACCAGAGTATCCATTCCAGCCGCGCGTGGTCGGTGCAGCTCTGTCTCTGATGAGCGCCCCAGTTTTCCACGAGCGGATGGTTGCGCGCAATTCATCTGGAAAGTCATTGCCAGCATCCACTATCCAGCCAACGGAGTGTGAATGCGGAGGCGGGGAGAAAAGGCGAGCACCACTAGAAATGAGCAGTCAGAGGTAAGCTGGAGTCTTGAATATGCCATTTGAGAACCATGATGGGCTCAGTTTCGAGCCTACCGCCGAGGCGAACACGTTAGGCCGAAATACGAGAATCTACGCTATTTCATCCAGCAGCCGCCGGGTCAACTCACATTGCACTGTACGTTCCCGCGCCCCCTATAACATTGAGTTGGGGTTCTTGGTTTGGTGCTTCCTTGGGAGGGTGGATCTCGTCAATGATGAACATGCCAAGAGTACAAAAGTCGATAGGGACTGTCCGCTTTGTTGAGGATGTCATGACGAAGAGTTTTGAGCGCGATACTGTTAAAGAAGAGTCCGCCTCACCTCACTCACCAGACCAGGTCGTTGCTGGACTTCACCTCACATGATGTGCACATGTGGAGGTATCGCAACTTCCAAAGTCGCCGGGTGGCACTTCGGGAGTATCCGTCGCATCGGGCCGAATCGATATGAAATACTCGTATTCACCAAACGCGCCTATACGGTATACCTGAGCTTGAAGTGCTTCTTACATTGAGCCAACGAGTTTAGCATAATCCTTCCCTCCTGTTGGGGGAGCCTGTAAAACGAATGCCACCCTCCTGCATACCTGAAGCAACCGGAAGCTAGAGAATGCAACGTACTTGTGGAGAGATTCCATTCTGCGAAAGAGCTATGGACGCCGTACCAAGACACACATGTTTACTTCCCGGTAACCTCCTCGTCATACACAAACCACAGGATTTAGTTGACTACGTATGAGCTATGGCAGTACAAGAAAGAGATGATAATAGGACTGGAAATGCTTCAGTACTGCCGCTATACTGTCTGAAAGTGTAACGAGACTTACTCCCAGTCAATTTTCTCTTCTACACACAGTCTCGGCGCTACTTGGCCAGCATGAGCAACGACAGCGATGATGCACTATGAAAACCGGAGAAGCGCAAAAGAGTGGTGCCAAGGCAACGCAGGAAGAAATGCTGATCTTGTGGGAGGATACCTTCCAGAGGTCCTGGACGAAAACGCATTCGAAAACAGACAGATTGAGACCACTCCGTCCAGTACTGTCCCGACAAAGCATTCAAAGTAAATACGCCCCGCATTTTATCCGAAGATAATCGAGCGCTGATACGCGGAAGAAACCAGGGTGGTTGGGTGAAAAAGAGCGCCCTCGTCTGCCATTGTGGCTCCTTGCTATCACACTCCAAGGGCCCTTTCAAGCTTTCGTATTCTTTTCACTTCTGCTCTTCTGGATATGCGCCCGGATAGAACAAAGGTTCATCGTAGAAAGCGAATTTGGCGAGGCCACTTCTCTTCTTTTCGCTGTTGTCGGTGCGCTTCACGATTTGCACTCCGGCAGGTGTGTCAACTTCAGCTGCCCGTGGCTTCAAATCCTGGCCCGTCTTGATGCCGCCTACCAAGCAGGTTAACAGACTTACGCCAGACGTCGAACCTGCGCCGCGTTGAAACATACCTTCTATTGGTAGTGCGGCAGCTATCGCTAGCAGCGAAAATAGTGTCCAGGCGCCTTGCATCTCGTGCTATTGAACGTGTGATCGATGGTGTAGTTAGGAGCCTCCGGAGTCTTTGTGCTGCTATTGTTGAAAACCAGAAGAGAAGGGGTCTATATATATTATACATCACGGCCTCGGTAGCGATGTGCGCTTCTTCCGCATCCCCAGACAGTTACTGGCGTACACGCGCATTCCAGGATCGGCAGATGTCCCATGCGGGCCATGCGACAATTCTGCCTGCAGAAATCCAGCCTTGTGTGGCCCATTACCAGCCATCAGTTGCAGCGGTATGCTACAGTAAGCCAGGCTACCACAGCAGTGACGATACCACCTCTCGGTGACATAGATTGTAAGCGAGGACGCGGTTCACATTATGCTTCGATCTTCAGTGCATGTCCCATGATCACAGTAATCGTATAGCCCAAGGCCCTGTCCTTGCACAGACAGACCTTCCAGCCCATCGCTCTACTCTGCTGGAAGAGCGAACCAACATTGGCGTGACTTCCAGTTCATGCGGCGTGTATAAATCTTTGGTGCTAACAACTTCACATGTTCGAATTTCTCTGTTGTGGGAAGGGTTTGAACGCCAATACAGAGGAGATGGTGACCTCAGTTCTGTGCAGAAATTGAGCAGTGTTGGCTCACTGATGTGCGATCACAGGGATTGCTCCTCTCGCGCTTGTCAGGTACTCCTCATTCTTGTCCGGACCCTCCGCCCTCCGGGGCGCTGAGCATGGCCACGATCGAGGGCTATGGCCGCTATGGTAGCTGTGGTCTCCATTCGCCAGTGCGAAAAATCAGTCTACATATCCTGCTCTGCGCCTGAGTATACGGGCCAGTTCAAGGACATGTGCAGGGTGCAGCGTGGATAAAAGTCTGTCTCAAGGGACGTATCCTAGGTATCGATTGATTCTCCAGATACCAGAGATCGAGAGGTCGCGGCTGGAGAGAATGGAAAGCATGGGATGTTCTATGAGCGAGGCGCTAATCCCGATTGGGATAGCGATAAAGCAAAATTACACTTCACGCAGGTAAGTGATGCAGCGTTGCCAAGCTACTAGGTTCATACACCATACTTTCGTGAGTTTCGTCCTCGTCTCACACCCGAGAACAACAGAGCAGGTCGTGGACTCGTGGTACAACAGCCCTGCTATGTATGTACACCGAACCCGACGCTCCAAGCCGCAACTAGGTCGACAACAGTGGGAGAAGTCCCCCTGAACCAACTGGGATGGCCAGCATCCAAGGACACCTCGTCCGCCCAGTGCTCTGTCCTGGGAAGAAATCAAAGGGTCATCAGCCCAGGGTGGACAAGGGCGGCGCGCAACTACCACAGTTATTGATTTTTCCGCGGACAGCTGATGACTCTGTCTTGCAATCAATAGCCAGACTATCCGAAATCGGCTCCTACAACGTGAAGTCGTAGACTTGTCGGTGAAGACAACAACTGCTGCAGCCTTTTTCGATCCCATTCGTGACATCTCAGGCCCAGGCACGACTTGCCATCATTGTGACGTAAACACGGAATACATGACTCCCACCAGATACTCAGATGTTTCTACTGGCGACGCTCTACCCATCGACGTAGAGTCCCATGCGTCGTGCAACAGCAAGGAATCATCGAAGCCACTACTCGGACACGTCGCAAGAGGCCAGAGCCCTCGTCAATGGAGAAATGTTGTCTTGTACATCGGCACGCACTTGGCAGTCGCAGTCATAACCGCGTTTCTCGTTGCTTCGTTATCAAGAAAACAATCTGACGACTTTCTTCTTCCATGTGGGTAGACCTTCTAGCAGACCGAAGCTGCTTTCGAGCCTAGACTGATAAGTTTCTCAGCTCCGATTCCTCGTGATGTGAACCGGACGCCATACATTGCCTCCTTCGACCTGCCTTTCCTGAAGCACAATATATATCGACAGCCACCAAGCCCTGAAGTCGATGCCGCGTGGGATGACCTAGGCGCCTCGTGTATGTTACGCCCCTGGGGCTCTGGACACTTCGGCTTACACGTCAAGCAGTAGAGAATGTCTTGGTGTCCCAAGAGGATGCTCTCAAGGCGGGTCTTCGTCCTGAAATGGCCCATCTCAATCCCGAGTATGGAGCTGAATACCCCGTTCACGTGGAAGCCATTCACGGTATCCACTGCTTGGTTAGTGATACTACTTCGCTGTGTGTCCACCATGCTGGTATACTAAGTTCTTGCAGAACAACCTACGCAGGTCACTATACTGGAATTACGAATATTACCGCGACACTGGTATTGGAGGATACAACATCTCTGATAGCCGTCTGAGAATACACACGACACATTGTCTCGACGCTATTCGCCAGCGATTGATGTGTGCCGGTGAGTGCAACGCACCTCGTCACCCACTACTTCACAATATATATATACATGTACGCTCGATTCCGCTAACATGGTCGCGTAGCGGATGTGGGACTCGTGGGAAGTTCCTGGTATCGTTTGTATAACGGAGAACTTCGCCCGCTACCAGACTTCAATTATCCTCGAGTTTGCAGGAATTATACAGAGGTGCTGGAATGGACGCGATCACGCCAGATAACAAGCAACGATTTCCTCAGCTCACCGGATGACTGGATCGCTCGACCAGTGGGCGATGAGCCTTGGATCAAGCCATGGATATAGATAATAATTACAAATGAAAATATCAAGAACTCCGAGTGAAAGCGTTTGTACCTAGCCTTTAATCCTGTGCATACTTCTCCATTTAGGTGTAGCAAACAGTAGGCGAACTCCTCGGGCCTGGAGAACCATATAAGCGATGAGCTCCTAGCCCGTCCTTTCGTGTAGTAGTGCGTCGAAGACAAAGCAAGAACTCTCTTCCACGGTATACTGTATGTAGACCCTTGTGGCCGTTGTAGCCTGCCTCACGCTACTGCCAAGATCCTTGTGGTATATCCGCACGACGAGCACAATGCCGAGAACACGAGCAGCTTCTTCCGGCATCGCGTGATCATGATGGTTTCTCCAATCTCCACTCGAGATAACACTGAAAGAGGTGTGAAGATGAGGATGGGAATGAAGCACAAAGCTGCTTTGTCAGGGTTTTCACAAGCAAGCGTCCGCATTCGGCAAGGTGCAAACAAGGGTTGTGTCTCGGCTGCGAGTGAGGTAGAACTAAAGGGCCAGGCCCAGGGAGGGTACAGTACGACGTGGAGTTGAAACAACCACAGGCCACAGGGCATACCTGATCTCCATCATTCTTCACGGCGCCCGGCACCTCATCATCATCAACATCACTAACACCGCCTCGAGCTTCACCACTGCACTTCACAACTCACGTGAGACATACCTCTAGACGAAAGGAGTACCGAAGCTGTCCGTCCGCTCCCCGCGCACATCCTTGCTGTCAGCCCCGTTCCTGGTTGGGTACCGCCGTCACGAGTGCACGAGACGACGCAACGCAACGCACGCACGCACGCCAGCGGCAGCGCGCAGTGTGAAAGTGCAGGACAGTATGGCTACCGCCACGGGAATGCACAACTTGACCACTTTGATCAAGAGGTACGTCGACATCACCACTTCACTTCCTCTGCATCTACTACTACCTCTCTCTCCACCGCTCCGCCTTCTCTATCTCTATCCCCCACTCCCATCACAATGTCGGCGGCCATGGACAGCAAGGCGCACTTCGGCAGTGGCAGCCCCGTGGCCGTGGTCCCATCGACAAATCCGCTGAGTGCGCTTCTTCGCAGGCTCGAGGCAGCAACCTCTCGACTAGAGGACATCGCCGCTTCCTCACAGGCATATGACGGCCTTCCCCGAGCAGATGGCACAGGATGGGACAATTCTAACGCTGCTGCGGGCACGACCGCTGTACCGAGTGCTCCAGAGCTGCCCTCCGCGACCCCCTCCGTCTCCCAGCAAACGATCAAGGCAGTCGAACCCCTGCCGGCCCCGATCAGCGACATGGACGCCATCATTGGCAGCGAAGTGACGGCCTTCTTGCAGGCAGCAAAAGGCCTGGACCCGTTGGTGGAAGAGCAGGCAGCAGCAGTTGCTAAGGGCTTTGCTGATCAGAGAAAGTTTTTGCTGGTGACTACGAAAGCGAAGCGTCCCGATCCACAGTCTCAGACCTTCATGGAGCTCCTGAAAGACCTCCAGCAAGACTTGGGCACGGCAGGAGACATCAAAGACAGCAATCGCGGGTCTCCCGTGAAAGAGCACCTGGCCATGATTGCAGAGGGTATCAGTACGCTGCAATGGCTGGTCATGGATGGCAAGCCAGCAGACGTGGTCGGAGAGATGATAGGCGGCGCGCAGATGTACGGAAATAGGATCCTGAAGACTCATAAGGAGGGCGATCAGGCACATGTGACGTTCGTGCGCTCCTACTATACTCTGCTCACAGCACTGAAAGAGTACATTAAGAAGCACTATCCGACTGGTGTGACATGGAACTCTACGGGCATCGATCCGGCACAGGCGATGCGGGAAGCCGACGAGGTGCCCACCACGAACGGCACTGCGCCTCCAGCACCTTCAGCAGGTGGCCCGGCTCCTCCGCCACCTCCACCGCTCCCCAAATTTGACAATGTCCCGCCTCCGCCTCCCCCACCAGGTGGTGCTCCGGTTCCTGCTAAGAGCGGAAGCGACATGGGCGCAGTCTTCGATCAGCTGAACAGGGGAGAGTCTGTAACCAGCGGGCTGAAGAAGGTCGACAAGAGCCAGATGACACACAAGAATCCCACGTTACGCGCGAGCTCGGCTGTGCCTGGCGATATCAGCAGGTCCAAGAGCCCTGGCCCGTCGATCAAGCCCAAGCCCGGAAGTCTACGGCAAAACAGCACCTCGTCGTCGAAACCGGCGCCGAAGCAAGGCAAGAAAGAGTTGGATGGTAATAAGTGGCTGATCGAGAACTTCGATTCTCCTCCAGCGCCGATAGAGGTCGAAGTCAGCATGACACAATCCATCTTGATCACAAAATGCAAAAACACGACCATCATACTCAAGGGCAAGGCCAATGCCGTGTCGATTGACAACTGCCCGAGGTTGCAGATATTGGCAGACACGCTCGTCTCTTCGGTGGATGTGATTAAGAGCCCCAACTTTGCGATACAAATCACCAACACTGTTCCTACCATTCAGCTGGACCAGGTTGATGGAGCGAGCATCTACCTGGGAGCCGAGAGTCTGGCTACAGAGGTCTACACGAGCAAGTGCAGCTCCATCAACGTCATTTTACCGCCTACTGCAGATGAGGATGACAGCAAGGAGGCTCCTTTGCCTGAGCAGATGAGGAGCTTTGTGCGGAATGGCAAGCTTGTCAGTGAAATTGTCGAGCATGCTGGGTAGTCGTGGTTGAGGAGATGTAACATTGTAGCAATATGTACTGGTACGTGAAATCAAATCTACTGCATAGAACACGTACCCAACCACCGTTTCCTCTCTCTCTCTCTCTCTCTCTCTTTACTTGTGCATGCTGAGCGTTCTCCATTGTCGCAGAGAGCTCCTACGCCCCACAAGCCCTCTCTGAGTGCCACAGCCGGAGATTGGTAGAGGAGTGAAGATGCTACAACAAGAACTCTCATCAGGCCTCCAACCTCCTCCTCCTCCTCACATAATATTCCTCGCCTTCTCCACCGTCCCCCTCTCCCCCACCTCCCTCGCAACCTTCAACAACCTCCTCGTCTCATCCCTCTTCATCTCCACGCGCTCCTCAAATTTCCCCTCCTCATTCCACTTCTCCACACCATCCAAATAGCGATACACGACTCTCGAATCCAAATCCCGATACCTCTCATCCCGACTCGCTTCCTCATATACCTTCAACCCAAGACCTCCCAGCGCCAAAGTCGCACCAACGTGCTCGGCAATTTCGACGGCAAGTCCAAAATCCTTCTTCATGAGTTGTACGCGAAATCCGCCTTGATAATTCTGACTCGCGGGAGCCGTGGGACAGAGACCGGGGACGGGATTCCAGTCGTCGCAAATAGCGCTTTGGGCGGTCGAAGTGTGGAAGATGTTAGCGAGGATGCGAGGGTCCATTCCGGAGCGGATGCCGATGTTCATGGCTTCGGAGACGGCGATGGCGATGAGGCCTGAACAGTAATTGTTGCAGAGTTTGGCCGTGAGGCCGAGAGAGGGTCCGCCGGCGGGGAAGATGGCTGACGGGTTGCCCATGAGACGGAATAGGGCGTCGAGGAGAGGGAGGTGAGGGTCGCTTTGGCTGCAGCCGAGCATGAATGTTAATGTGCCCTTTTCGGCGCCGAGGACGCCGCCTGAGACGGGGGCGTCGTAGAAGGTGGCTTGTGGGTGGGTGGAGAGGGTGGCTTCGCGGACGGCGAGGGAGGAGGCAGTGTCGATTGTGGAGCAATCGATCAGGATTTTGGTGTTGAGGGAGGAGAGGAGGACGCCAGTTTCGGGGTCGAGGTATACTCGTTTGACGTGCGCACCTTCTGGTACCATGGAAAGGATTAGATCCTGAGTGATGGCAAGCAATGTTAGTAACCATTTTCTACCCGTCTCTTCACATCGCGGCCTCCTCGGAGTCGATACGAAACTTCTTGACGCTTTCCGTTCGTGATCTTTCACTTCCACCGCCGACTATGCCACCAGGCTTGCTATCACTTTAGCAGGCCAGAGCGCTAGCAGATCGGGAAGACTGTAGAAGGCACCCGAGAAGATCGCGATCCGAATCGATCATGGAAAATGTAAAGCATGAGACTGGGGAATTGCAGCGTATTCATACGGACTTATCTGCCACTTCTTTGCAGCTCGTGCATGCGTGTGCTCTTCCCTCTCCATCGTTCACAAATTTATCCACATTCTCCTGTACCACGTCGTAGACGTGAAAATGAGTGTCGCTGCTCATTTTCTTGACGAGATTGCGAGCCATGGGATAGCCCATCAGGCCAAGCCCGATCCAACCTATGGTTTTGGGAAGGTCTGCCATCTTGCAGATTCAGTCGCGAACAGTAGAAAGACAGCAATGAGGAGGCACCGACAACAAGTGAGAGCTTCCCCAGATGTCGTCGACTCTCTACAGCAGCATGGCATGTCTTTGGGTTTCGAACCCCGCGAACTGTGTCCGAGCTCGGAAGAGCTGCTGACGTCTGCGGCTCTGTTTCGGGACTATCGGAGTGACGGGTTGCGAGTTGAGACTCAGACGATTGAGCGGTTGGTCCAAAATTGTTGTTGCCGTCTGTGAAGAAGACTGGCCTCAGCCCAGCTCACTCATGGTCGTATCATCCCCCTCTGGACTCATATCGGCTCCACCAGTCGTAGTAGCCTTCTCTGTAGTCGAGCTTCTGGTGCCCCTGGGCGTCTCAATAGCTTTCATCACGGCATCTCCATCTTCAGGACCTAGTACGTTATCCAGAATATTATGGGCGGCTTCAGCAACTTCCTCTTCGATCCCAGCTTCGAGGACCAATTGCTCACTAAAGGCAACACGGGTAAGACTGACGAGGAACTTGTGGTAGCCACCATGCACTACATGCAGTTTTGGCACCACTTCCACTTCGTAGGTACGCAGTAAATGGTGAAGGATTCGCACAACCATGTTGATCGACTTGACGATGAGATCGTGACATTCGAGGCGCCCATCAGATCTGGGCTGCATGCCTACCGTAGGTCTGACCTGGTACAGTCGACTCATCTGGGCGTCAAGGAAGCGGATGAATCTTCCTATTGCGCTCTTCTGTTGGACTAAAAGTAATCCGCCATGATCGGTGTAGCACATCTTGTGGAACACATTGAGCACCTCAACGCGCAGCTCCAGCATCTCTTCGATGCTATACGGCTCTTCGTCCTTGGGAGCTTCAGGAGTCTCGAATAGCAAATTTGTCAATCGTTCCACTATGGCCTTTTCGACTTCGCGTTGCTTGAGAGGATCTGGTGAAATGATGCCGAACGTGGACTCAGCAGCCGATGTCGCCAGCATTTGCAACACCGCTGTAATTTGGCTTCGAGGTTGTGCTTTACCCAACATCTGCAAAGTAAAACCAAAGTCAAGCGTGCTCCAAAAAGTCCCAATGCAGTCAGCAGTCAGGTAAGCAGCACTACATAGCGAGTGCAAGAATTCCATGACTCTCTCGACGTCAAGCTCTTCCGCCAAGTTGTTGAACGCTTTGGCGTCCATGTTTGCAGCAAAATTTGGATTCTTGGACGCCCTGGAGATCGGCACGGCTATGAAGTCGATGGTCCGGCTGCAGAGTGGTATGACTTCTTCGAGTAACTGCGCTTTGACAAACGAACGCTCTGTCTCAAGTACGAAGCGCAGTAGATCCAGAATCATGTAGAAGGGGGCAAAGTACTTGTCCTCGAGACATTCTGACCAGAGTTTGAGTAGAGCTCTCGATACAATGAGTGGCAAATCGTCATCACCTGAAGCTGAACGATAGGAGATGTCGTGAATGAAGATGGAAGAGAGGGTCTTCCCAGGCTTCGAAGGGAAGCTGTACTTAGCTAGAGATTCCACAGTTGCCTCGTGTCCCTCGTGAGGGCTGTGGTTCAAGATGAGTTGCATGAGCTCGTACCTGGTATCTTTGATTACGACGGGTTCAGGGACAGTCGATGCGGTCGTTTGTTCTGTGCTCTCCGTGCGAAGGGCTTGCGGCGGCTGCGTGAAAGATAAAGCCACAGGACTATCATGTGCAGGCCTCTTACGCTTTGCACCGGTCTTTGGCGTTTGATCACCTCGAGACTTATCTCGGTTGAAGCTCCTGCTTGGGCTTGCCATGCGGACTTCGTCATCATCAAAGCCATCTCCACGAGCACCTCTTCGGCTTTTTCGTGGTGTTCCTTGCAGAGTGCTTTTGGGTCGGTTAGGACCATTGACTCTGTTCGCACGCTCAGCTTCACGCGCCAGGTCGTGCTGCAAGAACTTGTTATCCGTCTGCATCTTCTCGCGCTCCTTTCTTTGCATCTCAAGCTCGGCCTTTGTCTTTGCTGCTTCCTCGGCATGAAGTCTCTGCATGACAGATATCCGTGCTTCATACTGTTTCGTGATCTTCTCTTGGTTGCCACGCACTATGGCAAGTTCACCTTGCTTGACACGAGCTGCCTCTTTAGCCTGATGTTCCGACTGTCTCAGCCTGGCTTGCTCTGCCTCAAGCTCTGCGATACGCGCCTGCATAGCAGATAAGTCAATTGAAGGTCCTGCCTGCTGCGCAGACTGTGCGGGCTGTGGTTTCGGAACCAAGCTCCACTGACTGCCACCCAGCTCTTGGTCTGCAGCCGCAAAAGCTGCAGCTGTTTCAGCATCAAGCTCTGCTGGTTGCTTCGCACCATATCGGACAGTGGGGTTCTGTGGTTTATATGCCGATCTGCTCGGCCCCGGCCGTGAAGCCGGGTGTATGACCATAGATGGCTCATCGAGATCTATTACATCCTCATCATCGTAGCCATAGTCTGAAGAAGGTGGGCGTGGAGCGCTTGCTGGCGGCGCACTGGCGACCTTTGGCTGACTTGGCCGCGAGGGCTGTGGAGGCCGCCATGGCAGGTTCTTGCTCACACTGCCAGGACGATTGAGAGTTGCAGCGGTATGCGCCTGCTTCCGCAGTGGTGGCGGCGGTGCTGACACGACAGATGTGCTTCTGGTCGCCTGGGTGTTCCTCTGGACAGCGGCTTGCTCGAGCTGCTGCAGAGTGGCATCTGGAATACCGTCCAGATCATCGTCGCTGAAGAAATCATCGTCGTCCATCGCCGGGCGCTGAAGCCATGTCCTCGTCACGCTTCAAGCACCTGATACAGTCTCGCGACAGGGCGACGAAGTGGTTGTCAGGGAGAGTCTAGACTCCTAGAGACATTGTTGAGTTGAGGTGGATGCAGGCGCGCCTTATTAGGTAATACACCACGCGCGTAAATGACGCGAATTGAGATGGCCCTTTTGGGCCTTTTCGTTCTATATCATCATCTGATTCTGGGCTATCATCTAATACTACATGTATCTTGTTCACACAACCTTGTCTACTACAGCTAATTCTCCGAGTCAAAGGTCTACTGAGAGCAACGCCTCAGCCTTCAGTACGGTCGAAGACCCAAATTTCAACCAGGAAATTCGGCACATTTCTCCATCAACTTTGGCATATTGAAGCTCTTCACTCCTGTAATGCCCACTTTCAACAACCCATGATCGCTCAAAATCTCTTCCCTCCTCGCCACGAGCTCGTCCGCGTCCCAGTTTGCCCATATAAACCTGCCATGTAGAAATGCTGCAGCGGGCGAAGATAGCCAGAGAGCCATGTGTGCTGCAAGAGATGGATCGTCCCAGATTGGCAAGTCTTTGCCTCGACCTCCGCTTGCTCGCTCTACAGCAGAGGTGTACACGACTCCTGGATGGAGGCTGATGATTCGCATCGAAGGCTCAGGCACAATGTCAGCCAAGTGGCATAGGTAGTTTGAAAAGCCGGCTTTCGTCGAAGGATACCCGAGTGCTAGTCTGGGATGCGGGTAGGTTTGTAAGGCCGCTGACGAAATATCGATCAAGACCATGGGCCTTGCTGATGGGCCATGCTTCTGGTTCTGGAAGCGATGCAGGATATGCAGTTTGGCAATCACGTTCGCTTGAAAGAATCTAGCTACCTCGAGAGGATCCAGCTCGTTGATGTTGTCTGATGCAGCTGCATTGAGCACAAGAACATCAATCAAGGTCCCTGCTTCAGCAAGCTGTTGCCACAGACTCTCAATTTGGCCGATATCCGCAGCATCGGAGACAATTGAGCTGACATCGCAGCTAGGTACAATCTGCTTGAGGCTGGCCGTAGCAACATCAAGTTTCGCTTTGGACCGTGAGGAGATGATGACTGCTTTGGCGTTCGCTTCGCAGAATGCTTTGGCAATATCGAGGCCGACTCCTTCAGAGGCACCAATAATCAAGACTGTACGCCCAGTCTGGGTGTTGCCAGGGTTGCTTGGACTGATGGTAGCGTACGTGGTCCGCCGGAAGATCCGAGTGAAGTCAGTCATTTCGGCTCAAGGGCGTAAGGCAGTATGTGGTTTTGATGTTGAGACGTTGTGGTGAATGAGACGAGCGTATTAAAACGCGATTACCTCCTACCTCCTGCCTACCTAGGTATGTACGGTACCTTACATAGACTTGCCTTAATCAGCGCTGTGTTACTGTTACGCAATTGCGGTGGCGCTTTGAAGACACCGCACCGCAGCTGAAAAGGAGTAGAGCTGGTACCTTACCTCCTCGGTACCTTATAACGTGCCTCATGTGCGTCCGACTCATTAATAATGATTATAATGTACCTACCTTACCCGGTAAAGACATTCAGTGAGCAGAGTAAAATCGACATCTGTAATTGCAGCTCAGCAAAATTGCTTTGTCATGTATTGTGCTTGGCTCCACGAATCCAAACAATCGTAACCCTCTACTTCTCATCTACGGCGCCAGGTATCCCATAGAGGAACAAGCAAGCCCTGCAGTCCAGCAAAACCGCTATACAATAGCTTCATCCACCTGGAAGTACTCAAAGTAATCATCGTCTAGCTTACTGCTCTACAAATTCCTCACCATCTCGAACCCCATCCCAGCGTATTCTATAGAATCGCTCAATAGCAGCAGACGGACCCTCTTCCGGTTTTTTTTTTCCTTCATTCCCACACTGCCCTACTCCGTCTCGGCATTCTGAATCAACTTCATGACCTTGATCGCCTCCGTCTGCAATTTCTTCGCCTGTCCCTGAATTTCGGGAGCATAAGGGTTTGTAGCCGGATAGGGCTTATCGAGGACATCATTGTTGGTCAAGATGACCTTGTTGATAATCTTTCCGAGCTCTTTCTGCGATTTCCAGATTTCGACCTTGTCGTTGGCGGATGCGATGAGCTTGTTGCCTGCAATGACGACCTGGAGAGAAGTGAGAGGGTTGTGTTAGTGGAATATAATATTGATGATGAAAACAAGAGAGAGAGAGAGAGAGAGAGAGAGAGAGAGAGAGAGAGAGAGAGGGTGTGATAATGGCGCGAGTGGCTCTT